GCGCTGTGATCCAGAGCCTGTTGTCTGGCTTGGTGCTTCGTACAGCAGCTACTTCGTGTTCGTCTGCTGGGAGGGTCGTTGTAAGGCTTCTGTTTGCGCCAGTTCTTCCTGTACTGCGCAGCCTGTCTCCGCTGTTGTGGAGTTAGAGATTTCCGGGCCCCTCGGAGGGCCCTGAGCCGTTTCCCAAGCTCTCGTGGTGTTTCAAGGCGTCCCTGTCCGCACCTTGGCTTGCGGCATCAATCGTCTGGTGTTCTTGGAGCCATTGGGCCACCCACGCCTCGGTTGGGCGCCTCTCGTTCCTTCGGGACGCTCTTGTCCTCTGGTGTGGCTTCCTCTGGGATTGCTGTTCCATATATCCCCAGATTTTCTCGTCGGCGTGTGATAGGCAGTCTGCGCTTCGGCATTCGTTGACTCCTACGCCCGTTAGACAGCGTCGGGGCCAGGCTGCCTTGGGTTTAACCCTCAGCCTGCCCTCGTGAGTGCGTTGTGTGTCCCACAACATGCTTGCGGGAGCGTCGCCGCTGTCGTATACCCATCTGATGGGTAGGGGTTGCATCCCCTTTTCTTCCCTCGTGGGCCAGAAACTGTTGCGAAATTTGTCCTGGAAATGGTACCGACATTCGTGCGCGATACACTGAAACCAGGGCAGGTAGATGTGGTTCTCTTTTCGTGGGTCCACCCGCTCGTGGTCTTCTGATAACAACTGGAATCCCTCCGTGTTGTTCTCGCCCCGGGAACCCCACCATTCGAGGTCGGAGGTTTGTCGCCCGGCGCGCACGATGTGCTGATGTCGCGTCCAGTATTCTTCCCAGCTCTGCTGTTTTCTTCCTTTCGCCGCATTCTGTTCCTGTGCGTAGTCGAAAAGTTGCTCGGGGTATCGTACTCCGTTTTCGTATCCTTCCGCCTCTTCGGTGGGTCCATCCCACGGTGTGTGGTGCGGAAGTGCCTGGCGGATGTCGTCCTGCAAGGCCTGTGCCTCTCTTAATGTCTTTTCGACGTGATCCCCGGCCCTGTTGTTGGCCTCGGTGATCTCTTGGACTCGTTCCCTGGCGAAATCGAGTTCCGCGCAAAGTCGTCCGTACTGGTCGTTCCTTCTCTGGAGAAGTTGCTCGAGTTCTTCTTTCTCTCTTGACAACTCCTCGATCCTTTGCCGTTGGCTTAGGACCTTCTGTTGCAGAAAAATGAGGTTCGGGCTGACTCCTCCTTCACCCTCGTGGGTTCGCCATTGCCCGTCCTCTTGCTGAACCAGGGTGATGCCCCAGTCCTCAGCGACTTGTCGGATGTGCCGCGGGGGAGCCAGTTCTCCCTCGTCATCCGTTTCGATGAAAGCGTGATGGGCGGTGTCATTTCCCTCCTGGTGGTTGCTGCTCATCAAGTCTTCTTGATCCGAGTCGGTGAGTTCATCGTCCTGCTCGATGACTCGGTCAATGTCGATTTCGAGGTCGTCCTGCGTGTAGCTGGCGGCTGCGACCTCCAGAAACCGGGTTCTTCTTCCGACCGTGTTTTGGTCGATGGTGGCAGCTTCCTTCCCTGGAACCGGTCTCCACTCTTTCTTGCTGCGGCAGTCGCGTTTGAAGTGACCCTTCTTGCCGCAATTGTAGCAAGTGATGCCTGATTTGTCCTTGGCACCATCTCTCTTTCCTGCCCATTGTGCCTGGGCAGCGCTGACGTCCATGGGTCCCGAGTGAGTGCCGTACGACGTGCTCTGGTGCTGGCGTTTCTTTTTGTCGTTGGGTTTGTGGTAGCCTGCGGATCGCTGAGTCTCGCTGCCCTTCTTCTGTTGTTTGCGGGCGAACTGTCGGTCGTCAATCTTGACAGCCATGGCGATGTACTCGTCGAGCGTGTCAGGTCGGCTCTCCTTGTAGAGCTCGTCCTTGACCTCCTCCTTCAGTCCTCCGTAGAACAGGTGCATCAGCCCCTCGTCGTCTATCTCTGCCTTCATGGAGTCTTGTCGGAAAATCGTGGCGTAGGCGGTGGCTGACCTAGTCTGCTTCAGCCGTCCTAGCCGTTCCTGGGCGTGCAACTTCTCGTCCTTGTCGCCGAACACCTTCTGAATCTCACTCTCGAACTCGGAGTAGTTCTCGAAGACCTTTTTGGTGAAGGGTTTGTGGATTGCTCCGCCGAGGAAATCACTCAGTGTTCCCGTGAACCACTTGAGGGCCTTGTCCTTGAGTCGGGTGGCGGCGTATCTGGTCTTGGATTCCTCAGTGGCGAACTGGTGCGAGTTGTGGTCGAGATAGTTCCGCATCTCCGTGATCCAACCTGGCAAGGCTTCCTGGTCGCCCCCGTACTTCTCGGGTTGCTCCAATTTGACCTTCGTCTTGGCCGGGTCCTTGGTGTGGACCTCGGTCGCCGCAAGTCGGGCTGCCAATGCCGCGTTGCTGGCCTTGGTCTTCGCAAGCTCTTCTTCAGTTTCGTCGAGTCGTTCGGTGACTCTCTGAAGCGCGGCCGTGATCTGGCCCGGCGTCGGTTGAGTTGCCATGTCGTTTTACCTTCGAGCCTGAACTGTAACAGATCAAAGGGAGTTAGCAACGTGTGACGAACCTGTCTCTGGACCCGTCCTGTTAGGGTTCAGTATCGGTCGAAGGTATTCTCTCAAGGGTGCTTAGGTTCGGTGCAGCCAAAGGGTGCACAACAAAGACTTGTCTCAACAGTAGGCTCTCGAGCTTGTAGCGAACTGTAGTTGTGATTGCTAACTGGAGAACTCCCAGAGCTCTCCAGGACGAGTGACTATATACCTGTCTAATTCTTGAGTGCTCAGTGTGCTCAGTTCCTCTGAACACTGATCACACTGATCACTTAGAACGTCCTGTTCATCCTGATTGGTGATTGGGATCGCGGTGCTCACTGTGCTCAGTCTGCTTGGCGACTGAGCTCACTGATCACCCTGCTGCATCCCTGATTGGTTTGACTGGCCCGGGGCGTCCCGTGCCTTGGGCCCCACATGTTGGCATATCCGTGACAAGTTTAGACCTAGAGTAAAGCTCCTCCCCGATTAAGCCCCCATTTGAAGTAGCGATATACCTTTAATTAGATTTAGGTGGGTGAGGCCCTGTAGTGCACACACTAACAGGGCTTACAATGCACTTTGGGGAAGCAATGCACAGTACTATTGCTTAGCTACCAGCAGTAATTACAGGGCCTAGGCCCTATAACAGTGGTTAATTTAGTAGGTAGACCACTATTGTTTTGGGAATGCCTCTATATTTGCTATCTTAACCACTGGAGTTGGATTTACTACTTCCTTCTCATATACCCACCGACCGGGGCACAGTGCCGAATTCGGCCCAGCGGTCTTAGTGGTAAAAAACTGAATCCCGCAAAACTCATTTGTATAGGTTTGACTAAAATGGGCTCACCTGCTCGCAGCCGCACCCAGAAGTGCCCGGGCCCACTTGCACTACTACCTTAAAAACCGGTGCAGGGTAGGCCGGTTGGGGCCAAGCGGTGCAGGGTAGGCCGCTTGGGAGCCAACCACCGGTGCAGGGTAGGTCGCTTGGGATGCCAAGAGGTGCAGGGTAGGCCGGTTGGGAACAACCGGGTGCAGGGTAGCTCGCTTGGGAAACCCAGGTGCAGGGTAGGTGCAGGGTAGCTCGATTCGGGAGAAACTAACACTTAGTGAAAAGAAGAACCAACCTTCTTCAAACTAAGATAGCTAGCCACCCAGTAATCGTACCGCCACAACCAAGATACCAGTATATAGCTACAGGCCATACGAATTCAATTACAGTACTGTAGAGCCCCCCAGATGGCCACAGCACTAGTAATCTGAACTCTAGGGTTCAACAACCTTAAAACCATATATACTACTAAACACTTGTAGTAGGTTACATACTATATATACATTGTAATATCAATGTTGTATAAGGGAGGAATTGGCTTAGAGAATAATCTTCAATACTACAGATCCTATAACCGTAGAATCAATATACCTATGTGTGTAGCCTTCTGGTCAGAAGGCCGCGGTCACAACTACCGTAAAAAGAGGTTACTTCAACAAGTGTGGAAAAAGAAATAGAATTGTATGCCCTGTAAACTCTGAGAGGGCTTGAGCCTCTGACTAAATATAAGGATGCCCTAGGCGGATGAACGCGACGAAGAAACGGAAAAAACGAAAATTCCAGACCCTATGTCCCTCTGGTCAGAGGGAGCTCGTTGCCCTAGTTTATTATCTATTACTTACTAGAGCTTTATAGGATGTCTTACTCTTACTCTATAAACATTTAAAGTTTGTTAAAATCTTCCCTGCTATAACCCTTAGGGTTATAGGTATAGAAAATAATGGGAAGTTTAAGCCTTTATATCTCCCGATATATACTAGCTAGAAGTATAAGGTAAGTAATATCTAAATCTAACTTATACTATATATCTAAGATAATTTTATATCATTTCTAAAGTACCCTAACTAGTAGATATTAGCAAATCAATTTGTTAGCGAATTACTATGAGAGATGAAATCTTGAGTTTACACCCACTTATCAAAGTAAATCCCTTACCTCCAATACATTTATAAAACTAGAGGATACTAAAAGATCTTATTGTATTTTTACTTTATTTTTACTAGTAGTGGTTGCGGTTTTATACGTAGTTGAAATTCCCAGTTTTCAGGGTTATAGGTGGGGCACAAATAACGAAAAGGGGGGGGGGGCCGACAAGTGGGGGGGGCGACTTATAATCCCCCTGTTGGAATGCCGCACGAGCCCAACCCGCCTTGGCCTTACATGGCCTGGGTAGAAACCTGGGAAGAGGAACAGTGGATGGGTACGTACCTAGGTACCTCGGGAGGGAATCTCGGAGAGGATACAGGAGGTAAACCTGTGAGGGTTGGGGTTATATATTAGGTAGAAATGCTGTAACATAATTCGGGTGCACCTGTCATGACCAGGTACATACGGAATTGGGATTCTCCGCCTTCAGATCAATGAACATAAGTAGCTAATATCTTCGGGTAGTTTTTCTTCACCCCCTTTTTGCCGTTTAAGGACTAAACAAGTAGAAAATACCGGACAGTCACCCCCGATAGCGACCCCACCACGAGCCCACACTCGGAATGAAGGAACAGAAGACACCCACACTGCTTCCCCCACCACACCCCCACACACTTTTCTCCTTCCATTGATCCTACTAGAAGGCTTGATCCCGCCTCATCACAAAAGCATCGCTAAAAACGGACACTTTGTTGTATTTCATCCAAAAATGCAGGCCAACCCCGAGCACGAAGAGCTCTATCGGCGGGCCGCCACCGATCCTCGATCCATTTCCCGCGCCGAACGCAACGCCATCTGGGGCCACCCGCCGCCCGAGGAGGAAGACAGACTCTGCGTCGCCAAAACAGGCCACACCCGCGCAGGGCTGGTTGTCAAGGCGATCGAAAACAAGGACGAGCTCACGCTCTGCGAGGCCCAGATTCTCTGTTCTGGCCGCAGCGTGAACTATGACATACCCCAGTATGCCGGCCCGCCGAGCCTTGACCTGCTCGAGACGTCGCTGTTGCAGTATCTCAAGGAGCCCACCCCGCTAGAGAAGCTCCGAAACGAGGCGGTGGATCAATTATCGGCTGTTCGCTCAGCCGAGGAGGTCACCGCCGTGACGAACGCCACTAGTCGGCGGCGCGTTTTCAAAATGGCGGAGATAGAGGCAAGAGAGGAGAAGTGGCGAGAGTTCGAAAGGGCAAGGCGCCTAAAGGTCGGAACGCCCTGGATGAGGGGAATGCTTCGGGATGGTCTCCTTGAAGACGGCGCCGAGTGTTGGGGATTCGTTGTGTTCCGCACCGGGTGCTACCACGGTGATGAGGGCGAAGCCGCGTGGCAGAGGTTCCGCGACTACTTGCCCAAGGTGGCCGCGACATCAATCCTGCACTGGAACAGCGGGCCAGAGCTACAGCCTTCGCTCCGTGTCCTCTTTGTCGAGGACAAGGAGTTGGAAAGCGCGTCGAATGAGCAGCTGCGCGCCAAGTTCAAGAAGATGCGCGATGGAGCCAGAGGCGACCATCTGCCCAAGGGGATAAGGACCAACTGCTTCCTTGTCGCCGACGAGGCAGTGATTGAGAGCGAGGCAGCCCAGGCGCCATATACACCTCGGTACACGGATGATATAGAGATGGGAGTGGAAATCCTGGACGACGACCCAGTGGTATATATCCGTGCCGTTGACCCCGATTACGTGGCTCCCGCTGTTCCGGCTGAGGCAACCACAAAAGAAACGGCGGGCGATATTACTGGTCTCAGAACTACCCCCACCAGTGGCAACAGTTCATCTGTCGCTCCCGAACCGACGAACGTCGGTGCAAAGGAGGCGGGAGACGAAATGGCCGATTTCAAAGGTGAGGCCACAATGGCGTTGCCACGCGTATTCGACTGGCTGCACGCTGTCTGTTTCTACGCCGAGCGCGGCATCACTCCAACATGGGATGCTCGAAAGGGATGGCACACAGTCCATGTGCAAACTAAGAAGCCGGAAGCATGGATACGGAACTGGTCACCCAATTCGGGCGGTGTAGAGTACATCCACGTCAGGCGGTCTGCCGTTCCCGGGCCCTGGCAGGTGACTGGAGCACCACCTAGCTTGCCTCCCTAGGTAGGTAAGGTGGTACGATAGCTACCTACGTAGACATGCTGAACCTCTTCAAAAGTCCGGGGCCGCAGACTAATTAGAAGGACTGCAAACGCAGGAGAATGCAACGGAAAACAGGAAAATACGAAACTCCCCTTCATCTAGTCAGACGGCGAAGTGTTCTACGCCCCAATTCAGTAATATTAGTACCTAAGTTCGCATTCAGATTTGGCCGCAACGTGAACCAGCATCAAACAAGCCACAACCTTAGCCCTGCGTGCATAGCTGTACCCCTATTCAGAGGCCGCCCTTCAGCGAGGAAATGGAAGGCATTAGATAGTATCAACTCCAATTCATTCTTTGCCGATACTGCGGTTATTTACGGTGGACAAGCTCTAGCAAGGAACCATGGAAACCAACCAGGTGGGTGATTCGGAAAATGGGCATTCCCGTGATAGTAGTAGTTGCATACTGAAAAGTAGGGAATAGTGATAATGATATGGGGGTTGTTGATTCCCGATTTGGCGATCCAAGTGCTCAAATATCGGGGTTGTCTGTACCTAAGCAGGGGTTTTCTAACTTCTTCACTCTACGCCTCGACACAGTAAGAATATCCCTCCTTGAACTGACACGAGTTCCATGTCGACCGATCCGCCACGTCGTAGGAGAGCGACGGATTCCATTCCATCAGCTGTTCGTGAGTAGCTATTAAAAGGAAAGTCAGCATCTCCCTCATCAGACCCGCGGGGGATATATCACGGTAAACCGGTCTCTTCACATACCGCCCCAAAAGTTTGCTTTCCACCAGCAAGCGTTTGCGCTCCCGAAGCGGGTCTGCAAATCATGGACGTCGTAAAAGTCGTCATAAATGTCGTAGCGGGTGCAGTTCTCCCTCGTACCCGGGGCCCGAGGCAGCGAGGCCGGGTCTGTCCACTCCGGGAACGCGGGCTCGGTCGTCGTTGCCGAAGGGCTGCCCGTGTAGGTGTCCGTGGGCCACGGAATGTCGCTCTCCGGTGTTTCCCACGAGGTCGTGAAGCAGGTGCTGGGGGCGCCCGGGCTGAGGCAGGGGTTGGTGAAGCTGTGTTGTGGGCGTTGGCACTCGGTGGTTCGTGTTGACTGTGAAGGAAAACGAAGAAGGGTAGGTAGGTGCGTGGTTGTACTTACTGCGATGTCGTGGTTGGTTGTGGCCTCGCCGTCGTCGATACAACGCCGGGCGGACTCAGGCAGATCATATGACCGGTGAAGGAACGTAGATTTCCGCAATGAGACTTTAGGTTTGGGTTCAGTTCAATGAGTTCGCGGACTGTCAAGCCGTGAGACTTAGCCACCCTTTGGCACGTGTCTATCGGCATAACCTTGTATGTGTTGCACTGCTGCGGGATGCAAATCTCGGTCCCCGCCGCAGGGAAACGGGCACAAAACATTGGGAGCTTGTTCGAGTAGAGCAGGGAGAATGTAGACACCTGCTTGGCCCTGCTGATGGAACGGCAATTGTCTGATTTCTTGATCGTATATTGTGCCTCGCAGGTGTAGGAAGGGATAGGGATCCTATCAGTCAGGGTCGGGAGCGGGATTGTGGTGGTGCCCAAGCGGTACCTGGCCGGTGAAGTCACTGGATACGATGTGACTTGGCACCTTGATTTTGGCAAATGTATCGGTTAGTTAGTAACGATCACGCGTGGTTGTGGTGGAAGGATCGCGTACGAAGAAGTCAGGGAAGAATAGTGAGACGCGAGACCATCATAATAGCCCAGCGGCGAGTTTAAACGTGCCTGCAGCATTCGGAAGGTGCAGGCTGATGGGCACAAATCCAACGGCGGCTCGTCGTTGGATGCGTTTGCTTGTTCCATCATAAGGAGAGCGAGACAGTGGTCACCCGCCCTGACTCGCGCATTAGCGGTCCAGCAAGCACGAAATGGTCTGACAAGGTCACTTACGTATCTGTCAGGCACGCCCACTTGTACGTGTCCAGCAGCAGGTCGACCACGTATGTGGCCGGAAAGACATAGTACCCAACCGTGATATTGTCTGTGTCGGCGCACTGGGCAATCTGAAGCTCTCGCAGCGCCTCCAGACTCGAGGCACATGAGGGAGTAGTGCACATCAAATCTATGGTGTCGGGGCTCGGCAGCGCATTTTGCGCGACCTGCCACAGGATCGGGTCGCATACCACGGCCTCACTGAACGTTGCACTAGAAATTTGATCAGAATTGGAACCCTTGGATCCAGACAGGAAACCCGGGACAGCAGCCTCACGCGCATGACGGGGACAAATTCGGCGGCGTGTCGATCTGGCCAGCGTAAGACCCGTTGGGTGAGACAAAACTCAGAGCCGAAACAGAGCGAGGGCCAGATGCCGTCAGGAGCTACGGGCGGTACTCGGGTTAGCACTCCTGCTCAGGGTCCATATGTGAGGATCAACTTGGGGAAAGCACTCACAAGTGCCCCAAAGAGCCAAGCGGCAGCAGCCATTGTGAGTTGATAAGTAGGTACCTGTAAGGACGTGCCACTGTGGTTGGTAAAATCTCCTCCGATTTCCAATTCTCAGCTTTGACTTAGGAGACGGTGAGATTGATGAATGCCAGCCAGCACTCAACCGTAAATACTTCTTTCGTCATTGTCTGGATTCCAAACGACGGGGATAGAAGTACCTACCTATTCAAGGGGGGGCGGGCCTCGGCTTTGCTGTCCAGGCACTTGTATGGGGTGGGGCTGACCCGCGCTCAACACACGTCCTTCGCATTAGCAGGGCTCATTCGCGTGTTGCCCTGCAGGCGGGCCAGTTTCCTCTCCCTCAGCACACCGTACAACCACATTACAGCCCTTGCAGAGCCATCACGAGTTCCATAGCACCCACTGGGACTATACCATGCTAGGTACCCAAGAAGGTAGGAGTTTTGCCTCGAGGTACACAACGATCGGGGTCGGCACGTTCCCCGGCGAGCTGTAAAAGGGTTTTCATAGTTAGCCCCCGCTCACTCCACTCAGTTTCGATAGTTTAAAGTCCTGGTGGGTCTTGTCTTCCAACTCGGGGCCCCATCGAGACACAAATGGTTGGTCAAAGAATGGGCAGAAGCGAGGGTCGGACGACTCCACCTATTGGCCGACTTCAGATCGGATATGGTCGATATCGTTGTTGGTAGTGTATCGCCGAGCAACACACCGAGCATGTTCCTTGAGACTGCCACCACCACCGAAGCACTGTGTACTGAGTATGGGAGGCAAAGTCTGGGGTCGGACTCGAGGTGCACTACCTACGGCAAGCTAGTACGCTATGGAGCCGAAATCACAGCCGCGGTTTGCTGGGCAACCAGAGCTCCGAATCAGGAGGTTGGGCCGGGAGAAAGGCGAACAGGACAAGGGTAACAGCGCAAGTTGAAGGAAGATGCGGACGGTTGGTTATGCTTGCGTTGGGGGGGGGGGCGTTGATGTTCCTATAAGTCATGCGCTGGGAGCACGATCAGTGATTGTACCTCAAAGCAATTATCGGTGCAGGCAACGGTCGTGGGATCCGACCCGGCCGTGGAACGACAATGGGGCCCCTTTACGTGCTCCTAGGCCTGCTGGTCTCTCTGGTCACCCAAGTTCAGGGCAAAGCCGTCTTTGCTCACTTCATGGCAAGTTGTCTGCACTCTGCACGACCCGTTACCTTAAGCTGGAGTTTAGCACACGCCTATTGTATGGTTAGCTGTAGCCATGTTGTGTTTATTTAGATCAATGTGGAGCAACTCGCATCATGTATGCAACCCAGACACATATTTGTTGGTTTAGCAAGATGGACTGCGCATCTGGTCGCCCATGGGCCCATGAGGTTGCTTTTCAACACAAAGCTACCTGAGGTACGGTAGGTACCTAGGTAACTATTTACTTGGGCCGTAGAGACACCCACTGGGAAATGCTTTGAAACGAGGACGCCACAGGGGGAAGGTAGCCTGATTGAAGGTAAGCATTCCGTCCTTGTCCCATCCTACGGCTTCCATTACTCCCGCACATGGCGCTGTCGAGGAAACGGCAGGGTGCTCCAACTGCTGTCGTTTCAAAGTTTTGGTGTTGGTGGTGTTTGTGATGTTTCAAGAACAAGCGGACGGGAGAATAGCTGTGAAACGGGACGTGTTCCAAGCGCGGCTCAACACGGGCAACGAGGTGCCGTGTGTCTCACGTTCCGCAGGGGTGGACGGGAGAAGCTGCTGTCGAAATTTGATGTTTCGACAAAAAGCTTGTGTTAGCGGCCACGTGGTGCTGGGTTGGTGGCAGGCTGCTGTTGAGAGGGACGTCGAGGACGTTTGTGGACGGTGGTGGATCTTTACCGAGGCCGTTTTTGGTTTCTTCGCTGGCAGATCAATTCATCATTCGCGTGCTCTTTCCACGGCGTTTCCGAAAATAAATCACCGAGAGTAACTTATATTTTTCACTACCAAACTCTGCGCGATTGATCGCAGTAGAGTGCTGGTGCATGTTAGGTGGTACTTCTTGCTGCAGCATGCAAGGCACCATCCCCCCTTCCACACCCCCATCTTGCAGCAGCACATCGCCGATTTGGGAAAGTGCCGGTCAACAAGATTGAAGAGTGACGTCTTGGCAACGCATTTGCATTTCGTGTGCCTCCCACTTCGTTATTGTGTACGACTGCAGTGCCTCAACTACGGCTGCCAGTGTTTATACGCACATGTTTCGGGTTTATTCTTCTTTCGTTTCTCATGCTGCAATAACTAGCTTGTTGCGCGGAATTAAGACGGACCGTCGAAAGAAATGGCAAACAGTGGAGTTGAGGGAACTGCGCCCGTTGTGGGGCCGAACTTGAGAATCAGTGAACCTAACAGGCAGGGGTTTGGCATCTGCAAGTGCGCTTGCCACCATCCCGTTCTTGCCTCAGTTCCGTGTTTACTTCGAGGGCTTTGACGACTGTTGTTGGCCAATGAACCTAGCCGTTCCCAACTGCAATTTTTAGCTCCGTTGGATTCCGAGAATGAAAGGCAGGCATCCGCGAGCATGTTGATGACATGGTATTTATGGCACAGAATTGCAAGTATCGAAAGGCACAGCATCTTGCTGCACTGACTCAGAATCGAGCACACAAAAAGGAACCGAAGCCCCGGACCCTTGGCCCCGCTGCGCTTGCCCCTTTTCCTAAAGGCCCCGTCCACAACCACCACATGCCTGAGGCGGGTGTTGTATTTTGCCCGACATCAATTGACCACTGAAAACCCGCCGTTATGTTCCAGCTAGGCCGAGTCTGCTATCGTCATACCCTGACGGGCTCGAGTCTCATCCGCCCCTGTTCGACCGATTGAAGTCGTGTGCTCCTCTGACTGCCGTCATTGGAGGTTGCAACCCGGCAATCATTAAAAAACTTCCAAACAGAGTTTGGGCATCGGCGACTCGCACTGGCGCCGGCCCTGCACAGCACTGACGCTTGCCTTGGTAGTGGGGAAAGGCATTGGAGGAGAACGAATCGACCAGGAGCTAGCGCTGCAGCGGCCGACACCAGCCAACAGCAGGCCGGGAAGCGATCATCACACGCTCGGCTGATTGCCCCCGACTCCCTGCGCCCGCAGCCAGTGCAAGTCAGTCCCCAGTCACACAAATCCGCGCCTGCACTGTCTCGGTTTCCCCTGGCTTCTGCCGTGAGCCCTCCCACCTTGTCTCGATTCGGCCGCCGGCTGCTCGCTTTCGTGTAAGAGCAATTGGAGCCGCCCTGGGGACATTCCCGCAATGTCCTCATCCCGCCCCGCCGTCACACCCACGACCTCTTCCTATCCGCCGTCCGACGCCGTTTTTTCCACCACGCCGCCGCTGGCCCCGAACGTCTTCTCTGGCTCTGGCCCTGGCCCTGGATCCCACACCTCGCCGTCCCCCCGATCCCGATCCCGCCGCACCAGCAGGAGCCGAGACCTGGCCAACCCTGGCTCGAGGAGCCACCTCTCCCACTTCGACGCGATCGACAACAATCCCCCTGCAGACCCCGACCGTCCCTCGGCCCCCGCCGTCCATCCTGCTGCCACATACTCGACATTTCCCTCCAATCCGCCGCGGACCTCGTCGCTTGCCGCCCGCAACCCCCCACGCACCTCATCGTTGTTGCCGCCTGCGAGAATTGTCGTCGACCCGGGCACTCCCAACGCCGACGCTCCCGAGCTTCGCGATCCGTTCAATGACCCCCGACCGGCGCCCAAGGTTCCCGATTCCGCCAGAGAAGGAGGCACGAGACACAAGAGGGGGCATTCGCGGTCGAGTAGCGCCGGTGGCCTGAGCGACACACTCCGCAATCTGAACCGCTGGTCGGCCTCGACGACTTCAAGTCGCGCATCCCACCTTGCCGACTTCACTCGACGGGTAAGTGCGGAGATACTGGGCGTAGCCTTTACGTCGCCAGGCAAGAAATTCCATCGGCGCACGCCCTCAACGCCGGGTGGTTCGCCTCGGTCATCGATCCAGAGAGGCAACCGGACCGAGCCGGCCGCGGCCGCAGCCTACGCGCCGCTTCAGAGCCTTCCCCAAATTTCGACGGGGCCGTCGCTGGAGGACGAGGTTCTCGAAGCCCATGCCCTGAGATCGTTTTCTCCGGACCAGTCTGGACAGGCGCTGCCCCAGTCACAACAGGATACCGGCAGGTTTTGGGATGACCAACGAGGCGAGGAAGGGGAGCAGGGACTATTATCATATCAGGCGCATCTGGCCGAGCCACCCGACAAGATGGTTATGAACGGCTCTACCATGCCCTACACGCAGAATGGCCAGGCCAGGGGCCACTCACGCAGTCGATCAACCGGGGCAAAAGGGAGCGCTGACACCACCGTCTCCTCGCGGAGCCGAGACAAGGATCGTGACCGTGAAAGGGACCGTGATCGTCAGGGGAAGCCCATATCCCAAAAAGCAATGTTGTCTAAGGCTTTGCAAAAGGCAAATACAGCCGTTCAGCTGGATAATGCTCAAAATTTGGAGGGCGCTAGGAGGGCTTATGCCGAGGCATGCGCTGTGCTGCAGCAAGTACTCCTGCGGACTTCCGGGGAGGAAGATCGGAGAAAGCTCGACGCCATCGTGAGTATCCATGGTTTGACATTCTTTGTCGTGTCCGGAGTCTAACCAATCTTGTCCCGTCCGTTAGCATGAAACTTACCTAGCGCGAGTCATGGAACTCGACGAGCAACTGGTTGATATGGAGCCCGAAGGAAAAGCGCTGCCTCGGCGGCCAGAAAGCAACGACCTTCATGACGTCCTGAACGGGCAAATAGCTGCCGATCAATACTCTCGGCCAGCCACGGGCGAGAGAGACAGGATTCAAGAGGAGGACCTCGATGCTCAGGTGGGTGAGTCTGCTCAAGAACCGATGAGGAATCCTCCACCGCCCTCTAGAGCATCGCCGCTCCCCGGAGACGCCACGAGGGATCCGAGGGACGGACCCTCATCCTACCTAACCCAACAATATTCCCTCCAGTCCGCTTTTTCAAGGGCTCGGTATAACAATGGCTCAACACTGCGTCCCCCAAATATCGATAACACATATATGCCGCCGCCCCTATCACCTCGGCGGCCATTCTCTCCCGCCCGACTCACTCCACCGCCTGTCGAGCACGAAAGCCCTCAACGCCCCCCTCCAGAGTTGCCCGCCCATAACACCCAGTTAGCACCGCCAATGCCACACCCAGGACATAAACGGGTAGGCAGCCACGAATCAGTCTCGTGGTTGGATCCTATCGACGAGTCGGAGCATTCTAGTGTAACCTCGGTGCACTCTCGGTCCTCTTCCAGGGTGGTACGGAAGCATATACGAGCTGCAAGTGGTGCGACGGAAGCCGAATTCGACGCGGCTCTGGACGACGCGATCGAGGCCGCATACGACGACGGATACGACCCTGAGACGCAGTACTCCGAACACCCCTATCACGACACCCAGGTAGATCCCATCGCCAGCACGCTTCGGCGGGTGGAGATAGCGAGGGAATTAGTGCGTGAGTCCGAAAGGGAGGCACTGGAGTTGGCGAACGAGCGTGAGCAACGACTACGGCGACAACAACAACTAGAGGATGAGGAGTACCGCAGACACGAGGCTGTCGGCGATGATGAATTTTACGACGGTAATGACTCGGAAGAGGATGAACGACTGCTGGAGCAGATGACCAAGGGCAACGCCATCGAGGACTTTGCGTTTGGCGTCCAGCCAAAACCACCGGTCCCGCGAGAATCAGACTCGAGCGGCATGACCGGCCGGACATGGCACAGCTCCATGGGATCCAACCCGCCCACTGGGACGACCCTTCTCACCCCGGTAAGCGAAGACAACGCTCCCCCGTATCCATCGGGCCCATTACCGGCGTTGCCACCCCACGCGATGGCCCCGCTACCCCCGCCGCCAACTTCGGCAGGTTCGCAGAGCTCCGGACAAAGCGTTCGGAACAGGCGGCTGTCTGGCCAAAACCCGAAAGAGCTCAAAATCGAGACGACCAAGCTCGCTCCGTCAGCACCAGCAACAGCCGGGCCAGCAATCCCCTCAATGCCAAAGGCAGGCAGTTACATCGTACAGCAACGGCAGGCTCTATCCGCGGGCCCCAACCGCACAGCTGGGCCGTTCTCTGCCAGGGCCGGCCCGTCCCCTATTCCCGGAACCCTCGACGAAGAGCCAGAAGACGCGCCGTTACCGCCGCTGGCCTTTTCCCATGACGACTACTCGCGCGTCGGGACCCCCTCGGTCGTGCGCCCCAACCTCCGAAAGAACTACTCCGCCTCGTCTCTCAAAAGCCTAAAGACGCGCAACCTCTCCATCTCCCACATGGAAGAAACGCCAGACCACTCCTCCCCCGGCACCCCGCTGAGCACGCAGTTCGGCTCCCGGCTCCCCGCGATGCCCTCGCTGCCCCCAGGCCTCGTCAAAGACCGCGCCAACAGCGCGACCACCAGCGGGCTGCACCTCTTCGAGAACCACTTCCACTCCGCCGACGAACCCGGCTCCCCCAACCCGCTGCACCCGGACGCGCCCGCGCCCCTCGAACCCTGCCCCAGCGACGTCACCCTCCGGCCCTTCTGGCTGATGCGCGCCCTCTACCAGACCCTGTGCCACCCGCGCGGGGGGTACGTCAGCACCAAGCTGTTCGTGCCCCGCGACGCCTGGCGCGTCAAGGGCGTCAAGCTCAAGGGCGTCGACGAGAAGATCGCCAACTGCGACCTGCTCACCGCCGCGCTGCAGAAGCTCGGGCGGGTGGACACCTGTGATGCCGATGCTGTGCTTGACGAGATGCAGGCGCTGGAGAACGTGCTTGAGCAGGTGCAGACTGCGCTGACGAGGCGGCTGGGCAGTGATGTGGGCGTGCAGGGGGCGGGCGCCATGTTCAAGGATGCGGCTGCTGCGGGGGCTGGGGATGGGGTGGACCCGGCGTCGATGCCGCGCTCCGCGAGTGTGGCCGGCAAGGCGAGCGGGTTCTCGTGGCGAAGGTTAAGGAGCAAGAATAGCTCGGCGAATTTGCCGGGGCTGGCGACGGGGTATGGTGGGAAGGGTGGGAGCGGTGGGAATGGTGGGGGGATTGGTGGCGGGGCGAGCTCGACGAACTTGCATGAGGGCATGGGTAAGGATATGGTGATTGCCAGCTTGCCTATGACGAGTCACCCGACCAGCCGGCCGACGAAGCGGGATGTGGGTGCTGTGGGGTTTGGGGGGCCGAATGCGCATTATATGGCGTCGTTGGCGAGGCTGTTTGATGCCGCGCAGACAGTGGGTGAGTTGCTACTCTTCTTTACGCCAGTCCATGGGAAACGGAAAGAATGGCTCGCTAACGTCTTTTTGTAGACCAAATTGCGCGACAGGTTGACGACCCGGGCCTGCGGCACGCCGACAAGACGCAGGTCGGCATCGAGCTCTGCACACGCCACGCAGCCGAGTTCTTTGCCTTTTACATTTGCCGGTTCGCACTCGCCGACATGACGCTATTGTTAGACAAGTTTGTGAAGCGCGGCACCGAGTGGGTGTTGGCGTGAACCCCCACCCAGTCCCACCTGATGCTGTAAAGGCCGCCATCGCCATGTATGGTGTGTGGGTGAAGTAGGAGGCTGTGAGATTTGGGGGACTCATTGCTTGAAGAGCCGTCCCGGTGAGCGGGGCTGATGACTGACTGAGTTGAGCAACACACCTTCGCGAGGGTATGGGTGATACAGGGAGTGTATAATTGCATGGCATGCGTGGAGCGGGGAAGGACTGTATGTACTTGGTTAGGAGGGAGAAACCCCCCTTTCCACTTTAGACGCTCGAGATATGTTTCATTGCTGCTGCAGGTTGGGATACTGAACACAGGAGGACTGAGAGGCGATCATGGGTCGGAGTGCTGTACATAGCTTTGCTTGCTGTTGTTCATATTAATTTCAGTGTCTTCGAGTTGACTCGGTTCCTTTCCCTCTAAGTAAGTTTGTTCGTATTGGGAGACTTCAGGTCTCCGTCCAGGTGCCCGATAAGATAAGGATGTGAGCCCCCCAGAAAGTTGCGGGATCAACTCTCTTGGCGTTCCTGGTGATCCCCAATTTTTGGAAACTCCACAGCCGAACATACCTCGACGACAACCCGTTGACACAACCACACGACTCCCATCCTACCACAGATTACATGTCCTAGAACGCCAATTGGATGCGTGGCGTGCCGGGCCGGGAAACACGGATGGGACCATGGCTGCGGTGCGTGCGACTGGCGCCGACTCTTGGCCGAGTGTCTCCTCTGTCGACGCCGTCGCAGTCTTTGCGGGGAGCAGCAGCAACAGCAGCAGGAGGGGGAGTAGTACCAGGTAGCACGCGGTTCTTTTTCCGAGATACACGACTTCGAACACCGTTACCGAGTTCTCGCCGTATCCGTAACCTCGACCCTTTCGTTCCCATCCCACACCAAACCGTCTCGACAACACCAATACTACCACAATGCCGACTCGCAAGTAATTTTGCCAAAGACGGGCCCGAACAGCGCCGCGCCGCCGAGCTCGAGAAGCGCATCGCCGAGATCCCCATCGAGCGCTACCGCAACTTTTGCATCGTCGCCCACATCGACCACGGCAAGAGCACGCTGTCGGATCGACTCCTCGAGTACACGGGCACCATCTCGGCCAGCGATGCCAACAAGCAGATCCTGGTGCGTCCATTCCCCCTGCCACACCCCTCCCCCGCCCTTCTCCATCCCCCACAATACAGACCACCCTCCTAACGCCCACCCCCCCCAAACAACAGGACAAGCTCGACGTCGAGCGCGAGCGCGGCATCACCGTCAAAGCGCAAACCTGCACCATGATCCACCGCTCATCACGCGACGGGCTCGACTACCTCCTCCACCTGGTCGACACGCCGGGGCACGTCGACTTCCGCGCCGAGGTCACGCGCTCCTACGCCTCGTGCGGCGGCGCCCTGCTGCTGGTCGACGCCTCGCAGGGCGTGCAGGCGCAGACCGTCGCGAACTTCTATCTCGCCTTTGCGCAGGGGCTGTCGCTGGTGCCCGTGGTGAATAAGATCGATCTGCCGACCGCGGATGTGCAGCGCGCGCTGGACCAGCTGGAGAGTGTCTTTGAGCTGGATACGTCGTTTGCGGTGAGGGTGAGTGCGAAGACGGGGCATGGGGTGGGGGAGATTTTGCCGGCCGTGCTGGAACATGTGCCTGCGCCGGTGGGGGATACGGCGAAGCCGTTGCGGATGCTGTTGGTGGATTCGTGGTATGATACGTTCAAGGGGGTGGTGTTGCTGGTGAGGGTGTTTGATGGGACGGTGAGGGCGGGGGATAAGCTGGTGAGCTTGCAGACGGAGAACGAGTATGTTGTGGGCGAGGTTGGCATTCAATATCCGAACCAGGTGCCGCAGAAGGTGTTGCGGGCGGGGCAGGTTGGGTATGTCTACTTCAACCCTGGCATGAAGAGGATTCAGGATGCGAAGATCGGGGACACGTTCACGACGGTTGGATCGGAGAACGCGGTCGAGCCGTATCCCGGCTTTGAGGAGCCCAAGCCGATGGTCTTCGTGGCGGCGTTCCCGACGGATCAGGGCGATTACACGAAACTTGCGGATAGCATTGGGCAGCTGGTGCTCAACGACCGCAGTGTCACGCTGCAGAAGGACTTTTCCGAGGCGCTTGGCGCGGGGTGGCGGTTGGGTTTCTTGGGGAGTTTGCACTGCTCAGTCTTTCAGGACCGCCTCCGCCAGGAGCACGGCGCCGACGTCATCATCACGGAGCCAGCCGTCCCGACAAAGATCGCTTGGAGTACCGGCGGCGGGGAGACTATCATCACGAACCCGGCCGAGTTCCCCGAAGGCGAAGACGTCCGCATGCGCAAGGCCATCACTTATGAGCCGTTTGTGCTCGCCACCATCACGCTTCCTGACGAGTACCTCGGACGGGTAATCGAGATCTGCGAGAACGCCCGCGGCCTGCAAAAGGGCCTCGAGTTCTTCCACGCCACGCAGGTCATTCTCAAGTACGAGGTGCCCATGTCCAGCCTGGTGGACGACCTGTTTGGCAAGTTGAAGGGGGCTACCAAGGGGTATGCGACACTAGACTACGAGGACGCCGGGTGGCGCCAGAGCCAACTGGTCAAGATGAACCTGCTGGTCAACAAGCAGGCCGTGGACGCCATTGCGCGCGTGGTGCACTCCAGCCAGGTCGATCGGCTGGGCAGGCAGTGGGTGACCAAGTTCAAGGAGCATGTCGACAGGCAGATGTTTGGTACGCTGCGTCCCTCACATCCTTCCCCCTCCCGGTGCTACACCCTCCAATTTCCCCTCTCGTCATGGTGCCCCCCATGATAGTAAGCGTGAGTCAGACTAACCCCTCGCAGAGATCATCATCCAGGCTGCCGTTGGCAAACGCATCGTCGCCCGTGAAACCATCAAGCCCTTCCGCAAGGATGTCCTCGCCAAGCTGCATGCCAGCGATATCTCCCGCCGCAGGAAGCTGCTCGAGAAGCAAAAGGCCGGCCGCAAGCGGCTGCGCGCCGTCGGCAACGTCGTCATCGACCAGTCGGCGTTCCAGAAATTCTTGTCCCGGTGAGGAGGGGACTCTACTCTGTGTTACTAGTTGTTGTGTAATATAGTTGTGTTTTCTGGTTGATGTATATTCGGCGCCCGGATGGTTGGCATGGATTTCATCGGATGGCGTATTGTGCATCCCTTGCTGAAGTCTGACGACGGGATGTGGAGGCATGGGAGCGACCCATTTAATCCCGATTTGTGGAGTTGTGATGCGTCTTATGTGGGCCTTATGCCTTGCTTCAGAACCCAACGGCGCCAACTCTGTGACAACGAAGAGGCAAAGGCAATTGGAGCCCTCTCGCAGCTCCCTATTCGTCGCGCGTCACCTGGAGGGAATGGGCAGTCGACGGGCAAGCCGAGGGCTGAGTCCAGCGGTGAGTCGGGAACCCACTTTTTGTCGGAAGAGAAGCTGTGATATCTGTGTTGTTGTTTTTCTACGTGGAAGGAAGGGAAAAGAGGCCGAAGGTGGGCGAAAAGGGGCGGGCAGCATTCTCACACGACACCGAGTCATTAATCTGGGTATTGTTCTGGAGGCATCCATGGCGGGAAAGCAGGATCTCTTTTTTGCTGTCTTGGCATGCAGCTGAGCCTGCTGAAGAGGATGGAGACTGGCGAGCCGTCAATGCAAACCTGGAATGATGTCGAGTGTCGACCATCCGAAGCTCGCCAATTCATGCGCGCATGCTACAATAGCAGGTTGCATGCCTTTCAGCTCTGGTGTTCTTGAACTCGGGGTTCCGAACATGGTGGAAGAACTGGGTAAAGATACAGTAGGGCGTCGCCCGACATGTACGATGTGGCTCAATCAGCCTAGTAAGTAGATACTCGGATCCCGAGCAATGTCACCGAGTTCTGTACACCGTCAGCGCTAAAATGTTTTGACGGCGAAGCCGATGCACCGCTATGTACTCGGAGAATGGGTTTACAGCAAGCCGTGAGAAAGAGGACAACACAGTTGGATACCTATATTACGATGACTTCTCCCTCGGTTTTCTCCTACAATTCCACCCTTCAAATCATATCATCGCCGCAGCATCAACAACTGATCTCAATACACTCCATTATCCTAACAAAATCAGTCTTACTTCAACCCCTATCAAATCTTCACTTTAGCAATGGCGCCTTTTACCTTGGATTTCTGTCAAACGAACCCGTATGTTGGCGGAGGCGGTGGAGGCGATTGGCAGTTGGTGGGCGAGATGGGCTCCTGTGAGTATCCTGTTCTCCTGAAGCACATGAGCAACCATCTGTGGCACCCCGATAGCTAACACTTGTCGTGTTTCCTAGTTGTCAAGCGAATCCGAGTCTACTGGGGCACGTCCAAGTGGGGCAGCGACGGCAAGAAAGGATGTCTCACAGGCTTCGAACTCGACTACACCGACGGGAAGCAGCTTTCCCACGGCAACACCGACTCGGACCAAGCCTTTGAGGAGTGCCGCATCGACATCGACAATGACGAAAAGATCAAAGAAATGTCCCTGTACGGCCAGGGAGACGGGCAGTGGGATCGAACGTCGCTGTTGTGGTTCCAGACCAACAAGGACCAGAAGTTCGGCGCCGGGCTCAAGCTGCTGGACGAGAACCAGTACAAGATGGACGTCGGCTCCGGCTTGCTCATCGGATTCCGAGGCCGCTCCGGTAACATCATTGACAGTGTACAGCCTCTCTTTCTTAAGAAGGTTGCGAAGCAGTACATCGACAACGTGTCATATCCCACTCTCGACTTGAACAACACTGGTTTCCTCCAGATGGATTATCTGGATAGGGCGAGATCCATGTGGAATGGCGCGCCATACCAGGTCAAGATCATTGGGGAGGTCACCAAGAAAGAAGAGACCACGTGGAGCAACAAAAATTCGTTTGGGGCCTCGGTTGCGCTGGAGTTCGAAGCAGGGCTCCCAGCGTTGTTTAGTGCGAAGACATCATATACACTGCAGTACGGCCATGAGCATACCTGGGGAGCGACGACGTCAAATGAGAAGAAACTTCGGTGGGAAGCTGCAAAGGAGATGACCTCCGAGGAGGATCAGTTCGAGTGAGTATATGGACGTCCAATTCCCACGCCGTTGGAGTTGTACTAACACCTTTGCGGATTGGTCGCAACTTACAAGTCCGGCAAGATGGATCTCGAATACGAGGGCACCTACAACGTGCTGACAGAGGACGGTCGCAAGTTCTCGTTCCCCACCAAAGGAACGGTCAAGCATGTGGTCGTCTCCGAGTCCCAGATCGAGGTTCGGTACTTTGGAGAAAGCCAGGACGGTGTCACGAGAAGCCTTGAAGAAGACCGGGCGCTTGAAGAAGCAGCATATGAACTTCCCGAAGCCGAGGAGCCAACTCAAGAGGATGAAGTCAACGACGAGAACACTACGGATCCGGAGGGGGTTGCAGAAGAGGGGGTTGTCCAGGACTATGATGATGCGGTCGATGAGGAGACCATGGCTCAAGCCGGGGAGGATGAGGAAGCGACTGCCAACGAGGATGGCTATGTCGAGCCCGGCTACGAGGAGAACACAGCGGCCGAGTACGACACCCGCGAGGAGGAACCGGCGGAAGAGGTCGCCTACGAGGACACTGCCGAGGAGGAGACCCAAGACATCGAGAACGTGGAAGAGGAGGAAGCAGCTGAACCTGACTACGCGGCAGAGACTGACAACCAGGGCGACGAGGAAGCTTACAATGACAATGCTGGCACCACATACGACAACCAGGAAAGCCAAGAGGCGGAGGACGTAGAAGAGCAAGACGCAGCTGAACCCGACAACCAGAGCGATGAGACAGCTTACAACGACAATACCGAGGAGGAGGTTTCAGAACCATACTATCAGGAAGAGCCTGAGCCGGAAGCCGTCGCAGAGGAAAATGAGACTTCCCAGCCGCAGGGTTACGGGGCCGACGCGGAGCCTCAAGAGGATGCTTATGAGACAAGCAATGCGGAGAATGATGCCGAGGTATCGTGGCGTGGGAACGGCGACGCTTACTAGTGCCCTCGACATCCCGGTGCCGAAGATAGCGGAGACAAGCCGTTCTCAGGCTGAGGCCGAACCTGCGATGGTGGAGGAGGGTGTGATCTAGGAGTTTACATTTTATCTTTCTTTGACATGCCTTATAATTAGAGATCTGAATGGACATGGGCAAATTGAGTTATTTAGCTGGAACATTAGGAATAGGAAATACTATATTTACTGAGTTGCGTCTTAGAAAGCGGCAGACTCGGCAGTTTGACCCGTGACTCTGAAGTCCAGATCAGTTTAGTTCAGCCCCTTCAACGGAGCTGCCCGCCGCTGTGCACTAACTTGTCGACAAATTAGTGTCTGGTCTTGGACTAGGTATTCACTAATTAAGAGAAGAAAGGGTAGGGAAGCAAAGGAAAATCCTCTAGTAGTAAGCTCCGATGAGCTCCTGCATGCCCTTAACAGTGAACAATAAGAGGTTAGAACAACTCGATCTCCTCATTATTCCCAACTGCCGAATACTTAGTCGCATGTCATAATCTCGATCTGCTCCGTCAACACGCGCCATGGGCTATCTGGGATGCTGAAGTTCCCGTTCCGCCGGTCATGATACAACGTAAAGTCTTGTGTCACAAACGCAACGGAACCTGACAATGATTCCCATGACCAGGACGGGGCAATATCCTTCATGCGGACGGCTTGGTCCTGAGCCGGGCTCCGCCATAGAAGCAGCCTCACCAGCCATGGCACCCGTACACCTGCGACATAGGAACCGAGACACCATGCGGAAAACGTCGAGGCGACAGCCGAGAGCGCCGGCAGCTTATCACCAGAAAAGCTAAGGGCTCGCGACGAACACTCCTCAACGATCTGCTCCCACTCCCTTTCCCAGTCGTCCTCTTTTAGAGCGGGTTGCGCCGCCGAGCCCAGAAGCTATTGCCTAGTCTTCCACAGCCAGCCCGATGAGAGACGGCCCGCAGATGCTTCTTCGACATTGTCCGGCACCCGCCGCTCTAAGCACTGCCGGTAGACACCGAGTGTTCCGTACACCAACATACGGCTGGACGGCGTGCTCTTCTGAAAGGTCCATCCGCGCCGCACGATGGGGTCGCGGGACTCGGTATTGGAGAACTTGAGTAACCCGACAATGCCAATATCGTCGGGCCGTCACCGCAGCAAAACAGCAAGTAGGGAACAGCATCGCCCGCGTCGTCCGCGGCGAGAATACACGCCCGCTCGTGGAGGAACCCCTCGGCTTCATCAGGGGCGAGGGCGGCGGTGATAGTGACGTCGGCGTCGCGGTAAATGGCCGCCATGCGAGCCGTCTCGCTTGCCTTTTCGTCCTCGTCGTCCTGCACGACGAAGAGGGCATCGACCCGGAGGTATCCGATGTCGATACGGCGGACGCATTCAATGGCATCCTGAACGGTCTTGCTCTTGTGACGGTTAATATTACCCCATCTGCTGACAATGCTGTCGACGGGAGCCACGGGGGGTACGGAGGCCTGGCCCCCAGCAATGGCGCCGCAGGCGACAGTGCCGCAGGCAAAACACCAAGAAGTTGGACATCTGCATCACGAACTATGGCTGGAGCAGTCAAGGGCTATTTTATATATGGCGTTGAAGACCTTCAACCTCCTTTGCTTCCCTGTTCCTGCCCTAGTTGTATTGCAAATTGGCTTCTAATGTGAAAATGCATTTTTGAGCATTTCTGGTCATATTGAATCGTTTGGACAAATACTATGCGGCAGCTCGAGTTGATGGGATAAAGTGCCTTGCCTCCTGCGGCCCACCCTGTCTCGCGCGACCGACGGAGCAGGGTGAGCCAACTGCGCGAGAGTGAACTCTTCTGGCGGAAAGAGGCTAAGCATTGTGCATTCTGCCAAGCGATCTATGAGTGCCGGCCGGGATGTACTAATGAGCCCATCCGATATTACAACTTCCGTGTCATCGGCGGCCACAGCCACTGGAAGAACGCGCACCCCAGCTGCTCTCCATCTCTATGGACGGAGAGAATAGATCCACGAATGCCCTCTCAACTCGCACATCATTGTCGTCAGCGTCCCAGAGTCTTCTTTCTACCCGGCTCCGGCTCAATGATTAGGAAGGCAGAGTCCAGGCATACCGTCGTATTCCGGTGACGTTGGCAGATATTGACATGGCCGACCACAACGGTCTGGCACAAAGCTTGGCATGGGATTGGAGTGATGTGCGGACCCTGTCCATGAAAATAGCATCCTGCCGTCAAGCTTGAAGCCCAAGCGGCTCTTCATGTGGCGCATCGTGTGGTGGCCGTGGAACCAGCCGCCCGGCACATGAGACTCGCTTGGCCTCCGCGCCAATGTTCCACCAATAACCAATCCCCGGTCTCAGCATAGACAGCTCATTGGGGCGCATGACTTGACAACCGTGTAGAATAAGGTGTTTGTGGGGAAGAGAGTTGTAGAACCTGATATTATAGGGATCTGGCAAAAGGGGGATGATCACCCTTTAACCGTCCCGACGCGGGCGCGGCTAAAGATGACAAAAATGCCCGACAAGGAGCCAATGCACCTCAGCCGCGGGGCCCCGCCTCCACGTACCGAGAGCTTACCGGATTGGGGGGTGGTTCGAGATTCCGGGTCGTGATGTAAGAGGAAGGGAGCGGCGGGATCCCCAGGAACGAAACATAGTGCAGGGGTCCGACAGGGAAACAAACAAGGAATCTATTCGCCGCCCGCCGCGGGGAGGGTTCTGGAAAATCGGGACGGGCGGGAAGGTTCGCAGAGTGACGATGACCGGGAACGCGTGTGGGTGTCGGCGAGATATAAAGGGTGATCCCCCTTCGCCGTTCCCAGGTGTTCGGTCCATGTCTGGGCAGCAGCACACGGAACCAAACAAGCACACCTTAGCGTCTCCAACTCCAACGTCATCATCATGAAGGCCGGTCTCCTCCTCTTGGCGCCGCTCGCCGCCTCGGCAGCGCCCGCCCTCGACACCCGCCAGGCGGCCGAGAGCATCGACGCTCTGATCAAGGCCAAGGGCAAGCTCTATTACGGCACCTGCGCCGACCAGGGCCGTCTCGGCCAGGGCGAGAACGCCGCCATCATCGAGGCCAACTTCGGTCAGGTGACGCCCGAGAACAGCATGAAGTGGCAGTCCCTCAACCCTAGCCAGGGCACCTACAACTGGGGCCAGGCCGACTACCTCGTCGACTGGGCCACCGAGCGCAACATCACCATCCGTGGCCACACCTTTGTCTGGCACTCGCAGCTCGCCGGCTGGGTCAACAACATCCGCGACAAGGCCACCCTGACCACGGTGATTCAGGAGCACATCACCACCGTCATGGACCGGTACAAGGGCAAGATCTACGGCTACGTATGTTTTGTCGTTGATGCGACCATCCCGGACTTGAGCTGACTGAGAAACCCCAGGACGTCATCAACGAGATGTTCAACGAGGACGGCTCGCTCCGCAGCAGCGTCTTCTCCAACGTGCTTGGCGAGGACTTTGTCGACATCGCCTTCAAGGCGGCGCGTGCGGCCGACCCGGACGCCAAGCTGTACATCAACGACTACAACCTGGACAGCCCGACCGCGGCCAAGGTGACGACCGGCATGGTCGACCACGTCAAGAAGTGGATGGCCGCCGGCACCCCCATCGACGGCATCGGCACCCAGGGCCACCTGCAGTCCGGCATGGGCAACGGCCTGGCCGGCGCCATCAAGACGCTCGCCGCCGCCGGCGTCGCTGAGGTCGCCGTCACCGAGCTCGACATCCAGAACCAGAACGACAACGACTACACCGCCGTCACCCAGGGCTGCCTGGACGAGCCCAAGTGCGTCGGTATCACCGTCTGGGGTGTCCGTGACCCTGTGAGTTGGCTCTCTCTCTTTAGCCCACCCCCTTTTCGATATCGGAAAAAGAACCCGGGAAATGGACTGCTAACCATGTGACATCACAGGACTCGTGGCGTCCCCAGGGCAACCCCCTGCTCTTCGACAGCAGCTACCAACCCAAGTCCAACTACAACGCCATCGTCGCCCTTCTCTCGCAGTAAATCTGAGATTGTTGGTGAGGCGAACCCGCCGGGCTGCTTCGTTGGAGGAATACGTAGTGAAAATATTGCAGGGGATTAGCGCCGAATAAGACTTGCAATATCAAAACATTTCATTCCACCGTGTGCGGAATCTCTTGTCAACCGTCCAGGCTTTTCGGTTATGGCTTGAAGGACGTGGTGTACATACTTGTGTGCTGAAAATGGGAAAACGCCAACAGAAAACTGCGAAAAGGTTCGAGGCACTGCTTGCCGTTTGAGAATTCGGGGATGGCATCCAGTGAAGCTGTCATGGGTGGCACATTGTCAACAAATGAGTCCTACCGAGCCCTAAAAGACAACCTCATTCTAGACGCCATAACTCCGCCGAGGCGAACAGCCGTCATAAGCCTCGCGGAAGCTGTTCGAATAAACATCTCCCACACGAGCAACACCGCTCCTGACTTGCCGGCACATGAGTGCCATTAGGACGAAACACAAAAACGCAGCATCGCCATCGAGGTATTCTTCGAATACAGAGCTTCTATCAATTTCAGGTTCAGGGGTCATGTAGTACCCGGTGCCGATGACAGCAGCATGCGAGGATGTTACAACATCTCGCCAGACAAACCTCTTACATTCCAGCCAGTCTAGATGGCAAGCATTGTCCCCAAAGCCACCCCCAAGAGTCACCACTACCCCTACAACCCCCCTTCCCCTCCACACACAATCATTTACTCCACCACCCCATCCCACCCCAACCGCGCCATATCCCCATTCCCCTCCCACCACCCCCCATCCTCAACCACCCCATCCCCCCCAACCGTCCAAACCCCCTCCTCCACCAACCCCGCCCAATGCCCCAACACCTCAGCCAACCTCGGCAGCCGATCCGGCCCCCACGGACACCGCCCGTCAAACACCGTCCCCACATCCGTCCGCCCCGACGGACACACCAGCTGCACCAGGTCCCCGTCGCGCTCGTTCGCCCACGAGGTATGCAGCCCCGCGTGCCGGTTGACGGTGGCCTTGCCGAAGCCGTGGGGCTTGTCGAAGGTGTTGATGTCGGGGTCGGGGTGCCGGGCGAGGGTCGCGGGGTCGGGGACTTGGATTGGTGTTGGTGTGCCTCCGCCGTCGGGGGTGGTGGTGACGCAGGGGAGGAGGAGGGTGATCCAGTCGTGGCCTTCGGAGGAGGATTCGAAGGTGCGGCGGAATGTGGTGTTGGGTTCGGCGGCGTATGTTTCGTGGAGGCTGGCTAGGGAGGGGAAGGTGCTGATGCCGGGGGCGACGAAGGTCCAGCCTTGGGGGCGGCGGGCGTGGGTGAGGAAGTGCTGGGCGAAGGTGCTGATGTGGAGGTCTTGGAGGGTTTCGGGGGGGAAGGGGGGTGCTCGGTCTTTTGGTGTTGGGGGGGCTTGTTCGTTTGATGGGGTTGGTGGGGAGGGGAGGCGGGATTCGATGGCGCTTAGGAGACGCTCCCACTCGAAGATGGCTTCTGCGACTTGCCGGTTGGGGAAAGGTATGGTGGTGGTAGTGCCGGTGGTGGTGGGAGGGACGGGGACCCATTTTTGGACCTTGAGCCCGTCTTCAGCGGTGGGATCGTGGACATAGCGGCCGGATTCCCAGCGCGATAATTCCAGTTTGAGGAGGGAGTCGAGTGGGAGCCATTGGTCCGAGGGAGGGAGCCTTCCGGGAAGCGGGGGGTCGCTAAGCCAGATGCCGCGGAGGTCGTAAATGTCTACGAAGAGACCACCGTCGTCGGCAGATTCGGCATCGGAGGGGAGACGCTGGGGGTACAGGAGGACAAAGGGGGGGTCGGCCTCAATGAGTTCGTTGCTATACAGAGGTGGGAATAAACAATGTGGCATTGGCTGGTAGAGGAGGGGGCTTAAAGGGGTCCCATCAAGCATCTGGGGAGGCGTAGTAATTTTCAGCTGAGAGAGGAGACTGGCGAGGGGCGAAAGGGGATCGAGAGAAGGTGGGATATATGGGTCGTAGGTGTCGAAGGGGCCATCGGCGCGAAATGATTCATAGCGTTGGAGGAGGTCGTTTGAAGTTTCTGGCGGTGGGGATCCCGCGGGGCGCGATTTGATGAGGAGGGTATTGTGGAGGTCGGCGCAGAGGGTGATGTACTCGTCAAGAGACATGACCGGTTGCTCGGGTTCGGGGGAGGGTGACATGATGAGGCCGAGGGAATCGTAATGGTAGTTGCTAATATAGAGTGACGCGATGAGCACAAAAAGACCAAGTGCTACGTTGGGGGATAGTCTCAGCATCGCCGTGTTTCACGTCGTCAGGTTCAGGCAAGGAGTCAAGAATCAATTCAGCCATCCAAGGGCGAGTTAATTACACCCCTGCCATGTTTCTAAACTAGTACCTTTCCGGTAGGGGAAATTGGTCCCGACACGAGGGAGGTACCTCGGTACCTGCGGTAGGTGATCTTGTTATAGACACTGAAGACCTCACCGTGCCGAAGGAACTAGCAACAGTCGTCGAATGGGCTACATTTGATCCACTGTTACACACCCTCCTATACAAGGAATCAACAATTTTGGGCGCCGAACCTTCTCGTCTCGTTTGTGTACATATCAGCAAAGCCACCCCATGTTGCATCTTTTCCAACCCCTTACGCACAACCATTGAACCAACGGCCCCAGCATCAACACAAACCCCCCACCTACACAAAGGCTATAGCTACCAACCCCGCCGCCTTAAGACTCAACGCCGTCCCCTCTCAGCCGCCACTTCCCCCGCCCCAGCCGGCACCCTCTCCTCCGCCCCCGGCGCCTCCCCCTTCACACCACGCTCGACCCCCTCAGGCAAATCCGCCCCCAGCGCCCGCACCCGTCCCTCCACCGTATCCTCCGCCCTACTCACCGTCGCACCGACCCCCTCCAAACCACTGCGCTCCCCCTTCCTCTTCCCCACGGCATGCGCACCGTGCATCTCGCTCCGCGTCTGCCCCTCCATGGGCCGCGCCAACGTCGACGCGCTGTGCACGTCGCTACTAGTGGCGCCCGGCATGTCGAGGGGGGCCGTGCGGCCCTCGGCCTCGGGGCGCGCCGCGTCCGGGTTGAGGGCCTGGCCGGGGGTCTCGTGGATCGGGTTGGGCTGGTGGGTGTGCTGGGCGGGCGCGCTGCCGGGCGTGTGTGTCTCGGCGCGGAATTCGGGGATGGCCTCGTTGCCGACTTGTTGGCCGAGTTGGTGCTGTATGTAGGAAAGGGGGTGTGAGTGAATGTGGGTGGGTGAGTTGGGGTTGGGGGTGGTTGGTTTTCAATGACTTACGCCGGAGGTCGTCATCGGTTTTGCGGGAGGGACGCGGGAATGGAACTCTGGACGGGAAAGTCAGTTGCTTGCATTGTTGGTCCGGGAAGACCCGTCAATGTAGGGATGTGTGTACGTACGGTCCTGGTTGGCTACGGAATCCGGGTTGGCAGACATGTTGATTCGATATTGTTAATATTACTTGATAGGTATGTGATGGGAAGATTGTTGGGGAAAATGGTCGTTAGGTACCCAGGTATGTACCTACCTACTTATTCTGAGGGGTGCTCTGGTTTACAATATATTGTTAAAGTTGTCGATGATGTCAACTTGGTCGCCTCGCATCTGCCCGTTGCGTCATCCACCCCGATATAATATGCGCCGTGGGACTAGGGAGCCACTACTTCCGCGGGAATTGGCAAATCCTGAGACCTGAAAGATTGGAGCATATCTGGTAATGCATATCGTTTGCCCATCTTGTTGCGGCGACAACATACCTCATCAGCGGCATGATGTAATCAGGCGGCTGATCTGCTATGCAATCAGATTCCGGGCGGTTGGTCCCATTCGAACGATGCAAAAAGAAAACTGGAGGGGGAGGAAGTAGTTGCTGAACATCATGCGAGGAGTGAAACGTTTTTTGATACGAAGAGGTGTTCTCATTGGGTTAAGAATTCGGTGTCGACTTCGTGTTCTAATTCAGGCTCGTATTGTAGCGTGTAATACAACACGATCAAGGAACTGCTCTCTGGATCATCAACCGCTAGGAAGGGACCTCGCGTGTCAGGTACGTCTTGGAGCGTTTTGCTATGGTGGTTCGTTACATGTAGCAGCACGAATATCAACAACCCCGAGTCCTCTGGAATAGCGTTCATCAACGTCGTACTCAACCCTACGAATACTTTCGTCGCTTAAAAGGTAATTAGCGGTGGATAGGTAGGTACACGGATGAGACATATCCCCCCCTCTGATGTCTTCTCAATCTTGCCGACTCTTCCTCGCCGCTAATCGAGTGAGTCTCTTGCAGCATGCATGATAGCGGCGTCGGGGGGGTTCACATGCCCGACAGATTACTTGACCTTATTCGCTGCGACACCATGCATCTTTCAGCTGGACGCCAAGAGGCACAGCCACCAGACTATGGCCAATCGAACAGAAACGGGGAATGCGAGGGGGGGCCGAAACACTCATGCACGATTTGTCATCTAGTTTGAAGCGGGGTGGTCAAGATGTAGGCGGCTTGCCATTTCGGCCTTGGTGTTGCGACCCAATTTGATACCAAAAGTGACTGTTCACATTCGACGGCGGCACGACGCAGCATTCCAACTCCGTAACCAAAGATGAGGCGGACCAAGGGGCTGATGAAGCGGCTCCTGCCAATGCGGAAAGCTGAATCGGGAGACGAAGATGACGGAGAGCTGCCGAAGCGTTTGCTCAAAGAGGCTTTCCCTACTGGCATCAAAGCGTTTTGCAGCCCCGAAGGTAGCACTGTGGAGTACGCATCCTCCTCCCTCAATAAATGGGAAAACGCCAGCTAATGTGTCTCGTCCAGTGTCATCTTCGTCCACGGCCTGACTGGCAGTCGTATCAACACATGGACCGCCCGAGACGAGACCGAACCGTGGCCGCAAACCCTCCTCCCGTCCGTACTTACGACAGCCCGGATCCTGACGTTTGGTTATGACGCATCTGTGACCGACTGGCGGGGGATGGTGTCGCAGAATCGGATCGCAAACCACGCGTGGAATCTGCTGACTTCCCTTGCAACATATCGAGAGAACGATGACACAGTAGGCAACTTACCGACCAACCTTGGGATGTTGGGAGGGTGCTAATACGCGTAGAACGAACGACCCATCATTTTTGTTTGCCATAGCCTGGGGGGCCTGGTCTGCGAAGACGTATGTTCCTGGTTGGTAATGAAGGACGGGAGGTTGTGCTAATTCATGTGACAGACCTTGGTCACGTCAAGACAACGATCGGAGCCGCATCTCCAGAATATCCTCAATTCAACGCGCGGTATCATTTTTATGGGAACGCCGCACCATGGAGCTGGCCTTGCGAAATGGGCCGAGCGCCTCTCCCGATCCATCGGTCTTGTCAAGCAGACGAATTCCGAAATCGTGGAAGTACTCAGGCGTGATTCCGAGGTCCTTGCGCGGATCCAGGACAGCTTTCACACCATGGTGATGGCGCGCGGTAAGGAAGGACTGCCGCCAATCGAGATCAGCTGCTTCTACGAGGAATTGCCTCTGCCCGGAGTTGGTTTAGTAAGTCACTATCAGGCAAGGTCGGGCTCGTGACGCTCGCTCCAAGATACTGATCCGGCGACAGGTTGTGCCAAAAGAATCGGCGATTTTGCCCGGGTACATCCCCATCGGAATTCACAACAACCATAGGGACATGGCCAGGTTCATCAGCGCAGAGGACCCGGGATTTTTGGCTGTCTGTGGAGAGTTGCGGCGGTGGATTAGAGATATGGGCGCGGTAGAGAGACGCCATGCTGGCAAGTCCGTGAAGTCACCGCTCTTGACCAACTCGGATATCGGCGAACAGCCTGGTGCAACCCACCAGTCTGGAGACGGAAATCGTATGTTCAACAATTTCGGGGGCTCGCAGAAATATATCCAGGGCGATAATTACGAGTCTGGCGGAGGGGTTATGAATATTGGTATGGGCACCTCAGGACATAAGCTGCCAGGCGGGACCCTGACGTCTGGGAATGTATAGGCACGCATCAACACTTTCATGCAGCAGAGGGTTAGTCTCTTATACACTGGATCACGTTCGCGTCCAAGTTCTAACCCTATCCCACGGAATTAGCCAAGGTTCCCAAAGCCCATCGCATAATCCCCTTCCCCCGCAACGAGAATGTGGTTAATCGTGACCACATCTTTACCCGACTCGACGCCCTCTTGCCGCCGACGACGTCCGAATACCACAGCGCCGCCCTCTACGGCCTCGGTGGTTCCGGGTAAGCTGTTAATGCCCCGGCGACCTGGCAATACTGTGTTTCTATTAAATTAGAGACTAACGGCCGCAGGAAAACCCAAGTGGCGCTCGAATACGCCTATCGCCGGGGCCGCGAGGACCCGACATGCTCCATCTTCTGGGTGCACGCTGACAACGAGACGACGTTCGCGCAGGACTACAAGAAAATTGCAGCGAAGCTGGGCCTTGACAACCTCGATGGCCAAAAGCTTCTCACAGCCGTGTGCGAGCGGATCGAGAGCGGGCCGCCATGGCTACTTGTGCTCGACAACACCGATGACCTGGCACTGTTCGGCGTCGGCCGGAAATGTCACAAGACATCGTCTAAACAGAAAGAGGCATCGACGGCGGGCTTGTATGATTACGTCCCAAAAGCTGGTAGGGGGACGGTGCTCTGGACAAGCCGTGATGAGCTGATCGTCGGTACTCTGGTTGGACCGCAGCGAGGGATCCAGGTCGGCCAGATGAGCCCCGACGAGGCGAGAGGATTGCTGGAAACGTCGAGAAATAGAGAGATCGGCAGCGATGAGGTTGCCGACGCCGAGAAACTACTCGAAGAGCTTCAGTGGCTTCCGCTGGCCATCTCGCAAGCCGGAGCCTACTTGCGGAGGACGTCGACGTTGTTAGGAGAGTACTTGTCCAACTTGACAGAGCGGAAGCAGCGGTGGCGGGTTCTCAGAGAGACGGAATTTGACCGGCATCGACGCCACGTACCCAACAGCGTTTTGGAGACGTGGAGCATATCGATCGAACGCATCCGACGGGATGACGAGATGGCGTACAGGATCCTGCACACCATTGCGTACGTCAACAACCAGGACATTCCGTTCGAGATAATGAAGGCAGCCGGTCTGTACGACGGCAACGCAGAGGAGGCAGAAGATCGGGGGAACGAGGATCGGGTACTGGCAGCCGTCACTCGACTAAAGGAGTTCTCGTTCCTTGGGATGCGCAGGGAAGGGAGGGATAGTCGAAGCTACGACATGCATAAGCTTGTGCAGGAGGCTACGCGTTATGGACTCAGCGTCAGGAGGGACTCGGACGACGAAACGTATTCCTCAAATGCGGCACTACGGATTATAGCGAAGCTCTTTCCCACTGTTTTGAGGGATTCCAAAGACAACGAAGCATATTTCTCGAACGCGGCGCTGCAGATCATGGTGAAGCTCTTCCCTCAACCCAAGCCAGAAACATGGGCAGAATGCGAAAGGTACATTGCACATGCGATACAAGTGGGCGAGTGGGCCGAGATCTGTAACAGGAAGGTCGAAGTTTCGTATTTCTTGGTTCGAGCTGCGGCCTACCTGGACGACTGTGGTAGATGGAAGGAGGAGGAGTTGGTGGATGAGAGGGTATACGAACTACGACAGGACGTTCTCGGGGAGAGGCATCGCGATACTCTCAAATCGATGCTGAATATGGCCGCGACATACGCTCGGCAGGGTCGGTATGCTGAGGCTGAGCGGATCGAGATGAAGGTGTTGGCGGTACGCCGAGAGGTTCTCGGGGAAAGGCATCTGGATACTGTCGACTCGATGCAGAACCTGGCCGCGACGTACTTTAAGCAGGGTCGGTATGCTGAGGCTGAGCCGATAGAGATGAAGGTGTTGGCGCTACGCCGGGAGGCTCTGGGCGAGAGGCATCCGGATACTCTCGCCGCGATGCTGAACTCGGCCGCGACGTACTCTACGCAGGGTCGGTATACTAAGGCTGTGCCGATAGAGGAGAAGGTGCTGGCGCTACGCCGAGAGGTTCTCGGGGAGAGGCATTTGAGTACTCTCGACGCGATGGAGAATGTTGCCATAACATACACTCGGCAGGGTCGGTATACCGAGGCCGAGCTAATACAGGCGCAAGTTTTTGCGCTACGCCAGGAGGTTCTCGGAGAGCGGCACGCATATACACTCACGGCGATGCAGAATCTTGCTCTAATATATACTGACCAGGGTCGGTATACTGAGGCTGAGTCGATAGAGATCAAAGTGTTGGCACTACGGCGGGAGGTTATCGGAGAGAGCCATCCAGATACTCTCACAGCAATGCATAACCTTGCTATTACCTGGAACAGTACAGGCCGACACGACGACGCTATTTCCCTCATGGACGAATGCCTACAACTGAGGCGTGTAGTTTTCGGGCTGGAACACTCATTCACAAAAGAGTCAGATCGAGTTCTCAACGACTGGAAGGCCGAGCAGGCTACCTAGGTAGCTAGAAGAGTTCTCATAACATTGATGTTCTCGTTGACATCATAGAGGCCTTGGGAATCGGGGTTCGTTATTCTTTGTCTAGGGCGATGTTTTATTTTATTACTGTAGGTACCTAGCCAAAGTCAAGCACTTTCGACATAACTTCAATTCTTTCTCATTCTCGTTTCAAGTTGTCCATAGGGCGGTGGAGCAGTCAGCACATATGTAGGTACGTACATACGGTGGTTGGAGGTGAGACACATCGAAATGATGAGATGTTGATTCTCCACTATGTTCTACGCAATGTCCATCCTGCAAGACTAGTCCTCGGGTTGATGGATGGCGGGCAATGGGGCGCTGGCACATCGGGTCCGATTTGCTCACTGGTGTAAAGCCGGAGGGGTACATACGTACACACCTGCCGCAGGTTCACAGGCGCCGAGTTAACGAGTTGACCGATAGAAAAGCCACCAGGTCTATACATGTACTCAGCACTTCGTTGGTTCCCGGCCATTTGTGAATTAATTTCCACTATACATATCCAGGGTATTAATGACTAAAATTAGTATTGTTCGTGTCCGCACTCAGGGTATGGTCAGTTTATCTACCTAACCCCTTCAAAGTCGTAACTCGGTGGAATATCAGTTGTCCTCGTTGTCGAATTTGACGTAACACCCTTTTGCGCAAAATTAGATGGGGCGTGCGCTTTGCAACTGACTCCGTCGGGGCCGGAAGCCGTCAACTAGGTACCTAGGTATTACCCGCGGCCACGCCCGCTCATCTTACTGCCGACCGGCGACAACGACGCTGCATAACGCCATCCCCTCCCCGCTCACAAGCAAATCCGCTGCATATAAACCAAAATGGCAAACACATCCAAAAACCACCCCCTTCACGCATCTTCTACCACCCATCTCAAGCAGCCTCCGAGATAATCCCCTCCTTCACAGCATGCCACACAGCCGGATAGACCGCACGGGCATAGTTGCTCCGGCGGGCGAGCACGTAATCGAGCGAGATATCACCGTGCCAGTCGTCATCAAAGGCGTGCAACACATACGTCGACGAGAAGTCCATCTCCCAGGGCTCGAGGCGTGCACCGGGCTGCTCACGCTCGCGCAGCCAGGCCAGCGCGTCGGCGCACGTGTTGCCCAGCTCCTTGGGCAGCTGCACGTCGCCACCAGCGCCGTTCCCGTGGCTCCCGGCCGGATGGGCTTCGAACAGGCGCAGCTGGTCCTCGGCCTCCCACGAGGTGGGCGCGAAGGCGCGCGGGTGGACGATCAGCACCTCGCCGGGCAGGGCGTGCAGGCGGTAGGCGAGGTCGGTGAGGATGTCGACGCTGACGGCCCACACGCCGTTGTAGAAGGCGTCCATGGCCTCGGCGAAGACCTCGGCGAGCGCCGAGTGCGGCCGCGACAGCCACACCCCCGTGTTGACGAAGCCCGTGTACTGGGTGTGCAGCGCCACGGCGCCGCCCACCACGTTGGCGAAGCCCGCGTTGCGCAGTGGTGCGATGTCGCGGAGGGGCACTGCGTCCACGTCCAGGTAGATGCCGCCGTGCTCGCGCAGCGCCCACGCGCGGATGAAGTCGGACTTGGCCCCGAACGTGTCGATCGCTTGCCCCTGCGAGGTCGTCTGCGGGTTCTCGATGAACTTGGCCGTCACCCCCGGAATGTTCAGCACGCGCTTTGTCCAGACGTCGCCCGAGGTTCTGGCGCGCTCCCAGAGGTCGGGTGATACGTCGGTGTGGAAGTAGATGCGGTCGGGGTGGAAGAAGAGGTGGGCCGAGTAGACGCTGACGAAGACCTTGAAGTTGAGCGAGAAGACGGCAGGGTCGGCGAGCAGCCAGATGTAGTGTACGAGGTTCGGGATCGGGGCATTAGCGGCGTCGTTCGTGGCCGGTGAGTTTGGGTTGGGCGGCGGGATGTTGTCGCAGGCTTTGGCTAGGGGCGTTACGGGGAAAGCCTGCAGCGTTGGGAGACGCGATCGCCACGGTACCATGGACGATACATCGAACCATGTGTAGAGAACTACGGCGGCGGTTATGGCGACTACGGCAATGGGCGCATACCGGCGCCAGCCGGCGCGATTGAAGGCGGCGCCCAGCGAACGCATCGTGGTTTTGGGAAAAGAGGGAGGAGGGCAGCTGTTGAACGATGGCTTTTGCATGGCTGCCGTCCTGCGCGGGTGGATTAATTCTGACGCCCCAGATTTCAAGGAACCCCCCTGCTTGCATGATTGATTATGTCATCCAAGGATTTCAGTTGCTGTTAGACTCGATGGATGATCGTCAATCCCTCTTGCAGTCCCCCTTTCGCCCTTGATAAATTTGTGGATTTTTGGGGTGGATTTGCAGATATTTTCGAAAACTGTTCAAATAACTTTCGTTATCACTTCTGTAATCTGTATCAGTACATGGTTCATTTCCCAGTCCGACGCCCTGGCCGTCAAATTTCACTCCCACTTTGCAGAAATCCACCCTCAACACGCTTCACCAAAGAGTCCGACAAGACTCCGAACTGCCCAACTTCCCACGATTCCGCCTCGATCAGTTCCGATTATCATCCTCCATCTCCGGGTAGTCAAGAGCAATCTCCTTGCACCGTCTAGGGTATTGTCGATAATCCAGCACCTCCCGTTCCCATCTGTCGCGGTAGACATGGAACATGAATACCGCGTCCTCGTGATTCACGCGAACCCGGTTCCTCGAATCGCCTACGATGGGCAAGAGGCTACTCTGCTGGTTTGACGTGTGGGCGAAAAAGGCAGATAGATTCTGTTTTTGCTCTTCCGTGAGAGCGTAGATTCGATCTGTCACATTCTTCCGATCCGAGTGGAAAAAGACCTCGCGGCACTGTTAGAGACAGTGTCAGTTTCGGCATCATGGTATTCGGCATGTATATCGCGGGGGCCACTCACTTGATTTCCAGATTCTCCCCTGTCAAAAAGAACAACACCACCGAGAATCCGGTTTTCGGCCCAGTAGCCAACCATATCCGCCACGCCGTCAGGGTACTGTGGGTATGCTCTGAAATGGCAATGAACGAAAAGGGTCGGGTAAGGCTTTGGATCAGGCGAGTAGTCTGGCCCAATGTATCGATTGGGCGGCTTCCAAGACTTCCACTCGTCGTGTTGTTTCAAGTCTCCTAGCTTGTGCAGCATGACCGCGAGCTGATGTACCGCAACCGCAACCATCTCAATCAACCGCAGCTGAAAGGCTCGGGAGCCGACTGACTCTGCGCTATACGCATGTAAGAGCTGAATGACAGTATTGATGTTGTTAGTGGTCTGTATCCAACGTATCCCATATAATGACGGGCCAGGGGTCAAGTCAATAGGTCGGCTTACACGCTCGTCCATGGACAAGACGTCGATATCAAAGGAAGCATGGAACTCTTCCATCTTCTCCCAAGCTCCGGGGCAGAGCTGGTCATGGTTGCTCTTGAAAACAGGATGCTCATAGTCAATATCATACCAGCGCTTGTCTTGGGCAACGCTCGCAATCGGAAACCCGTCGATGATCTGTGCATATGTCGTTCGAGCTGTTTCAGTCGAGAGCACGTTTCGTACCGCGTGTTCAAACACATCGTGGTGGCGCTCTGGGAGACCAGACACGGGGACTTTTATGACTGAACGAGCCTCAGTCATCAACTCCGCAACCTGAGCCAATTTCCAGTCTGTGGCGTTGGGGTCGTCCATCGCGATGGAGAGGGGCGAGAAACCAAGATACTCGTACGGCGCCCTAAATATGACCGAAATAACCTATCGTCGTCGATGTGAGAGAAGCGAAACTCGCGGGAAGATTAGTCCCTAACAAAAGAAGTGGCAGTGCGCGAACGAGCGGTCGAGAACCCCCCCGCCTCTTAACCGATGCTCTGAGTACAACGCGCCTTGCCGTTCAATAACGTAAGGTTATTGGTTGAGGCCGGAATCACTCGGGCCGCCATTCCACGACCCGGACCAACACCCATCATTCATGGAATGGTGTGGTGGGAGGGGAGCGCGCCACCAACAAGCCTACAAAGCGGGCCACCACCCTGCTAAGTATTGTAGGTTTTTGACACTGCCGAGGATATAGAAACGGCTCCAAACCGGCTTGGAACGATGTTGGTGGCGGCCCTGGCCATGGTTTCACCATATGCAGACGCCATACCAACCGCATGATAGGGCGTTATGTTGGACCCAGATCGTGGCGCGGGGCACCAACCGGGCTTTCAACCAACATGGGCAGCCAGGTACACGTACCTACGGTACCGGATTGGTACTCGAAAGCGGAAGGTAATAGCTGCGGTTTGGAGGCGGCTCTTGACCACAACCTTCGTCAGACCAAAGTACCGGACACTCATGATGTTTGTTGGGGGTAGCAGGTAACTGTTACGCTACTGTTAACACGGTACTTGTGATAGAAAGGCAATTAAACGCCCCCCCGGTGTACCTAGGTACAGTGCTTCTGTTAATGTTGAAGGCAAAGCGCGTAGATGTACCAACACAAGGAACCCGGGCATGTCAAAGCAAATATTGGTTTTCAGCCACGCGGTTGTGGCTCTATATGCGCCCCTGCTGCGGCCTTTCCCCTTAGGTAGGTCAACTGTTTCACACCTGCCCGACCAGCGCGGCGTAGGGGTTAATTTTGTTGACGTTTCTTGTCACTTTATCGCGACTAGGACGTTGACATCCATGCCTTTTGCCACGGCCAAACCTCATCAACCGATACCAGTGACCAACCCCTGGCTAAAGAGACGGCCGCCAAAAATGGACCTCATTCAGACGTTGACCGTTGGCTGCGTCGTGACTACCACCTGGTAGAGGAAGCTAGATAGTTTGAGCACAAGCACCAGAAACGTCTATTTAAGGGTAGACATTGTCCTTCCACGAGTAGCCTTTGGTGTCTCATGCATTCACTTCAAACTCTACCCTACGGCTGGCTCTTTGAGTGCGTATTCATCTTCGAGCTTTGGAGGTCGGAATATCTTGTGGCCCCTCGTCTTCCCCTATTCATTCTGGGAAACAATACCATCTTCTCAAATCATCAGCCGGCCTTACAACCCAGTCTTTCAAAATACAGCCATGTCCCGGACAGGACCTGGAGGGTCGTCCTCGGCGCCCTTGATCGGGCGTCTGCGCGTCTTGACAACACCTGCCGGCTCCATTGCAGGCCCTTACTCTTCTTCGCCGGAGTACATCGAGTTGGATCCGCAGGACCCCGAGTTCAAAACCCTGAAGTTAGCCGTCCACCTTGGTCTTAGCATGCTGGAATCATCCAGGGGCCGACAGCTCATGGCCGACATCGGGGTCAACACTGTGAACCACCACCGAGGGCGACGGCAGACCATTCGCTACACTGATGAGACGCACAACATGCCCAATTATGTCAGCCGGTTCTTGAGGACCGTTCGGAACGACTTTTTCAACTTATACCTGACCAACAACATACGTAATGCTGGGGGTGTGGCTCAGGCTCAAGTATGCTTTTTGAGCGGAGATATACATAACTACCACCCTAAACAGGATGGCCGCATCAAAATGAGTAAGACGGTGAGAATAAGTCCCGCGTTCTTCACAGTGTGTCCCTGGCAAGTGTCCCCGCGCTGACCCGATGGACACAATACTGCAGATCATCGAAAACATGGTATACGCGGCTCGAGTAGCCCAGGATCCGAGGCGCCCCCCGGAATGGCGCCAGAGCGCGCTGAGGAATTTCAACACCGGCTCGTTCCAAATGGGCTTTGCGACCGCCCATGAACTGGTACACAAGTGGGTAGGTTACCTCATAGGTGACCCTCGGTCGGGTACGCCCGACAACGTTGCTTATCCTGGCAACGCACCCCCAGATGGAGGCGAATCAGGCTGGTTCTGGGAATCAAGGTTCCTGGGCGGGGGCCTATTCGAGTGCGTTGAGGACGTATCAGACCCCCTAGGGCCCCGGCAAGCCGGCAAAATATACCTGTCCAGAATAGATGTGAACCGAGTGGAATGGGCTCGGGAACTGGACCCTAACTACATCCAGCGGATTCTGAACTTCGGTATGTCTATAATATCGTGTTGATCCTCGGTCCTTCGCGACCTTTGATGTGTTTGCCTTCCTGTGCTAACCGATCTCCGTGTTTCATGCAGACTTTAGTGTCCTTGCAAGGCCTGCTCCAAACTCACCGCCCGCGATCCCGCGTCGTTACCTCCCGAAGCCGATGGAGAGAGTTAGGCTTGAGAACATGCCGACTGGCCTTATCGTCATCCACTCCAATCAGGTGCCGCCCGAGGAGCAGAACGCCATTAACAGGATGAGGACGTATACAGTTTCCGTATCTGGCCCCGTTAGGCCGTCTCGGGTGGTATGATCGGGCTGGCGGGGATAGGCTTGGGTATAGCGGGTTGCTGGCGGCGTCTCGGAGTGTATTTCTAGATACCTGTTGTTGTGCTTTCTGTTTTGTGGGTTTGCGGGTCTTTTATTTGTTGTTCGGTTATCTTGCCATCATGAGAACGTCCTTCGTCTTTATCTTATCTAGCCGTGGATCCCTTGACTCCCATGACCGAGTCTAGTTGGCAAGTAAGAGTTGTACACCGACGCCCGTACTTTCCACCTCGGTGGAATACTGATGGATGTTTGGTATATATAAAAGCCGGTGGCGTACGCCCCCGTGACAATGGATTTCAACGTATTGATACATCTATGGGTTCTTCAGCTTAAACGCCACCGAGTCCTCTAGCTTCCACTGTAACGACGTCTTAAAGGAGTCCTTGACGCCACCCCTCCTTTCCCCAATACCGCAGCGTGCAGTTAGCAATACACAGACGTGACGGTGTATGAGCAGGGCCAAGCGGTCAACCCTCGTTCTTAGGCACCGAGAAGCTTCCCAGACCTCAGCATACTGGCCGCCATTGTATGCCAGATGTTGCTACGATGGGACAAGATAACTAGGTACTTCTTTCTAGGCAGCGTCTAACTCTTGGTGGATACCGCCGCGCGACTTGGGTTTGTGAGTAGTTGTACGATTAGATTTTGTGTTGACACCGTCTCCGCGGCCTTAACCATGTGACCCTTCGTCGAAAAGGACTTGGTGCTCGCGTACTGTGTACGAAGGACGGCCTTCGAAATTGGGCTATTGTGTAATCTGCAGGTCTGATGTCTTCGTGCTCCCCTCTGTGAGCGGGGCCGGCGATCCAGAGCCTGAGACGAGGGACAGGGGTTCCATCCAATCGAGGGGAGCCGGCCCCAACTTGTAATATGTCGTGTGATATAGATGCCCGTCCGGCGAACTCTTAAGGCTCGGCACGGAATTGGGGGGCGTAGAGATCTCCCCAATACGTGGATGGGTATAAAGGAGGTAGGGGAAGACAGGCAACTCCCACTTCCTCGTAACCTCTCCAGACAAAGCAAGAAAAGACCCAGGCTTTCTTGCCTAATGTTAAAACCTCTACTCTTCTTACTCACTTCGTCTACAAGTATGGCCCTCCAACCCGTCAGGCTCCTCCGTCCTAGCGCGCTCAAGATCGATGCCGACACCCCATGTGTCCTGGAGATGCACGTACCCTTCGCCGTCCCCTCCAGCCTCGACCCGTCGTTGCCCGCGCCGCCCTACCACCCGGGCAACGTGACAGGTGACGACCTCCTCGACCTCCACGCTATGCCCGTGTTACGGCGGCCGATGGCCGAAATTGTCTCTGACATGTTTGGCCCGGAGCACGCCGCCGCCGCTCTCGAGGCCCCTACTCGGGCTATCCCAAGCACCCCGGGGGCCCCAAACTGCGCCTCGTGGCCGAGTTCGACGCAAGCGCCGTTGCCGAAAAGGATAATGGTTTAGATCTTGCGGCGGGATATTGGAAGGATACCCGCGGCATCGAGCACCACGCGTCCATCGACGCCTACGAGGAGGATCCGGTATCGGGCGAAGTCGTGATTCTCCAAGGATTCATTTTATCCCTCATTCGCGGGGTACGGGATGTAAAGCAACTGAGGGAGTACAATCCTAGAGCTCTTCGCTTTGACCTTGTAGAAGGAAAAGTACCAGGTACTGGGGTACTAGGAGACAAATTTGTGTTTGAGGCCGGCGAGTACACCGAAGTCTTCCTGGAGCGCTACATCAATACGTCCAGTCGCTCACTTATCTTATGGGCATTGGGGATTCTACTGCCACTCCTCGACAGAAGCTGTAAGATAGCACTTGGAGGAAGTACTACACTTTGGGTGTGAACGAGTTGGATCCAACAAGGCTCAATGGAACTTGGTGGTTCTTTTTGTTGTCTTACGGCCACCGTGTTATCTCTCGAGTACCTGAACCGCCTATACTATGACCCCTTCTCAAACGAGTGACGCAAGAGGTACGTCCAGCACTACCTCCGTAATCAGAGCCACCCGACGTTCCTGTGATTCCCGGTGAAGTCCAGGAACCATCGCTGCAGCCGCATATTTACCTCTTAACACTCAAAGGCCACCTCGATACCCGTCGCCGTGGCCCAGGTCGAAACATATGGACAACTCAGACTCGGCTTCAAGCTAAGCCTCAACCTCGTCGACGGCAGCAAACCTCGTGAAGAGTGTAGCGTGGAAGGGTTAGAGACCAGGACCGAGAAAAGTGGCGCGGTGTTACACGCTTACGTCCTAAGGCCCTTACTCGTTCTTACAAGAGGCACCGGCGGTCAGGACTGCCGCAGACGAGGACTGTTGGCGTGAAAATAGCCCGACGTCCTGTGCTTGACTGAGCTTGAAGGAAGGGGGTCCGGCCAGCAGGCAGCTTGCACGGCAGGTAACGGCCCCTAGCCAATGTGAGACGTCCAACCTAGGTACCTATCTAAACCAACTGCTGCTAGCTACAAGCGGCGGCTAGTACCGCAATATGCCCGCTCCCCCCCCCCCCCCCCAGTCACCACAGCGTGTATCCTGTGTAACGCCTGAACATGATTGACACCTTATCAACCCTAACCTAGGTAGATTACATGATGCCAATTCCGTAGTTTTCAGCAGAAGGGCTTGCCAAGTCAGCCAAGTGGGCAGCCGCCCTCACTATCGGAGTCAGAATCAGAGGTGTCCCCATCTCCCTGCAACAAGTCATGAACGTTGCTGACATGGGATTCCTTGCCGCGCTCGTGACCAAACTCCTCGCCATCGCTGTCGATTGATGTCTCGTCATTATTGATCTCCCCAGAGAACTCATCATTGTAGTACGGACAGAGATGTTCCCTCCCTTCCCAGAACTGCTCAAACATCTGCCTGGTGTATCCGTGATGGTACTTGGGTTTCCGGGGCCAATGTTCGCGATAGCACAAAACGTCGTGACCGCACTCAGCCAGGACCGCGTCCCACAAATCTCCCGGCAAGCTCGTCTTGTTCGAGAGGGAATACGCGAGGTCAAACACGGAGACGCCGGGGTGATTCACCGCGTGAATATTGGCGCCGCTTTCGAGGAGAAACGCTAGGGAGGACCAGACACGTCTGACGGCGCTCGTATCATGAGGAAAGAAAGGCCCAATATTTTCATCGCCGCCCCTGAAGCATAGGTGCAAACATGAATCACCTGCTAGATTTCGTGCATTGATGTTAGCTCCTCGGCTGAGCAGAAAGGAGAGGCCGTCGACCTGAAATCGACCGAAGTTACAGTATGCGAGAAGCATAGTGTTTCCGTTGTCGTCGATGATTGTTTCGGTGTTGATCAGGCTGAAAGGGTTATCCAGCAGTAGTCTAATCGCTTCCTAGAATTGCTGACTGTCAAATGCTTGCTCTTCAGACCCGAAGCTGCACTCACCAAAACTCCGTAAAGGAGTATTGTGAATAACGGGCCACCCTCGGCCAGTCCATTTCGATAGCACGGCAATTCCGGATCACAGCCGGCGTCTAGCAATAGCTTTCGACACTCTAGAATACGGCTTAGGTAGGATGCTTCCTCCTCGTCGTCGTTAGCATCCATCTCCAAGGCTGTCCCTATGTACTCGTCATCGGGAGGATAAGCAAATCGGATACGACCGATGTGGTCCACATCTGCGCCGTGCTGAAGTAGAAAGCGACAGATATCCGGCTGCGTATTGGCATACTTGACACCAGTTAGCTGTGCTCGCCACTAAAGGTCTCTGGTAATGATATGCAACTCACGAACAGCAAGGGAGTGCCGAACTCGTCTTGATCTCGAAGTGAAGCTTCGCCCCGCATTAACATCTCCTTGAATTCTGCTAGGCGTCCTTGTTCAACCAGGGTAAAGACCGGCGAGTCGATGGGCAGAACATTGGCGACTGAGATCCGTGTCATGTCGTAGTAGGTCCCCCGGTACTCGTGGCGTTGCCGTGTTGCGAGTTGGAATGCTTGGGACGGACATCTAGATGCTGGGTGGAATGATATGAGCCTTTTGACCTCTGTGATCTCCTCCAGCTCCTCCCCCTCCTCCCCAGAGTTCATTAAATGTTGCATTCCTTGGGCTGATAGCTTTCGACGTTTTCCTAGTCTCCTTTCATATGAGATCACTGACACATCACCGCGGTCTGTGGGATACGACCTCCTTTTCACGCTCGCTCGGACTAGGGTACCTGGTGATACTTTCCTCCTGTCTTTGGTAGGAGAGTCAGCGTGTATCAAAACAGGACAGCTGGTAAGAGTGGCATACTAGGCCGAGGGTTTACCGCAATTCGTGACGAAGACAGAAGGATGCCTTGAAGAGACCGCAAGGTTCGTCGCATCACTTCAAGGTCCTCCTGGGTGTGTCTATCACACCAATGCTGATATGTAGTTGCCGAAAGGAGAACTTTGTCTGACATCATCTCCTGGAGAAGCTTGACAAGGCTATCGGCAATGCCTTCCGAGTCGTTGGAACTCAATATCCCCCTTTTGTCCCGAACTGATCCCAACACGGATCGTACGCTCTCTAGCAACTTGTCGTATGGTGGAACATTTCTTGCGGGTGCATTCTCCAAGGTCCCCACACCCTCATCGAGCTGGACGTTGTCGCGGGCTTCGCCGACGCTAGATTTCTCTTCGAGGAGACGCTTTAAGTTGGCAACTAAGCCTGCGAGCTGATCCATACCGCTTATGACCTCGCCACTGTGAGCTGTTGACTGGTCTGACAAATGAACCAGCTTTTGCATGATTTCGTCGCTCCGAACGGCCGACTCCTCAAAACCAAGACGGAGATCATCGTTGACCGCCGTCACTGAATCGCGCACGGTGGTCGACAGGGTGGCATGCTGGGCGATTAGGGTCGACTGATTGTCTTTGATGGTCTGGAAGGTAGATAACTCCTGTCGGGTAGCAGCAAGGGAGTCACGTATCTCGAAGACGGTGTCGCTCTCCAAGGCTTGAAGGTAAAGTTTCAAGGTTCCTGTATCCCTGGTGATGATATTGTTCATCCGAATCAGTTCTTTCTCGCTTAAGAAAGATCTTAGCCTCTTCAACTGGTTAGAAAACCGTGGTCTCGCGTCCGTCACAGTAATATTCTGTAAACTCGCAGCAAAGGTTGCGAGGTTGTCAGCGCAGGATTGGACCTTGGTTTGGAAATCCTGGTCTTGGAGGTCGGACACGGCCCGGCATCTTCCTAGCCTTTCTAAAGTTGACTGGAGGTCCTGGATACCGGTTCGCACTTGGCCGACATGTGTCCCGCTTTCGTCTGAGAGGATCTCGTGGATGATTTTGGCGCTCTTGAGACCTAGAACAATGAAGGCAACCACACTTGCCCCAGCACCGATTGCCTCCATTTAGTGTGGCCAAATTGACTTGAAAAAAGCGGCTTGGAAATTAGACAAGACCAAGAGCGGTTTTGCTCGACTCAGACTTCAGACGGCATTGGATGGTTGCGCTTGTGCCGTGCAGTGAGGAAAGGCGGAGGATCTGGTGACCAACAAGAGATTGCGGGGGGTACGATTTATGTGGCTTATTGTTACACGAAGGCAGCCAGCCCCTCCCGCGATTTCCCCCACGAATTTACCTCGGGGACTGCCTGATGTGCCTAAGCGTGGCGGAGCAGCCACAGAACACTGATCAAGAGAGAGCAAGTTCAGCCGGCGGGACTGAAAACGGGCGGTTGAGGCTGTGCAGCGGCCGCTTATAAGATCACTTGTTCCACATCTTATCTTTCTCTTTAATTATACTTAGAGTCCGACGTTCCCTATGTTGCTAGTGTTGGGCGTCGTATGTTTCATTGTCTTATTGGCATTATGGCATTTATAGATGCTGGGGGTTTCCAAGTGCCCGCTCAACTTCCTCTCTTATCAGTAGGCATCTTGAACGAAGTTCTTGCACAGTTCACAGTTGGTTAACTAAACCGGGATCATTTTCCGGCAACGTCATGTCAAGGTTCGCTCCTGTAAAAGCTATTGGGATTCCAATACATCCTCCGTCCCTAGGTCACAACGCAGGCGCCTCAGCAAGCGGCTAACTATACAACGTATACTTGCAGCCGCTCGCCGCAGGACAGTCAACCAAGTGGTATACATAAACCGTACTGTTCTGCGCGCCTGCCCAGCAAATCGAGGACAGCGACCGCCTAATACCTAGTGCCGCTGGGGCCGGTGCCGGCGCGGCGGGCGGTCGTGGTGGCAGAAGCTCGGCATTGTTATTTCCATCGATCATTACTAAGAATAGGTGACCTGGGAAGCGTAGATGTACGTCGCCGCGGCACCGCCACAGGTGGTGTCGCGGCGCGCGCTGCACGGCAGGTTACAGCTCTCGAGCTCAGGCAGAGACGTCCCGTCGGCGGCGGCGGCGGCCAGGCCCGTGCCGCAGCGGCAGGTGTTGCCGCCGGAGAGGCCGAAGAAGGGATAGTCGGGCAGGCAAAAGGCCGCACACCGCGCGACCGAGGCCGGCGCCGTGGTGCTGGGCGCCACAGTGGCCCCGCCCCCGCCCGCGTCCGTGAGGAGGGCCGCGTCGGCGAAGCACCCGACCGGTCGGAAGGGCACGCTGACCTTGACGTGCTCGTGGAGGCCGTACACGTCGACACCCGCCGCGTCGGCGGCGGCGCAGGCTGATACGGAGAGCCGGGTCGTGTTGGCCGGCACGCTGTTGCCGCAGACACACGTGGGAGGGGAGGATCTGCTGTCGACGCCGGCGAGATAGGATCCGTATGCGAGACAGCCCTCGGCGCACGTCTCGAGCGTTACGCCGTCGTTGGTCCAGGCTGTGCCCCGCAGGACGTGGGACGAGCTATCGGGACTGAGCCAGCAGCCTAGAGATTTGGGGATGTAAGGGGCTGGGGCGGTAGCCGGTGGGGCCTGGACGAGGGAGACGCAGTACGCATGCCCCGGGACGATCGAGGGCGAGCAGCCGCCGGCGCCGTTGGTGTCGATGGAGGGGTTCATGCTGGCGAACAAGTTGAGGCCAAGCTTGTATGTCATGGTGATGTATGCGCACGTGTCGCCGTCCTCGGCAACGTGCCAGCGGCCGCAGGTCCTGACGGTACCCGGGGCGGGAGTGGCGTTGGCAGGGGGGGCCACAGCGATCGGGCTGGTTCCGACCGAGCCGCCGTGGGGGATGCCCGATGTATTGGTCGCCGTGCCGGGCACGTAAGCGCCGCCGACGGGGGAGATACACACGACGTGACCCAGCGTGGAGTTCGCCTCATGGAGGTTGTCGCAGCTCTGGTCGATCCAGCGGTTGTACAGCGCGACGTCGCGGATGCCGGCTATGGCTGAGATGGTCATACAGCTGTCCGTGGGCACGACCGAATACGTGGTGCACGTTAGGGGGAGGCAGATCTCCAGCCCCGCAGGGAGGCCACTGCAGCCGCCGACGACGTCCCCAACTGCCTTGGCGGCATCGACAACGCCGGCCGACGAGACGCTGTTGGCGAGGGCGATCGAGTTGCAGTCGTCACCTGCCTGGATGGTGTGGTACTTGTCAGAGACGCAGAAGGGGCTGGGCGTTGGAATTTCGATCAGGGGCGGAGGCACATCGTCGGGGAGTGCCAGCGAGCAGCGGGCCTTTATCGCTTTGAGGGCCCGTTGGTACCACGGGATTGTGTTGTAGACCGAGTAGGTGCTCTGCTGCATCATGCGAATGCGACCCGTGAAACAATCGGAGCAGAGCTCGCTGTCGGGCATACCGGCGAGCGTTTCGGACTGGCTGAAGCCGTCGATAACATCGTTGCAGTACCGTCCCGTCCCGCTATCAGTCGAGCAACTCTCGTTGTAGCCGTACCAGATATAGCGACCAGCCATCTCGAGGACGGCGCCCGACAAGGGCCAACGGAAGTCGGCGCAGCTGGCTGAGACCTGCCGGTACCACGAGGCGAGCGAGGTGCCGCAGCCCACGTCGCACACCTCGTCCTGCAGCGTCGCGTTGCCCAAGGATCCGCGGTAGGCGGGGGATGTCCAGTGCATCGTCTGGGCGGCACAGGCGATGGTGGCTGTCAGCGCCGTCTTGCACTGCTCCGAGAAGTCGTACGTAGCCAGGTCGTCGCGCGTGTGCAGCGTGTAGCCCGTGATGTTGCGCTCGCCCGCCGTCTGGTTCGCGCCGCCGAGCCAGGCCACGATAGAGGAGGCGTATCCGTTGCGGTTGTTGGCAGCCAGGATGGGCTCCCCGTTGAGCGGCGTGACCATCTGCACGGAGCCAATGGTGACGAGGTTGTATACCCAAACGTCGTAGCTCTGCTCGACGTAGAAGGTGCCGAGCTGGCAGTCGTGGGCGCCGCTCTCGACACAGTCGTGTGAGTAGCCTCGGAACCAGGTATACAGGCCGCCACTGATGACGTGGACGGCGGAGGAGTCGACGATGCGCAGCGCCCAGGCCATGGCGCACGTCTGCGAGTCGGCCGAGCAGTCGCTAAAGGTCGGATCGTCCTTGAATACGAGGCCCCGTTCAAAGGGGGCTGGCGCTCTGGGGGATGGCTGGAAGTAGGGCGCCTCGGTCTGGACCAGGCCCATCACGACGTTGCGGGCGCCGGCGAGTTGGTACTGGTAGAGCACGGCGTGCTCGGCGGCAGTTCCCCAGAGCCACGTCGGACCCTGCGACTCGATGAGCATGCCGCGGGCGGCGTACACGTTGAGCGGGGCCTGGTCGGCGTCGTCCAGGTCGTGATCGGCCACCCACATCCACACGTTCTCGAGGTAACCCGACGACTTCTCCGTCATGCGCATCATCAGCGACGCGGCTGCGCAGCCCGCCGTGTTCTGCGCCGTTTGGGGACACTCGGCCTTTTGCAGTTGGCTGCCCTTGGCACCGCCGACGCGAATATGCGAATCCCACATGCCCGCCGACCCCTGAGCCGACTCGTGGATGTTCCACTCGACAACGACGGCGCCGGCCGTGGGTCCCCGCACCGTGAATAACATGCACTGAATCTCCATGACGCCGACGGACCCGGCGGTGCCCACGCGCACGGCGGCCCGCGGGTTGGCCATGTCCTCGAAATTGGCGCCCGTGGCCATGATCTGCGACCAGGCCTGGCCCAGGATGCGCGAGCCCACGGGCACCTCGAGCGTGTCGCTGATGACGTAGATGCCGTGCGGGAAGTAGACGATGCCCGACACGTTGGCGGCCACGTCGAGGATGCGGTTGAGTACGGCCGTGTCGTCGGTGGTGCCGTCGCCCTGGGCGCCGAGCGTCTTGACGTCAAAGATCTGGCTGTCGCCCGGGTCCGCATAGCTGGGCCGCGTGCGGTGGAAGAGCTTGGGCCGCGGGTGGAGGTCGTCGGAGACGAGCAGCGAGGGTGGATACTCCGGGGCGATTATATCAGCGCCGTTGACAAACCCGGTCTCGCCGCTTGGGTCGGCGACATTCCCAAAGCCCCACGACATGACGTCGGTTCGGCCAGCGGCATTGCCCGGGTAGAGCACCGTGCCGCTGCGGCTGTCGAGCACGATGGTGGCACAGTCCTGGAACCCCCCGTTGCTAATGTGAAGGGCTGTCGAGTTGTCGGCGAAGAGAGACGTCTCGACGACGACGGGGACCCCTGTCATGTGCAGGTCGACAAGGGACAGCGAGCCGACGCCCTGACCGGTGCTGCCGGCCCCGCCCGCGCCGCCGACGACGACGATGCCCTTGTCGCAGTTGTAGAACTCGGTGTCTTGCATGGTCCAGCCCCAGTCCCTGTTCAACACACTCCCCGTTAGAATTCTTCCTAATCTCGCGTAGTCTCCAACAGCTGGAACTCTTTAGGCGAGCAAAAGGGGTAAAGAAACGGGTCGGATTCTGACGTACCAGTGAATCTGCAACCCCGTGCGGCAATTATCAAAGAGCAGGCCGCTCGTGGTAAACTGCTGGTTCCCCAGGTAGGCGCCAAAGTTGCCGCCCACAAAGACCAGGTCGCCCATGAAGCCGCCGCTGCCGTTCTCCATGTAGATGCCCTGCTGCGTCGTGGCGTCGTACTCGGCCGGCGTCGTCGAGATGAAGGCGATATTCTCGAGCGACGTACCCTGCGCCACCTGCCAGTGGATGGCACACACGTAGGCCCACTGCGGCGTCGGCCGGATGTCCACGACAAAGTTACGTACGCTGCGCAAGACGTTGCCTTGGTTGGTGGATGAGGCTACGTCGTCGTCGGCGAAGACGTCGGACGTGATGACGCCCAGGCCCGAGAAGCTCTCGGCGGCCCGGATAACGGGCGGGTTGAAAGGGTCGCCGAGCATCTCGGTGTTGTGGAACTGCATGATGGAGCTGCTGACCAGGTAGGTGCCCGCGGGGAAGTAGACGGTGGCCGGGAACTGGGTGCTGCCGGCGCATCCCACCCCGCACCGGCCGCCATCCGAGATGGCTAGGTTGATGGCTGCCGTGTCGTCGTGCACGCCGTCGCCGTACGCCCCGTAGTCCCTGACGTTGCGCCACACCTGGTAGCCCGCCGGCGCGTGGGGAGCACTGCCGCGCTGTGTCATGGTCTCCATCCAGAATGTCGTGGCCACGGCCGCCCGCTTCGTGTTTCCGACATGTGGCTTGGCGCCGTCTGGGCTGGACGCGTCCGTGTAGTCTGATGAAAGGTCGTCCGGATGCTGGGGGCCTGCTACCTGGGTGCCGTTCTGGACCGTGATGGCTAGCTCCGCCGGGGGCACGTATTCAACGAGACCCGAGGGGCTCTGTAGCTTTTGCGGCATCGCGTTCGTGTCATTCAGGTGCGCCTTGCGCCTGGACATGCGAGCGCGGACATCAGCGAGGAGGGCGTCATAGTCAACAGGGGGCAACGAGTTTGCCTCAGCCATGATACGGGCCGCCTCGGCCACCTCGGACGGGACCGTGTACGACTCCCGGGTAAAGGTAGCACCCGTGGTGCGGTTGTTGCCGTTGTCTCTCCTGAAGACGGTCCCGTTGGCGTGCTGGTCGAACTCGCCCGAGTAATCCAACGGCCGCGCCTTTTTTCCCTTGCTCCGGCGCGACTTCGAGCCCTGGACCCTGGCGACGTTCTCACTGGGCGCCTCGAGGATTGCCTGGTTGGCAACGGCCATGGCTCGCTGGAACCGGGCAACGATGTCCTCGGCCGACCCGGGGACTGTAGCCGCGGTCCCGTTGCCGGCGATCGTAGATGCATTGTTGGCTCTGGCATGAAGAAGCGGGTGGGACTTGTGTTCGGCGCCATGATGGTGCGAATGAGCCTCCAGTAGCTGGGCCGCAAGCAGGAAACTAGCAACGAGGGAAAGTACTAGTCGAGCAAGCGCCATGATGGGCGTGAGAAGTCCCCAACTTGTTATTCGAGGGGGTCCCGGGGACAGAGAATGAACTGAGGGGGGGGGATAAGGTACGTACGTAGAGAATGTGAAGTGTAAAATACTGGTAATATTTCACACGAGCTGCTTCGCCAAGTTCATGTCAACTGGGATTCAGCTTTGTCGAACTCCTCGGTCGCCGCTGGACAAGAACATGGGTGTAATTTGCTCAGAAATCAACCGGCTAGCCCGTTTTCTTCCCGCGCCGAAGGTTCGGCTCAATCCTTTTCGCGACGAACGATACGCCATCCCGAAGAAACACAATTGAACATATATCAGATTCACAGTAGCATTGTTATTGAGTTGCGTGAAACATGCGTTGTCACTATCGACGGCACTATCGACGGCACGGATCGCGCTAGCTCGAGCCGGAGCTGGGCAGCGGGTCGAGGGCGGACTTTACCAGGGTCTGGCAGGGCTGGAACAACGATGGCCGAGCAGCTCATCTCCGGAAGCTGAACTTCAGGGTCCAGATGGAGTCGACGCGGATATGCGGAATCTCGATGCGGACACTGACAGGGGTCTTCGACATGGCTCTTGCCCCCTTTGGTCTCTGAGTGAAGTTGGACCAGGGGTGATCTGGTATCACATGGTTATAAGTTAAGGTATTGTAGGTTATCAACCAACGCCCGGCCCCTACTTCATACGTCTCGTCACTCTTTTTCGTCCAAGGTCCGCGAGCACCTCAGCTCGGCACAGGAGGCAGTGATGATACGTTCCGGAACACTCCTTTTCATCTCTCTCCTCGCCATCTTCTTGGTGGTCCTGCCGGCAGCGGCCCGGGAGTGCAGCGCCACCAACAAGTGCGCCACGGGGTGCTGCTCCCAGTTCGGCTTCTGCGGCACTAGCGAGGAACACTGCGGCGAAGGCTGCCTAAGCACGTGCGACTTCCGGTTGGGATGCGACGCCCAGAACCCGTGTGCGGACGGGACGTGCTGCTCCAAGTTTGGCTTCTGCGGCTTCGGCAAGGACTACTGCTCCCCCGAGGTCTGCGTAGCAGGCTGCGATGCCAAGTCGCAGTGTGACCCGGGCACGTTTGGGGCGGACTACGTCGAGCTCCAGAAGTGCCCCCTGAACGTGTGCTGCTCCAAGTGGGGGTACTGCGGCGCCACGGCCGAGTTCTGCGCAGGCAAGAAGGTCAAGCGCCCGTCGTGCCCCGTCGACAGCACCAAGCCCATGAAGCGCGTCGTCGGCTACTACGAGGGCTGGGCCGCCCGCCGAATCTGCCACACCTTCATGCCCGAGGACGTGCCCGCGGGTGTGTACACGCACCTCAACTTTGCTTTTGCCAGCATCGACCCCGTCTCGTTCGGTACGTTAGATTCGAGCTGTTTATAACCCCCTTTCTAGCTGTCCGGGGGGCAAGTTGTTTGCTCCCCCAAATATCGGGGGACTCGGACCATACCCAAGTAGCAGATTCCTAACTCGGTGTGTTGGACAGAGGTCGTGCCGGCCCAGGCTGAGGACATACCGCTCTACTCGCGCCTGACGGACCTCAAGAGCCGCGACCCGGCGCTCAAGGTCTACATCGCGATCGGTGGCTGGACCTTCAACGACCCAGGCGCCACCTTCCACACCTTCTCCCAGCTTGCGGGCGACGAAGCCAAGCAGAAACTCTTTTCTGCGTCGCTTATCAGCTTCATGAACACGTACAACTTTGACGGCGTTGACCTCGATTGGTACGTCAAAGTCCATTACCATCATGTCCACCAAAGACCTGGGGATTGCACCCGATAATGTATAAGGAAATTTCTAACTGAGAGTGTTGGTCAGGGAGTACCCCGTAGACACAGACCGTGGCGGCAACGCGGCCGACTACGCCAACTTCCCGCGCTTCCTGCAGAACCTGCGGGCCGCCCTCGACGCCGGGAGCGGGGGCCGCAATGGGCTCACGGTCACGCTGCCCGTATCCTTCAGGCACCTCCAGCACTTTGACATCATCGAGCTCGAGGAGTGGGTTGATTTCTTCAACGTCATGTCCTACGACCTGCACGGCCTCCGGGACAAGGGCAACCAATGGCTCGGGGCCTTCCTCAACTCGCACACCAACATGACCGAGATCACCGAGTACCTGGACCTGTTCTGGCGCAACGACATCAACCCGGAGAAGGTGGTGCTGGGGCTGGCCTTCTACTCGCGCACCTTTGTGGCGACGGACCGGGGGTGCACCGAAGCCCAGTGCCTATTCGACGGCGTCGGCGAGGCCGGCCCCTGCAGCAGGGACGAGATCGGCGGCACGCTCACCAACGCCGAGCTGACAGACGAGATCCGGGCCGCCGCCGTGACACCCACGCTGGACGAGGAGGCCATGGTCAAGGTAGCCGTCGTTGGGCGCAAATGGATCACGTACGACGACGAGGATACGTTCAAGCTCAAGACCGATGCCGCGCGCAAGCTGTGTCTCGGCGGCGTCATGGTGTGGGCCGTCAGCCAGGACTACACGGAGTGGGGAGCCGCCGCAGGAGCCGCCGCCGCCGGGGGAAGTGGCGCGCAGAAGCGGGACGGCACGGTGGTCTACAACACACGATACTCGAAACAGCTCCAGCGAGCCACAAATTACCAGTCGCCCAACACTGTCGACACCTCGTTCCTCACGTTCCCGATTTTCGAGCCCTCGGCCAATATAGTGCGCAGCCAGTGCTTCTGGTCCAACTGCGGCGCCGGGTGTGGCTCCGGATACCTCGCCGTGCCGCGGCTCGATACGGATGCGAGCCATAACGAGCTCATGCAAGACAGCACGCACTGTCATGGCGGCCGGCTGCGCCACTTCTGCTGCCCGTGGGGAAAGACGATGCCCAAGTGCGGCTGGTTCGACTTTTACAACGGCAAGTGCGGCAAACACGGCGGCTGTCCTGCCGGCAGCGAGGAGATCGTGGGACCGGCGTGGCGCCAGCGTGAGGTCGGCTCGACCAAGGCCGCCTGCAACAACGGCAAGGCCCAGGTGGCCTGCTGCGAGACCAAGCTGGAAGGCGAGGGCCTCAAGTCGCTCGACTCGATGCGCGGCTACGATGTCTGCAAGTGGTATGGCACCGCCCCTGGCCACTGCGATGCCGCCGGCGCCGCCGACGCTTACCCCGACGTCGGGTACGGTGCCGCGTGCAGCATCGCGGACCCGGACCGCCCCATGCAACTCTTTGCGACGCACTGGGGCAGTGGCGGCACCCATTGCCGCAACTCCAAGTACGGTGGTCACATCGACCAGTTCCGCCCACTGTGCTGCGACGAGCCCGAGATGGACACGCAATGGCGCAGCTGCGAGATTGTCCCGGCCCAGCGCAAGGATGCCAACTTCTGCGAGGCGACCTGCCCGGCCGGCACCATCCGCCTGGGCATGGAGAAGCCGGACGACTTGGACAACTGCAAGGGCGGCGGCCACGCCATCTGCTGCGAGCCACGTTTCCTCACCCCGGCCAACAACAAGATCGAAGCCGAGGAGGCCTACTATCAGGCCCTGCTCAAGGTGCTCGCGAACCCGGACCAATGCAACTGGGTCCAGTACAAGGAGGACACGCTGTTCACGATCTAGGCCCGCGGCTGGGGATCCCCGTAGTGGGCATCCGACTATAGGATCACCGCCGAGGGTACCGCCAACATGCTGGGGAGTATGAAGCTGGAGGTACGCCAGAAGTATATGGATATTTGGGATCGCGCTGTTGACTCGCTTGGCATGGACCATATCCCTGCCTGGACTATACAGTAGCTGCCCGATGGCAACGCCTTTAGTACCGCTCCCTCGGCCTCGCTCTAAATCGATACCGTCCAGTTTAGCCTGAAGCTCGCAAAACTCATCCACGATGCGGCCGCCAAAGGCCAGAAGCCCTCCGTATACCGGTGCAACCCTGAATATGAGTGGGAGTCTAGTAACGACGTCCAGGGGGACGTAGACGGCGGCGGACCCATGGAATACATTTTCCCGGATTTCCTTTATGGGGCTGGTGTCCCGATCGCCGGGGTCTCCCGGCGCCAGTCCGAGACCAGCCCTCTACGCCATCTCGCCCGCCGACGCGTGCCTGGCCCTGCCGGGCTCCATGCAACACACCACTGGGCTGGTCGTGTGCGACTCGAAGCTCAACGGCATGAAAGCGCGCGTCTACAAGCTCCTGAGCCCCATAGGCGACTCCACGTGGGACACCCACTGCATCTCCCCCACCCCGGAGAGCCTAGAGCGCGCGCTGGGCGGGATCCAACTCGTGATGGCCGTCTTCGACTACTACAACGACGCAAACGTCAAGGCCCGCCACAAGCAGGTCTACTTGAACGTGATGGCGCAGCTGCGTGATTTCGCCCTCCAGTACGACACCGCCTACAACCAACCCGGCGACGCCAACAGCCGCGGGCCGATCCTAGGGCAGTGGGAGACCGGGTGGCGCGAGTTTATGGTTGCGCATTTTAGCCGCGTCCGCAACCACACGCACCTGTGGCTGCAGGAGAAGCTCGCGGGCCTCGACGGGGTCTGGCACAAAGCATTCAACGAGTGTGGCATGGACGAGGGTTGGTGTGCCTTCTGCATCCAGGCGCGGGACCTCACTGCATCGTGCGGTACCAGGGGGCCATCGCGACAAACCAGCGGTCGATTTCGGCTTCACCGTCTTTAATTATTACCTAACCCCCCCGCGGAAGTGAAGTACCCAGCTTCTTTTATTTGATCTCGGTTTCTCGCTTTCTCGAACGGTGTTGCAACGTGTCCATGTCGGGGTGGGAGGTTTGAAAAACCGTGATTTGGAAAGAAGAACCTGAAGTGGACGCCGAGGCGGGTTTTGAAGGCAATAAATTAAAAAAGAAAAGAAAAAAAGAAAAAGAAATCTCCCAATGCACCAATGGTTAACCAGTACGCTATGCCGCTACGCTATGTTGCCATCCTGTTTTTAGCCCGTTGTTCGTACGGCTCCCGTTGCTCGCGAGTCAGCGCCTCCCACCGGGCTAGCACCTCCCCAAAGCCCACCCCATCATTACCGGCAATTTGCTCGTTACGAAACACCTGGAACCCCGACAAGCGAAACCCGCCGTTTGGGTTGGCGTCCTGCCGGGCCAGTCTGGTTTCGTACTCGGCCCAGGCCTCGCGGCGCTTCACCTCGGCCCGCGCACGGTAGGCCTCCTTCTGGTCCTCGGTCAGCGGTGCCCAGAGCTGTGCAGCGAGGCTCGCGGAGTCTGAGCCCGAGAAACCCGTATCCCGGTGGAAGACATTGAACCCGCCGATGGAGCGATGCGAGGCGGGCCAGGGGCCCGAGCCGATACGGTCGTATAGCGATGGGAACGGGACGTTGGGGGGGAGAAGCTGAAAGGCTTCGTCGGATGGGGGTATATATTCGGGGATGAGGTCGCTGGTATCGATGGCGAGTATATCCGCCCGGATGCTGTCTACGCGGGTGAAATACTCTTGTACAGATATAACACCCCGCTGGGCCTGGTCTTCTGCAGAAGCTATAGCGTTGGTGAGCTTGCGGATAGCTTCTAGCCGGTCTGCCCGGTCTTGTGCCGCTATTGCATCAGCAGGCGATAGTTGTGGACGGGAGCCGGGGAGGCACTGGGGCTCAAACGAGCGGTGTCCGCAAGTTTTAAAGAGAGTAATATCCGACCCCAGCCGGCGTGTTAATAGCGTAAGGGCGTGTCCGTGGCCCGGGATGTCATGGGATTCTGACAACCCTCCTTTGGACCAGTAGTCGTCTAGAGCGCGGAAGCTGTGAACGATCAGGCAGGCCTCTTCATCGCTGACGGCGGTATCGAACTGGCCGTTTTCGAGAGCCCCCTTAATCTTTGCATATAGCTCGGCTGGTGTGCTCAGGCTGCCGCCGCTTGCGTCCTGGATGTTGGCGCGCACTACATCCGGGGATGGCCACCCGCAAGCCTGGTGAATCTCTTCGTCGGTCAAGGAATCGGGAGAGCCAAGGGCCTTAGCCACAATATCACCACGGCTGAGAAAAAGCTGACGCTCCGGTTCGGTGAGCTGGTCCTGGTGGTCTCGCGCTTTGTCGTAGAGGGCTATGGGGATATGAACATCTGGCTCGGGCCAGTCCTCCTCTCGATTGGCGAAGCCGGAGTCGCTGTTATTGCCGCGTGGTTCCGCCATTTCGAATCGGGGGTAGTGGGTGCGCTGGCTTGAATCTTGAATGCGAAGTGACCGGGATTGAAGATGGGGTTGCGTGGTGCGAGTGCACTTAGGACTCGTTTTGGTCGCGTTTTCTTTTGGGGAAAGGTAGGAAATTTGAAGGAGCGGGGTTTTCGGACTCGACTGTGTAAGGTACCTATTCCAGGAATCGTTATTTACACTAACTCGTATAAGAAAGGGACGCCGGAGATGAGGGGCTCTCGTTGACGGTGCGCCATACCCGATGAAGACGGCCGCTAAACCCGGGGAGTGCGATGGCGGGTTCTCGATTACAACACAATCGAGGAACTCCTCTCTGGATCATTAACCGCGAGGATGGGACCTCGCGCGTCAGGTACGTCTTAGAGCGTTTTGTTATTGTGGCTTGTTAAAAGATTCGGTGTCGACTTCGTGTCCTAATTCAGGCTCGTATTGTAGCGTGTAATACAAACGAAAACGGAGATTCCGTAAGACGAGATTAGCCTCCAGGGGCTGTCTGAAACTGCGGGTTTTGACACACCACGAGGAGCAAAGCGCTCACGGCCAAATACGGGGTTGGGGGATCTGGGGACGAATTCTCACGGGTAGGTCATCCCCTACACCAGTCAGGGGATAACTAGCACCACGTACCTATGTGCGGTGTGCTGAACACTCAACCCAGGTCATGTGCGCAATAGCAGCTCTCAAACATGAATTACGAGAACTCAGGACTCAGTCCACACCATACGCTTGGTTAATCTCCCGTTCGTACTTGCGATACGCCTCTTGACGGACAAAGTTGCCCTTGGCGGTCCAAGGCACGACGGCATCCCGCACAACGACCAGCATGTCCGTGTCCAACCCGACGGGCAGAACCTGGTTGATATCGCGCTGTACTGTCGCCCACACGCGCTCAACGACTTCTTCAGACGAGACGGCACACCCGGGCTGGGTAAACAGCAGCACGCCCGCCCTCGTACGCTCGTTGCCAAAGAGCACCGCCTCCTGAAGCACGTCGCGGCTGCCCGCCAGCACCCTGTGTTCGTACGTGAGAGAGTACAGGCCGACTCTGTCGTTCTGCGGCACGATCAAAACATCGTCCGACATGCGGCCAATGCACTTGTAGCGCTCTTTGGTGGGGTGTTTGACGAACACGTTCCCGGTGTAGAACGATCCGTCCGGCGAGTTGGCCCGCCCCTTGTCCTGCGTGGGGTGGCTGGGCAGGACAACGAGCTCGTAGAGCTGCCTGGTACCGTCCTCCGACGCGGCGGCCCCTTCGCTATGCTCTCCCGACCGGAACTACGGATGCGGCGCCGTCTCCACATCGGCCGCCATGTACCCCCATTCTGAGTCTCCGTGCTGGCGCACGCCCGAGCTCAGCGCAAATGCCAGCTCCGACATGCTGTATTCGTCGCTGAGATGGACGCCTTCCTGGACCAGCCGGTTGCCCAGGCGTTCCGCCATCACCCTCGCCGGTCACGGTGACCATGATGCATTGCTTGAGGACAGCGAGGCCTTCCGGGGTTGCCATGCATCGTATGAGATCGCCTGGGTGGCACCGGGCCAACTGAGGCCGCGTTGCAACGAGCACGTCCCGATAAACGTCAGCGTCGAGCCGCAGCCTCTCGTTGGCCCAGCAGGTTGACCCGCCGGGTTTCATCAAAGCGAAGAGCATTCCAAAGACGCCGACGGAGAACTTAGTAAAGCCAAGAGCCCATAAAGAAGGACTTGTCGTGGCAAAATGCGGGAATGGACCGTAGCCTGGTCATCACCGCCAGGTGCGTCTTGGAAATGAGCTTGGGGATGCCAGTCGAGCCGGACGAGTGAGGGAGGATGGCAGTGTCCGTCTCGCTGATCTGAGACCACAGCTCTGGGTCCATGAAGCAATCCGCGGAGCTTTCACCCGGTCTCTCGGACAGGATACCCCGAGGCGGACGATGGCCACAAACGAGATGACGGTATTGATGGTGGACAGGTTCCGGAGCCCCACAGTCGTGCGTTCTGTCGAGGGGAAGCCGGCGATCACGTAGCGTTGTGCTGCCCTGTGCGCCGTCCACCATGTCTGCTGCGGAGAAAGGTACTCGATGTCGGCGACGTGACGACGGGGGAACCCAAACGCGCCCCCTGTGAGGTGCTTGGTGTGGCTGACGAACTCCTGCAAAGTACGCGCCTTGAGGGCGGCAGCCGTAGGACTGATGGCTGTGGTCGACATGTTGGAGGATGTATGGGTGTGTACTACTACGTGGTGGAGGAGACGAATGGAAAACTGCTTGTCCAAGTATAGGGATCAAGCGACCAAGCACTGGTGGTAGGAAAGATACCATTGGGCAATGGGCACACAAGACCCTCACCCCATGCACCGTGGCCCGTGGTAAGCCATTCTTGTCCCGGTCCAGGATAGGCGGGGAACTTCTCCGCAACACAGTTTCTCTGAAGCCAGGGATCATGGAGTGGATCGAGAAACACAACGGAACAAGCGCCATGCAGTCCTTGGCCGCAGCAACTGCTGACTCCTAACTTAGCAGTGAAGGAGATGAGTGGCGCCGACGGCGGGTATCTTATGCCGGCCAGGTTGGATACAATATTAAGTGCCTACTGTACTTTGCCAGGAACCTGACCTATTAGTGTACAGGTAAGGTATCTATTTGTAAATGCTTCAGCTCAAGCACCATCTAGCTCTCCAGCTTCCACTGTAACCACGCTTTAAAAGACTCCCTGACGCCACCTCTCCTTTCCCCAATACCATAACCATCCAGCAACTCCATAACCGCGTCGCCGTACGCCATCTCACTGTCAGTTGTCTTGACGGGGACCTGACTTGACTCCATATGCGGCCATCCTCGATCATTCCGTACCGCGACCCGCTCCGCCAGCGGCGCCAGCCTTGTCCGCAGCGTGGCAGGGAGCTTACCCTTTCTATCACAACACGAATCAAGAAGCTCCTTAGCCACACGGTACCGCCCCTCGTGGTTGAACGCCATATGTTCAAACACAAACTTGTCAATACAATCCAACCGCTGCCTCAGCGGCGTATCCCCCAACGCCTTGTACTCCCTCTTCGGCAACCCCCGCGCGCCCGGCCCAAGCAAAAGACACGACACCAAATCCTCCTCGCCACCCTTTATGGAACCATAGTCCGACGACTCCTCCACCTTGGCCTGCACATACCGAACCACGCCAAACTCCGCCGCCAGACCGGCGAACCCACACTGGTCCGCGGACCCCCGCCTGGCCCGCGCCCAGTGGGACACATGGGGCACCATAGTAGTCGTAATAAAACGCATCCCGCGGAAAGCGTCCTCGACGCGGTCAAGCTCCTCGACTAGGCGGTCGTGCGGGTCGTGCAGCACGCGGCCCGCGTGGTAGAAGGCTTCCAGCAGCCAGCCCCACATGTTGCAGTACGACTGCCACGAGCCCGACTGCGCGCCGAGGCGGTTCTGCGCCAGGTTGGAGCCGTCGGACGCGACGCGGGAGATGGCGCGGAGCAGGCCGAGGTGGGGGTCGAAGTGCGCTTGCGCGTGCGTCTCCATCTCGGCCCAGAAGGTGTCCAGCCATTCTTTGGTTGTGCGGTGGAGGTAGTTGACGTGGTCGTCGCGCGTCAGTTCGAGAAGGCCCATGGTGCGGCTGTTGAGCTTGCGGCGGAGGACTTGGATGATGCGTCGGTGGCTGTCGGGCGGGTTGCGGTCGGCGAGCCAGAGCATCTCCGCATGCATCCCGGCGGGCATGGCGATTTTCTTGGCGTCGAGGACGAGGATCGGGGCGCTGGTGTACGCGCGGAATAAGAGCAAGAGCCGAGAGCCGGCGCGTTGGTAGCTGCCCTTGACTCGCCTCCAGAGTCTCTCGTAGAGCTTCGACAAGTCTTTGGGGAGGCTGTCTACAAGGTGCTCGAGATGGGCGAGCGTGGTGCCGTCGGTGAGCGAGTCTAGTAGTGTCTTCATGACGAGCGAGACCCAGAGGAAGACGCCGCAAGCCCGTTCCACAACTTTGGCCAGCAACTCTTCCGCTTCGACCGGGTAGGCGTCCTTGAGCTCCAAGAAGGCGACGTTTGCATGTGAGACGCCCTCCACGAAGGTCTTCAGGTCGCTCTCTGTGAGTACCTCCATCCGTAATTGCGGACAGGACACAAACGCATCCCGGAAATCGTTCCACGGGCGGCTGCTCACACATACTTTGATCCCCGGCTGGCTGTGGAGCTGTCTGACCAGATCGATGAGTTTCGAGTGATCGCCGGTAAACTCGTCCAGTCCGTCCACGAAGATGACGAGGTTGAAGTCTCGCTGTGGAAGCGTAGCCAGACTACCAACACTATCGAATAGCTCATCCCAAGTCCATAGAGGTAGATGTTCCAGCGAGGCCGGCCCAAAGATCTTTTGCATAGCCCATCGACCTGGGAACAGCCGCGGCGCGATTTCGGGGACCTGGTTAACAATTTGGTACAACAGCGTTCGCAAAAGCCCGATCTGTGATTTTTGGAGGTCGCTCCCAGCATCCCACGAGTAGAACATAGCCGTCAGAACTTTGTTGTCGCCGGACCACTGTTTGAGATGTGAGAAGGTTGCGGGCTCGGCAACTAGGTGTTTCATCAAAGTCGACTTGCCGGAGCCGGGTTTGCCAGTAATCCAATATATGTTTTCGGTATCTTGTCTAAGCCAGTCCGAGAAACTGCTCCACAAAGGCTGAGGCTCGGCGTCCTCGGATTGGGGGGGTTCTTGTAACACCCACTCGAAGGTATTTTTATATGCTTTAGGAATCGCCTGCAGTCGGTTGTCCAAGGCAGCAAAGTGAAGGCTTCTGAGCAGACTGTCGGCGTACTCGGGGTCATGGGCGTTAGACTCCACGGTCACGGATGTAGTTTTGGTTAAATTCTGTCCGGCCTTCTTTTGGTGATATATGAACAATGACTGAGTTTCTGTTGGGAGGTCGACTTCTGCTTGATCCTGGGATTGTACTTGCTTGATAAGGGCCTGGTGCCTCGTGGTCTCGGCTGCCGGCACTTTGCTCGGCACTGAGCGTTCCCTGAATGTCGTTTCATTAGAAACCCCCAACTCATACTGTCGGTATCGTGATATCAAGGGGCGGAGTTCTTACCACAAGTCTGAAACCATTGCGAACATCAGTTTCTGTCTGGCCTCGCCCAACTTGTTCTTACTATCTTTGATGGACTTTTCGTTCCAAACCAAGTTGAACGCTTCCCCAATCGTATCCGAGATCGACTGCTTCGTGTGATCTTGGACGTGTTTCCCGACCGTCGCGGAGATTTCCTGGCTGGCTTCCACACAACGACGGGATTCTTTCAAGAGCGCCGCTTCCGTAATTGAGAGAGGCCGCTTCAAGCTCATCAAAAGTTCGGCCTTGTCTTCAATAGCCCTGCCGCGTGCCATCAAGCCCTGCGAGTCGTCAAAGAGCTCGTTCACCCCAACCCGCGCAGCCGACGAACCCCCATGTCGCGAATCGAGTATGACTGTCAGAATCCGCGACCCAAAATCCAAAAATTGAACGGTCGATGCCGCTATCGACAGGATAGTCAGGGGGTCCATCGCGGCAGTTTTGGGAACCGCGCGTGGCGTATGGGCTGTGGGTTGGGCACCGTGGAATGAAGGCGTGACAGGAAAAGGCCTGAGCTACTTGTAGCTAGCTGATCGTAACGGGGAATGGCGCAGCATTGGAACTGTGTCCGAATGGGAATGGCCGCCGTCCTGCAGCCGTGATTTGGTGGCTGGAGCGGGGCTGAGACCGCACGTCTTATGCGAGTGACAGAACACGAAAGATCGTTGTTGTCAGCTCGACCCTTAAACCATGGCAAATAAATCCACGGAATACAAGAGTGGGAATGAGAGCTTAAAAAGAACGACATTGGAACCAATATTAAACAGGGAAATACATGTTGGGCTTACTTGCAAATTAATACTTAGGTTCCTAGGTTGTCACTCCGTCGCTCGAAAATGGTGATCATGGATGCTAGCGGCTGGATTGGTTTGAAAACGGCGGGAAAGTCGTGCTGGAGAAACTTCGAGATGGTGGTTAGGTGTACTCCAATCCGTATGCTTTTCATGATGTCCTGCATTAATGGCACTCACAATCCAGCCTCGTTGCCCTTATCGTTTCCAAATGGTCCTCGACCGCGAAGCAGTAAAACTAGGAAAGTTGGACGGGATTCGAAGGAATAAAATGTCCCCGTTCAAGAGAAGAGGTTCCCTCAGAAGGCAGTACCTAATACCACAAAGATGTTATCAAAATGGTAACAGATGCCGCAACCACCTGTCCAAAGGCCAGGGCAATGCTCCAGTCGAACCCAGCGCCCCTGAAAAGAAGAACAGCAAGCCAGACAATGCCAATACCGAAAAGACCAACCGAAACCGAATATGGAAGCTCTAGTTTGATCCGATCCATCTGCCAACCGAAAACGAAATGAAGGGCCCTGATTGGGGTTCTGCCTTTCCAGGGTTTGTTCACTGATGGTATTTTTACTTTGTCCTTCCCGCTGTCGCCACAATGTCAGTACTCTAGGCAGGCAAGTGTGTCCAAGGGGCCTTACAATGTCGAGTAGATGCAGCTGCCCTGCGTCATCCCAGACAAGGTATCCAAACCGTTAGCATCCGTGGGGTTCCGGGCGCAAAGGGTAAATAAATAGTGCAATGGTATCCGCCGCAGACGTTCGTTGGCCTTCTCTGCTGACACCGTAAGACATTTTTGGTCCCATTCCATTTTGTTTTTGCAGTCCGTGGCATGGTGACCGTTATAACAGGAATCCCAGCCGTTGTGATCGCCGGGCATCGGCTCCATCTCGATGGCCTGTTCGCAGTCCTTGATGATCTTGTCGATATCTACGGGTATCATTAGACCAGAGAAACGACCACCACGGCTGATCCTGCCATCGAACTGAAACTATTAACAGCGGTCGGGTTAGTTCCTGGAATCTCCTCAAGCAAAGTAATTTTCTTTTGAACTTGCCATGACCTCAGTGACGCTCACAACGCCGTAGAAGGGTAACCACTTCCTCCATTTCCCTAAATGCTGGAAGCATGCTTCGAGCATTCTGATATATACTTTTCTGTCGTCCTCGAGAACAGTGTCCCACGGTTGACGACGCTCGTAAATAGCTGTCTCCTTCCTCATACGGACTGTGCGGCTCTCCGACGAGTGCGAAGGGGTGTCTGAAGATGTCTCGGAAAGCGATTCGCTGTGGGTAGTCTCAAGGGTCCATTGGATTATTTTTCTCTTCCGCTTTGGTTTGAGACATTTCACTTTAACGACATATTGTCCATCTCGGGGACTATCAAGGCAGACAAAGCACACGGTGCCTGACTTGTAGAGGGGGTCTTGAGTGTGTGAAGGAAGTGCGGGAGGGGGCGGTACTGCAGTTTCCTCGGGCAAGCACGCTGATCGTTCGATATCGAGCCCCAACCGACGTTCGGGAGCCGCCATGATGCCTGTAAGTAACAGCGCAACGGAGAGAAACGATGGAAGGGAGGATGGGAGAACCAGATGGAAAGGTTGGATAGGTAGGTACCCAGCCTGATCTTATGCTGATATTCAATGCATGAGGGTCGCGTCAGGCAGCACCGACTAGCCCAAAATGGCGATCTGCCTTATGCATGTGTAACACCAACTCGCGAACCATGGTGGTCCGCAAGAGCCTCGTCCATTGCCAATGGGTTGTTGCTGTATGCCCGGTTCCATTCTAAGGACAACATGATAAATAAAACATCGGAAGGAAAGAAAATACGTTCAACAGTTATTAGCTTCTGCTCTGTCTGACATTTGCTGCCAATCTTCTCTTGAACCTTATTTCGAGTGTCGCCGCAGCACCTCAGACAACGGTTCCGGTTTCACGACATAAGGTACCTATACTTCCTGTTGTCTATGTGTTCGCCCAAAGCAATCTTCCCGCTCAGCACAAAATAACCAGCAGCCCTTTACGCCAGTCACGATGTTAGCTTCCGCTCTGGGCTGTTCCCAAGGATTGTGATTTACGTTTGGGTGTTTTCAGCGTTGCCGATGCGATCCAACTTCTCGGCTATGTCGGTTAAAGGCCCATTGGATTTCAGGGCAGGCCCTGTCCCGTATACAGATTCGACATCATTAATAGCGATTTCCATGGCGCTTTTGTGGTCACCTCGGACTGTATACGCTGTAAGGATTGTGAAATCGACACGACAACGAGACATCGTACATCTGAGAAAGCCGGTCGCATTCGGATCAAGAGCCACAGCAGCGATGTATTCGACTGCTGTCTGATACGAGGTAAGATCCCATTTGTCGTTTCCAGTACCCCAATAGTTGACCTCGTTTTCTTCCGGATTCCAGACACCAAAGAGGTCGAGGAAGGTCTCCATGAGATACCAATGAGGATATGCACACTCCGGACGGTGGCCTTTGTGTCCAGGTATGCCTCGACGTCCTCTGCGAAATTCTTGACTACCAAATCGCCCCGATCGAGTTTGCTGTAGTCACAGTGTATTCGCTGGCAATGTATCGGGTGACACCCCCTTCTTCACATAGGTCGATCAACAACTTTTGCGCCTCTAGGTAGCATGACCTCGCTACTCGCATAATAGCGGCATACCGCTACGTCGCAACCACGCACCAAGTTCCGCAGGGCCTCGCGGTCATGTGGTCCACTCTGCACCAGTGAAACGCGAGAGGAGGATTTCAGATCGCCCGGAAGCTTGTCGATGTCACGGGATGTGCCACGAATGTGAACGTCGAGTCGTTGCAGCACCGCTTTTGTAGCGAGAAGCGCAAGCTGACTGCTAATGCCAGCGATTCTCTATATACCATACAAGAGAACGGACTTTTTGTGCGGGTAGTACGTTGTCGTTTTGCGGTGCGTTCCAGGGGTCCGCACTAGCAATTTGATAGCGTGCAAGCTTACTTTTGCGGTACTCCTTAACAATTGCAGGGTACATGCTGTTGCTATTTTATTATTGGACCAAAAAGTCTTGGCTACAAGGCCGCAAATTTACCCCTAATCTGATTTTAATTTTCCAGTTTTTTTCTATTCTTTTCTTACTTCTAATCCAGTCAATAACTACCTACCAAACCTAACCACTACTTACATTACAAGCCGGGAAACCGGTTGCGATCCACGGCACAGGGTAGAATTCGAACCTAGAAGCCAGGGCACAGGTTGGAAGCCAGGGCACAGGGCACAGTTCGAACCCAGGGCACCCAGTGGAAGCCAGGGCACAGGGCACAGTTCAAAGCCAGGGCACAGGTCAAACCCAGGCCACAGTTCAAACCCGGGGCACAGGTTGGAAGCCAGGGCACAGGGCACCGTTCGAAGCCAGGGCACAGGTTAGAAGCCAGGGCACCCAGTGGAAGCCAGGGCACAGGGCACAGTTCGAACCCAGGGCACAGATTGGAAGCCAGGGCACAGGTTGGAAGCCAGGGCACAGGGCACAGGTTGGAACCCAGGGCACCCAGTGGAAGCCAGGGCACAGGTTGGAACCCAGGGCACCCAGTGGAAGCCAGGCCACAGGTTGGAACCCAGGGCACCCAGTGGAAGCCAGGCCACAGGTTGGAACCTAGGGCACAGGGCACAGGTCGAAGCCAGGGCACAGGTTGGAAGCCAGGCCACAGGGCACAGGTTGGAACCCAGGGCACCCAGTGGAAGCCAGGCTACAGGTTGGAACCCAGGGCACCCAGTGGAAGCCAGGCCACAGGTTGGAACCTAGGGCACAGGGCACAGGTCGAAGCCAGGCCACAGGTTGGAAGCTAGGCCACAGGGCACCCAGTGGAAGCCAGGGCACAGGTTGGAACCCAGGGCACCCAGTGGAAGCCAGGCCACAGGTTGGAAGCCAGGGCACCCAGTGGAAGCCAGGCCACAGGTTGGAACCCAGGGCACCCAGTGGAAGCCAGGCCACAGGTTAGAACCCAGGGCACAGGGCACAGGTCGAAGCCAGGCCACAGGTTGGAACCCAGGGCACCCAGTGGAAGCCAGGGTACAGGGTACCCAGGGCACCCAGTACCTAGAAGCCAAGGCACAGGGCACAGTTCGAACCCAGGGCACAGGTTGGAAGCCAGGGCACAGGGCACAGTTCGAACCCAGGGCACAGGTCAAACCCAGGGCACAGGTTAAACCCAGGGTATAGGTTAGAAGCTAGAGCACCCAGTAGAAGCCACAGGTCGAGCCTGGCATACCAAATAGAAACTAGCATATCTATATAGTATAAATACCAGTTGCAACCTCGGAATTTAGTTGTAAATTCGGAAGTTAAGTCGGGAGTTACAAGCTTAGAAATCCAGGAGGTATTTCGAGGGTTAGGGGTATATAAAATATTGGTAAATGCAATCACGTGCTTAAAAACCGACCTGAATCAACCAGCCCGCGAAGCGGGCTGCCCACCCCTAGTGCGATAGTAGTTGGCATTATTGGTATATGCATGTGACGAACCTGTCTCTGGACCCGTCCTGTTAGGGTTCAGTATCGGTCGAAGGTATTCTCTCAAGGGTGCTTAGGTTCGGTGCAGCCAAAGGGTGCACAACAAAGACTTGTCTCAACAGTAGGCTCTCGAGCTTGTAGCGAACTGTAGTTGTGATTGCTAACTGGAGAACTCCCAGAGCTCTCCAGAACGAGTGACTATATACTATCTACATCCTCAGGTACCTCTGTACCTGGATCGAAGAATATTCTCATGATCCTGCGATCCGTCCTGGATCATTAGATCGCTTCTCGATCCAATGATCCACTCCTGATTGGTCACTCCTGGATCGCGGCCAGAGCTCACGATCCAGCTCTCATTGGAGAAGGCCATTCCTTGCTGATTGGCTCGGGGCACTGCCAGCGTGCCCCGCCGGGCCGTCTGCATGCGACCATATCCGTGACATAAGTACCGAAATAATACCAGGGACCTAGATTCCAGGGCTAAATAGAACCTAGGAGGTACTTCAACCACTAGATTTAGGGCTGTAGGCTACCCTAGGGAAGACAGTTAACCTACATCGATAGGTGGTGGATTTCAACCGACAAACCGGGGCCTCCCGCACCTAACAACAACTATTTCAGAAGATTGAAAAGGCCTTCGATCAACTAGATAGTAATTTGGCTATCCGGGAGGCCGAAAACGAAGCCCTACGTGCACAGTTAGAAGCTGTCAAGCCAAAGAAACGGAAGAGGGTAGATACCAACCCAAACGAACTGTTTGCGAACGTTACAGCCGTTCGCAAGGCACAGATTGCAGCCGGGTCGGTAGAAGTAAACCAGGTGGATAGTTCAGAAGATAGGGATTCCAGTGATGGTAATAGTTGTATTGTTGTAGCCACAAATAGTCGAAGATAGTAGGAATTCCATAAGTTGGTGGTTGCTGTCTGACTGAAAATGGCGAAAAGTGGGGGGTGGCGACAAGTGGGGGGTGCGACTTACAAAGTCAGCTTCCGGCAACCACTGACTACCTAATTACAAATTACTTAGAGATGCAATTGCGATCTCGCCCGCACTTACCGATTCCCTTTGCTTACAAAGTCAGCTTCCGGCAACCACTGACTTTGTTTTCGGCCGAACGCCCGGTCAAAGGGCCAATATATAAGACATGACCCTTTACTCCCCTAGGCCTTCACAACAATCAAATCAATTCGTTCTATCATCGTCTTCAACCAACCACCACACATAAACCCAGAACTAGAACAACATGGTCAAGATCGCAATTGCAGGTGGCGGCGGAAGTAGGTATCGAGTGTCCAGCGGCAAAACACATGACTGATCGTTTGTAGGTCTTGGACAGGAGGTCATTGATGTTCTCGTCGCTACCAAGAAGCATGATATCATCATCCTGTCGCGTCGAGTAGGTACCAAAGATTGCCAATCTAATGCCACAGCTAACCTCGTTCACTACCTATTCAGGATGCGCCAGCCGAGAAGAGCGACTCCGCCGTAACCTGGACCAAGACAAACTACTCCGTGGACGAACTTACAAGCATCTTGCAAGGCGTCAACGTCGTCATCTCGTTCTTCTCTCCATCTAACGATCAGGCTGAAGCCGAGCGAGCTCAGAAAGCCCTCATCGATGCGTCCATCAAGGCTGGCGTGAAACGTTTCGCACCCAGCGAGTGGGTTACGAAGGGCGGGTACGAGAACATGGCCGGGTACGCCTACAAGGCCAAGACACGCCGTTACCTCGAGGACATCAACAAAGATGGAAAGGTTCTTGAATACTGTCTCTTCCAACCCGGGCTCTTCAGCAACTACCTCACTTTTCCACATCAAACCTACAAGCACATCACACCGATTGAGATGGTCTTCGACTTTCAGAATCGAAGAGCACTCATCCGAGACGGCGGCGAAGATGACCACATAGTCTTGACGACGGCTCAGGATGTCGCAAATGTAGTTGCCCGCGCTGTCGAGTTCGAGGGCGAATGGCCTGTTGAGGGTGGTATGCGGGGCTCCAGATTGTCCGTTCGCGAACTCGTTGTTCTTGGAGAGAAGATACGTGGTAAGCAGCCTATTCACTCTTTAACCATTACTTTCTTCGTGGTAGGTACTTACCTATAGTTGCCGCACAGGAGGACCCTTTGACGTTGAAAAACTGAAGATGGAGGACCTGCGAAGCGGGAATTGCACGAGCTCATGGCTTCCCGTAGCCGGGCATCCTTCGATTGCACCTGAAGACAAGGAAGCGGCAGCGAAGATGATTACCGCTGGCATGTTGTTGATGATCGGGACACAATCTTTTGATTGCGGCGACGAGTGGAACCGACTTCTGCCGGACTACAAGTTCACGTCTGCGGAGGAGTTCTTGGCGCGTGTATGGAAAGAGGGTAAATGGTAGCCGTTGCGGGTCGGTAATCCATACAGCGGGAGAGAAAGCTACCTATTGATATTGTATAATGAGTTGCTCGTTTCAGATTCCAATTATGACCACATATGCTATGTACGTGACAGTCGTGGCAACGGATGCGACCCGGGGACCTCGGGCGCTAAACGCCACGTACTCCTGCCACGAAAAAGATCCTAAACCTTAGGTAGTTAACATCGTTATTCATCGGTAAAGTCCTGCTACCACCAATGTATTGTAGCCAAGGTCGGACGACGAGGTTCAACACACACAAAGCAAGGCCAGTGCTCGGCAGCAGGCTCAGAGCCCCAGCCTGGCCTTCACGAAAAGATAAAACGGCGCACGCGGACGGACGGCGCAAGGGCGTAACTACCTACCTTACCTAAGCATGCATTGCGGTACCATATCATCTCAACTACACCGATTGCGACAGATTAGGGGCCGTCCTTACGACAATTATTAGAACTATCTCTAGGGGGGGCGGGTTACTCGGCCTACTTACCTACCTAGGTACTAGGCATACAGCAGGAACGTCTAGACGGCTCGCTTGTCTATATCTTGTGACCTCTGTATCCATTTCGGCGCGGGGTGGACTTGCAGTACAGCCCTTCCCGCTAAGAGCATAAAAGAGTTCTCTACAGAGTAAATCTAAAGCTGGGGTGCCAATCGCCCATGTTGGTCACGTCTTCCTTAGCTAAAGCGAGCCTGTCGTCCCGCTCGCCACGCTCCCTCTTGCGATTCTCCCTCCACATGAGACCGGCCATGGCGGTGGCGCAAAGGGCACCCAACCACATCATGCCGAGGGCGACGCCGTAGCCGGTCTTGTAAGTCGGCGCCTCCGTCTTGATGAAGATGAAAGCGCCGATGATGCCGGCAATGTTCCCGATCATGACCTGCGCCGAGGCGCCGAACGAGCGCTTCCAGTGGCCCGAGAGGTTGTTCTGCAGCCAGGCAAGGCACATCGGTGTGATCATGTAGGCGCCGCCAAAGACGAGGAAGACGCCAGCGAACTTGTAGTTGCGCGACTTTCCCTCCTGGGCCAGGAGCATGGCGTAGCCGATGGTGGACAGAGAGGCGCCGCCGAGAATGAAGCTGAAGCGGTGCTTAAGGCGGTCCGAGGCCCACGCGCCGATGATCATCATGCCACCGGCGAAGACGTAGACGGGGATGGTGCGGACCTGCGCTTCTTGGGCCTCCCACTGAAACTCGAGTAGAATTGTAGGCAGGAAGAATGTGCCCGACAGGCCGGCAACTGATACGCCCATGTACATGAAGGCGGCGAGCCAGATCTTGTAGTCGCGGACGATACGGTTGAAGGCGAACCTGTTGAGCGTGTCCATGCGGCACACGTCACCCACGTCGGAGGCCATGCGCTTGCGGAGGAGCTCCTTCTCCTCGGCGTTAAGGTAGCGCGTCTGCTCCGGCCAGTCGATGATGAGAAAGGAGGCGATGATAGCGAGGAACGACGTGATGGCGCCCTCGATGATGAAGATCCATCGCCATGCGGCCATCTGTGGGGTGCCGAGGTTGGCAATCGCGTAGGCGAGCAAGCCACCAAAGGCGCCCGCAACTACCGTGCTGCAGAAAAAGAAAGACATGCGTTTCTGGTACTCGTGGCGCTTGTAGTACATGGAGGTGACGTAAACAATGCCCGGCAAGACGCCAGCCTCGAAGACGCCGAGGAGGACGCGCAGTGCGACGAGGGCGGCGTATGAGTGGACAAAGCCCATGCACATGTTGATGATGCCCCAGGAAAACATCAACGATGAAATGTAGAGCGAGGGCCGGACCTTCTTGATGATCATGTTGGAGGGTACCTCGAGGAGGATGTACGACGCGTAGTAGGCCTGGCGCCCGGTCAGTTCAGCCAGACGGCTCATCTTCAGCGCTCCCAAGGGAGCAGTCATGACGGATGAGGAGAAGGTGGAGGGCATACGAAAAGAGCGACATTGAAGCGGCTGCCCTCGTCGAGGTGTAGCTCCTGAGTCAGTCCCTGGATCGAGGCATTGCTGATGTTGATGCGGTCCAAAAATGCCATCAAGTAAATGGTGAAGAAGACAGGAAATATGATCAAGTCGAGCTTCATGACCAACCTACCCTCGGCCTTGGTATCGATTGGCGCATTGAACGTGGCGGAGCTCGACGACTCGTGTGGCGAGACTGCGGGGAGACCGTTCGCGCCCCCTTCGGCGTGCGGACCTTTCCCACGGGATGACATGGCAACTCGCGGGATGGACGCTGTCAATAGCAGGTGTAGCTGAATGGATGTGCGTAGTGGTAAGTTTAGCAGTCGTCAGAATCACGGTATTAAGAGATCCCTCCAGCTTCGTCCTCCCCGCAACGTCACCTCGCGTTAGAGGAAAGCGATCGGCACCGTTGCTCGTATACTGTGTAGGTAGTGCAAGCTACACGTGTACACTGATTTCCAGTTCTGGGGTGATCTACGTTCGGACCCAGTTACGTACGGACGTCGTACCCACCACAGGCCGGTCTTCGCCGTTGGCCCGTTCTGAAGGGGAAGCTGCTTTACAGCTCTGCTTTATCACCACCAAAGAAAAGCCTTCAAATCGCAGTTTGTGGTCATAACCTGATAGTTTCCTTCCATTTTTTAGACCAACCCCCCCAACGTGCTATCACCATCGGCGGCGTTGGTTCAGGTAGTTGCATGGAGGCATGTGCAGTCCGAAGGCTATCCTGTGATACACATCTCCAACCTATCCCTGTGTCGGTGATTTCGTACACTTTCTACTCTTATAGTTCCCAGGGCAGTCTTGAAATGCAACTGGGTTAGATATTGCATATAATCTTTTAGTACTAGGCACTACGTACACTATTCTTACAACTCATTCATCGTCAGATCGTAACGTACTCGACATCACCCCTACTACCTTGATCCCTCCTCCCGTCCTTCCTTACCCCTCGCACAAGAACCATCACCGCCCCCAACAACACCAACTGCACCGCCGCCGTCGCAATCAAAATCGCCGCAAACACGACCGGCTTATCCAGAACCAACCGCACCCCCTGCCGCGGCGGTCTCCCCCGCACCAAAACCTTGGGATTCGTACGCGCCGCAGCCGCCACCGTCCCGATCGCAAAGCGCGAGAGCATGCGCGCCATGGCGGGCGCACTGTTGTTCTGCGCCTGGCCAAACTCCAGCCCCAGGGTGTACGACGCGAACTGGTTCAGCCCGGCACGCGCGGGGTCTGACGAGGGCGCTCTCTGCCCGGAGAGGGCGATGGCCTGGGCGGCGACGGCCGCGGTGGTGGGGGAGAAGGAGAACGGGCCTGCGTTGGGCTGCGTCGGTTGCACGGTGATGTTGCATTCGTAGTAGAAGAAGGGGGACTTGGGGTGGACGAATTCGGCGTCGGCGACGGGAAGTCCGGCGTGTGGTTCTACTGCGTAGACGGTGCTGCAGCCGGGGCCGCAGGTGCCGGTGCTGTTGGCCCCCGAATCGCGGAGGACGGGCGTGGTGAGATAGGTGATTGCTTCGTCGTTTACCCCTGAGGCTGGGAACAGCACTGTCTTTTTGTCGCCGTCGGTGTGTTGTACCTCGATGATGCTGGCGTTGAGGTTGAACGTGTGAGGGGGTGTCCGGCATGTTGCTGATGATCGGACGTGCTGATCCGAGTATAATGAGAGAAAGTTCGAGTCTTGTGACCCCGGGACGGGTGCCGAGTTTGCGAAGACGAACTCCCAGTGGCTCTCGGCATCCCAGAAAGCATAAGGATACCGCGCGACGGGCGCGTCGGTCATCACCTCGGTTGGCAGTGTCGAGTACTCGTAAGTGGTGCCGGTATCACCGAGGATGTGAGCAGCTAGTGACTGCGGGCGTGCGCCGTCATTAAACCTGCCAACCCGGGCGAAACGGGTCATATCTGGGATGGCAACATCACCGATAGCGGAGTCTGGATAGATCTCCTCGATCCCGGGCTCAGCTTTGAAGGTAAGGCTGACTGCGGCGATACCAACTTGGGTTGCCTAAGAGTTGGTTAGAATGGTGTGTCAGGGAGGGTGGGCCGCAATAGACGTTGGCTTACAAGATTTAGCAATAACCATATAGCACATGCAAACTTGAGGATGGGAGCCGGCGTCCGAATTAAGAGTCCAAGCAGCGCGACGAAGCTGTGTACTTCGATCTAAGCCATGTCAGCCTTTTGTCTGCCATCCATCCAAGTGACGTCCTCGACACTCACCTCTTTAACTTGGACACGGCGTTTGTCGACAAACCAGCGCCTAGCATATAGCGCAATGTGTCTCAGTGACGCTGCGCTGTTGAGCCCAAGCGTTAAGCTAAGAGCCACCACGAGGGCATCAAAAATCGACTTCTGTCCCGAAGTTAAGGTACGGTCTTGGTGTAGACGAATGATAACGTAGAAGAGAACCGCGAGAATAGAAGTGCCTAGCAATCGTAACAGTCCAACAATGAGGAATCCGGTTGAACGTCCTCCCTGAACAAACGTGTCGCCTCCCGGGCCGGTTGCGTCGTCTTCCTTGCCGTCACCGTGCATCGGGGAATGAACGTTGGGGCCCCCCATGCTGTCAGAAACTTCGCGTGTGTGACACTGTGCGATCAAAATAAGGTTCGGAACGCATGATTTATAATGTCGCACAAAGGGGCGGCCAGCTTGTCGACTGGCTTCCGCCGCCTATGACGACCATTGCGGCTGAGTTTCATAATTACATCACAGCAGTCGGACTTCGGACTCGGACTCTTCCAAGCTCTCTGACTGGCGGCTGGTGGCCGCTCTCGCATTCGCCTAATCTGCCGCGAGCTTACCGCACAAGCGCAAACCTTCCCCTCCGCGCCTGCTTAATAAAACCCCTGAATTTCGGCTGTGCTTGACAAACTTGCATCATGGTCGACGGCCTTACCTTCAGGCAGACAAGTACCAGCCCTGCCATTATCCACTGTTACGAAGTACTTTACGGGGTACTTGCGTTGAGAGCTTCAGCGGCGATTGCATCAGCTCTAATATGTTAAAAGATAGGGGACTCAAGAACCATTCTGCAGTTCATTTTTGTTCAGGGTTCGGCCGCAGCCAGAGTGGCGGGCCAAGACCATCCTTTACCTGAAGTCTGTTGCGATTCCCTCGCCATCCTGCCTTCAAGTTATTCAGCGAGTGCTAGGAGTTATCCTGCGCAAATGCAGACGATCATAGTAAGAGTGATTTCGCGGTGGCCGCCATTGTCATGCCCTAAATGTCCCCTATGATAGGTACCTAACTTAAACAAAAGAGGACATATCCGGCGTTTCTTTTTCACATCAAGTGACGGATGTTGAAATAGAGTTTGGTGAACCATGGTCCAGAATACGAGGTGTGTACGACCTAATACTGTTAATGTGGTTTTAACACTCTGATAGCGAAAAACAGGTGCTACATGGGTATGGATTCGGCTTTTGGCGTCATGCTACATGCTGAAGGCTTCTCGCCACCCCTCCCACCAAGGAGAGCAGAAACAACACTTTCTTGCGATGGCTAATATTACCCGGAAGTATATGCTAGAATAATCTTTGAGTGCCTGAGTAACATCAGATTCCATTGTTTATCCGCACCCAAACATCCCTGATTTCGAATGGGACTGTCCCATATTAACCATAATCGCGATTCGAGTAGACGCGTAGGGGGCAGGTGTTCACGAAGATTAATGCCATCAATTACATCCAATAGGTGAATGAGGCCCGTGTCCGTACATGTGTGTATTCAGAAATACAGTCCACCCCTGGTTTGTTCGCTCGCGCGTGACTGGAAGACCGGGGTCCCTGTCAAAATTTCCAACTCAACGGCAAGACGGTGCACTTCTGAACAGAAAAAAGACCCGGACCGGGAGAGTCTTCTTGAATGATTCTGAATATCGCATTTTCTTCTATTTTAAACGGTTGCTGGGCTGTTGACGTAGGGGTTTTCAACTTTTGGACCAGGGCCCCTGTTTAAGGTTTCGAACTAGAGGGTGGGAACAGACAGCGAGTTCCACTTTCCTCTTTTCTTCATTTTTTGTTAATAGGTACCTATCATCGTCTTGACTCACCTTTTACAGGGACCAGACCTCACACCTCCCCTTGTCTAATATTATTATTCTCTACTGCCGCGTTTGCCCATCTTTTCACACCTTCGCTGCCTTGGGGCCTCGTGATAAGGAGCGAGAGAACGGTGATCAGTAATTCAAACCATTAGGCAGCCATCTTCGGGTTTCCTAGACCAATGGCGTCTGCAGCTGAAGGACTTGACGCTGCATGTCAGCTCGACGACGAAGACCCACGACGAACCACTGCCGAGTCCCACCAAACTCGGGCGATCCCCCCGGACCTCCTCTGTATCAAGCTCCGCGATTCGCGCGTCTCCGCGCCTTGGCTTTGGATGGGTGGAGAACTCTCACGTCAGATACCGGGGTACTAAGGTACCGTCTGGAGAAGAGGTATAAGGCTATGTGCTTAGACGGTCGGGCCGCTATGGAGTCAGCAACATCCCTCATCGTCTTGCGGGGCACTTAGCCCGTGGTTTCTGTTTGCTTTTGTCTGTCTATTTGAGTGCTTGGCGGTTAGAGATAGCAGTATGGATAAGGAAAAGGACAAACGCAGTCTTTATGACGAGGCGTTAGACCGCTTCCGCAAAGACTCGGCCGAGCGCTATACAAGCACCAAGGACGCCGAGTTGCTGAGGGAGTTTCTCCGCGAGAGGGCGACCCCTGAGGAGACGAAGCGTGCCGCCGAAGCCCTGCAGGGCGATGCGGGCAAGAAGTGGGGAGGTCGCAAGGCCGGCGACGTTGAGATCCCCGAGTCGTGGATCGCCAACATCATGGGCAACATCGAGAACTTCGTGGCCGCGGGCGACTTCCTCACCAAGAACGCCCCCGAGAGCGTCGGCATGGCCTGGTATGCCATTAAGCTCACCTTGACGGCTATCCACAGCAATTACGATCTCTACACCTTCTTTGGCACCGGCCTGAGCGATGTTAGCGAGATCATGATCATCGTGCGCCACTATGATCGGCTATACGATGAGAGGTCCAAGCCGCAGTGGAAGCCGAGCCCTCTGGTCGAGAAGTTGTTCCAGGACGTCATCGGCGCCTACGCTGCCGTGCTTGACTTCTGTTTTGCCATCAAGCGTCACCTGACCGCAGGTTCCCTCACACGTATTAAGCACTCCTTCAAAGATTTCTTCGGCCTTTCGAAGGCCAACTTTGAAGATAAGCTGAACACCGTTGCCGCCCAGAAGAAGAAGGTCCTCGAGGAGAGCCACGGTGCCTTCCAGGACAAGACGCTCACACAACTGGACAGCGTGTCCACCGTCTTGGCCGGCATCGAAGGGACAGTGCGGCACATCCAGGACTTCCAGGACACCCAGAGGAAGTTGCACGAGGACGCTATGGCGAGATTTGACGTCTTGCTGAAGGGGCTGGATGACATTCGGGCGTCGACCAAGCGCAAGACCCAGTGGGACTATGCTGTGCAAGACTTCCAGACCTACCAAGAGGCCTTGGATCCACTAAAAGGTTCTTTCCGGCTTCTCGGAGACACCATCGACGCGGTGTACCCCGGCACTTGCGAGTGGGTGTTTGAGGATAGGCTCTACGAGCAGTGGGTGGGCGCAGCAGACAACGCCATGCTCTGCATTACCGGGTCAGAAGGTTAGCCCCCCCACCCCTTGCCTGTTGGTCTACCCAGGATCACCGTTCTAACCTGCCTTAGGATCTGGCAAGTCATATGTCGTGGCATCCATCGCCAACCGCATCAACCGCACGCCTGATCCCGACGAGGCCCTCTTGTACGTTGCATGCAGCGGCTCAACGACTAGTGCCGGGCTCGGCAGCAACCAATCGTACACGGCAGATAGTATCTGCCGGACCTTGCTATCCCAACTTTACGATTTCGCCGTGCAGGGCGAAGACAATGTGGGCCTGTTGGAGACCTGCAACGGCATCTTTAAGAAGGCGAAAGCCAAAGTCAGCGGCCTGCCGGCTCACATGCGATCCGAGAGCGATGGCCTGCCGGAGTTTGCCGATGGTTTCACGCGGCTTGCTGCTCTCCTCAACAAGAAGTTGGTTCTTGTTCTGGACGGCCTCGACGGAAACACGCTAGAGGACAAAGACCAGGATGAGCTTCTGCGGAAAGTACGTAACCTCATGACAGCCATGGCCGAAAAGGCAGGGCTTGGAATGCGCCTTCTCGTCGGGTGCGGTTCGTCATCCAAGTTCTTCAACGACCTGGCTCCGGACGCATGCATCGACGTCCAGCTTCACAACGGGGGTGACATCGAGTTGGTTCTCACGGATGCACTCAAGGATGTTCCGGGCTTGTCGGCAGCCGAACAAGAAGCGGCGAAGGTAGCCATCCTGGAGAAGGCCGGCTCCCGATTCCTCTACGTTCGGGATACCGCCATCCCGTTCATGCTCGAGCCCTTCCAGCGACCTTTGTCGAAGCGGCTCGAGACTCTCCCAGACGGGATCAGCGACGTGTACAAGAAAGCACTGAGCAAGATGAGCCCAAATTATTTGGATCTCCTTCGCACGGCTCTTACCTGGACACTTCTTGCTCCCGAATTCCCCGGATACCCCCATGCCAGAGAGATCATGGATGCTTTCCAGGGAACGTATGACTTTCCCGCTGAGGTGGGACTTGAAGACGGTGTGGAGGCCGAGTTCCCTGTGGCATCCCGTCTGGAGCTGGAGCAGCTCCGAGCGGCAACCGACCCGTTCTTGCGACTGATCCCGGAGAACGATGGCAGGGTTTGGGTGTTTGAGTCCGACACGGTCGCCGTTTGTGACTACTTTTTGAAGAATAGTGAGGACGTCCAACCCGAGGTGGAAGAGCACGAGCACGTTTGTGCGCGATGCGGGTCTGCCGAGTCACCAGCCACGCAGCTGTACATCGACCCCAAGCAAGGGAATCTTCAGATGGCGCTGACTTGCTTGCGGCACTTGAACAACCCCCTGTTTCAGCAAAGGGCGGGTTTGAGAACCGCCGGCGAGCAGCCGGAGGAGCAAGGTGATGCCGATACTGAAGACGCGAGCGCGGCAGGTGTCACATCAACGGGTGAGAACGGGGACCCGGAGCCCATGGATGTAGAGGCGGAAGACGAGGCGGACGGCGAGAAAGAGCATGTGACGACTGTGGACGATTACCTTCAAGAAGCCCAGGATGGCTACGCCACGGAAGACTCCGTCGATGACGAGGACGTCATCAAACCTCACTACCTCGATGAGGACCCAGAGGACGCCAACGCGTCTGGCCAGGGAAGTGAGGACGAAGGTCCCACACGTGTTCGGTACGAAATTCAGTACTGGCCCTGGCATTTGGCCAAGGCGGAGGCCTTCTGGCCCGCCGAGGAACGAGAGAACAACGAAGACTGGGCAGCCCTGATGAAAGAGTTGGACAAGTTCGTGTTCGACACCCCCGAGGTATTTGCCGCTTGGCAGGGAAAGTACCCCGAGAAGGAGGATGAATATGACCTCTTTCGTGTCGCCGGTGGGCCGCACAAGGCGTTGCACGTTGCCGCGTATCTGGGCCTGACCACCTGGACGAGGCACCTCCTCGATCGCGGAGAGAAGTTGGACGAGCTCTCGGAAGGGTACAGCCCTCTCCAAGCAGCTGCGTGTTCCGAGACAACGCTTGATACGGTGAAGATGTTGTTGAATGAAGGAGCTGACGTCAACGCCGAGAACGGGGTGGAGCGCAGTGCGTTCCATCTCTGGCTGATCCGCGGCGACATCACGCTGGAGGGTGTCCAGATGCTCCTGGACCATGGTGCTGATGTGAAGGTCCCCTGCACGAGAGTCAGTTACAGTGCACTGCAGTATTTTGCCAACAGGGGAGAAGATCCCGCCATCCTCGACCTCTTGCTGGCGCAGGGGGCGGACATCAATGCAGTCCATCCCGGGGACGACTGGCTGATGCCGCCTCTTCATGTCCTGCTGATGAGACGAGATGTGCCCGAGCAGCTGCTGGACGCTTTTATCAAGCACAACGCCGACACCAATTCGGAGAACGCGGCTTCCGCCCGGCCTTTACAGATGATCTCTACCAACGGTCAGCTCGAGAATCTCAAGATCCTGCTGAAGTCGGACAAGCTTGAGATTGACGACACAGATTTCCACGGCACCACTGCCGTGCACGAAGCCGCCTTTTTCAACTACAGCAAGTGCGTGGACGCACTACTCGGGCGGGGCGCGGACCCGGACATCACAGACAAGCTCAACCGCGTCGCCCTGCACACGGCCGCGCGGAAGGGCTTTGCTAACAGCGTCCGCGTCCTCCTCAAGTACACCAAACAGGCCAACCTCCACGACAAGCAGGGCTGGACGCCGCTCTTTTGCGCGTGCCTCAGCAAGGACCAAGAATCCGCCCTGCTGATCCTCGATGCCCTCCTCGCGCTCAACCTTCCCCTCTCCGAGATCAACATCACCACCCGCTCAGGGCGCACCGTGCTGCGCCAAGCGGCCGACCACGGCTTCACGACGGTAGTCACGCGGCTCCTCGAGCTGGGGGCGGCAGAAACAACAACAACAACAACAACAACAACGACCGACACCCCCTCCCCCCCACCGACCCCCAACCCCGCCCTCCTCCTCGACACACCCGACACCAAAAAAGGCATGACCCCCCTCCACCGCGCCGCCGCCAACGGCCACGCCACCTGCGTCCACCTCCTCCTCACCGCCGGCGCCAACCCCTCCCTCCCCGACACCCACTCCCACACCCCCCTCGCCCTCGCCCACCAACAATGGGCCATCAACACCAAAACCACCGCCTACGAAGACATCCTCACCCAGCTCATCGACGCCGCCCCGGCCGCCGCCGCCGCCGACGCCGACCTCGTCGCCGTGTGCGCCGCCAACGGCAGCGTGTCCCTGCTGGAGCGCCTGTGGCGGCTGCACGCCGATCTGAACAGGCCCGACCGGTACGGGTGGACGCCGCTGGCGCTGGCGCGGCAGTTTGGGCGCGGGGAGGCCGAGGGGTTCCTGAAGCGGCAGGCGGCGTGGGCGAACCTGTTGCCGGGGCGGTGGGAGACGGGGTTTCCGGGGACGACGCCGTTGGGGGCGGGGAGTGTGGCAGAGGGGGGGAGGAGGGTGGTGCATACGAGTGGGAAGCGGGTTTGTGTGTCGGCGGATCGGCCGCTGCCGGCGGGGTTGGAGAGGTATTATTTTGAGGTTTCTTTGTTCGGGGAGGTGGGGGCTGTGGAGGGGGGGAAGGAGTGGCCTGAGATGGCGGTGGGGTTTTGTACGCTGGGTGGTGCGGCGTTGGAGTTTCCGGGTTGGTGGGCGGCGAGTGACAGTCCGTCGACGGCGAGATCGTGGGGATATCATTCGGATACGGGGGGGGTGTATTCGTCGGTGGAGGATAGGGAAGATTTTGTGGAGGTTACAATTGATGAGTTGAAGTATCGGGTTGGGGATACGGTTGGGGCTGGGGTCGATTTGGCCAAAGGAGAGATCTGGTTCACTCGGAATGGAGTACGGTTGGAGAGTGTGTTGAAGGGGGTTGAGGGACGCTTGTTCCCCGTTGTAGGGTTGCATGATGGGGTGTCCTTTGAGACGAATTTTGGGAGGGAAGGAGATGGGGAATTCAAGTGGAAAGTCGAAATTGGAGAGAAGAAGGTGCAGGAAACGAAGGGAAAAAAGGACAGCGCGGTGACGGAGGTCGTTCTACTCGGTGGCAAACCAGAGGACGATGAGAAGCAGGCGACCGTTCAAGTCACGAGCGAGGTAGTCATGGTTAGCTAGTTTGCCCGTTGATGCGATGGAGTGAAGATACATTGTGGTCGCTGGTCCAAATCAACACCGTCGACGGCGGCAAACTGTTCTCCGTGTACCCTAACCCTAACTTCCAACTTCTCTTCTCCCAGCTCTTGCCAAGCCTCGCAATGGTTGCCAATTCTGTCCGTGTTCCTGAGCAATGGGAGAGAACGGTTCTCTTTCTTACAGACGCCCTAGAATAAATAAAAAGAAATTCTCAAACACTTGTAGTTTCGATTCCATACCCGTTAACCTCTTCTGTACAGCGTACTTTGACCCCTCCCGGCTGGAACCGCGCAAAAAGGCAGCCCAAAAAGATAATTTGGGTCAGGTGACCCATTTTCTCGATCCACCCAGGGGTCGAACCTGGAACCTCCTGATTTACTTGTTCGTAGTCAGACGCTCTGCCATTGAGCCAGCGGACCTCTGTGTCTGCCATCCTTTTGATGTTGCATTGGGTTGCGGAGGAGCTGGTTAAATTGAAGGGAGGAAACTGTCGCGACATCGAAATAATGTTGATCTGGAAGTCCACTTTTCTGGCTTTGCGCCTCAGGTACGTTGTTGTTCCTTCCTACTTGGGTATGCAGGTGTTTCTTGCCTCGCGCAGAGGTCTCGCGTTCCTTCCTTCGCCTTGGCTGTGAGTGAGCCCAACGCGATAACTGCATACCGTTTACGGATGGGTCATGGTACCAACCTCGTGCATCGCCTCGACATCGCCCACGCCCGAGTTCCAACCTAATTCTTCATTCGGTTTGGACCCCGACACACGACAACCGAGAAGCTGCAGGCTCCACAAACGAAACCATCACGACGCTGCGATGCCAGGCAACCCGTCTTCACCCCTCCCGTTCAGCTCTTGTCGCATTCCACGCTCCAGAGTGGGGTTTTTATTTCCATTTAAAGAAAACGACGGATACTCTTTCCATCCATATTATCAATGGTACAACCCTGTGTTATCACGATCGCAAGCCCCCAACCCGGCGGGACCCTAACCATCCAAAGAAACCCCAGAATCTCCATGTTTATTTTTACCTCGTATTTCTGTTGGCCATCCATGCCAAGAACATGCCAAAAAAAAAGAGCATCAAGGAAGTGACATGAACAACTCCAACAGCAGCTCATAGTTCGGCGACCCCAACCCAGTCGCCGCATCCCACCCCTCAATGGCACGGAACCCATGGCGAGGTTCACACCCAGTATTCTCTCCATGCGCCACATCATCAAACACATCAGGGTGCTGATACAAGACCGGGTTGATGAACCCCACCGGCCCCTTCCCCGCTAACAGCCTCTCATTGTTCACCATGGCAATCATGGACGCCACAATAGGCGTAGCCGCCGACGTCCCATGGACCCGCCTGAACTCCCCGTTCAGCGCGATCAGGTAGTCGGTGGCAAGCGCCGAGATGTCCGGCACGCCGCGCCCCTGGGGATCAAAGCGATCGGTGATGTTGCGGCAGTGCAGCTGACGCTTCTCCAACTCGAGGTACGAGGTGGTGACGCCGGTCTGGTAGTCCGGCGCCGGGAAGACGCTGCTGAACCCGCCCGTGGAACTGGTGTTCGGCTTCACGTAGACGGTTTCCCGTTGGGGTGCGGTGGAGTTGGTGGTCGAGTTGAGGTTCTTCATGGTGCCGCCCACGGCGGTGACCCAGGGGCATGAGGCCGGGAAGGAGACGTGGAAGGGGCGGTCGGGCCCGTCCGTGGCGGGATCGTCGCACGCTGTGTGGCGACCTGCTGTGCCCTCGTCGCCCGTGCCCGCGATGATGGTGATGCCCATGAGGCCGAGCTTGAGGTACTCGTCGCACTGTCGGCGGAGGTAGTCCTGGGGGAAGCCGGCTTCGGCCCAGGCGTACGAGACGGAGATCACCTTGGGCGGGGTGTGGGTGCCGCAGTCGAGCTGGTGGTATCCATCATCGGGGGCGAGGGGGTTGGGCCACTGGGGATCGAGCTCCGGGTCGAGTTGGTCACAGTAGTAGTCGTCGTATGCCGCGAGCATGTTGTTGAGGTTGCCCGCGACGTATTTGTCGCCGACTTGGATGTTCATGACGGGCTGCGGCCACGTGAGAGCCATGGCATACTGGAAGTCGAGGTTGGGCTCGACATGATGGTAGATGCTCTTGAATGTCTCGCTGTCGAGGTGGCCGCCATCGATCCGTTGCATCACAGGCCGGGCTCCAGTGAGTTGGGGCTCAAAGGTGTCAAAGTACTGGTCGAGGTCTTTGGCGAGCCAGGCGACGGCAGCGGGCTGGTAGATGCCAAAGCTGTTGTTGGGGTGGGTGGGGTAGGTGGCGTTGCGGGAGGGAATCTGATACCACTCTCGGATGCATTGGGCTGTGTTGAACTGGTTGCAGTCCATCTGCCGCTGCCTCTTTGACAACCTGGCGTGGCGACCAAAGTTGCTGACGGGGATAGGGGGACCGACATGGTCGTCAATCTTCAGCAGTGAGGGCACGGCCGGGTCTTGGACAGGGAACACGGTTGGGATGATGAAGTCGATGGACTCCAGGAGGTTCTCTGGGACCTGGTACTCTAGGCATGCCACGCTGGTCTCGCCGCTGGCCTTGTGCGTGTAGGTGAAGTATTCGGTGTCAAGCCATGCCTCCAAGGCACGGACGGTGATGTTGAAATCGACTCTGCAGAGGCACGGAGAAAGACGAATCTGAGCGCGGGGTAGGTTGGCTTCTTCCTCAACCCAGTCGAGGACGGCCTTGATCTCGTCTCTGGGGAGGGCGAAGGCCCGAGTGACGTCTAAGGCGGACCAGTAGCGACCGAACGTCGAGCTTGACGGGTCGGACAATGAGACGAGGGCGTCGACGGCCTCCTCGGTTGACCTCTCGGCCAGGTCGATTTGGACAGGAACGATCAGGTCCGGGTCGGCCCTTGGCCCCCGGTCCCACTCATTGTGCTCAGGAGGTGCTCGCTTGTGGATGGCCGTCAAGGTCCACGGGGAAGCCGAAGCTGCGAGGAGAGCCTCGCCAAAAAGCAAGGCGCATAGGAACAGTGCCCGATGAGGAGACATGGTAAAAGGCCGACGAATCGCCGCGGAGAATACGACTCACAGACGTGAGGGCGGGAGGGGAGTGGACAGGTGATGTGGTGCAAGCGGTGGGATAATTATATTGTGGCACAAAAGCAGCCCGCTCAGGGAATCCTACATCCAGCTGAATGCATTGTCGATCTTGATGTCGGAATAATGACTGGCCGCTGTACAGCCTCGGCTGACAGTGACTCTCGCCCTGTTTGCATTTATTTGCATTGCTTACGGCTGAAGCGGACTGGTTTTGGGGCAGCTCAGGCAGGAACGTGGCGCTGGGAGTGAAGCACCATACCATCGAATGTAGAATTAATCTACATTGCAGATCTTGGAACTTCGCCTCAACCATTGACATCCCCGGATTTCCCCACACTCCCCCCTTTTAAGCAACTTCGGTGTAACTCGGAGGCTGGGCACGTCCAGGAACCAACACCGACAAACACCGACAAAATGTCAGAGCAACTTGAGAGGTTCCGATGTTGTCACCTGCAACAAGGAGCACAACACAGCCAAGAGCGAGACTCTGACCTGTGTAACTCGACCTTTCAGGCACACCACCGTCAGCCAGGGGTCGGTGACCGAGATAGAAATGGGATGATACCTAGCTTGGCGATTGAGTCTTTGTGTCTTGAGAATCGAGCATAAATAGGACGGGACGCCGCGGCCTTCTCGACAAAACTTCTGCTCATCATCACAGCACTCGCACCTCAACTCAACACTCCCTCAACCAACTACCAAACCCACAAGACTCAGTCTTTAACCACTCCAACCTTCAAAATGAAGTTCTCCGTCGCCATCGTCTCCCTTGCTTCCCTCGCCGCCGCTGCCCCCAGCGCCCCGGCCCCCGTTGAGGTTCGCGTAAGTACTCTCTATCCTCCTGAGCGAGAATGAGACAGAGCAGCAGAATAGCGAGCTAACTTGGGATTTACCTAGTCCGGCGAATGGGTATGACTCTTGAATCCCGCAATCCTCAGACACCTGAAACTAACCACACCTAAACAGCTCGCCTGCCTCAACCCCTGCGTCCGCGGCTGCCCCAAGCTCGGCTGGGCCTACCTTGCCTGCGTCGGTGCCTGCGAGGTCACCTGCGGCGCCATTGCCAACCCCGGCGATGTCATCGACCTTGATGGCCTCCGTGAGCTCGGCGTTGAGGTCGACGATGTCGAGGCCTAAGCGTTTCAACACCAACTACCGCCTGTGAGACTGGAGGGTTCAGATTGGGGGATGATTGTACTTGTTGAGATGGGTGCCTGTGTTTCTAATACTGGAGGACGGATGTTAGGGATTGGGTTGGGAGTCGAAACCTTGACTCGGAGGGCAAATTCAACTTTGCCCGCGGTCATTGCACGCACCACGGCTAGCTAGCTCACTCAATGATATCCTTGCCTTCCGATCTGGGACTGGTAACATGAAAATGAAGTGAATCCGTGACCAACGGAGTTGCCCAGGGTGTTTCGTCTAACAATCGGATAGGTCCCACTCATATCGGCCATGAGAGGATCGCTCGAGCCATGATCGGCTCTTGAGAAAGAAATAGTAATAATCAAACAACTCCAAACCATTCTTCCGAAGTTACTTGTTTATTGACAGAAAGCCGGGCTTATCACGGGGGCGGCTAAGAAACGTATTGAGACAGGTGGGGCAGGCAACTTGAAAAGAAGTAAACCCATCCATATGGTGGCCCCCTATTTCTCTTCTTGAACGATCGACGCTAATTAGGTACCTACCTAGGTACCTACCTAACCTGCAACGCGACTGGAGCACTCGGATATTGAGGACCGACGGTTGCTTGTGCCAGCCACAACAAAGTTCGGCAAACCCACCACCGACTGTATTTGCCAACACTAAGTTACGTACACTCACCATTCCTAGCCTGCATTTGTCAGATGCCGTTGTCTGAAAACAAAGCGGTCTAGAGAAAATGGGGTTAGCTCAACTTAATTAATAACAACTTGCCATCCGCTCCCGTGCTGCTGTTGATGACTGGCGGATTTTAACCCGGTGCCTACCTAGGTAGGTAGGTACCTAGGTAGATAGTGTCGAACAGATTGCGACAACCGCTAATTTTTCCCAAACCACAAGAGAACAATGAGTGTCGGAGTTACATTGTCATCAACACGGTATGAGGTGATCACTCCACCCGGAGGTTCGAGGAGTGAAATCATGAGATATTCTTTACTTCTAGTCTTGAACACTTTTTAAGGTGAAACGGAACAGGTTACCATCTTTCCAATGGGGATCGATCACATTCACACTAACGATGTTTACCTCTCAGGTGTGCAGTTATGCGGACTCCTCGAACGAGGCTCAGCTCTGTCGGTAACCGTTTACAGTAGAGATTCGGGCAGATTATTCGACGATGAGGCCCTCCATTTCAGATTTCCGCCAGTAATGACAGGTACCCTACCTGAGCTACCTGGAAACAGTTACCGAGCCGCTCATTAAACTAGCCAATTAGGGTCTTACACACATGCGCAGTATGCCAGAAGTGACGGAATGCATTTCTTTTGGCAAGCCTCGCTCGAGGCTCGCAAGGCAGACTGGTGGCAGTGAATTAGACCGTCTTAACTCTCTCAGCTCGGGCAACCACTGCAATCCCCCGCTTTTGAACCCAAGCGGCACAAAAAAGTGAGCAGACTTTTCCCTCCTTCCTCCCTCCTTCAACTTCAACTTCTGCGATCAGAATCCCATCAAGATTCTCTCACAAATCCGACCCACCATCACGGTCATCACTTAACCAGCAAGAAGCAAGCTTGTTGCGATAAAACCTTTGGGCAACTCTTCGATCAGGTTGCGTGCGTGGTTGTAGAAAGCCCCTCCCAGAACCTTCTGCACGTTCGCAACCATGTCCACGCAGGTGAGTCAACTTTTCAATTCTCCCCGATTCCTCCCTCTCCCAGTGGGAACTCGGTGGACGTAGCTCATCACCCAACCGTACAGAAGAACGGAGTCGCGAATACTCGGCAGTCGACCGGCCGGTACAGGGTCAACTTTATCGCGGCCAGCGGCCACGAGGAGCAAATTCTGGTATTGTGCGATCCAGAAAGCACCATCGCCAACCTCCGGGATGAAGTTGGCCGTCGTCTCAACAGAGCGGGCATTCCGGTTGCCGCCACCCAGCTACGACTCCGTTTGGATTCCAGGACGGGACCGCTGCTCAGCGAAGATGATCCGGTTGGCCTTGTGCTCCCGGACCAAACCGCCGAGGTTGTCTTCGCGCTTGAGGCAGGCGTGGCAAACTCTGCAGTGGTCCCCCCCAAGAACCAGACCGGCGAGTCTGAAAACCCCCCAGCAGCCCGAGAGACTCGCGGCACGCAACGAAACCACCAAGATGCGGACATCGTGGCGGAAGGCGCCGGCGGTTCCATCAAGGTCCGTGTTGTGACTCCCCACTTGGCTCGACTCCATAAGAATACGAAGGAGGTTTCGGTGATGCCCGTCACATTTTCCCCCCAAACAACCCTTCGCCGATTGTACGAGGGGGTAGCGCAGCATCTGAGCCTGCCGACAGTTGTCGAACCGGATCGCGACAAACTCCATCACGAGTGCAACTGCTCTTTGGCCCGCGCTATCCACCAGGGAACCCTTTTCAGGACTCCGCCCCAGACACCCGCCGCGAACCGTATTTTAGTCATTCACTCGAGGAATGTCGTTGAGCCTATGGATTGTGCACATACCGGCGAGGACGCGGTTATCAGGGCAGTTCGGGCGCACTATAGCGCACGCTCTGGATCCCACGTCGATGGGAAGAACCTGCGATTCTTTGCCGCCGTACCCTCGGCAGGTGGGGACACCCTTTTACCCCTTTCAAGTCAAGTGCAGAGCCAGGATGGTGAGGGCGCTCCACGGCCTCTCATGACCCCAGCGATTGTTACCATCTGCTCAGCCAAACGTCACCGAAGATACGAGATCGCAGACGACCAGAATGCAGACCCGGCGTCGCCAACCACGGCCGCCGTCCTGGACCTCCATACCGCTGAATGTCCGATCTTGACCCAGGATGTTGACCTCACACTCGAGGAACTTTGCCTCACCGAGCTAGCCATCGACGGGGTTCTAACCATTTATGCTGTTCCCCGGCAGTTTTCATCGGCCCCCGCTGGAGCTCTGAGCAGCAAGCGCGGCCAAGACGCCATCTACGTTAATGGTGCTCACTGGGAATTGCCAACAAAGCAAACCGAGCGAGGCATGGCCATGTTTCTGTCCAGTCTCCGAATGGCTGTGCATTTGATCAGCCGCTATGAGAAAGCGGGAAGGGCCGAAGAGTACCATGATAGCGCGTTGCATCTCCTCCACGTTTTGACCAGATTTCCACCCGCGGTGCGGGCCTTGCACATCCTCCTCGAAGGCAGCGTAGCGGCCGAGGAAGAGTGTGCGGCTCTCATCCACGCCTGCTACGAGGTCATGGTGGATATGATGGCGACCTCGGTCCTTGCAAGAAACAGGGAAAATACCCTCGAGGGATCTCGGCTTTTCTTCAGCACTCTCTTGGCCAAAGCCGAAGAACTCGCAGTCCGCGACGACCCCAGCGGATCCATCCTTCCCTACGTCTGTTCCATGAAGTCCGTCAACCTAACAAATAGCGAGACCATGGAACCCATCGCGTCCCCAGTCGACACCAATGTCGGTATGATGGAGCAAGGATGTTTCGACGCCTTGAAGGCCGGCATCATTCGGTTCCCTGAGGGCGAACTGAACCAATCTCTGAATCAGACGGTCCTCGACGGCCGAACCAAGAGGGCCGTTATTCTTGGCGGGGGTACGCTTTTGACCAACACCATGTTCGACATGGAGATTGCGTACTCGAGTGGCCGCTACACCGACAACTTTGACGAAGCCAAGATCTTTCCCGCGGGCGAACTCACCAACATCTTACAACATGCTGCCAATGCTTTCAAGGCAAAGCTTCAGGTGGTGGCTCCGGCATCGTTGGGCTCCGCACCGAACCCCGTCTTGACTCTTGACCGGGACGGCTTTCTCGCCGTCTATCGTGGGAGGAGGCCATGCGGTGACCCGGGCCGAGACTTCATCATATTCCGACCAACCAAAGGCGGCGAGTGTGAGATCGACATCTCCATCGTTGCGCAACTGCTAGAGCCCATCATTGCTACCCGTGTCGCGGACGGTACCGCTATCTTCGATGGCGAGTTTTATGCCGCACAGCGCAGATCCGACAAACCGGACGAAATTCTCATGATCTGCGTGGACTGCAGCTCAAGCATGTCTGAATCGGCAGGTTTTGTTGACACCACAACATCCCACGATGACGATGAAGATGATGGAGGGCGATCAGAGGCAGATGGTTTGCTTGCCGAGATTCGTGAAAACGAGATATACATCGGCAGCCTTGAGGATATGAAGGAAACCTTGCAAGCGCATGAATCGTTCGGTGATATGGTGCATACAGTTAGAACCGGCCGCCAGGGGACAGAACGATCTCTATCGAGTCAGCTCATCAAGCGAGTCATTGAGCTGAACATCACGAAGCTTATGCACAAAATGGAGAAGCTAGAGGGCGTTCGACAACGCGTATGGAGAGACCGAACTGGTGAGGGCAGGCAATTGGAAGACACGATAAACATTCTCCGCAACCAAATCGCCGGATTTCTCGCCCACGAAGCCGCACTTTCCGAGTTTCTGATATACCGCGGCTGTGGGATCACCGAATCTGGGCAGCCCAACGGCTGGCGATGGAGCAGCGGGGATGCGATCCCGGCCCTTCCATCAAACGGACCGGGAACGCCCCAATTCGCTTCCACGTCCCTGGGCCTTACGGTACCACATGATCTCCGCTGTCCAATGACTCAAGAGCTTTTCCGGGAGCCGGCGTCCACTCAGGACGGACATACCTACGAGACTGCCGCGATTCGCAAGTGGCTGCGCATTGCCGAGACATCCCCCCTTACCGGACTTCGGCTCTCCTCAACCCAGCTGACCATCGACAGGCCGATGTTGCTGCGGGCCAATACCTGGGCTGAAGGCGCAGAGGTCCTTCCTGCCACTCCCTCAAGACGTCCATTTGCGCGAAGAAGTGTCACCTTGGTTCGAGTCCACTTTGTATCCCCCCTCGCTCAGTTTACGCGGTTGGTGCCGCCAGCTACTTCGAAGTCGGCCCTGTATGAACTGGCATTTCGGGGGCTGCGAGGTCAGTACCCAAACTTCTCTCTCGTCCACGATGGCTTAATTTTCCGGCCCGGTGCCGAACGTCTTTCCATCTTGATCCCGACCGATGGGTTCCGCATCACGATCCGGTTACCCGAAACGGGGCATGCCCAAACGGCTTCTGGGGATGGATCAGACCTTTGTCTCGTCAAGGTTTACCGCTCTCACGGTTCAGCCGCGTTTTCGTATTGGGTGAGGAGGGATACAAAAGCCACGGTTGGCAGTGTTCTGTTCAAAACATTCCGGCATGTTCGCGAAGTCGGCACTTTCCCAAGCGGTAATGCTTGGACGGGGATAGACGTCGTTTGGCATTCGCTGAGGTACACGGGAGACGGGAAGATGAATGGCACAGCTACGCGTCACTGGGAACAGCTTTCCGGGTTGCTCAAGGCACAGTACGCCACCGGAGTGCTGGGACCGGAACCGCTATATGCAAAACCCATACACGACGGTTCGGGAGGTAGCAGTGGGGGCACAGAGGAAAACACCACGTCGTCCCCTAAGTCACAAGGACCCATGGTTTTGAAGTTATACGTCTGCGGCCCTTCTCGAAAAGGCAAAGACAGGGCCTATAGTTCCCGCCTGAGTATCCTCAAGCAAATGTTCGACCAATTCGTCAACCGCATTCTTGCTTACGGTTACTCAACGCATCTCGGTCTCATCAAGTTCGACAACACCGCTCAGGTCGCCCAGCGGCTCTCGCCCGTGATCGAGAACTTTCGAAACACCGTCCAGGAACTGAAACACACAGGAGACACAGCATTATGGAACGCCCTTGCGCTGGCTCGAGATCAGATCCAGGAGTACTCTGCCGCCTACCCGGATGCCAAGAAGAGGATCTTGTGCATCTCCGACGGCGTTGACACCAGTTCAAAGACCAACACAGGGTCGAATCTCTGGAAGCACCTGGCGGACGACGAAATCGTAGTCGACTCCTTCTGCCTAGGCCAGGACGAGAACTCGGATCTGCGCACCGTATCCTACCTCACCAACGGGTACAAGTTCCACCCGCGATCCCTGGAGCAGGCCATGGCCATCTGCGAGATGGAGCCCGTGCTCTCGCAGCTCGAGCGCCCCCTGGCCGAGATCTCCGCATCACGGCAAAACACCCCGAGACCCTGGCCACGCGCCGGCGAACGATTCAGGCACGCGCGCTCGTCCGCCACCGCCGAGGTCGTCACCCAAGACATCTTCCCCAAGCGCATCGAGCACCCGAGCCTCAAAGACGACTTCGTCGAGCTCAAAGCCGTCCCGCGGCGCCTGCTGGCCGAAACCCGCAACCCCACCAACACCACCACCGGCACCACCACCAGCACCACCACCGGCACCACCCCCGCCGCAGCAGCGGCAGTCTACCTGCGCACGCACCGCATCCTGACCGAGATCCAGCGCATCGTAGCCGACCCGCACCCGCACGCCGACGTCTACGTCAGCGAGCGCGACATGTCCTTCTGGAAGGTCGTGCTGCAGGGCCCGCCAGGCAGCGTGTATGCCGGTGGGACGTTTGTTGTTTACCTGCACATGGAGGAGGACAGCTACCCGTCGTTCGCGCCCAAGGCGCGGTTTGTCACCCCGATCTATCATCCAAATGTGAATCGCCACGGCAGGATTTGTCATAGTATATTGGATCGGAATTGGACGGTTGATACGACAAATGCGATGGTGATTGCGACGGTGTATGGGTTGTTGATGGAGCCGGATTATAGCGATCCTGTGTAAGTGCATTGCTGTGGAGTTGTCTGGGGGTTGGTTTGAAGGGGTGGAGCTAACTTTTGGGGATAGGAATATTGTCGTGACGCTTGACTTTCATCACGATCAGGTCGCGTTTGCTGAGATGGCGAGGGAGTTCATCCAGAGGCATGCGACCAAGACTCGGGCGCAGTGGAGGGCTGAGATTCTGGGGAGTCAGATTGGGCATGCTGACGCTGCTCCGGACGTTGCTAGGACATGAATTTCCGTGTTTGAGGAGTCTGGTCGTTTTTCTTTTTTCCTTTCTTGTCTTCCTACCCTTCTTCACAGGGGCGCTAAAAGGGCCGATGTGGATGCGGTCGTGGCAGGGGGCATGATCTGGGAATAGCTTCATCCGAGTAGCTTGGCACTTGTGAGCTAAGGGTAGCCGAGGCCTTTACAGGGCCCAGGCCGTTACAGGGGGGGCTCTTGTTGCGAGAGACGGGAAACGGTGATGCAGGATGATTGGGTGCTGTGGTGTATTGTTCAGTGGCAAAGACCAGATTAGGTATATAAGGCGATGACAATACAACATTTGTGTGCATGGTCGGCCCGAAGACGTCAACCCCGACTTCCAAGTGCGAGCTCAACCTCAAGGATTACTGTAGAAGAGGGGGCGGGTTACAACGAGAGGATGCGCTATTGATACCTTGCGAATGTTATTGGTTACCAGCTCCCCTGTTGCGTAACGGTGAACCACCTTAACTTTCTCGCGGGACAACCTCAGTCCATGCTGACGGTGCCTTGGACTTTTGGGCGGAGTTTCTTGGTCTGACAAGAACCTCATTGGTTTTTCTGAGACTGTGAAGGCCGTTGGAACGTTGCAATGCATTTTCAGCCGCAACATCAAGACGTTTAACTGGCTTGGCCTCCGAAGGCACGGCGGTGAACCAAAGGGAGGGGGAATTGTCGGAGGAATGACTTGCCTTGATAAAGATTGGATTCAATCAAACTCGGCTGTGCAGTTCTTCTACCCATGTGTTTCCTTGAGTCCTCATCTTAATCTTGTCGGGTGCTGAGACAAAGGCGTACACTTCATTGAAGTTCATTGTTACACATCACCCAAACAATTGGCAAACACCAGTGACCATGGTGTTGCTCACAACGGTCCTCCTTGGCATCGTTCGCCTCTGCCACGCCGACCTACACTGGAGCGGGGACACCATCTCAGTTCCCGGTCGGATTAAAAACCCCGAGGCCTTCGCGGCAGCTCACCGCGTGGCGTCAGGCTCGTCATCGTCTGACTCGTCTCCCGTACAAGCAGCCGTCGGAAGTCCGCTTGGTGGCATCGCTACCGACGAGATCCTAGGCCGCCGCGACCTCGCTTTGTTCGATAGGCAAACCTGTCCCCCGACCCATCCGTGTAAGCTGCTAAACGACTTGACACTCCTCAGCCGTCCCTTCGGGGCTCTAGAAAAGCTAACGGCATACACTAGTCCCCTGTGCTGGCAAATGTTGCCCAGTTGGGTCCCCGGTTTGCGTATGTACCTGAAACTACACTTGCAGGGCAAACTGTGCCCTGACCTGGCCATGCTTCGGATGCTGACCGCGCGGTACTTGATTCTCTAATAGTGTATCTCTGTCAACGGAGGCTGCTGCGCCTCGAACAAGCCCGTCTGTCAGCCCAACGGTTGCTGCGCTACGGGCTCAACCCAGTGCCCCAACGACAGCCGTACCTGCAGGAAACCCGGCGAGACATGCTGCGGTAACGGAGGGACTTGCCCCTCGAACAAACCCGTCTGCTCTCCCGGCAATTTGTGCTGCCCCTCGGGCACGACCTTGTGTCCCAACGACCCGACCATGTGCAAGGAGCTGGACGAGCAGTGCTGCGGCGCTGGGTTCAAGTGTCCCGTCTGGGCGTCGTGCTGTGGTACGGGGGGCGCTTGCTGCGATTCGACGAATCCCAAAATTAGCCAGTGCTGCCCAGGATCATCTCCGGACAAGGATACATGCTGTGGCGAGCATGAAGTCTGCTGCGACGGGTGGTGTAAGTGTGCCTCTTCAAGAGCCAACGTCAACATCCCCAAATCCACGCATACCGCTGACCAAAGTACCTGATTCCGCTTTCCAGGCTGCCCCGAGTCTTCGACGTGTAGTACCACTCCTGGATACTGCAATGTGCCAGTTCTTGAGTTCGGATACACACCTAACAGCATTATCTCCGATGTAAGTATTGTCTGCGTACCTACCTGGGTATTTAGGCTTGAGTGGTTATGAAGCCAAGAACTAACGCTGTGCGTCTGTCTACCTAGCTGGTTGAGAACGTTTGCCTCGGTAGGTCTAGGGCATGTCAAGGCTTAACCGTAGCCAGCTGCTGATCGGCGAAACAGGATTACGACGCCAGATAGCACTGCAGATTCCGGAGACGACGCCGAATCAGCAAATCCTAACGTATTACGGCCCGGGCTCTCCCAACCGGGAACTATCAGACTGTAGGAGCGGGCGTAAATGCTGCACAGGTACGTGCCTACTCATAGCCTTTGACTCTGGTGATACATAATGAGAGGCTGACTTTGAATGTTTGCTGCACTCACTAGGCCGGACAGTCCCGGCAGGGGAACCCGGGGCGGGCGACAAGGCCACTTGCGACGAGTACCCGTTCAACTCGGCCACCCAAGGCGGACGGAATGCGCACGTCGCGTGTGTGAGTGAACACGCCAATAGCGCTGGGGGTGATCTTATCGGACGCATGGTTTCCGGAAAGCACGCTGGCTTCAAGTATGCTTTGAGGGTAACGGGCATCGACTGCACGACTGTTCAGGACTCTGACGTCCACGGCTGCAACCCATGAGCGAAGCGTTGTCTAGTTCATCAAGGATTACTAAATAGGAATTAAAGTAATGGCTAAACGTGTTGGGTTTCGCGTTGTATAGTCTTCCCTGAGTGAAATGCGGTGCGTTGAGAGTTAGGGACGTACCGAGCCACGCCATCCAGCTGCTCGGGGGTGGCGCTAAAATAGGTGTTCACATTTCGCATGACCCGTTGTTAGCGCTATTGTACAGATTATAGACGTGTCTCAATGATATTGCGACCCGGGTTGTATAGCCGCGAGATGAATTAGTAGTTGTGTGACCGATTTAGTACCTACTGTCTTTGGTTGTTATGTCAATACTACACCACCTTTGCCGGCGCCTCGCGAGCGGGATCTAGGAGTCATGAGTAAACCGCAAATACGAGGCCGAGTACGCGGCCTTCGGGTTTATTCGATAGAGGTACCTAGGTATTACTGATACCTGGACAAAGGCAAGGGGCAAGTACTCTAGGCGGGACGCGAGTCCCGATAACTCGCTGCGCGTGGCATTGCGGAATTGTGCATGCTGGCAAAGTAACTCGGTCGTCTCTATGTCATCTTCGGTCATCTCCCGGACCGCCAGAAGGGGCCCTCCCTTGAGCAATCTCGATCCGCCTTGTTTGTTCCTGGTCGTCACAAGGATTGTGCCGTGCGAGCGATCGGGAAGGTAGGTACCGTCCGAGGTTCCCTTGGTGGCCACCGTGGTCTGGTGTTGCTACGGCGGGGGGGCTGATTTCTCCCTTGTTTGGTCCCTTGGGATTCGTCTCGTTGGCGGAAGAAGAGCTCCGTATCATCCGCGTTGTCGATGGTCATTAGCCACCCGCCGCGTTGGGTCTTTTCCAGCCAGTGTTTTACCAGCTCTAGCATGTCTGTTCCAGCATCATAGCGACCCAGGATCTGACATTCTTGCGCAATCTCACCGTAGGCATGGTGAAACCGCTCGGCGCTGGTTGCGTGGACCCAGAAGACTGATACATCGCCGAGTTCGTGCTGAACCTAGTATGCATATTGGATGGCTATTTGCGTTTTTCTGTAAGATTTTAACAACTCGTTTCAGTACTTATTTGTTATATGGCACTCGGCCGACTGAGCACACCCGATGCCACCAAGACCGAAGAGCGCGACCCGCCTCGGTGAGTTGGGTTTGAATAGAAGCTCCTGCAAATTGCGGAGGAGTTCTGTCCGGCCAACAAAGTCTTTGTTCTCCGCGTACGGGATGAGAACTGTGACGGCGTAATGTTAGAGCGACTTTGGTAGAATGATCAGGTGCCACTCTCACGTACACCAATTGTTGTCTGGCCGTGGAGTGGCCGAAGGGGTGGCTTCGGGCGAGACCGTATTGAAAGTAATTGAACCGTTGTTCACCCCTAGTTGAATCCCTTGCTGGTTCCTCACTTCAAACGCCACCGTCGATCGCGGTTGCTCCATTTCGCAAACCGACTGGGTATAACGAGTCGATGAGTATCACTTGAGGGTTCGACGCGAGATTGTGTTTGTGGAAACATACTGACCCAAGATACGAACCCCTCTTTTCGTGATGGTTGCGTATGTCCTGCATCCCTCCACGTGCCGAATGATTATTCGCGCAATGTTAGAGCGCGGGCGTCAATGCAGACTTCGAGTTACACAATGCGTGCTGAGCTATTCCTAAAGCCGCGAGAATAGTATCAAAGATCGGAAGACACGATGATGTAAAGATTGGTTAAATTTGGTTCTGGTCACATATGCTCCGTGACCCTCGGGGTCAAGAATGTGTGATTCATGTGGTGATGGATTGGGAGCGCGGAAACACGAGTGATGAGCACGAATCACAACTCAACGCCGGGTCATAACGTCACCGAGCTGCCAGTTTAAAATGCGAGCGGTTTCTCACTTTCGACATTGTCCCCACAATGGACAACCACCGATCACCCGGTTACTTAGCATCAATGCGTCGGACTCGAAACTATCACTCCACCCCGATAACATAGCTCTCACCGTGCCCAGCCCTCTGCCAGTACTCGGCAAGCCAGCCCGTGCCGCAGCCCTCGAGGACCTTGGCCGTCAAGAGCGCCTCGGCCCGATCCCTATCCCAAAACACCATGCCCAGCCACCTCCACGAGTACGCCAACTCCCTGACATATCTGTGCTCTCCCCAATTACCGTCCGAGGCCCTTTCCGGCACCAAGTCATGGCCCCACCGTACCACCCTCTCCCCGTTCCAGGCATCGATCCAGGCCCACGGCGGGTCGGTAGGCGAGTCACCATCGAAGCCGATCCGCACCACCGGGCCCCGAGCCAGCCCCCTCAGCAGCTCCAGCGCGGCTCTCGGGGGGGGGCCGCGCTCTCTGCCACACCCATCGGCAGCTCGAGTTGAGCCAGGGGATGTGTACCCCGGCGCCGAGCAACTTTCCCGTGGTGGCCCTGGGATTCAGCATCAGCCTAGCCGGGAGCTCGCCGTCGGAGCGCTGGGCCTCGGTCAGCTTGGCGTAGAATTCTGGCAGCTTCGGGAGGTAGTTTGCGTCGTAGCCCGCACGGAAGTGGTCGTAGAAGCCGCTGATTCGGGCGCGGGGGTCGTCTTTGGCTAGCTCCCGGCGGAAGCAGTCCGAGGTTGAGAAGACGAAATGGCTGATTTCGGACACCTGTTCTAGCTCCCAGCTTTGAAAGAGCCCGAGCATGTTGATGAAGAAATGATCGGCCTTCGTTGCTTGATGGAAGGCTGGGTGGTGCAGGCTGGCGATTATCTGGTACCGTATCAGCGCCTGGGCGACGCGGCAGCGCTCCGCTTGGCTGGCGCTCCATGTGCCGCATGGCGGGCCGCGCTTGTGCCGGAAGTATTGTATCCGGATATTGATGTATAGATCGACGAAGTAGACCACTGGCCGGGTGAGTCTTGCCATGTGGACGGCTGTGTCGACGTCCAAGCCCTGGACCCAGGGCGCCTTGTCTGCTATGAGAGCCTGACGGTAGGCGCCGATGGCGATGTCGAACGCTTGTTCAAGGGTTCCCGCTGCTAACATGTCGATGCCGTCGGTAAGGGACATGATGAAGATATCTCTAATGGCCGGTCCCAGTTCGTTTGTTATTACGTCGCAAAGTATCGAGACCTTTGCCGAAAGGAAAGAATTAAGCACGGTTGGAGAGGCACGGATGAAGGCGGCGAGGTCGACTAGTAAGTGACTCGCGGAGAGTATGGTGACCAGGCAGTCTATGTTCATCGACTCGAGGCGACATGATGGTATTCTGCCGTAGCTCGACCTGATATGCGCCATGGCGAGGGTACCCATGGGACAACGGTGGTAAGGGTCGGGCGACGGAGAGGGCGACAGTGTGGCACCAGGCAGAGGTAGATCTAATCATATGATGGTCATCCATACCATGAGTCACGGTCGCTGTCTGGGACGCGGGCTTGCGGCACAAGTCCAAAGCATGGAATAATCTGATTGGACAAAACATGGTGCTCTGTTCCTCGAACGTCAACTGCGCCCGGCCGACAACCAGTTGCGTTTTGGTCCTTGGGAACGGGACGCATCTAGCAAACATGGTCATTCTTCGATCCTAGGCTCTCAGAGTTCCATAAGCAGAGCAGGTCTCGCCAGAGAGGACCTTGTCAACCATGTCGAGAACCATCCCGATGGACTGGACGCCGATATTCCCATGGACAAACCGCACGCTGTTGACCTGCTCCGACTGATGGCGCAGTATCCAGCTGTGACAGCCATGGCACTCAAGACGCTGGAGCCCTCAGAAGAAGAGCCAGTATTTTCTCGCAGCATTAGAGAATCGAAGCTGTTGGAACCCTGCGCGCGTGATGATGGGAATGTGTCCACACTCAAAACGATCCGATTCTCGCAAGCTTCTTCCAGCCAGCCTTAAACCCAACCTCTCATCCATTCAACTTGGATCGGGCTCAACTCAGTTAGAGATTTGCGAGCACGCACAGTTTTCTGTGACGGAAGTCTGGCGGACGGTCCGTTCTGGACTATGATGATGAGTTAATTATGGAAGTCCAACAGTTTTGGTGCCTAGACCTTTTCCAGGTGCTTTGTGTAGGATGATGATTCGTTGTCCTGCTCGTTGAAGGTGATGGGTAGAAGTTCAAGTAGGTACCTTGGTACATATGCTACCTATGGTATGTACATACCTTGTCATCTTGGCAGACCTCCTGCAGATTGTTTAGAATAAATCCTTCTAAATCGACCCAGAGCAGCCAACCGTTCCCCATGGCGTCCCTCGCTGCCTGGGTTAAGCAGTATAATTTCCCCAGCCCCCAACATGGTTCAGGCTCACTCTGATTCCATCATTGACATATTAAATCAGCCGTCAGAAGCAATCTTGAATCATGGAAAAAAAGCACCGGGATTCCTAATCGAGACCGGAGCTTTGAGACAAGGCGGTGGAACGGCCAAGTTGAATCGAGATGCACGCGATGGAACCACAAGTTACACTGCACACCAAAGGTCCGATAATAGCCTAAGTCCCCTTCTCTTTATACCCGGTTCCTCTGGCCACTGTCAATCACATGCGTCCGGTCGAATAGGCGCCCCAACCGGAGTATTTTGATCTTGAAAGACCGGAACTGCTTCGGGTTAGCGGCCACTGCCAATGCCGGCGGTGGGACTTCAGGGGCGGCAATGAAGTCCTGATTGGTTTGCTCTTTTCTCTAAGCTTATCCAGAGAGGCAAAAAATGGATGCCCGGACTGTACCGGGTACCCGGCTACCGAGATGCAGCGTTACGATCTGTGGGGAATCGATTCGCCCCAGATCTTTGGGTCCCAAGCGCCGCAAGGTCTTCCCGATCGAGGTAGGGATAGGCGCTCGACTCGGATAAGAGAACCAAGACGACATGGTAAGGTGGTTATTCCGTTACTGGAGCACGTGGAGTCGTACCAGGAGTATAAGAAGGCTTCGTGGGTACTTACCTGACTACGGAGCTGGATCTCACATTTCCCACAACTCCACTCCGCGTTTAAACGCCGTGTTTTAGGGCACTTTTACCCACAGCAACGCAACGATGAAGACTTTATTGCCTGCTTTGATCCTGGCGGGTCAACTATCCGCCAGCCCTGTCGTGATCGAAGAGCGCCAGAACAGTGTTGGCACTGGTCCATTTGCTCCAGCGGTATGCACTCACCCGGAATAGCATATGCACCCATGTATCGAACCCAACTGACAATACCCTTTCCAGGGCTACTACACAAGCAATGCCTTCGGCGGGCACACCTTCTACGCGCCCAAGACGATCCCCTCCGACGCCAAGCTCCCCGTCCTCCTCTGGGGCAACGGCGGCTGCTCCGCCGACGCGACAGGCCAAGCCCCCTTCCTCACCCAACTTGCCTCCCACGGCGTCCTGGTCATCGCGAGCGGCACCCCGGGCGGCGGCGGTAGCACCACGGCCGACATGATGAAGCAGTCCATCGATTTCATTACCCGCAACGCCGGGTCCGGTGACTGGGCCAACATCGACGCCTCGCGCATCACCGCCGCCGGCTGGAGCTGCGGCGGCGTCGAGGCGTACGCCCAGATCTGGGATCCCCGCGTCCAGAGTGTCGGGATCTGGAACTCGGGCCTGCTGACCAACTACTCCTCCGCCGGGGACTTCCGCAAGCCGGTGTTTTTCTTCCTGGGGGGGCCTAGTGATATCGCGTACCCGAACGGCGAGCGCGACTACAATGCGATGCAGGCGGGCGTACCCAAGTGGAAGGGTAACTTGAACGTTGGTCACGGTGGGACGTATACGGACTACAACGGTGGCAAGTTTGGCACTATCGGGGCGAACTGGGTGAAGTGGATCTTGCGTGGGGATACCTCCGCCTCGGCGTATCTGACGGGCAGTGGCGCGAGGAACGATGGCTGGTCGGTTGTGTCGGCAGACCTGGACAAGATCGATGTCACCCCCATCGGCGAGGGATCCGGTGGGGGTGGTGGTACCCCCACCACGACTTCGTTGACCCCTGAGCCGACTGGCGGTAACGGCGGTGGTGGTGACTGCTCGCCCCTGTGGGGACAGTGTGGTGGTGATGGGTGGGCAGGACCGAGCTGTTGCTCCCAGGGGACATGCAAGGCGTCGAACCAGTGGTACTCGCAGTGCCTGAACTGAGGGTTAGGTGCGTAGGACTTGGGTGACGAGACTAGCGGGGTTGGGGGTGGATAGCCGATTCATGTAAATAACTTCTTTCGGCGAGTCTCATACGCCGGTACATATATGGTTCTGCCTCTGGAGTCTGGCGCTCCGTCCTGCGCTGTTCTGCACCAGAAAGTAAAACCATGAATCCCTCATCATTACCTTAAGTGAAATACGAAGCCAGTAGTGAAGCGCATCATCCACCCGTCATAGATTTCAGTTCGTTTCGTCATCGACTTGTCCCTTGTCCTTCCCAGCAGCGTGCTCGTAGACCGGAGCGGGCGGTGCCGGAGCATACCCCATGGCTTGACCATTGTAACCGTACTGGGGGCCCTGAGTGTACTGGGTTACAAACACCACTTTCTCCGCGCGGTTCCGATTGCTCGTCTCAACGCAAGCAATAACAAATGTCGTAAAATGCAGGATCCTAATCACAACCGCACCAAGTTAGCCCCGACCACGACCCTCTGTACACAACAGGAAGGGAAAGCACCCACGTCAACGTCGCCCCCAACCCGAGCAACGCCCGCCCCAAACCCGCCAGCCTCGTCAGCTCCGTAAGGGTGTCATAACGGTCCTGGTCGTAACCATCCCCGGAATAGTAGTAGCGGAAAGTCACCGGGGCAGCGGCACCACCCAGCCACAACAGCACGGTGCCGACCACGAGGCCCAGCCACAATAGCAGATCTACCGCAACGTTGGCGCCGGGGTGGATGCCGCGGCGACCGGCGCGGGTGATAATGCAAATGCCCTCGGCGAAGGACCAGATCGTGGAGACGGCGGCCTGGTATTGGCAGACGTCAGTGAGGTTATCATTGGGGGGGTTGAAGGATAAGAGGGGGCGGTCCGGACCTGGGGAATAATGACAATGAGGGTAAAGATGCTCGAGATTCCGCTAGCGAGGAAGGAGCCGACGCAGCCAATTATGGCGATGGCGAGTGCGAACTGGATGACGCGGAGGGCGAGTTTGGACGCCCACATGCCCCTGGGGGAGATATGGGGTGGAGGGGTTTTACCTTGTTCCATTTTGGGGGATGGGGAGGCGGTCGCGTGGAGTTCGGGGGTGGATGGTGATGGGATAACTATGGATTTCGTAGAAACGAGCAAGCACCCGAGATTTGGACTGACTGGAGACAACAAACAGATTTCCCCCGAGATTTGGATTGACTGGAGACAACAAACAGATTTCTAGGGACACCCAAAGAAGACTCTTTCCGGGAAGGGCCCTTGTCAAATACTTCCCTCGCCTTCTGCAAGGACGTACGGGCCTTGTGTCCGAGGCTGGAGCGTACATGTGGCCCCCAGCCAAGATGCTCGGTTCTTCATGCTTGACGAGGTGCATTTTCGAGCGTGAGAGCAGCGGTCATAGTCAGCCTCGGCCAACCACCCACACCCACGCCACCTGCGAAGCTGTCGACGCACTCCTCTTCGTCGTATAAACAGTGCTCGCAACAAATATCACTGGAATGCCATCTTCACGCGCCCATGCACAAGGACATGACACGGGGGAAGGCGAACCGAGCAACACCGCCAAGCTTTCGATAATTTACTCAGCCACCTCGCTTCCCGGCGCGTGGTTCCCGCGTCAAAGTAGAAGAAAATGCCTTGGGGCCCAACGGCGGAGAGGCACATCGATCGGGTCGGCATCATGGGACCCCCCATCAACTTCTCTGGAGTGGTGGGAGGCGCGAGTATCAATTTGGCCCCCAAAAGGCCCCAATTGGGCTGTGAAGCCCGGACATCTTGATTGGAACGCAGTGGCTTGTCGCGCGTCCGGTGAGTGGTGAGGTCGTGTTTTGGGGTGGCTGTGCCGGCAGTCAGACACGCAACCATGCAGCTTGACGTGCTCACTCGCCGTCGCTTTAACCGGGTTTCTTTGATTGCCGAGCTCTGGCTGAAGTAAGAATTTGGCAACCCTCACGTTAACTGCGCCTTGTGAACTTGCCTCGTGCTGTGCGACGATACTGAAGTCGGGTGTTATCGATGGCGAACTTGGGTTGCCGGACAAAGGCCGGTTGTTAATTCCCAGTAGAGGTTTATTCTCGTTACGAACAATACCACTCGGCTTCCCCTCTTCACGTTCCCTGGAGGCATACAGATTCCGTCTTGGATGCGGATGTCAGGGTTAGGGTGAGAATTGAGGCCCAGGGGTTTAGGCGTAAGAAGCTGGAGAGCCTCGAGAACGGGCAGCGGCCAAGTCGAACCTTACTATAGTAGTTCATCATGGTTTCCAACTGCAATCAGCAAAACCCTGATATCCAATCGCCAACAACCTCCCTCCTGAGTATTTACGGTTTACCTCCTTCTTCTCCTCCCCCCCCGAACTTTTCTAGCCGCCTTCTCCCTCCTCCCGACACGCTCCCATTCATCATCCTCCCGAAACCCCTCCTGAACAACCTCCACCGTCCCATCGCCCCTCTCCCACAGCCACCCATCCTCCCCATTCCCCAACCACCTCCCCTTCCTCGCACCCCGGCCACCAACCCCACCGCCCCCAAATATATCCCCCATCCAACGCGCCACCGTCCCCAGCTCACCGGTGAACAACAGCCCCAAAAACACAACGAGCGCCGTCACGGGTACGGCGGTGGCCCAGTAGGCCCACTGACCAAGGTCCATGTCCCGCACATCAGACGAGTTCATGCCGAAGATGGAGGCGACGGCGGAGAGGGGGAGGAAGATGACGGTGACGATGGTGAAGGCGTAGATGGCGCGCTCTTGGCGGTCTTTGGTGTAGTCGATTTGGTTGCGGTTCTGTTGTTGGGAAGTAAATGGGTTAGTGGCACTGGGGGGTTGATCAGGTGGGTTGGGGAGGGGAGGGGATCGAGAAGGGGAGGAAAAGTGGGAAGAAAAGCAGGGCGGAGGCGGGGAAAACAACGAGGGGAAAACACACCGTCTCCGCTAGATGGGCCACCAGATCACCCATCAGCTTTAACTCGTTTCGCTTCACGGCAAGCTCCCGAAGGCCCTCGCCAAGCAGCATATAACTGAATCCACAGGGCTGGTTCGATTCGAGAATGCCCTCGGCCATGGCCGCCATCGTAGGGTGCCGGGGTGTCAGGCGGTGAGCCAACCATGGAAATGTCGGTCGACGGACCGTCTCCTTCTCGTCACAGAACTGGGCGTCGACACTCCTGGTGACGCTCTCTCTGGTGGTCACCATCTTGCTGAGGATGTTTCGCTGCAACTCCACCGTCCAGTCAATGATGGACAGCTCCTGCTGCAACAGGCCCAGCTTGTGCTCGATTCTCCGGTCCGAGTGCTTCGTGACAATGTCGGATTCCTACAATGAATGAGCCGCGGTCCACACGTGAAGCGCTAATAACAAGGTCCTTACAATAGTGTTCAGGTAGGAGCCGTATGTGGAGCTGATATCGGGTAGGCCTGGCGTGACATCCCTTGATAGCTTCATGCTGATGAGGCTCAACAAGTCAAAGGGGAGAACCACCAAGTTTTTAAGGCGTAGTCTTTCGGAGCGGGCCTCGATAACTTCATTCACACCACTGCTGATGTCGGACTCTGCTCTGCGTGCCAGTTGTAGAGACCGGGTCGAGTTCGATGGGAACGTTGCGAGGGCGAGGATAATGTGTATCCATCCGTTAATCAAGGCTGAGGGTGTTCTGATATGTGCCCGATCGGCTTCCTCAATCTTAGCAATGGTTTCATTGAAAGCCAGGATGTCGGTTGTTATGCTCCTCAAGGCTGCTGCGAGCTCTCCCAGTTGAGACGACGGACGGGAGCGGTATCTCCCGTTCCTCATGCGGGATTCGAACATTGGCGACTCCGTCTGTGATGTTTTAGCGTCATTTTTGTTGGTCAAGACAGGTTTTTAGAACGCCCAATGCCGGGCAACTTACATCGACGATAGCCATGACGGCGCCCCAAAACTTCCGGATCGTCGAAACCCGTACACCCGCAGGGAAGAAGAAGTTGAACACAATGTCAGCGGAGTTAAACACACTGACACGCTTTTCAAAATCTCGTTTGCTATTCGAAGTTGTGGTCGCGGAAGCCAGGGTTGCCTTCTTGGTGACGAGGAACTTGTAAACATCCGCACGTTGAACCTTGGCGGTATCCCGGTAGGCACGTCGGTCCTCTGGGATGGTCCGAGTATCAATGTGCCGCTCCATGTCCGCGAAATACTTGATCACGGCAACATTTCTGAAGGATGGAGGGGGCTTTGGCGACGATGACGAAGAGGATATTGCTGGGGCCGGTGGGTTAGCTAGACTCGGATCGATGTTGTCGAAGCACTCCGAATAAGCAAAGATCCCGCATGAAAACTGAGTTCCCGTCGGCACGGGGGACATTGCCGAATCACTCGGGGTTTGGTTGTCATGATTTGGTGAGAGCGTCGCAGAAAGTGATTTGTTCAATGGGGCTCCAGGAGCGCCCTCGTCTTTCTCCGATAGGAGCACCGAAGCGTGGGTTGGTGGTGGTGCGAAAGGACCCCTGCAGTTCGTCGTTAAGATTGTTGTAACTACCAGTATTGCTGAGAGTCTTGACTCACCCAACGTGAACATCCAAAACCAGCTTCCTGTCGGGTCGAACGGCGAGGCGGTAAAACTTGGGCCAGCTCTGAGGCTTGATTGCGGTGCTTTGGTAAAAGAACCGAAGTCGCCATGGGTGGTAATTGCGAAAGTGGGATATAAAACCCTACATGATGCTCAGCATATTGATACCGTCGCATGATAGCACGGCGTAGCGACCTACAAACCATGTTTCGCACTCCTTGACGGGAATGGACCAGATTACGGAACCTCGATATCGGACTGACAATGCCTTGCTCGGCATCGGGTCAGGGGGGTTGTGCAAGGGTAGTACTGTCTTGCTAATAACCCCCCCACAGAGGGCCTCCTCTGTAATGCGCCCGTATGTGAGGAGCAACGCTATTAAAGAAGGTAGGTAGCTGGTTAGTGGAATCCTCGCCCGATCGGGGGGTTGGTGGTGGAGTTGCGCGTACAGTTGTCAAGCACAAGACACCAGAGCTGGGAAACGTGAAAACAGTGCCCCTTCGGAGCCCCGCCTTGTTGGCACACAGCCTGCTCCATGTCCCTGACGCGTGTTGTCCGTGAGTACCTCGCCTGAAGCAAGGTTGGGGTGGCAAGGGACTTGGGGCTGTTGGCCGTGTCCAGGAGTCCGGAATAAGGCTCCAAGGAGAAGTATGGCAGTGAAACCCACGTCACTGCTCGAGACCCAACGGGTTTACCATCCTGCATCAGGGGTTCGTGGCGAAGCTTCGGCTCCAAGTAGCGAGCGTATTTCCCATCCGATGCCTGCACAGTCTTGGCATGGTCCCTTTTTACACCCATGATAACTTTTTGAAGTTCGTTCTTATCTCTGTTGGAGAGGCCTGGAATGGTGGCAACTTGCATCTGCCAACGGACGTCAGTCAACCGCATGGAGAGTGAATAGCTGGAATAGAGATATACCGCGAAATCGTCGATGTCCATGGATGGCCGGGAGAAATGACTATTAAGGAAGTGAGCGGTAATAGGCAGGTAGGGGACGGGATGAGTCTCTTACATCCACCGATACAAGGACTGCGATACAGGGGCCCGCTCGCTTAAGACGGCCGTCAACTGGACCGAGTGATGACCCGCCTCGTACCCGTCACCGGCGTACTGTGATTCAAGAATATGATAGGCAGCGGCACCACGCTCCGCGAGGTCGGGGCTGTCTTCGTTTCCCTCATCCGGGATCACGGTGGACTCAATGTCGGAGATGCTCGCGCCGTCCAGTTGAGAACCCCGGCGGCCCCCACTGTTGATCGAATCACCGAAAGAATAAAAGATGTCACAGTGATACTCATCGTCGGAATCGCTGTACGTGGCCTCGCTGTAGACCGGCCTTTTGTAGAGTTCAACCGAGCTTTGGGACTCACTACTGCGGTCGATATCGTAATCATAGTCGATACTTGTGGAACTTTCCTTAATCACGGCATCCTCGCTGAGCTCGAAACGTTCCTCATGGGTCCCAACCTCGGGTGACTGTCCGTGTTCAAGGTGTCAGGCAAATATGTATAATGACTACTTGGACATGGGCAGCTCACCTTGGCTCTTGCGACCCTTGCTCTAACGATTTTCACGCCTGCATGAATCGGCGCGGCTGGATATGAGATATGCGATTCTCGCTGGCGGGCCCTGGGTGGCAAAGGCGGGGGCGGTCGAGAGATGACTCTCGTACGGCTGCAATCAACATCATGGCGGTTTGGGGTTTCGGAGTGTCTCTCTCGGGCACGATGACGGTGACGGTGACGGTGACGGGGATGGTGAATGAGGGGTTCGGGTCCGTCGGAAGAAGAGTCATCATCTTCTGAATGGTGTGCCGTATAACTCCGCTTCCAAACGGGTGGCAGTGATGTCTCAATACGTGATGTGCACTGCTCCGGATACTGAGACATAATAACGGGTGGTGAAAAGGGTTGCCAATTCGGTGAGAAACGGGAGGGAGAGAGTGGGACACATGAAGTTCTGTCTTCGGCCCCAGCCTCGCCTGGTGATCAACGGCACAGCAAGGACCGGGTCAACCCCTGCTAGTGCAGTTGGTGGTCTTGGCATCCGGTGCTGCCTTGGTTCGTGGACGGCTGTTGTTTTGAGTGCCGTGAGAAACTCCATTTTCGCGTTTGCTTTGGGACATACTTTGGGGAACTGGAAATATGGCGCGGTCTTCAACGAGTGGATAAAATAACGTGGATTTGAAGCCTGACAAGACGAAGCAGCCGCACTCCTTACTCCAAAGAACAAACACTCGAAGTCCATAACGCCAATATTCAATGGCACCTCGCCCCACCGAACCCTCCCATACCCGTCGCCTCAACACCAGAAAGCATCAAGACTTGAAATAAGACTGCCAAACAAAAAACGCGAACCAAACCCAACCAAAATAGAAAACTAACCCCCAACTCCGTGCCGCTCAATTCTTTTCCCTCTTTTTCTTTCTTTCTTTTTTCTTTTTCCTTTTCTTTTTCTTCTTTTTTTTTTTGTTTTGCATCACGTTGTCCCCCCATATCTTCCTCCCCGTCATGACCATCCACCTCACATCTCACTCACCACCTCCCCTGCCCAAACCCGACCGGAAACGAGTTCACCTTTTTCCTCCTCAATTTCGGCCTCTCCGCCTCGGCACCCCCCGCCGCCGCAGCAGCCTGCGCATACTCGGGCAACTTAAACGGCCGCAGCGCACTGCGCGGGCTCGTCGACGCCGTCGACCCGTTGCTCGAACCCGGCGTGGGCGGCGGGCTGATGCTCGCGAACGACTTGTTGCGCTCCGCCCACGTCGATCCCACCACCCCTTGATCACGTCCATAGGCTTGTACCGCGCCCCTTCCCGACACGGGCCCGCCCGCCGTCGATGACGCGGTTGAGCTGCTCAGACTGTAGTTGGAGTTGGCGCTCGTGGGCGTGTAGGCCGAGGGGTAGGGGCCGGTGGTGCGCCGGCTCAGGGGCGGCGCGAAGCCCATGGTGTTTTTGCGCCGCGGTGGGACGGTGCCCATCATGCGCGGCGAGGCGACCAGCGGGGAGGAGATCATGGGCGAGCCGGGGATCGGGCTGCCTCGGCTGCTGCTGGCGCGGCTGGTCTTTTTGGAGCTGTTGTCCAGGATCCAGAAGCCGCGCGCGTTGGTGGTGGCGGTGGCGCTCTGGAGTGTGTCGTGGGTGATGGCACGCGGCCGGGTGGGGATTGGCGCCGGTGCCGGGCGTGGGCTGCGGCCGCGGTTCTTGTCGGATTGGTGGCGCGAGGTGAGCATCATTTGTGCTTGCTTGGTTGGGTTCTCCAGGATGTCCTCCATGTCGAAGTGCAGGCCGTGCTCGGCGTACTCCTCGAGGAAGCGCGCCGGGGCGATCTCGTCACCCCAGATGTCGAAGTACGGTGTATCCCAGGAGATGGCGTCGGCGTCGGGAAGGACCTTGCCCCATACCTGCTCGACGATCGATGACTTGATCGGAATCAGGGGGGCACCATCCCGAGCCAGCAACTCCCACAGGTGCGGGCTGCTTCCCGCGGAGATTGAGGCGAAGATGCTGAGAGTGGCACAGAGCTTGTCAAGCAGCATCTCGGCGACGGCGGGTTGCACCACCGAGCTGCAAGAGCCAATCTCGACCTTGAAGGAGTCCTTGTGCGGCGTCGTCTGAACCCACAAATCCGAAGAATCGTAGGCAGGGCCGAGAACACCCATCTCGCACTTGAGATTATCCGCCAGCTTGAACTCCTGGCCCTCCGTACCATCGCGGCCGAGCTGCTGGTGTTGGACAACGGAGCTGAAGCGGGTCCAGTCCGGCCAGTCAGTGCAGTTCTTGACCAGGCGACGGAAACCGAGTCCTTCGTGTGGCATCGCAGCCATCTGCTGCTCCTGGACCAGCGCGAGGAGGTCGTGAATGCTGTCCATGGCGTTGACGCCGACCCGCACGGGGATGATGTTGATGCAAGGGCCGGCAATGTCTTCGATGCCAGCAACGGGCATGTTGCGGCCAAAGATGAGGTTGCCGAACACAATGTCTCGCTGGCCGGACATCTTGGCGAGCACGAGCGCCCAGGCGGCCTTGACGAGGGTGGCCTGGGACATGCCCGCCACGTTGACGGGGATCGGAGCGATGTTCCGAGTCCGGATCGTGTCAACGTTGTGCTTGTGAGATGGGCCCGAGTGCTCGACAATCTCGGTCATGGACGACCCCTCGAGCAGGTTACCCCAGAAGTCAACAGCCTGCTCTTCCCGAACGGCAGCGCCCTGGATAAACTTGCCAAATGAAGGGCGTTCCATGGGTTCCTGCCCGTTGTAGCACTTCTCGAGATCCTGGATGAGCAGCGGCATGCACATGCCATCGTACTGGGCGTGAGACATGCGCATGATCAGGACGTAGTGCCCATCGGCGTGCAGCACCAGCTTGAAGCGGACGATTGACTGTGAGAGGTAAGCCGATCGCTGAGTGTCCTGCTCAACAAGCCAGTTGATGAAGTTGTCGTCCGCCGAATGCTCACTGCCATAGCGCAGGAACTCAATCTGGTACGAGCGCAGGACAACCTGCATGACCTGACCGCGCATTGTCGTGAAGAGAGTGCGCAGGATGGGGTTGGAGGCAACCATCTTCCTGCAAGCCTGCTCCAGGCGGAATGTGTCGAGGTGGCCGTGGAGTCGGAAGATGAAGTAGTTGGTGTTGCCTCTGCTCCTCATCAGACCGTGGCTAATGGCCCAAGCCTGGTAGTCAGTTGCTGGGTAGACATCCTCGACATCGCCAGGGAAGACCGAGAGTTGCCTGCACACAGTCTCCACCACCTCCTCTTGCTCCAGCCCGAGGTGATCGATCACCCCGAACGCTTGATACTCGTCCTGGAACACGGGCTGTACGATAGTGTCGTCCTCCTGAGTGGCAACGTTCGCCTGAGCCTGCGCGAACTCGCACAGCTCCTCCAGAGTGGGATGCTGGAAGATGTCGGAGACATTGACCTTGATCTGTTTCCGCTCGGCAGCTGTAGCAAGCCGCATCGAGGCAATCGAGTCGCCGCCGAGATGGAAGAAATTGTCGGTAGCCGAAATCTCATCCACCTGCATCCCCAGGATATCCGCCCACAACTCCTTCATACTCTGCTCCAAGTCTCCCGCCGCCACCATCACCTCCGAGCACGACGTCGCCGTGCTCGGCTTGCTCAACTCCTGCGACGAGATCTCGTCCAACAGATCCTCAATCTCCTCATTCAACACCCCCAACACATCATGCCTCAACCCGCCATCGACACCAGCGGGCGTGAAGCCACCAGACACCACCACATCCACCTCAATCTCCCCCACCGTCGTCTTTTCCCCAGAACACAACTGTTCCAGCACATTCTCAAACTTCCCCACCATCTTCTGCACCTGCCCCCTATCCACCAACCTCCTGTCGTGATAAACCGACACCTTCAACCGTCCCCCATCGGCCAGAATAAACTGCACCGCCAGCGGATAGCTCATCGCAGGCGGCGGGCCCACCTCCACGGGCACGATCCCCAACCCCAAGCTCAGCGGCGCGGACGACTCCGGCGCAATCGTCACCGAGCACGCAAAGTTACACGCGGCCGCCGCGCTCTTGCTCGCCAGCCGGATCGTCTGGATCCCCGCGTGCTGGTGCGGGATCATGTCCACCAGCGCCGCCTGCATGCGCGCCAGCACGTTCTCCACGTCGTTCCCCGCCTCGAGCGTGCAGCGCACGGGAAGGGTCGTGATCATGGGGCCCTGCATCTCCGCCGCGCTCAAGTGGTTGGTGTTGGCGTCGTCGGTGCCGTTGCGCCCGGACAGGGTCTCGCCGAAAACGATGTCGGTTTGCGAGGCGTGCTGGGCGAGAACCATGGCCCAGGCGACGCGGATCAGGGTGGCGGTGGTGAAGGTTTTGGAGGGGGTGCTGGGGAGGGTGAGGTCGGATTCGAAGGTGCTGTCGGCCGAAGGCACGTAGCCGCTTGGGATGGCGGGGAAGGTGGGCGGTTGGGCGCCGTCGAGGTAGTGCGACCAGAAGGTGCGGGTTTGTTCGGCGGGGGTGGTTTGGAGTTGGTGGATGAACTCGCGGAAGGGCGGTTTGGTGGGGAGGGAGTTGCCCGTGTAGACGCTCTCGACGTCCGCGAGGAGCATGCCCAAGGAGGCGGCGTCGTAGGCCGCATGGTGCATTGTAAGTACGAGGTACCGGGTCGACGGGTTCTCCACGATGGCGAACTCGGCCAGGGGCCCGCCGAGGGAAACGGGGCGGGTTGTTGCGAACTCGTCGAGTGAGCTCGCGCGTTGCCAGACAAGGGGCTTGTTGATGACGGCTTGGTAGAGACCCCCGCGCTTCCTGTTGCCGCCGGCGTTCTCGAGTTGCACGATGTGAGTTCGGAGGATGGCGTTGGCCTCGTAGACGGTGTTCCAAGCGCTCTTGTACTGGGCGAGGTCCAGGCTGCGCGGAAGCTGGTAGCAGTGGCGAGCAACATATGCTCCAGCCTGCCTGACCGAGAGTACAAAGAGGCCTTCTTGCAGAGGTGTGCAGGGGTAAACATCCTCGATGGTTTCGGCCGAGACGTCACACTGCCGGGTGACCTCATCCTCAACTTCCGAGGTCCACTGGATCATGCTGAACGGGGCAGTGGCCTCGGCATCGACGGGGGGTGAGGTTGGCAGCGGCCATGTGCGTCGCTTTCTTTGCCATGTCAGAGAGCTTGGGTGTCTTCATGATGGCGGCGACGTTCAGGGAAATGCCACTGGCACGGGCTGCGGTGACTAGCTTCATGGCTGTGTAAGAATCTCCGCCGACGTGGAAGAAGCTATCGTCGGCCATGATGCGAGCGGGGGCTGACTTCATGACGTCCTTCCAGAGGGCTGCGAGGGCGATTTCCATCTCGCTCGTGGGCAGGCGGCCAGCTCTGTTCTCCTGCTGGACGGGCATGTTGGCTCCGAGAGTCTTCAGTTTCTTGCGGTCAACCTTGCCGGAAGGCATGAGCGGGATCTGCTCCAGGGGCATGATGACCGACGGCACCATGTAGGCGGGGATCTTCTCGGCCAACTTCGCTTTGGTTGCGGAGACGTCGAAATTGTCGAGGTTGGTGTTCTTGGCTGAAAAGAAGACTACGAGGTGGCCTTCCTGTGCAATCTCGGCAACGACGTTCTCCGTGCCGGAAACCACTTCCCTAAAGGCCTGCTCGATATCGCCGAACTCGAGCCTCTGGCCGTGGATCTTGGCCTGAGTGTCTTTCCTTCCGACGTACTGGAACGTACCGTCGGGGTTCTGGTAGACCAAGTCGCCAGTCTTGTAAAGTCTGGTGGCGCGGCCCGGCGTGGCCCACTCGGGGTTGGTGATGAAGGCGTCCTTGGTCTTGACCGGCTCATTGAGGTAGTGCCGGGCGAGAATGTGGCCCTCGATGAGGAGCTCGCCAACGCTACCGATGCGGGCCAGACGGTTGTGGTTCCGCGGGTGAACCACCCAGTAACAGCAGGAAACTGCCTTGCCGATGCACTTGGGGCTGGACTGCTCCGTAACGAAAGAGTTGGCGGCGCTGCCGACACAGCACTCGCTTGGCCCGAAAGCGTTGACAAGACGAATCTTGTTGGACCAAGTAGCAATGTGCGAGGTGGTCATGGGCTCGCCGCAAAGCGCGAGGCAAGCAAGGGTGGGAACGGCTTTGGGTTCCAGAAGAGAGGCGACGGTGGGCGTGATGACCGCGAAAGTGGTCGCAGACCGGTTGATGAAAGAGACGAGCTGGTCGGACCTCTCGTCCTCGGTCGGGACACAGACGGTGGCACCAACCATGAGTGAACCAAGAATCTCCAGAAAGCTGGCGTCGAAGCTGTAGGAAGCGAACTGCAGGACCCTCTCGCCAGGCAGTTGACCGATGGCCTGGTGATAACCCTGTGTCGCAGTGCAGAAAGACCGGTGCTCGGTGACAGAACCCTTGGGAGTGCCAGTGGAACCACTGGTGAAGACGACATAAGCCGCATCAGAGCTCGACTTCATGGTCCGCTTTGTCATGAAGGACCTCGGTGCGGAGCCGGGGACACCAGATCGGCGGTTGAACATGTCTCCGGAGATGGCGACGGTAGGCAGGCCGAGACGGTTGAGGCACATGTCAGCCTGAGAAGGAGAAGCCAGGATCCGCTTAGCCTTCACGGTGTTGGTGATGGATCGGAGGCGCTCAAGCGGATGAGAAGGATCCATAAGCACAACCGTGGCCCCTGACTTGAGAACGGCAAGCATGGCCACGACAATCCAGACGGACTTCTCGAAGCAGAGCGGCACAACCTCTTCGCGCTCGACGTCCGCGAGGAAGCCCTGAGAAATTCTGCTCGACAGGAGATCGAGCTGCCCGTAGGTCAGGACATCCTGGGTAGACCAAAGGGCTTCCTGGTCTGGGTTCTCGGCCGTGCGCTGAGCAATCATATCCTCAATGCGCAGGTCAAGGGCGGGCGGGAGCGACGCGTTCCAGTTCCACAGTTGTTGGACATCCTTGTCGGAAGTCATGTGGAGGTCCACAGTCTGGATGTCTGGGTTCTGAACAACCTGGGACAGGATGGAGGCGAAAGTGGTGGCCATGCTGCTGGCGCGGTTGTCGGAGATCTTGTCGCACCAGTAGCTCATGTGCAGCCTCAAAGCTTGCCCATTATCAAGGGCCTGCACAACCAGATCAAACTTTGTCTTGTTAGCAACCCACAACTGATCTATGATGCACTCCAAACTTACCTCAGTAGGATCCTGGCCACCCATCGGCCGGAATGACACGGCCGAGGCATCCTCCCCACCAGGCATGGCCTTCTGCAGGGTCATGCCCGTGTTGAAGAGAGTACCCGAGCTCAGCTCATGCGTAATCTCCGCAAGAGATGACGTCTGATGCGCCAGGCTGTCGATGAAGTTGTCGTGAACGGCCTCCGCAATCTGCGCGACAGTCTGATCCTGGGGCAGAGCGATTCTCGAAACTAGGATGTTGACTAGCGGGCCAACAATATCGCCAATCTCCTTGACCGGCAGGTCGCGGCCCGAGGTGACAATGCCGAAGCAGGCCTCATCGCGGTCGGAGTTGACATACTCGCGAAGGGTCAATGCCCAGGTCACCTGGAGCAAGCTGAAGAGGGAGACACCGAGCTCGCGGGCGGCGCTCTGCATCTTGGCGTAGTTGATCCTGTCGACGGGCACCTCCGCCTTGTGGAGCACCTTCTCCGCGAACGGCTGCTCCTCGGTGGGTAGGAAGCAGGGATCGACGCTCTCGAGCGACGTTTTCCAGAAGTTGATGTCCGCGGCGGCGTCCCGGGACTGGATGTAGTCGGTGTAGTTCTTGAGCAGGGGCTTTGCGGCGTCGAGGGGCAGGGCCTGGCAAGCGGTGCTGAAATCCCGGAGGATGATAGCCATGGAGCCACCGTCGGCAATTGCGTGGCTGAGAAGGAAGCTGCAGAAGACTCTGCCGGTGCCAGCTTGGCGGACAAGGCGGAGCTGGTGTTGGGGTGCGCGGCGGCAGAGCATGTCCTCGGGGATCACCTGGATCTTCAGGGCCTCGGCCAGGTCAGCATCGCTCATGGAAGCGCCGACTTCATCCTCAACGACATCCGGCTCATAGTCCCTGAGGACGAGCTGGTCGTAAAGGCCATCAGTTGAGTCCTGTTCCACAAAGATGGTTCGCAAGACGGGATGGCGACGGACGACGGCCTTCCAGGCCTGCCGCATCTTGTTGAGGGTGATGGGGGTGGTGGTGTTGGTCTCAATCTCGTACACGGATCGGAACCAGTACATATCGGCGTCCTTGCTCTGGCTGAGCAGCATGCCCTGCTGAGAGGGCGTGCAGGGGTAGATGTCCTCCACGTTGCTGTCTACGATCCCGAGCGCCTTCAGGCTGGGATCCTGCGGGAGCTGCAAGCCCAAGCCTTCTGAGACCTCAAACCCGTCGATACTAAGGGAGTCGGCGTCACGGGACCCAAGAACCCGAGCCATGTGCTCAAGGCTCTTCTGATAGTTGCCGATCCAGCGCTCGACATCATCACGGCGACTCATGGTCTTGTTGAAATTGAAGGTGAAGACCAGTTGGTTGTTCTCCGATTCGGCGTTGATATCAATGAGGGAGAACTTCTTGTGCTTCTCGCTGACTTCGAAGGAGTCGATCTCGAGGTTGCGGAAGTGGACTTGCTTGAGCAGAGCATCCTTGCGTTCGAGTTGCTGGAAAGACCCGAAGTAATTGAAAGACACCTCGATGCTGAATGGCTTGCGTTCCAGATCAAGCGAGCTGAAGTACGAGAAGCCCTTGTGGGGCGTGTTGCGGCGCACATCCTTGACTTGCTTGACATATTCCGAAATGTCCTTGTTGCAACGGCGGCTGTCGACCCAGACGGGAGCAATGGTGGTGAACCAACCGACAGTGCGGGAGAGGTCGACAGAGGGATCCCAGGGCTCACGGCCGTGGCCCTCGTTGTAAATTGGCGGGATGTCTCGGTCTTGGAAGGTTGCGGCAAAAGAGTGCATGGCTGCGGCGAAGAACAGGTCAAGAGACTCGGTCCCATGGGGGTCATTGCAAGGTCCCAAAAGCAACTCCGAAGTGTTCCTTGGGAGCACAAATTGGTGGTGTTCAAAGTCCTTGGCGTAGTTGGGCTTGCCAGCCATGCCCCAGTACTTGTAGTCTGGGCTGGCGACCTCGAAGGGGACTGTCGCGGTTCCGGTCAAGGTCTTGCGGTGGGTGTTGAGCAGTCCGCACCACTTCTCGAACGACAAGCTGCGATAAGCCGAGATGGCCCCTCCGACAAGGAAATCCTCGAGATCCTTGATGACGACGCGCCACGAGACAAGGTCGATGACGAGATGGTGGGCAGTCAGGAAGAGGTACTGCTCATCACCAATGTTGAGTAAGTCGCCGGCAAAGACCGGACCGTTCTCGAGATCCAGCGACTGCTGAGTCTCGCGAATCTGCTCGACGGCCTCAGCCGAGAACTCAACGGAAGCCGGCATGTCCCAAGAGCGGAAGATGTACGAGTCCTCCACCACGGGCTCGATCCACTGCTTGAAGGTGCGCCCCAGCTTCTGGAAGCGAGCCCTAAGCATGGCGTGGCGCTTAACCACGACATTCAGAGCTTGCCCAACCTGATCCTCGGAGAGGCGTGCCTTGTCGGTTGAGACCTTGAGAAGGAAGCTCTGGTTGAAGTGGTTCTCGCCAGGCGAGAGGCGGGTGAACATGCGCTGGATGGGGGATAGGCCAAACATGGTGATGTTGTCGTCTTCCGCTTCCTCTTCGTCCTGGGCGCTGCTGGTCGTCGCCACCATGGAGGTCTCCCCGGTTGTGGAAGGTTGTGCCGGGGCCAAATCGAGGTTGTCGAAATTGGCAGCTAGCTTCTTGACGGACTTGGCTTTGAGGAGCTGCTCGATGAGAAGCGGGATACCCTTGCCACGAGCCTGGGCAACAACTTCCATGGCGCTGATGGAGTCACCACCCATCTTGACAAACGAGCCGGCGGAGGGGTTGATGGATTGCTCCGGGACATTGAGAACCGCACTCCAAACCTGGCGCAGGGTCTTCTCCACGGCTGTCAGGTCCTCCTCGTCGGCGGCAGAGGCCTCTAAGCCCAGGCCAGTGCAAAGCTGGTACACCTCCTGGCCCATGTTGTTGACGCAGTTGGTCAGGAAGCGGCGGTCGGTCTTGCCGGAAGCCATCAGAGGCAGTTGGCTAGCGACGATCCAGCACGAAGGAACCATGAAGGACGGCAGCACACTGGCAATATCCTGACTAACGGCGGTGGTGGTGGAGGAGACGTAGTCACTAGCCAAGACGTCGAGTCCATCGACAGGGTCCGACGCCAACGACAGCCGGCCGGCCACCTTAAAGGCAGACGACGCCTTGAGCGTCATCACAGCCACAAGCTTGTTTGCGCACACGCCCTCTTTGATCAAGAGAACTGAGCCCTGCTGAACCTCGGGGTGCTTGATCAAATGCTCCTCAATCTCGCCCAACTCGAGACGCTGACCACGAAGCTTGACCTGGTTGTCACGACGGCCGAGGTACTCCATGGTACCATCCTCCTGGTAGCGGACAAGATCGCCGGTGCGATACATGCGACGGTATCCGCCCGCCCAGGCTGGCTTGACAAACGCCGCCTTGGTCTTGGCTTCATCGTCGAGATAGCCGCGAGCCAAAATCGGACCTTCGACGAGGAGCTCTCCGATAGCGCCGATGGGGACCAATTTGTTGTGGTCGCGGGCATCGCCGATCCAGGCGACGCTGCCCACGCTGTTGCCGATGGAGCTCTTGCCAGGGCGGAGGGTAGCAGGATCGGTCACGTCGTGCCCGGCGCAGATGACGGTGCACTCCGTGGGGCCGTAGGCGATGAGGACGCGGCGTGTGGGCGCACGCCACTTGTCGATGAGTTGGTATCCGGCAGCCTCACCGCCAAGTAGGAGGGTGGTAATGGACGGCACCCGGGCAGGGTCCATGAGTGCGAGAACCGAGGGGGTAAGGAGAGCGTGGTTGACGTTCTGGGCGTTGATGTAGTCCATAAGCTTGTCTTTGTCCATGCGCTGCTCTTCGGAGGGAACGCAGACACAGCCGCCCATGACGAGCGTGGTGAGGATTTCGGTGATGGAGGCGTCAAATCCGTACGAGGCGAACTGCAAAGTGCGTGCCTGGGCAGTGTAGTTGAAGGCTCTGCCATGCATGGTCGCGCCACTGCAAAGCGCCTCGTGCTGGATGAGCACACCCTTGGGCTCTCCAGTGCTGCCGCTGGTGAATAGGCAGTATGCCAAGTCTGAGGGGCTCCGGCGAGAGACTGGGGGGAGGCTGGACCGGCTGGATGCCTGTATCGTGCTGATGCTGCGGGACCCGACGAGTAGGTAAGGCATGGTGAGGTTCCCGCCGATGTCAAGACCAATGTTCTCATGCTGCTCTGAGCAGATAACCAGGGGTGCCTGGACCCGCTTGACAATGCTCACCAAGCGGTCGATGGGGTGCTTGGCGTCCAAAGGAACAAAGGCCGCTCCAGCCTTCATGATGCCGAGCATAGTGACAATCGTCCAGGCACTCTTCTCAAAGCAGAAAGGAACGATGGTGTTGGGACCAACAGAGTACTCCGAGACGAGATGACGCGCCACGGTGCTGGCAAGGGTATCCAACTCGGAGTAGGTCAGGGACAAGTCCCAGCCGGAAACAGCAGGCATGCCTCCCTTGGTGGCAAGATGGAGGCTGATGAGCTGGTCACATTGCGCGGGGACAGCGGCCGTGATGGCAGTGCTGTTCCAGCTAAGGATCTGCTGGTTGTCCTCGGGAGTGAGGACTCCGACCGCCTTGATGGGCTTGGACATGGAATCCAGAACGCTGTCGATGGCCAGCGCAAAGGTCGAGGCAAGGCCCTTTGCCTGGAGCGCCGAAATGACGCCAGTGCTGTAGGTCAAGTTGATGTCGACAAAGTCCGGCGAGTCCCCGATATTGAGAGCGATGTCAAACTGAACCGAGTTAGCCTTCATCCAAACACCACCAAACCCTCGCTAACACAAACTCACCTCACTCGGATCCTCGACATGCACCGGCTGGAACTCCACCGTCGACGCACTCGTCCCCGGCGGCGCCAGCCTCTGAACCGACATCACCGTGTTAAACAACCGATCACCACCCAGCCCCAAGCCCCGCTGGATCTCAGCGAGCGAGCAAAGCTGATGCGACAAGCAGTTCACATAATCCGCATGTGCCGTCTTCAGCGCTGCCCCAACTTCGCTGTCATCATCTTCCAACGACACCATGCACACCAACATGTTGATAAACGGCCCAACCGCCTCCTCAATCCCCTCAATGGGCAGATCGCGTCCCGAAGCCAGGTAGCCAAAGCACGGTGCGTTGTTGCCCGTGTAGACGCGCAGTACCAGCGCCCAAGCCAGCTTGTACACACTAGCGGCGGTAGTCTCGGCCTGGGCGCAGAGGGAGTGCAGCTTGGTCGGGTTGGGGTACGAGAAGTCGAGGTGGACGAGCTGGCGGGGTTGGGACGAGGGTGCCGCCGCCGTCAGGGTGGGGAAATGACACGGCTCGGCGCCGCTGAGGTAGGTCTTCCAGAACTGGCGGGACGAGTCCAGGTCTTGCTTGCCCAGGAAGCTGATGTAGCTGCCGTAGGCGTCTGGGGAGGTGGCGGCGATGGGGGCGCCGTCGTAGGCCCTGACGAGCGTGTCGAGCAGGGCGTTGACGGATGACCCGTCGATTAGCGTGTGGCTGATGTCGAGCTGGACTAGCACCTTGCCGGAGGGTTCTTGGGAGAGGACGACGTGGTGTGGCGGGCCGTTGGAGATGTGGTGCTCCGGGCGGCTGAGCGGGAAAGTGGAGGCATCCTCGCAGATGAGGACGTTGGGCTCGAAGTTCTTGAGAACCACCTGCGTGTAAGCCGAAGTGGTCTTGCCGTCGATGGAGGAGCCGGCTTGGACAAAGACGGTGCGGAGCATGGGGTGTTGCTTGACCGTCTTCTTCCAAGCTGCGATGAGCTTGTCGGTCGAGATAGGCTGGGCTAACTTGGGGACAACCTCCCAGACGTAGCGGACGGCGTAAAGCGTGGGGTCCATGGCCTGGCTGACCAACAGTGCAGTTTGCATGGGCGAGCAGGCGTAGATATCCTGAACATTGGCCGGGGCGACACCCGCAGCCGGTAGAGTCTTCTCTAGGAGCGCCGACAGCTCATCGTAGGTAGTCCGGAAGTGAGGGAAGTCGGCGAGGGTAAGCGACGTCTCCCTCTGCTGGCTAGTGGCTTGAACCAGGTCGAGCAGGGTATCCGAGCACGCCTCAACCCACTGCTGGACGAGGTGGCGGTGCTTGATTTTGTTGTTGAAGCCAAAGTTCATGGCCATAACACCGTTCTCGACACCAGCGGAAACGTCGAAGATGGAGAACCGCGGCACGTCAGCAGCAGAGTCCGATGGGGCGTGGAAAGGGGCCCAGCTCATGCGGTTGAGCAGCGCACCCTGTCGCTCGAAGGCCTGGAAAAGACCAAAGTAGTTGAAGGTGATCTCGACTCCAGTGGTAGCGTTCTGGGCGTAGGACGTGAAGAAAGGCAGACCCTTCTCGGGAATCCGGCGGCGGATGTCCTTCACCTCTTTGAGGGAGCGGAGCACGCCGTCCTTGTGGTCGGACAGAAGGATGGGGCACATCGAAGTGAACCAGCCAACCGTAGACGACAGGTCGATGTCAGCCCTCCATGGCTCACGTCCATGGCCCTCGTTGAAGATGGCGACTGGGCTCCGAACCGAGCGGAAGACCTGGTTGAAGGAGTGGGCGACGGCCGTCAAGAGGAGATCGAGGGGCTCGGTGTTGAAGGCCTCGTTGGAGCGGCCCATCAGCAGCTCGGTAGTCTGGTCGTCCAGCGTGAAGGTTTGCTCCACAATGTGAGCAGCCGTGTTGTCGGCATTGCTGATGCCCCAGAAGTCGAAATCCTGCGCGGGGACATCCAAGACGCCGGTCACGGAATTGGCACGCTCCTCCAGAAGCTTGCACCAAGTGCGGAAACTAAGAGACTTCTGAGTTGAAGTGATGCTCCCGGTCCGCAGGATCTCCTCCAGCTCCTGGAGAACGACCCTCCAAGACACGAGGTCAATAGCCATGTGATGGCAAGTGATAAAAAGCACTGCTGTGCCGTCGGTCATCTCATACAAGTCGGCGGCCATGAGCGGGCCCTTGGTAATATCTAGGCTGGCCTGGGCATCGGACGCGTACTCGATGACCTTTTGCATCGTCCAGATGGACCGGAACTGGCGGCATTGAACCGAGCTGGTAGCATCAGAGGAGATGTATTGTTGCCAGTTTCCGCCGACCTGTTCGTACCGTGCGCGGAGCATGGGGTGTCGCTGAGCAATGGCGATGAGAGCACCCTGCAGCTTGCCAAAGTCCACGTCTTCGGTGAACCGAAGAAGATGGCTCTGGTTGAAGTGGTTCGGTGCATTGGGCGCGAGCGTCATGAACCACTCCTGGATGGGAGACAAAGCGAAGGGGGTCTCGGACTCGGGCTCCTCCACGAGCTTGCTGGTTGCGGTTTGGCCCGTCGAGAGCGCAGCCCGCTCGCAGAACTCCGCGATAGTCTTGGCCTTCAGGAGGTCCTGAACAGTGACCATGACGCCTTCATTCCTGCACTTGGTGACGACCTGCATGGCAGAGATCGAATCGCCTCCGAGTCTCAGGAACGAGGTGTTCGGCCCGATCGTCTTCTGGCCGACGTTGAGGATGTCGCTCCAGATGTTGCGCACCTGCTCTTCCAGGGCAGTGTTCATCGCGGGGAGCTCATCCGAGCTACCACCCGCAGAACGGCTGGCGATCTTCTCGTAGGTGGCGTGATCCATGGCTTTGGTCCACTCGCTGACCATCTTCTTGTTGACCTTCTGAGAGGCGGGCATGAGGGGGATGGAGTTGAGCACAATCCAGATAGCGGGGATCATGTAAACCGGGACCTTCTGGGAGAGGGTGTCCTGAACATCCGGGATCCGGACCCAATCCTCGGGGTTGGCGATCGTGATGTCGGTCGAGGAAGCGGGCCCAATGGAAGGCTTGTCCTGCACCATGGACAGTATTCCAACCAGGTGGTTGGCGCAGGGGCCTGAGCGGGGGTAAAGAACAAGCGCCTGGTGAACGCGCTCGTCCTTGCGGAGGTGGTATTCGATGTCAGGAAGCTCGACGCGTTGACCACGGATCTTAACCTGGTCATCCCTCCGCCCCAGGCAGCTGATCGTGCCGTCCGAGTTGACCCGACCGAGATCACCGGTGTAATACACCCGGGAGCTGCGGCCATTAGCCCACTTGGCGGGCATCGGGCGGAACGACGCAGCTGTCTTGGCCTCGTCGTTGAGATAGCCCCTCGCGAGGATGCTACCCTCAACAACAATCTCACCCACCGAGCCGATCGGGGCGAGCTCTGTCGGGCGACCGAGGTCGGCAACCCACATCATACCGCCGATAGAGCGGCCGATGCTGCCGTCGATCTGCGGGCCACGGACGCTGTTCTTGGCGCAGTAGATGCAGCTTTCAGCCGGGCCGTAGGTCACGATCAGCTCGAGCCCCGGGCGGCCGGACCACCGCTCAATGTTATCCTTGCCGGGCGCCTCGCCGCCGAGGACGATGGTCTTGAGGCCGGGAACGGTGGCCGGGTCCATGAGACGGGCGAAGGACGGCGCGAAGAAGGTCCAGTTGACGCGCTTCTCATTCATGAAGCCGGCGATGCCGTTCAGGCGGGTGAAGTCGTCGGGGATGCAGATGCAGCCGCCAAAGACGAGGGTGGTCAGTAGCTCCGAGACGCTGACGTCGAAGGTGTGGGACGAGAACTGCAGGACGCGGGTCTCGGTTGAGTAGTTGAACGCAACACCGTGCTCAGCCATGCTGCTGCACAGGGTAGCGTGCTCCCAGACAACACCCTTGGGGGTGCCGGTGCTGCCGCTGGTGAAGATGGCGTAGCAAGCCGAGCTAGGCGATGTCTGGGGGTTGATGGCGGCGCTACCATGCTGCGGAAGACGCTCAACCATCTCCTGGGAGACCGCAACAAAGTGCTGGACCCGGCTGCAAGACACCAAAAGGTTGGCGTGCAGGGCGGATGTCACGACAACCTTGGCGTCGAGGGTGCCGATGATGCTTTGGAGACGGTCCAACGGCTGCGAGGGATCGACGGGAACACACGCACCGCCAGCCTTAAGAATAGCCATCTGAGTCACCGGAACCCACTTGGACTTCTCAAAAGCGAAAGGCACAAAGCACTCCGGGCCGACACCGAGGGAAATGAGGTGACGGGCGAGCGTGGTGGACAAGTCGTCCAAGGCGCGGTATGTGAGATCTCCATCCCACGCGGATACCGCAAGGGCATTCGGAGTGGCGGTGGCTTGCCGCGCAAACATGTCGTGGACGCGATCATTGATGAGGGGAGAAAGCGCCTTGGTGATGCCGGCAATCTCAGCGCGGTCGCCGGGGCTGACGGTGTCGATGTCCTCGAGGCGGAGGTTCTTGTTGAACTCGCCCTGGCACAGCTGTCGCAAGATGTGGTCGAATGTGGTCAGCATCCGTGTCATCTGTCTCTCGTCCATGATAGAGGAGTCGTAGGAAGCAGTCAACAACATCTGCGAGCCCATGGGCTGGCACTCGAGGGTGAGAGCGTTGGTCAAGAAGTCGGAGGTTGCGCGCTCTGAGCTCCAGGTCAGCCGGTCCTTGGGACTGGAACCGTCAAACTCGGTGTGCACCACCAAGAGACTCTGGAAGTCACAGGCGGCCGCAGCTGAAGGCGCCGACTTCTTGATGTTCTGCAGTCCGTACTGCTCGTACTCGAGCATAGCAAACGATTGCATTTGAACCCGGTCTAGAAGGGTCTTGACCGACTCATTCCACTTCAGGGGGACTCGGAATGGGACGGTCGCCAGGGTAGGCCCAACCAGAGAGAGGACGCCGTCCAGGGGGGCACTGCGGCCGGTGACCGAGGCACCAAAGACGACGTCGGAATGGGAGCCGGAGTAGGCCGAGATGAGGAGGGCCCAAGCGGCGCGGATGAGGGTGGAGGTGGTCGAGGTGGACTTCTGCATTCTCGGGAAGGAGATCTTCTTCTCGAGAAGGGCGTTGGCGAGTGGCTGGTAAGAGGAGGGCAACGAGGGGGGGAAGGCGGCCGGGTCAGCACCTTCGAGCTGGCTGCGCCAGAACTCGCTCGCCTCGGTCTTGTCGATGGTCCCGATGTAGTCAACGAAAGCGTGGAAGTTGATCTTGGTGCCCTGATCCTTGCTCGGGGAAGTCGGCATGCCAGCGAGCTTCTTGTATGCCCGGGTGACGGCATCGCCAAGCAGACCCATCGACCAGCCGTCGTACACGGAGTGATGAGCCGTGAAGACGAAGCGGGTGGGGTTCTGAAGGATGGCGTGCTGCGTCAACGCGGTTCCGAAACCCATCTTCTGCTGGCGAAGGCCCTGGATGTAGGCGTTCAAGTCATTCGACCGCGGGGTGGCCCATTGGATGGGAGCGGCGTGGAGGGCAACCTGCAGCCCGGCGGGAACAATCCTTGTTCTCATGATGGCGTTCTCATCGGCGACGGCCTGCCAAGCGCGGCAGAAGACTGAGATATCGACCCAGCTGGGCAAATGCATGATATGGTGGGCGATGTATGCCGTGGGATTCTTTTCCGTGAGCATCATCATGCCGTCTTGGAGGGCCGTGGTGGGGAAGATGTCCTCGATGTCTTCCTCGGGGATACCACATTGGAGGGCGATATCCGCGAGTTGCGGGTGCTGGAACTTCGGGCGGGGTGCGGAAGCAACCGCCTCGGTAATCTTCGTCGCCTTCGCCATCGAACCACACAGGCTGGCAATGGTGCCATGCTGGAAGATGGCGGCAACGGAGACGGTGATTCCCTGCGCCCTCGCCTGAGCCACGATCTTGATGGCAGTGATGGAGTCACCCCCAAGGGTAACAAAGTTGTCATCAACACTAATCTCGGCCTCACGAAGACGGAGCACGTTGGCCCACAGCTTCTGCATCACGGACTCCTCCTGGGTCGAAGGTTGCCGCTTCTCGGCGCGCTGGTCCGACTTGTAAGCGCCCATCGCCTCATCGGTCAACTTGGCAACTGCGAGGCGAAGGGTCTTCCTGTCGATCTTCCCTGACACCAACTTGGGAAGTCTACTCAGGGGAATGAACAAGGTCGGGACCATATGCGGCGGGAGAGTCTGGGCCAACCTCGACCGGATGTCGGCGACCAGAGCCTTGATGTCCATTTCGGAGAAGATACCTGCCGCAGGGTCAGCCTGAGCGGGGAGTCTCTGGGGGAGATGGAGGAAAGCGATGAGGAATGCATCGCGGCCGGCGCTGGTGCGATCGAGCACATCGATGGCAAGCTCGGCCGGCTCGTCGATCGATGCTTGGAGCGCGGTCTCGATGGCCGTAATTTCGAGGCGTTGGCCTCGGAGCTTGATCTGCGTGTCCCTGCGGCCTTGGAAGTCGATGGAACCATCGGCGTTCATCCGGGCAAGGTCACCAGTGCGGTACATGCGTGCCTTCTGGGAGCTCTCTCCGGGAACCCAGGAGGGGATCTGGAGGAACGCGGCGTCGGTCAGCTTGGCGTTGTTGAGGTATCCTCGGCTTGTATTGGGTCCCTCAAACACGACCTCGCCAATGCATCCGATGGGGGCAAGCTGCCTGGGGTTGCCAGACTCGCAAACCCAAACGCGGATGCCGTTGGCGTGGCCAATGTTGGTGATAGGCAGATCGCGCGAGACCTTCACCGCGGTTCCCAAGTTGGTGACTTCAGCCGGGCCATATACATTGACAAGAGGAACGCCTTCCCAGACGTCTTTGCATGCTCGGGTCAATTGTTCGCCACCGACCGAGAGCCACGCCAAGTTCGGGCACTCGGCAGGGGAGATCAAGGAAGCAACCGTAGGTGTCAGCCAGGCGCGGTTGACGCGGAGGTTGTTGATGGCGGAGGCGAGGTTGTTCATCCGGTCGTGGTCTGACGCGACACAGAGGCAAGCGCCCCAGTAAAGGGAAATTGCGAGGTCTCCGATGCTGACGTCGAAGACGTACGCGGAGAACTGTAAAATCCGGGAGTTGTTGTCAATGGCCATCACCTCACCATTCTGCTTCCCCATGATGGCGACAGCGCCGTGCTCCAGGACGATGCCCTTGGGTTCTCCAGTAGACCCGGAGGTGAACACAACAAAAGCAACATCGGTGGGCTGGACGGAGTAGCGCTTCTTGACCGCCCTCTGGGAGATGCTGCGGATGGAGTTCTCCTCGACAGCAAACGGCCGGAAACCCATGGACTTGATCCTCGAGAAGAATGTAGGGGCGCAGAGCACCACCTTCGGCCTCACGAGGGAGAGCACCTTCAGGATGCTGGAGTCCGGATACGAGGGCTCGAGAGCGACGGCAATGGCGCCGATCTTGATGGCGCCCAAGATGGAGACGGTGGCCCACACGGACTTGGGGAAACAGTAGGGGACATAGTCACCCTTCCGAACCCCGAGCGCGGTGAGGTGGTTGGCAAGCGCAGTCGTGCCACGGTCCAGCTCGCGATAGTTCAGCGAACCATCCCAGGCGTAAACGGCGGGCGCCGTTGGCTGGTTGGCGACATGGCGCTCCAGGGCCTGAAGCAGGGTTGTTTGTTCGTATTGCATCTTGTGGCGGCGGTTGCTCTTGATCTGCACTTCCCTATCCTTCTTCGAGGCGTAGTCAATGCCGCCAATGGCCTGCTTTGTGAGGTCTTGGGCACGGCAGACTTGGTTCAGCACATGGCCGAACTGCGCCTGCAAGTGCTGGATCTGCTGCTTGTTGAAGACGGAAGAGTCGAAAGTGGTTGTAACCGTGACACCGTCGTCCTCCAGCGTGAAGTCCATGTTGAGGGCATAGCTGTGGTAGCCTCTCAGGTCCAGAGACACGTTTTGGAACCCGATCTGTGACTTCAGCTTCTCATCCCTCTCCGACAACAGGGATGACCGCTTCGGCTGGATAACGACCAGGTGCTGGAACTGGCAAGCCTCAGCAGCCGACGAGCTGAGTTGCGAAATGGCCTGGATGCCGATGTGCCCGTAAGCGTCGAATTGAAGCAGGTCACTCTGGACGCGCCGGAGAAGGGCGTCGATAGACTCGGTCTTGTCCCAGGTGATACGAACGGGCGCGCTTGAGATGGTCGGGCCAGCAATCGATCCGACGTTCTTCAAGTTCGAGGAACGGCCAGAGAAGGTTTCGCCGAACACAACGTCCTGCGAGTCGATGTAACGGCCCACGAGAAGAGCCCAAGCGGCACGAATGCGCGTTGGCATGGTGAACTCGGACTTGGTGTTGTCTGCCACCGCCAACTTCATCTTGACCTCGCAATCCGGCACCGGAGTGTAAGCCGAGCCGATAGACTGAGGGAAGTGGCTGGCAGCCAATCCAGCGTCCGATGCCAACTTGGCAGCCCAGAACTCCTTTGGTGCCTCCACATCGAGCTGAGACAGGTGCCGGATGTACAAGTTGTGTTGCTGAATTTCGAGAGCCTCGAGACCGGCATACTCCCGCTCCACATCCTCAAACAAGCGGGTGATTGACCACCCGTCGAAGAGAGAATGATGGATGGTGAACATGAATGTTCTACCGACGAGGCCTAGTCTGACGAGATTGTCACCATAGCTCATGGGAAGGGACCTGTCTTTCTCGCAGTACGCTTCCAGATCGGATCCGGTGTGCCAAGCTAGCTCGGAGTCGTAAACGACCTGAACAGCGCCGTGCTGGCCCTCGAAGATGCGAGTCCTGAGAATATCGTGGCGGCGGATGACCGCGGCCCAGGCGGCCTTGAAGCGGGTGATGTCGACGGAGGCAGGGAGCTTGAGGGTGTGGCGGGCGATGTAGGCGTCGATGCGCATGGTAGAGGCGGTGATGAGGGCTCCCTGCAGCGGAGTGCAAGGATACACGTCCAGGACCTTGTCAGTTGGCGCGCTTCGGGACTTCACGTCCATAACGATTTCGTCGACCAAATCACTTGGGAGCAGGCTGAGGGCGACAGGGATGTCGATCTCCTCATCGCCAGACGAGGTTTCCGCCCGGGGAGCTGCCTGGGCCAAGGCGCGAATGGTCGAGGCGTTGAAGATCTCAGCAACGGTGACGCTGATCCCACGGTCACGAGCAGCTGATGCCACCTTGATTGCCGATATCGAGTCGCCGCCAGACATCAAAAAGTTGTCATCGGGTCCGAATGTTGGAGACTTTAGAACTTCCCTGCAGCAGGTGACGAGGATTTTCTCATTCTCGGTGAGGGGGGTGGAAGGGGTCACGGCCTCCATCTTCGCCACGGGGGCAGCGGTAGCGGCGGCAGCGGCGGGAGTAGATCGGGCTTTGAAGTTGGAGTAGGAGGAGAGCTCCTTAATAGTTGACTTGTTGGCAAAGTCAAGTAGCCGCCTGCGGTCGACCTTCCCGGAAACCAGGTAGGGGAGGCTGGCGACCGGGATGAAGAAGCTGGGAACCGCCGCTGCGGGGAGATTGCCACGAAGGGCGTCTTTCATGCTGCGCAGTGCAGCTGCTTGGGTCTCGTCAATGGAGTGGATCTGAACACCTTGTTCAAGATCGCTGGTGGTCCCGAAAGAAAGGAAAGCGGCAAGAACCTTGTCTCCTACCGGGGTAATGACATCGACGTGCACATCGACGGCCGAGGGCGTCGCCTTCACAACGTGAAAACGGACCTCGTCCAGTTCCATGCGCTGACCACGGATCTTGACCTGGAAGTCGGCTCTGCCAGCGAAAGCGATGGATCCATCCATGGCCTGGCGACCCAGATCACCGGTCCGGTAGAAACGGCGCTTGGAATTGGCCGGGTAGAAGTGTGTCTTGCGAACCCAAGCTGGGTTCTGAATGAACGATTTGGCTGTCTTGGCCTCGTCATTCAAATACCCTTGAGCGAGGATGGGCCCCTCAACGATGATTTCACCAACAGCGCCGATCGGGGCGAGCCTGTCGCTGTCATAGCGGTCCGCAATGAGCATGCGCCCACCGATAGCGTGCCCGAGAGACTCCTTCCAGGGCTTCTTGGCCTGGGTCTTGACGGAGAACTCGTTCTTTGCGCAGTTGATGCAGGTCTCAGCAGAACCGTAACCGATGATGAAACGGTCCAACGCCGGCGTCCACTTGTCGATGTTTTCCTGGCCTATGGACTCGCCTCCGAGAATGAGGGTTCGGAGGGTCGGGAGAGACGCTGGGTTCAGGAGGCGGGCAAAAGAGGCGGCAAACAATGCGCAGTTGACGCCCATGCTCTCCATGAACTTGGTCAGCCTCTTCGGCTCAATACGGTCATTGTCCGACGGAATGACCATGCAGCCGCCGTGGACAAGAGGCGTGATAAGCTCGACCACGGAAACGTCAAATACATGAGAGGCAAACTGAAGGACCCTGGTACGGTCGTTCATGTGGAACTCGCGGCCGTGCTCCCAAACGCTGGTGGCAAGCGTGCTGTGTTCCCACTTGACACCCTTGGGAGAGCCTGTGCTACCACTGGTGAAGATGACGTAGCAGAGGTTGTCCGGCTGGACCTGGGGGAGGGGGGCGGCGGCCGCGGGATCGTGTTCAGCGTCGACGCAAATGAGGTGGCGGACGGGCGTTTGCTGGTCGAGACTTTTGGCGAGGGTTTGGTGGAGGGCCGTGTTGGTTAGAACGATCGGGGCCTGGAGCTGACCCAAGATGTCGTTGCGGCGGGCCGCGGGATGACTGGGCTCAAGGGGAACGCAGGCACCTCCAGCAACGAAGATGGCGAGAAGGGCAACTGGCGTCCACTTCGACTTGGTCAAGTAAAAGGGGACGAAAAGTTGCTTCCCGTGGGCCCGGGCATGGACTTGGTGGGCCGCGCCGGCGATGGCACCGGCAAGGCGGAAAGCTTCCTGAGCAAGCTGGGCGTAGGTGAAGCTTCCATCCCATGCGGCGACAGCAATCCTGCCCGCGTTTTCTGGCTGCGCGCACTTGGCGAGAATGAGATCGTGGACGCAGTCGTCAAGCTTCAGGGGCAGCGGAGCGCTGAATTGGACAATGCGATTGTACTCGTTGCGGCTAGTGGTGTCGATCGACTTGATGAGCAGGTCGTCGGCGTCAATACGGCCAACCGTGCGAAGTTTGATCGTCAAGGTGTTGAGCACATGAGCGAAGTTGTCAACAACGCTCTGCGCCCGCTCGCCAGACATGGCGTCCCGGCGGAAGGACAGGTGCACATGCACCATCGTGCCCTCTGCAACGTTGACAAACGCCGTGGCCAAGGACTATGATGGGACCAGTCAGTCACCGATCTCCGGCCGGTCAGGATTGCATCAAACTTACGGGGAAGTGCATCTCAGGAAACCTCGGCTTCCTGGAGTGGAGATGGACGGCGGTCGCAACGGTGCCAAACCCAGTGCCCTCCGCAAACGCTCCCAGCGAGTGGAACGGCAGGGTGTGGCCCATGGTCAACTTCATGTCCTGCTCGGCGGCGCGCATGACGGCGACAAGGCCATCATCGCCAGTCATGGCCATGGTCGACAGCCAGGCAGCCTGCTCACGATCGAGACAGACGCCGAAGCTGACCGGCCCGTCTTCGCCGGCGTAGGACCGCAGAAGGACGGCCCATGCGGCGAGGACGACGATGTCCTCGGAGAGATTGTGCATCGAGGCAGCTTCCTGGAGGTTGCCCGTGTCCACGGCCATGACGGCCTTGGTGCGGGCGTACCCCTCCTGCCCGACGGCGGCGGGGCGGTGGGTGGAGGGGGTGCCGTCGATCTTGTCGAAGAAGAGGGGCGCATCTGGGGCGGCTTCGACGGCTTGAAGCCGCTGGGCCCAGAAGGACTTGCGGGTGATGTCGTTAGAGAGCCTGGACGCGTGCATTGCGGCGGTTGCTCTGGGTATCAATGTGCTAAGGTATGGATGCGGCGGAGTTGAGGGGGGGGGTTAGGGGAGTGATGTAGGAGTGAGCGTGAAGGTATCTTGTGGGCAGCAAGCCTGAGTAAAGGAGAGGGATTTTAGAGGAGGGAGAGGTGAATGGAGAGAGTCAGGGTGTCGGAACAAGCTGAGATCGGAAGGCGATGGTTAGTTCACAGGGGAAGAGGGGGGGTGGTCAACAATGGACCGCGGGGATGGTCGTGAGGTCCTCGAGGAATGAGTTTGATGGTGCCGTTGTCGTCAATCAACTGTCAACAGCAGGAAGAGATGTTGAAAGATGGTGGAGGAAGGTTATGGTCAACGACAAGGAGTCGTGAGTTCAACTTGGGGAGGTGGTTGCCGGGAATGGGTTGGCGATGGTGATACAAGAGGTGAATGTCTCTCTGCTGATCTTGGACCCAATTCATGCATGAGGATGTCGATCAGGCCTGGATGTCGTTGGGTTTATCATCAACCAGGTGGTATTGATCTTGGGAGCTGGTCGTGAAGGTCGGCTTCTAAGCCGTGGTCCCGAGATGCGAAAAGCCCACTGATACTGACCAATCCGGAAAGCAGACCGTTGTCCGAGGGTGGGCCGGGGTTAGTGCAAGGGCTGAAAGGAGGTGAGGGTGTTGAGAAGTCCCTTGGCTAATGAGAGGAGGGGGACGGATGGAGGCGATGATGCAACCGTCCAGAGTTCCAATATTGAATTTTGCCGTGACGGTGAGTGTTACTATTGGGTATGTTGGGCCGTATTACATCTCGAACCCCGATGGCGAGCATGGCTCTGCAAGGGCAGAGCTGGTGGTTTGAGGGCCGTTCACTCTGCGGATGGGGGTCTTGAGACCGGGAGAGGGAACGATTGGCCGGAGGACAACTTCCGTCAACATGGTGTAACTATTTTTGATACCGATCAGTGAACGGCGGGGCCAGCCAGGATGCCGGTGACTCGTGGGGCCATGACATGGCATGGTTGGTATCCTGAGCCGTCGGCAGCTGAAGGTATCTTTGCGGTGGGAACAGCATGGAAAAGTTCGGAGTGGAGATCTATAACAAGTGAGTCGAGGATAGCATTGGTGGCCAGCAGTCACTGCGCCACCATAGGACAGGTCGAGCCCATGTACGCATGGCAGGGTAGGGGCAAGGTCAAGGGCACCACGCCTATGTCCGATGGCACAGCGGGTGGCTCGGGATGGTTCGCTCGAGAAAGGTGGGAGAGAGCGCCCGGAACACACGTGGGGCTGTAGCTTCTTCGAACTAAGCTCACAGCTAACAAGAACAAATCGGGGCTAAAACGCGCCGATCTCTTCCGCCGCAAGCGCGCATATGGTGTGAGCTAAGTGACTGCTCTAGCGTCTGAGCCCCAGTCTTGCCTGACCTCTGTTTGCTCGCACGTACATGAACTGCAGAGTCCGCAGTTTGGTGGTGGTGATGAATTCGATAATGACTGTCCTGAATATGCAATCGTCGATGTTGATGGTGGAGCAGAAATGATGCAAAATACGACAACGTTTAACAAATACAACGTACGAAATACGCCATGCGTGTATCCTGCAATTAAACGTGGCCTGTAAGGGTGAAACAAACATCCCAGGTACTTTCACTGCACGCGTTGATTTCCCGCGCGTTTGCTGGGTCGGTTTTTGGGGTTGCACGGCATCAGATCGGATTGATGGAAGTTGGGACTGTCACACTGAGATCGAGCCAAGTTTTTCTCGAACCCGCCCATTTGAAAAAGGTGTGTGGGTCGTGCCACCTAAATATATTTTCAAGCTAACCCTACTTGGCTGCCCGACTTGCTATGTTTATTTTCTCCCACAATTTGGCAAAGCCAAGTTCAGCGCGTGGCTGTGGGGCACGCGGGGAAATCACGTCAATTGTCGGCGGTGTATGGGTTGAATGGCAGAAAAGAAGAAGAAACAAGGCTGATTTGGGAGAAAACCCCCGCTGAGCCACTGGGGCTGTCTTCCAGCCTTTCTCCAGCCGTTAGAAGTTGGAAGAGGGTTGACAGATGTCGGACAGATCTGACGGCAAAGCTTACTCTTGGCTTTTGGAAAGGTTGCTGTTTTTAGCTGTGGAGCTGGGGTTAAACCCTGCTGGTGTGGCCATTATCCAACCAGAGCAGCCAAAATGAAGACAAGCTTTTTCACCTTGCACAACAGCTGAGCGGGAAGCTAAGCTTGGTTCGGCAAAGCGATCCACTGATCGGCGCCATCTTATTCTCTGACCACAGACCGAACTCTCCCGCTCCCCACTTCCCACAAAGCAACGTCGGACGACATCGCACACATGAAAGTTCGAAGTGAAGGTCTGGCACGGCAAACCTTCAAGCAAGGGTCTGCAGTTGCATCTGCAGCTGCAGAGTGACTCCAAATGCAGAACGACCCGCACCGCCCCCACTACGATGTTGCGATGCAACCAAAATGGCACACCTTCGCAATTCAAGCTCCAGTTCGTCAATCATTGCGGGGCACAATGCCCCCTTGGCTTACATTCGCAGTCACCCATACCTGAGTCTGCCCAGACTGGTTCTGTATGGCTGGCCCCGACATCAAGGTTGAAAAACATCCGATCGTGTGTGTCTTGATACCCAGACTTGGTAAACAACCCCATTTCGGCATCATGGGCAAGCCTTTCTTCCTTCTTCAGCCCCACACACACCCTCGGCGACCTCATCCCGTCGTTACTTCCCGCTATCCCTGTTGAGCCATGTCGTTCGATGCTTGATGGTGTGCTAGTGCGCTTCAGTCGGGTATGCTTACTTTTACCACCAATACCCGCCTCGACCCGCGCCACGGTGCCAGACAGCCGGCTTCTTCTCAGGCTGTAAGTGGTATCGGGGATCACGCCTGAAGACGACCACGTTCCGACTTCCCTGCCCCCTGCTCTCCCCTCTTCTCGACCCTCCAATATCAAAACCAAAATAGACTCACCGAGTGCTCACCACCATCCTCGTATCGACTATCGGACCCTCGCAGGACGCCGTTGCATCCGGAACCCAGGTCGTCTCAACACGGACATCACACGACATCGTCCTCTTGGCTGGTGGTTCGCTCGGCTTAGCTGACCGCCTTCCTCATCGTTCAGAACGGGGCCATCGAGGTACATGAAGCGAGAGATGATCCCTCCCTTTTTTGTCCCCATCGCTGCCCCCCCTGGATGAAACTTCTTCTCTCTTGCCACAACCCCTCGTCTCTTCTTTCTCCCAGGAGACTGACCATCGTCCCAGTTCGTCGGGTAGGCAATGCCCCTGTCTTCCAAAGCCATCTGAATCCAGTACTCGCATCTCCCTTCCAACCGCCTCTGTCTGGTTTGTCATCTCCCGTACACAATTCCCTCCTCATCGTCACTCGGGCCATTAACACAATCCACCAGGCAGCCCTCACCTCTAGGGCGCGCAGATCATGGACTGCGTCGCTATTGACAACACCTGGGGCCCTTCGGCCGGGCCAGCATGTCGTGGCGGGCTGGACTTCACCCTCACCTTCCAGGAGTCCATCCTGTCCCTCCTCCCTACCGTGCTGTTGATCATCGCCGCAGCACTTCAAGTCGCTTTCCTGTTTGGTCGGCCGCGACAAACCGCCAATGGAATTCTCTTTTGGCTGAAGCAGGTAAGTCATCCCATACTGAACTTTGTTCGACGCTTCTAACATCATATAGGGCCTGATTATCGCCCTGGGTCTCTTAAAACTCGCCGTTTTGATGTTATGGGCCCTCCCGGACACCGCAGCACCTAGGACGAAACTGACTCTGGCGGCGGCGGCGCTAAACTTCGTCGCCGTCTTCCCACTGTCCGCCGTTAGCTACTTTGAACATGTATTCCGCGTAGCGCCGAGCTTCATCATTGAGCTGTATCTGCTACTGACGGCCCTGTTCGATATCGTCCGAGTCCGGACGCTCTGGTTGATGCCCCCTTCGGCTCACACATCCCTTGCCGCCGCTGAGTCGGTAGCGTTGGCCGTCAAATTGGCACTTGTGCTAGCCGAAGCTGCCAGAAAAGACAAACTCGTTTTCCCCGATGTCAAACAGAAGTATACCTTCGAGCAGATGGCTGGCTTCTATGGTCGATCCATGTTCTTTTGGTTGGGTTCGACGCTTTGGAACGGTTTGTCAACCCCTGAAAAGTGCACAACAAGCTGAAGCGAGAAACTAATGTCTGACTTTACTAGGTTACACCCGGTATCTCGTCCCCTCGGATCTGTCCGGCCCTCGCGATGACGAGTCCGCCGAACTGCTGCGGGAGCGCTTCCGGGCACGATGGGCGCAAAACCCCAACAAGACCGCCAAATCGGCCCTGCTGGTAACGCTCATCAAGTCCATGCCCGGGAAGTTTCTCATCCCCGTGTTTCCCCGCATCATCATTGTCGCCCTCACGCTCACCCAACCGATGCTGCTGGAGCGCATGCTCACCTTCGTCCAAGGGTCCGGCTACCACGAGCGGGTCGACGTTGGCCACGCGCTGATTGGCGCTTTTGCTGTTCTGTACATGCTAATGGCGCTCTTCAATGCGTGGTACGCTCACGCGTGCAACAAGCTGTCGCTTGAGCTGCGCAGTCAGCTGATTGACTCCTGCTACCGCCAGCTGTTGAAGATGAGGCTGGCTGCTCTCGACTCGGGCAAGGCCGCTACGCTGATCAATGTGGATATGCAGCATATCATGGAAGGGAGCAAAATCTTGCACGATATTTGGGCCAGTATGATCACTGTTGCGGTGGCCGTTTACTTGCTGTACCTGAAGATCCAGCTGGCGTAAGTCTCGGCCGTCCCGGTCCTAAGATAGTACGGATGCTAACACAACCCCAGCTTCCTTGCGCCGCTTCTTTGCACCCTTGGTGAGTCACACAAAGACTCGTTGCCAGTGGAATTAAGCTGACCTTGGACCTTAGTCATGATGGTTTTGGCCGGAATTTGCAGCGCACCGCTGGGCCCACGACAAGTGGCTTGGCTCAATGCAACGGAAGACCGAGTCAAATCTACCATGTTCATGATCACCGGCTTCAAAGAGGTCAAGATGCTCGGTCTGGCGCCGGATTACATGCAGAATCTTCAAAAGCTGCGCTTTATTGAGGTCGAACTCGGACGGTACGCCATAAACTCCTTTCTAGGCGCAACTTGGAACTAATGGGATGTAGACGATTCCGCCGGATTTTGTCCATCATCATCACACTGTGTAAGTCATCCACCGGAAAATTATTCGATACCGCGTTCTAACCCATACCACAGCCGCTGCGTCAACCGAACTGTCCATCCTCGTTGCCTTCGGCGGATTTGCTATTATCAGCAACATCTACGGCACTCCTCTGACTTTCCAAACCCTCTTCTCGGCGCTAGCTCTCCTCCGTATCTCCCTGGATCCCCTCTTCCTCCTCATTCAGGGCACACCCGCTCTCGTCTCCATGTTCAAATGCCTGGGGCGAGTTCAGGACCTCCTCAACGAGGAACGCGTGCTTGAAGTCGACAACGGTCCCTTCGCTATCTCGGAGACGTCATCCGCCAGCTCCTTCACACTCAAGCCCGAGGAGAGAGCCACGATGGACCACTTCCAGTCCTACTTCCCGCAAGACATGGGCCTCCAAGACATCAGTCCCCGCTACAGCACCATGGTTAATCTGGTCGAGATTTTGGATGCCACGTTTTGCTGGAAGGGCAGAGAGGACGCGCCCGCGCTTTATGTCATGTCCTTGGCAGTTCAACCGCGCTCGTTTACGGCTGTTATCGGACCGTAGGTTTCCCGAATGTGTCGAGTAAGCAAATCCGAACGCTGCTAACATCAACCAGAGTTGGGTCCGGCAAGTCGACACTATTGAAGGCTATCCTCGGTGAGATTGAACATATTTCCGGAACGCGTCAGATGCGTCGTGGCCTCAAGGTGGCATTCTGTGACCAGGAGCCTTGGCTGCTGGACCAGAGCGTCAAGGAGAATATTGTGGGCGCTCTGCCATTCGAGGAAGAGTGGTATGCCAGGGTGGTTGAAGCATGTGCGCTCGGCCAAGACATCACTGGATTTGCCGAGGGTGACAACACCGGCGTCGGAAGCGGCGGGTCTGCGTTGAGTGGAGGGCAAAAGAGTCGCGTGGTATGTCCTGTTTCTCCGTCAGTCTTACGCACTTCCCAAAATATGAACTAACAACCGTAGGCTCTCGCCCGCGCCGTCTACAGCAGGCCGGATCTCCTTCTCATGGACGACATTTTCAGCGGTCTCGACCGGAAGTCAGCGACGCACATCTTCTCGGCCGTCTTCTCGGAGAACGGCCTTCTCGCCAAACTGAACTGCGCGGCGGTACTGGTCACACACTCCAGTAAAGTCCCCACCACCCCTTACTCTCCTGCACCCACACTAACACCTCACCAGCGCAATTCCTCCCCCGTTTCGACACCATCCTCGTCATCAACAACGGCATGATTGCCCACCGGGGCACCTACGACGAACTGCTCGCCACCGGTGGTCTCGATGACTCGCTCCTCTCCCGTGTGGCTGCGCCCAAGGCATCGGCGAGCGCAGGCGATGCCGTCGAGGTCACTAGCGACGGCAAGATCATCCTCAAGGACGCGCCGCTGGATAAGGAAGAGAACCAGGCGAGCCGTGCCCCCTCGGAGTGGGGTGTTTACAGCTACTTTCTCAAGTCCTGTGGTGTGGCGGGAATTACGCTGTTCTTCGTTCTTGCGGCTATTCTAGCTGGCGAGCGATCGTTTGAAAGTGAGTTGGGCGCCATCTGCGGCGTTTCCCGGATCATGACTGACGTTTCTGATTAGCTGTTTGGCTCAAGATGTGGGCGGAAGACAAGGATGCTTCGCTCGCTTACTACATGGGTGTTTTTACGGCCCTCATCGTCGGCGGCGTTTCCCTTTTGGGTGGTATTTGCGTGTAAGAAGCGTCCAGCTTGTTTGTACGTTGGTCGTAATTCTGACTCGACGCCCTCAGGTTCTTCTTTGACGTCCTCCTCCCAACTTCGTCCTTGAGGCTATACTTGGGGCAGCTGGAGACTTTGATGAAGTGAGTACTGACTGGCCTGATGCAACGGAATGATCTAACATGTCTAGGGCATCCATTACCTACGTCGTTTCGGTTGGCTCTCACACCATCGCCAACAGGTACGTGCCGAACCCTAGCTGATTAATGCACCTCGCTAACACCCCACAGATTCATCCAGGACATCATGCTCATCGACGATGAGTTGCCGATGGCGTTGGTGAACACCACGACCTCCTTCTTTGGTGTTTGTGCCGAAACCGTCATCGTCATGATCTCATCCCAATATGTGTCCATCTCGATCCCCGTTTTGATCATCATCCTCTGGGTTATCCAGAAGTTCTATCTTCGGACGTCCAAGCAGCTGCGTCTCATGGATATCGAGGCGAAGGCCCCGCTGTCATCATTCCTTTTGGAGACCATCAACGGCATTGTCTCCATCAGAGCGTTTGACCGGACCGGAGAGTTCTCTTCTCGCAACACGGAGCTACTGAACTACTCCCAACGAGCACACTACATGCTGGTCTCAGTCCAGGTGTGGCTGAAGATGATTCTGGACTTTGTGGTGATGCTTTTGGCGATCTTGGTCACCACGCTGGCTGTGACGTTCCGGTCTTCGCAGTCTTTGGGTTTCCTGGGTTTGGCATTGGTGAACCTGGTAGGTGCCCATAATAGCTGGTCGGCGGTAAATGTGCTGACCCGTGCTAGATTTCCCTGAGCACCAGCTTTAAGTACCTCATCACGTTCTGGGCGAACCTCGAGACGTCAATTGGTGCCGTGGCACGCATCAGGCGCTTTAACAAGGATGTCGAGCCCGAGGAGAAGTTCTCGCTACCTCCTCCCCATCCTGGCTGGCCGGCCCAGGGAGGGATTGAGCTACAGCACGTCTCCGCGTCGTACAGGTATGTAACACGCAACACGCGGCTAGGGTCTAAGCTGACTTTGACCGTAACAGTCCCCAACTGCCACCGGCGGTTTGCGACATCAATCTGTACATCGCTCCGGGTACCAAAGTGGCTATCTGCGGCCGCAGTGGAAGGTATGCCCCCGTTGCCCCTCTGTCCCGGTTGAATCGTCGCTCACGGCTCCACAGCGGTAAATCCTCCCTTTTGGCGACCCTCCTCCGCTGTCTCGACCTGAACTCCGGCAGCGTGATCATCGATGGCCTAGACGTCAGCCGCATCTCGCGCGACTCCCTGCGGAAGCGCATCATGACGCTCCCGCAAAAGTCGCTCTTCATCCACGACTCGATCCGCGCCAACATGGTCATGTGGGACGAAGCGAACCCGTCGCACACGCCCGAAGAAACCGACGAGCTGATCGAGACCCTACTCCGCAAGGTCGGCATCTGGGATGCCCTCTTCACCCGCAAGCCCACCGCGTCCACTTCGCCCTCGGCCTCCTGTGACTCCCTCCTCATCCGCGAGATCGCCGTCACCGACCCCTCCAACCTGTCCATCACCCAGATCTCCGAGACCACCGAGGTCCACCCCGCCTCCGTCCAAAACGAGAAGCAGAAGAAGCAGAAGAAGGCCAAAAAGCCCAAGAAGCTCTCCCCCGAAGAAGAAGCGGCCGCCAAGAAGAAAGCCGACGCCGATGCCCCCACCACGCTCTCCAGCCCGCTCAACCCGGAAGAGCGGCTCTCCATCGGCCAGCAGCAGCTCTTCTGCCTGGCGCGGGGCCTGTTCCAACGGGGCGAGTCGCATATCGTGCTCATGGACGAGTTCACGAGCAGCATGGACCACGAGACGGAGATGCTGGTGCGGGAGATTGTGGCGCGCGACCTGAAGGGCAAGACGGTTATTGAGGTGCTGCATCGGCTGGAGCATATCCTGGATTTTGATCTGGTTGTCGTGCTGGAGCAGGGCAGGGTGGTGGAGGCGGGCCATCCGGAGGAGCTGTTGCAGAATGAGAGTGGGGTGTTGAAGGATTTGTATCAGAGTATGAGGGGGTAGGTTCCATTGCCGGTGGGAGAGAGTTGAAGGGTAGGCAGGGTAGGGGTGTGGTGGTGGGTAAGTGGTGAGTAGGTGGCGATGGGCGTTTGTTTTTGGTTGGCGGTTTTGGGTAATCCTATCTCGACTTGTTCCTTATTTCTCAATGAGATTGTCGTTGTCGCCTAAATGATGTGAAGTTGAGTATCGTTCAAAATATTAACGGGCGCCTGGGAGAGCGGAGGGCCCCTCACAACCGGCCAAGGTGTGAGTGGGAATGGAGACAAAAAGTCCAAAGACACACGACACTGAGAATGGACTGGCACGCCGTGGGTAACAAAATTCGGCCTCTAACTGCAGACGGACGTCGACTGTTAAACTTACAGGTAAGGACGAAACACAAGCCACTCAAAAGCCCAAAGAAGCTACATAACTCCATCTTCTCTTTTCACTCGATGTCGTTTATTTGATCTGGTTTTCCACATTTCTTTCATTTATCTTTGCTTGACCTTTTGTTTCAACTTCGGCTTTTTTTCCTCTTTTTCTCTTTTTCTTTTGGCCAGAGGGTGACTGGGCTTCCACACTGGCCCCAGTACGAGGCTCGGAAGAGAGACGTGTGAACATCGTGGTTGCTGGGCTCATTGTGTATCACACTCTTTGGTAGGCTCTCTCCCGCCTCATCTGCCACAGGGATGTAGGCGCAACCACTGGACAGGGTAAAGCCAAACGATGGATAGCATCGGCGTGGGAATCAACCCCCCCTCGGATATACTGCTTCTCTATGGCGAGCTTCCACGGGCGGACTTGAGAGGCAACGGCTTGCCACGCCTCCACGACCGCGTGGGTGAGCTCTAGATCCCACGTGCCTCGCCATGCGATGTATGGGCTGCCTCTGTCTGGGTAGTGGTATACAAACGCGCAGGCGTTGCCCCTTGTGCCATTCCATAGCACCAGAGTATGCAGCATGGGCATTTGCAGCGCCGTAGCGGCAGCGCTGGATAGTAGAGCGTAGACTTTGTCGTGGCCACCCGCGGGTTGTAGCAACGCCGATGTCAGGGCTAGCGTCCGCAGGTGCTCCCAAGTCCAGGTCTGCAAGCAGGCGCCAAAGAAGTCCTCGGCGTTAGATAGGTACGACCCCGAAAGCTGTTCGAGGTCGAGGCTTCGGGAGGCAAAGGCTGCGCCAATATGAGGATCGCCGATGCGGACAGAGTCGACGGGAAACATGGGCCCGAACCACCCGGGGTCAGCCAAAGTAGCCACAAGGCTGTCGTCGAAGTCTTCAAATATGGATATTGTCTTGAGAGTTTTGGGGAGGCCGTTTTGAATCATGAATGCGTATTCTGTCATCCGGATGTACTGGTGTTAGCGAGGTAGGGATATGCCGTCTGCATAGGTAGTCACATAAGTACGCACCCTGGTCGACTACCTGGGCGCATGACCTGTTCCACACCCTCCAGGGCTCGTAGACCATATGTTCCAAGCCTATGAGCTTGTCCAGCACAAGCTGCAATGCTACAGGCTGGATTCGGCGTCGGAGCTGCCTGCGGATAGTGAATCGAGTGACGGCGTCCACTCGAGGAAGTTCGGCTGGAAACCGCAGGTTGATGGCCGAAAACAAGCGCATCACGGCCAACTTCGGTGGTGGCGTCTCCTGTTGGGAATTCTTCCAGCCATGCTTTGGATCGTCTAACGGTGTAGAGCCCATGTCCTGACCAGAAACTAGGTCGTCATCGTCATCACCCACAAGACTCAAGTCAAAACGGTAATGTTTGAACCAGTGGTCTGAGTCGCTAGGTGAGTGTGCGCTGAGCTCCAACGCCAGGCCTTTCTGCCTCGCCGACTTCCAGTCGCTGAGGATGGAAAACAGTTTCCAGATGCCTTTGCTAACGATGGACGAGTTTCGCCGCCCCCACGTCTCGGACTCGGTCGTGTAACAACATCGGCATGTGTAGCACGGTAACTCAATATCGAGCGAGATATTGTAGACGAGGTGTTGCCGCCGACCCCCAATGCGTTCGAAATCGTCCAGACAAGGTATGTCCAGGTTTAGCTGGCAGAAGTTTTCCTTCTCGATAACAAACTGCCATTCTTTGCAGACGGCTGCCGATGAAGCCCAGCCGGTATGCCTCTTCTGCGTGATTGCCTCGAGAATCAGGAGGCGGATCTCTGCGGGCAGAGCCGTCCAGCATGGGGGTTGGTGTTTTGTCGAGCCTCGAAGGATCATTGCATACCGTCTCGTCGTGTTGTGCCTGTCCGCCATGGCGACGACTAGCGATTAGCTGAACGGGAAGCAAAATTGATGACTTTAATTTGGAGAGAAAAAGAAAGTTTTGTTAGTGTTAGGGGCTGGAGGACACCGCTCCAAACCCAGTTTTAGTAGTTGCCACGAGCTGTATGGGTGTGGCTACCCAGGCGACTGACATCATGGCATGGGGATGACGACAACTTATACACGTGCACAACGCCTGCACGCGACTTATGTCATGTTATTGCTCACCCTACATGTACGCGGTTAAAAAGGCCACTTAAGGGTTTTGGGTTTGGTTGGCGCAATAGCTGCACCGCTTAGGCGTCCACGGCCCTCGTTGTGCATCTAAGTCCGCCTAGGTTCCGGGCTGGTGTTTAGAGGTCATCTGGGAGTGCTAGAGGTCTATCCCGTAGTGAAGAACAGCTCGCCGGGAAACCGTTCGTCCGTCTTCCACATCATCTCAGTGGCCGGGTGACGCGCATCCCTTACGAACCAATAATCCTCCAGCAACCCGACCGGCACGCGGAAACAATCCGACAAGCCCGGCCTCATATTCCGCTTCTCCGGTTCCGCCTCGACCATCTTGACCCAAAACTCCTTCCCCGCTTCATACACGTCCCGATCACCAACGAGCCCGCGCGCCGCGAGACCTTGTAGGTGTGCGACCGTCTCTGCGTCGAAGAGGATCGCCGACTTGAGCCGCGGCGACGCGGCCGTGAAGTAGATCTCCTCCTTGTGCCAGCGCGTGAGAGCCCAGCGACGGAAATAGGCACACATCTGGGCGATGCTGGCGCCGTCGAGCTCGCTCTTGTCCTGCACCAGCTCCGTGTTGAAGCGCTTGACGAAGTACTCCTCCGCCGGCCTCTCGTCGGCCGTGTCGGGCATGCCCTCTGGCAGCTGGCGGTTAAGCTTGAGTCGCTGGAGCTCGCCTGTTACCCCACGATTTTCGCGCCCGGCTTCGCCACGCATGAAGCGACTAAGCGCATCGACAGCGGCATCTACGGCGGCGTCGTTGTCGGCGTATGTGGCTCGCAGGATGGTATAGCCCCATGCACGGGGGCGGTAGTGCCCGAGCAAGAAACGGGTCGGCAACCAACGTAGCCTTTGGCGAGACCGACGCTGTTGTTCTGGGTCGAAGACCCCGTGGGGGAACTCGCGCTTCGGGTGCGCTGCTAAGTCGCGAAGGTAAAGGCCGTCGGATCGTGCCTCTAGCTCTGCTGCTCTCTCTTCTGCGGTTGGTTTGACTTCGGCCGCGGCACGAAGGAGTCGCTCGTGCGCGGCAGCCTCACGTATGGCAGCTATTATCTCCGGAGTTGCCGGGCGGACCGGCGTAGGGTCAGACATATTTGTTTTGTAGGTTTGCAGTTATCGCATCTCGGGTCCTAGATCGGCATGGACTGGCTCTTATGGGGTTCGGCTGACAAAATGTGACGTGCTAGGGAAAGGCGCGCGATATTGATGGAGGAAGTGTCGTCTGGTGCCAACACATCAAGTCCAACGCGCGCCAAGCAGATGACCTGATGGACGTGCTGCTAGCACGGTGCATGTCCTCCCGATGCACTGCCCGGTTGGGCTCGTCAGTTCTACTCCGGTTATATGCATTGTTACCGAGCTACCTACCTCCTTATACGCATTGTGCGTTGTCGAAAATGAGAATGAGACTCGGAGACTCGGTTTGGCAAGTTCTTGGCAGCTCATCCGGTGCTTCGGTGGGAGAGATTTTGCAAGGTAGTAAGCACTATGGACCTCAAAGCCTTTGGTTACCTTACTGTCATGCTGCAGGAGGGCCGTCGAAGATCTCTAGCGTCGGCACGTTTTCTCGAGAACTTCTCCCCTGGTACGAAGGTATTTTGCCGACGGAGGTCACATTCTAAAGCACACCGCACCTAAAAATGGACATGAAATTACCTACTTAATAACTGTAATTGTCATTTATAAAAACCAAAGATGCCTAATGATACCAAACCACATCCATTCGACGGCGACATCCAACCATTTAGTAAGGGATCTCCGAGCCATCATCGAGGTTGATAAATTTCCCAGACGTCTTCTCACGCGTTGCTTGGTCAACCTGGCGCCGGGTTAGTGTCAAAGGCGTACGGGTGCTACCCTTGAGAAGATGAAACTTACAGAAGCGAGCAACCTTGAGACGGACTGTTCAATCGTAGTTGGCGCGAGCTCCATGCCTATGCTGCGGGCTCCTTCGTTCCCCATCTCGGTTTGGACCAAGCTGCCCGTAGTGTCAGTATTGAGTTGGTCGACAACTTGGTGCGGGGAATCGAAAGTAACTTACCCAGGATGGACCGAGAACGCAATAAGCTTCTCGTTGCCGGTGTGAAGGCCCCTTTTCAGACCCGAGGTTAGCAGTTGATGTGAGCATGTCCCGTAGGTGATAAGAGTACTTACATGGTGAACCAGTTCAGACCGGCCTTGGAGATCCCATATGCACTTACAGCATACAGGCCGAAGACAGGGATGTTGGTGATAGATCCAACGGCCGAGGACACCGACATCCACTTGGGCGAAGTCGACCTGTCAAGGAGCGGCTTGAGCGCCTGAAAGAGGAGGAGAGGGGAGAGGGTGTTGGTGCGGAAGCACTCCTCCACATCCTTGATCGGGATGGTATCCATGGGCACCAAAGGTGGCGAGACAGCGGCGTTGGCAATCACGACATCCACGTGGTCGATCCCGGCTGCCTTGATGTCGTCGACAGCCTGCTGCGGGTCCGTCAGAGAAGTCCCCTCAATGCTGACGAGAATGAGCTTGGAGCCGCTGGCGACGGGAAAGCTCCTGAGGTCCTGGTACTTGGGGTCGGCCTTGTTGCGGACGCTGCCGATGACAGTGTGGTTCGGTCGGGCAAGATATGCCTCAGTGATGGCCCGTCCAATGCCCCTGCCAGCACCCGTGATCAGAACAACGGTCATGGTGTGTGATGAGTGGTGAAAGGTTGGGTGTGTGTCTGTGTCAGGGGAAGTTCTTTGTGGAGGTACTGGGCGTGTCGGTTGTCAAAGAGTCACTGGCAAGCTATTGATGGAATCGAGGAGGTGGTAGAGATTATATACGTACACGACAAGTGAAAAGGGACCGAGAACATTTGACCGTTTGTGTGCGGACGACGTGCAAAGGATCCGAGAACATTCGTCCGAGATGTGGGTTCTTAGTCGATTTCTCAGCAGAGCCCCAAGAATACGACCCCTGCACGTTGGCACGAGTGATTACCGATCAGCCCCAGTTTCGGATGCAATTTGGAGTCTTGGAATTTGTTTCAATATCCACCATGGCGCCATTTCCCGCTAGCCAGAGGGAGCTCGCCTGATAGCCATCGCTCAGGGCGTCAGCTTTAAGCAAGTTCAAGGTCCCGCGCTGTGGCCACGAGCTGTTACGCGGGGAAACACACTCCACCTCGAACATGAGACCTGCGTCTGAGTGATCCAATATGGTAAGCACCGAGCTCTATATAGACTCCCCGCATAACGCTCAGGCAGCTCTCTTACGCTTGTACCTAGAAGTCCCCTACACTGCATCAAAGACACCGACCACGCAAAAGGAGAACAACCCGGGTTATATTCCTAATCGTATTTGTTACTCCTGGCACCCCTGGCACGACGCGAGTCCGGCCTGGATCAAATATCCCTAATCGCGCCATGAACTAGCCCTTCACAACTCGACATCCGGTACCGTTACAACAGCTTCGAACCCGTTCTCGCCCTTAAACTCATCCCTATCGGTCGTCCCAGCCACATCAGATCTCCACGCATCGATCACCTTCAGCATATTATGACACGCGCCCTCAACCACTCTCACGGCGTCGTCCCCAATCGGCAGCCTCGAGGGCACCTTTCTTCCGCCGCCGGCACACCCTTCGCCGCGGATGACGTCCACCATCAGCTCGACGCCCTTCTTGACGTCGCCGCGCTCGTTGCCGTCAAGGGACTGCGCCAGAGCGACCATTCCCGCACGGTGGCCCGCATACGCGTCCAGCGACGGTGCGGTGGAAGCATATTGGACGAGCTTTGCCAGCTCCGTAAGCGGAGTGTGGAAATATCCCGGCTCGAAGTCGATGGTGCGGATGCCGAACGGGGCAACCTCGGCGGCGAGACCGTCGACGATGGCTGCGCGGGGGGTGTAAGCAACCAACCTAGAGTCGAGAGTAATAAGGCCGGCTAGATCGCCGCCGTACAATGCACTCACCTTTGAGTGCCGCCTTCGCCGCGCCGTATATCGTCACCATGGCGGGTGTCCACCAAGCATACATGGAACCGACAAAGGCAATGGTGCCGGACTGCTGGGCGCGCATGTACGGAAGTACCGCGCGAGTGACGGAGAGGGCGCCAAAGACATTCACGCTGAAGAGCTTTTGGTAATCCTCGTTCCTATTCGGCGCCTCGACACGCAACCGTTAGCCACCGGTTGTTCACCTTCCCCTACATGTACCCTTCTGCGGGACTTCCAGGCTAGTTACGTAGGTAGGTACTTGCCTCGTTTCCTCGACAGCTCCAAACAGGCCATAACCGGCGTTGTTGATCAGCACGTCGATCCGGCCATAGATCTTGGCTGCCTCGTCGACGATTTTCTTGACCTCAGCCTCGGGTAGGCTGACGTCCAAGTCAACGATGGCCGCGCCGGTGCCCTCCAAGTGTTTCAGCTTCGTCGCCGCGTTGCGTCCCGTCGCGATGACCTTGTCCCCACAGGCGAGAGCTGAGTGCACAAACTGGGCGCCAAAGCCGGACGAGCAGCCCGTGATGAGCCAGACTAAAGGAGCCATTTTGGCGGGGTGTGTCGCGGGATCCTAGATGTCGGGATGGGGGGTGGGAGACGGGGATGGATTGCTTGCTAGGAGAAGACAGGGGTCATGGGTACCTCTATGAAGAAGCACGGTATCTGGATACTTTGTGAGGGGTTTCACAAGGAGGGGGGTGCATTCGCACTCGACAGAGCCGGTGAGAAGTGGAGTTGCAGGCCACGTGGAAACGGTGTCGGATGTCGGCACGGGGGAAACTTCCCAATGGGAACCTAAGAATCGATGAGTCTGCCGTTCCCGCAAATCTTGTTTCGGTGATCCATCCTCGGTGTGGCTGGTGAAGCTGTCGACAACGCCTCGGAACTCCCTACATACCTATTGAAGTGTCTTAATTCAAGGGTCGATCCCCAGACGCTGCCGAAGGGTCGCCCGGACGATACAGTGACGTGATAGCCCTGGCCCTTCATCTTTTGAACCGGGCCATGGCATTTTCCGTGGAGCGCGGGCGCCTTCATAGCAATTGCCGGGTCTGGACTCGACGAGCGATCGAGTTGTCGATCGTCGGCAACCCTCAGGGGTCTCGGCACGCTCATTCGGGATCCAACGTTACATCGGTTCCTTCACCCCCTCGAGGTCCGTTTCCGTTGTGCGAAGCCCCTTCACCAAGCCAAGCGGCCAACCTGTCCAAAGAACACGCAGGAGGTGGCTCGAATAGGTACCTACCCATCCCCAGCGATAGATTCAAAGCTTAAAAAACGTTGCGAACTAACCACCATACCTACTAGACAAGCAACGTCCAGTGTTCCTCGGACCCCAGAGTCAGTAGGTCCCTCAGCCCGAGCAGTTAGGCACGAGACGCGGAATATCGGACACCGCCCGAGCGGGTACTTGTAGATGCCCAACAGTGGAGTACTTGTCGACGCAGGGTGTGGACTGCATAACGAGGGGCGGCCCGAGCCCCAGCGGGAGGTCGCGGTTTCACCCCCTGTGACAATCGGAAGAGACCCGGTTTATTCTGACTCTGCCCGTTAACTATTACTAGCAACTGCATAAGTACATGTCCTTTATGCAAAAGCCCCAAACGCGTCGTTGCCTGGGGAGATGATACGGTCTGTTCCAACCACCATAGCCATAGAGCATTTTGTGCCCTTGACACCTCCGGTCATCATGTCTCAAGCACCGATGACAAAGTCGACGCAGCTCTCATAGGTTTGAGAGTTACCGATCGCGTACCAATACCATTGAATAACGCACTTCCCGCCCTCGGTACAGGTGTCGGCCAGGCTTTCTGGAATGGTGACGCTGAAGTTAACTGCAGACAGGTTAGAATTTGAAAATAATCCCACCGACGATGCAGAGCAAATACGTACTATCATCCCGGTCTGGGCCGGGATTGTTGACAGGCCACGCCTCCCATGTTTTCAACGGACTGCCGAGAACGACGTTGTTAACTGGGTCGATCACCGACACGTTCTATCACTGTTAGTCATCGCGGGACATGAAGAGCGAGTGGCCCACATACTGCGTATCCGGGTCTATGGCCGGCAACCATGTCGATATGAAAATCGACGACGTCCCCAGCACTAAATGTGTGAAGACTAGCTTCGTTATCCCCGTACTGGTATCCTCGGCAAATATAAACGTCGCAGTTGTAATCAGCGTCGGCAACTTCGGCAGCGTTCTCAATGGGACCGGCAAGATCTGTTCCAAAGACGGGGGGTTAATCATTGACAGACATATCATCGAAACGTCGGAGCATAGCTATTACCTCTGTTCAGTATTTTTGATACCGCAGCACCACAGAGTTCATCGGATAAGCTCCCTGGCTAATGATTGTGGTCAGGTTTCTTGTGGCCTTAGATAAATGTTGGATGTCAAACCTTCCTCGGGGTGGGAGTTTCCACCACAGCATGCCCAAGAGCACCGACTGCGCCGAGGGAAAGGAGGGCGGCGTGGAACAGCATGTTTTTGAAAGGACGTTCACCCTGTTACCTATCAGAAATCTGCCGGGGAGAAGTGAAGCGCCGCAGTTATTATTATATCCAATGTCATTCTATTGGGACTCCGCGCCACGAGTTCCCCATCAGTTTCTAACCCAGTCTGAGCTAGTTGGATTTGTACCTTTTGGCCGCGACTCCTTCTTGCTGTATCATAGACGAATTATCCACCAATAATTGAATATTTGGAGAAATATATTCAGGGGTGATCTTTCGTCTTGGGAACCCCAACTTCACCGTTGCGGCCCACCTCCCTCGAACTTTCCTCCAATTAATGGAGTCCCTAAAAAGTGCACTCGGGCAGAGATCAGCGCAACATTTAATCCACCCCCGCTACATTCTTGGCTAGTTCTGGAGCAACAGATCATCTCAACCGAGAAAGGGGATGACCTGGAGCCTTCCCGTGTTGAGCAAAGGGGGCGCGGGGCGGCATGCTCCGTTCGGAAACACCAAGGAGCCGTACGGAGCAAAGAGAGAGTTTGGTCAGTACATAGGTAAGGTAGCCACTCTTTTAACCAAACAGAGACTGTCAAATGCGACAGGTTCTCTTGTGCGATCACCCCATTTCTTAGGCGCCGGTACTGACTGTGGGAGTAATGTCGTTCTGAACCTTTTGTCTTCGAGGTCGCAACGGGGGTGTTGCGTCTCTTGATACCTCCCAGACCCTTCATGACTCGGGTCCTGGCGACAGACAGCCTTTGGTCACAAGTCTTAGAGTTGTAGCCTCATTCCATTTCTCGGTTGTTTTTATTCCCCAGAAATTATCCGCCAATCAGAGCCAGAACCGCTTTGCCAATACACAAAACAAAAACAAAAGGGGGAGGGGGGACTCAGGAGAGCGTTACCCCTGACTCTTCGTCAAAATCCTCAACCCACTCCCCTCATCACCAACCAGATGCACCTTCACCGTCTCCGCCCTCGCACTCAACGCCGCCTCATCCACCCCCCTCCCCGCCATCTCCGCCTGCTCCCCATACAACAGCACCAACGGCAGCGCCGAATCGCGCCACAGCGGCACCCCCCTCGACTCCCCCATCGCCACCAGCACCGTCACCAAACTCAACACCCACACCGCCACCGGCAGCGCCATCCACGCCCACTCCACCCGTATAAACGTCCCCACCACCATCACCCTCCCCTCCGCCACATACGGCACCCCCGTCCCATTCCTCAACACCGCCAGATCCCGCACCGACTTGGTCAGCGCGGCACCCAGCGCGCGGAAAGCGCACGCGACGTTGTCGTCGGGCGTCGGACAGGTGCTGCCGCTGCTGCTGCTGCTGCTACCGTTGGTGTTGTGGAAGTCGGCGTAGAAGACGGCCTGCAGGGCATCGTTGGCGCGCGAGGCGGCGCCAGAGGCAGGGAGGTCGACCACGCGGATCGCCTGGTTGCTGTCGTCGGTGTGCACGCGGCCCTGGAGCTGGCCGCCGAGCGGGTCGGGGTGGGTGAGGGGGAGGGATTCGAGCCATTCTGGGTGGATGGTGAAGTTGGTGTTCGGGGACCAGGGTGGGGTGATGGTGATGGGATTGGGGGGGGTGTAGGGGTCGCGGAGCTGGGTGGTGGTGTCGAGGATGGTTTCGGAGTAGATGCCGCGGGTGACGGAGGCTTGGATGCGCCGCACGCAGGAGGTGATGGCGCATTCGGAGGCGATGAAGCTTTGGTTACGAAGTAGTGTCAGTTTGTGCGTTTTGATGAGGGGTTCTCGGAGTAATCCGGGAGCAAAGTTGCCATCCTCAAAACATGGTGCTTCCCGAGACACCGCCGTGCTCCCCAGAAAGGGAGGTAAGGAGCCGGGGTTTGACTAACCGGGTATCATTCTTAAGTATGTGGATTCCGTTGTTGGCCATTGTTCCGTCGGCTTCGAGGTAAGGATTTCGGGTGCCGCCCAGCTCGTCGGTGGGCACGACGGCGCGGATGGACTGGTAAATTGTTGATGGCCAGGTTATGTTGGTGAGGGCGGTGGAATTGGCGGCCAAGGTAGAGTTGAGTACCATATATTCGGATGCACCGTCAAAATCAGGGTCGGCCACGTACCAGAGGCTCAGGGGTTCCCTTTCGCCCGGGAAGGCGACGGTGCAGGTTTGCGCCGTGGTTGTGTTGTCGGAGCTGCTGACAGTCTTGCATGTCCGTTTTAGCTGGCTCGAGAGGTCGACGCAGGTAGAACAGAAGCCGAGGGTTGAAAATGGCGCCCAGGTGCAGTTACCTGTAGGGCAGTTGAAACGTGGCTGCGTGAGGACTTCTTGGGTAGGGAGAAACAAGGCCGTGATGGCGTTGGCCTTGAATATGGGGTCGAGGGTCCAGGTCGATGAGTCCATTTTGGGACCAAGCGAGTCGAGAATGTCGGCTTTGGCTAACCACGCGGTTCGGCCGACATCTTCGTATTCATGGTCGTAGAAATGCACGATCTGCTGGGCGAAAGGGCCAGCGGCGGCACCAATAATGATGGCCAGTGCTCCGAGAACCGCGATGCTCCTGTTGCATGGGAGTCAGTCGGGTGCATGCCACGCGACAAAGAGGGAAAGGGGGTTGACATACCGCCCCTTGAGAGACCAAGCTAGCATCATGGCGCCGCTCACCCCCCGGCTCCCGCTGTCAAAAGTCTTGTAATCGATCAAATTCTTGCCATGCTCGGTCAACCAGATCCATTTCAACTGTGAAACGGCACTAGTTGCGCCATAGAGCGCAGCCATCTTCCCCACAACGGCCAGGATGGAGATGAGCGTATTGAATGACAGTGACCCCCAATCAGGAATTCTCTGACCGTCATACCGCAAAAGGACGTACACCATCGCACCTAAGCCGGCGGCTGAAACCAGCAGGCCGAATAATTCGAAGGTCCATGTTGCACAAACTTTCTGGAGAAATGTCGACTTGTAAGGTGGACTGGCGGGGACGCAAGAAGAATAGTAGTCGGGGCGGTGGACATCTGTATCGGTGTCGGAGTGGACTTGTTGCTGCCATTGGGAGGGATAGCCATGGGGGTTCCCTTGTGCGGGGAGGAGATGTGAGGAGGCCTCGTGCCCCTCGATCCACGCTGGTGGTGAAGGGTGGGGACTGGAAGCCATGGTTGGAATAGGATAAGACATGTGATTATAACCGTGACGTCGTCGGTTGTTGCGAACGGGAAGTCAAAGGATTCGGAGCTGTCGAACTTGAACGGCAGCGCAGGCACGGCCGTCTTATATTTCGCGTCACTTTCCAGCTTCTTCATGGCCAGGCCCAGGCCCGCCCCGTTACTCCCTGGGCTGCTGGAAGACGTGGACCCTGGCCACAGACATCCAAGGTATATTTGGCGCGCCCCATTGCTGTGTGCTATTCGTCGGACACCCGCTAGCTGAGCAACGTCGAAGCCCAACCCCGGTCCTGAGACCGTCCCCTTGCCCAGGCTGTCCATCCTCGTCCCTTCAAAATCTGTTTTCAGGCCAAGCCAAATTTTATGGGCCAAGCACCGTCAGCCCTTGCGGCGTGCCAAGGGGGCAAGCGGCAGATGCATGAGCTATCCCGAAAGTGGAAGTTGCTCAAGTCCAATCACAAGTTGACAGTGAAGCAAGCGAGAACTTGGCTTTCACGGATGCCACGAGATCGGCGTCGGGACGGGTTGTGGGGTTCTCAGCCCACTTTTCCTTTCCAAAGCTTAAGCGGGAGATGGTTGAGAATGTTTAACTTGAGATGATGAGATGAGTTACTTGTATTGAGTTTGGTTGCTGAGGATTTACACGTGTATGTTGACAGGAAACAAAAAAACAAGAAAAGAAGAAAAAAAAAGACAGAAGCCCAACAGCACCCTTTTCCCAATCAACTTCAAGGTTCGCCTCACCCCCCATGTTTTCTTACAGACATCCAACACGTTGGAACTTACCAAGTATGCTACCTAGGTAGGTAGCTAAACCCTCATCGTATTGGGGTCCCCTAGAAGCTCAGCGTCACCCTTGTCAAAAGGATGGCGCCGCTCAAACTCCCTGATCAGCTCCTCGGACTTCTCACTCCGCGGCTCGATCCGAAAACCGAACTCGCTCGGATAGGCCACGATGCCCGGTGTCGGCTTCACATCCACGTCGACTTTCTTCCCATCTCTCCCGACAGGTTTCGTGAACTTGTAAACGGCCAGTGATTGGGCTATGTTGAGGTAGAGGGCCGAGTCCCCAACGAAGCGGCCAGGGCATACTCTGCGGCCGTAACCAAATACCTCGGTCGCCGGATCAGGCTCGTTGCGGGGCGGGAGGAAACGATCGGGATCGAAGGATTCCGGGTCGGCATACACCTGTGGGTCGTGCAGAAACCACCAGACGGCGGGTATAAGATAGGCACCGTTGGGGATGTGGAATCCATTGAATTCGATATCCTCGGTAGCCGCGTGAGGGAAACCCATGGGGGTGATAGACCACCATCTGGTGGTTTCCTTAACCAGGGCGTTAATGTATGGTAGGTTTGGACGGTCCTCGAATGTGGGCAGGCGATGCGCGCCAACGACACGATCAAGCTCCTCCTGAGCCTTGCGCTGCACGTGTTCGAACTTGATCATGGCCAGCGTGAAGGTGGTCAGGGTAACCACGGTGCTATCTGTCGCAGCGCCGTAAAGAGTTGTCGCCGACCATATAATGGCTTCCTCGTCCTCGCCGCCGAGCTTGGAATCCCCTTCTTCCTTGAGCTGTTCGACTAGCCTCGACACGTACGAAGGCCGGTGCGTTAAGGCGGCCATCTGGCTCTGGACAAAGCGGTAGGGAATATGCGCCGCTGTCACAACGGACTTGCGCCACTCTGATGCCGTCTTCTTGAATCCCGCTCCAGGGAAGTTTTCGGGGAGATACTGGAGGGCGGGGATAATGTCGACTGCCCAAGCCATGGGAACAGCGGCTAGTGAGAACTCGTGCACCGTTTTCTCCATCAAGGTAACCAATGCGTCAGGCCGGTGAGGCTCGATGGCATAGCCATAGGCCATCTTCAAGATGGTTGCGGTAGCGGCACTGAAAGTAGACAGATTTCCTCGTCAGCCCTCGACGCTTCAAAGACTAGAATTGGCGGAATCTTACGTTCTATAATGGTCTAGCCACTTTCCTGGCTCCTTCAACGTACGCACAAGCTGGCGTCCTATCTCAATCTCCTGGGTGTCGCGGAACCGAGCCGCGGACACGGTGGTGCCAAACTCTTGATGCATGTATTTTCGACAACGGCGAAGGGTGGGAGTGTAACCTTGAGCAACGACGATGGATTCGTAACCACACAGCTTGTTTGCCATAACCGTGCTCGGCCGTCCGGAAGTCTTGCTCGCCATCTTGTCCAGGAGCTCATGCGCCATCTCCTTGTCGTGTATTAATACGAGCGTCATGCCCATGATTGTCACGGAGGAGATGCCGCCGTAAAGGTCCTTGTGCGTCAGCCAATGTTGGTATTCCGGCATGCCATTCGGGGGCAAGTCTCGGAAGTTTCCAAGCAGCGGAAGGGGTTTTGGCCCTGGGGGAAGCTTGTGGGTGCCACCCCGCTTCGACTGCCGTCGAACTAGTCGGTAGAATACGACACATCCTGATAGAAGAAGGATGCACCATATCGAGAAGGGCATAATCATCATTGCCATGCTGAGCGGTAGCCGTCAAACCGGCCAGAGTACCTAAGGACTAAGGTATTCGACTCGAGGGGAAGGTATTTCAACGTCGAGATGGACACCAAGAAAGCGACAGATCGCGGTGGGCTGCAGCACCAGCACAGCAGCACCAGCAGCACCCCTCAGCTTATAACGACTGCATTACCCTTGCCTCAGCTCCGAGCTAGGTCTGCAGGCGCTCGGGGGTGTCATTGCAACCCCGCTTTTGATCAGATCTGCCGCAGTTCCGTGAGACTGGAGTATCATTATTGGTAGGTCTGTGTAACTCTTCAGGTACTAGTATGTCTCAATGAACCATGTATGTACCACTCAAGGCTCGCCACAAATCAAATAAAGAAAATCCGAGGCATATTTGATTTGTTTAGATTTATTTACCTCGGAACAAATCAAATCCCTGGTTTCCATTAACCCTAACCCCCCCCACCCCTCAGACACTCTTGGTCTTCTTAATATAAAAGTGCTGTTTACCTGAGGTAACTGAACAATTTTGCAATCGGCCAAGATAGCTGCGTAGGCAGGCTGACTATCCCTGGTAGATGTTTGGTTGGCCAACTTGGTGGGCTCGAAACTAAAAGTGACATTGCGACTGCTGCTCTGCAAACAAACCTGGTTGTGGGGGCGCCAAGTTATGGGTCGGGGGTGACACAGGCCAAAAGTTGTGGTGGTTGTCGGGGCGGCATGTTGGGAGCCCCAGCCACTTGATGTGGCTAGTGGTGGCTGGTTCAGATAGATTCAAAGAGATCCAAAACCAGAGACAGAGTCTTATTTATTCGGCTAAGAGGCAAGTAGTTGCTGTCCGCCAGCTCAGGAGCGGCGGCAGGCGGATACTCGTTTGCTGTAGAGCAGAGGCTACAGAGGTCAAGGAGAATGCAAGCTGGATTAGGTAGTAGCTAGGTACCTTACTAAGAGTCTTGGAGAGCAAGCAGAACACGCATACCAGCATTGAACCTAAGGGGTCGTTGTCCTCGGCGTGTATGTGAACTCCATCAATATCAAGGATCAGAAGGGAACCATCTAGTGCATAGGTACTTGCAGACAAATGCACAGCCATTCTTGAATCCAAGATATTCTTTGTGAAATGGCTCACCAGAGACTCCCCCCTGAACGCGCATACGTGATCGAAATGGAGTTCAAACGCAGGCAAGGCTCCCCACAACGCAAACAAACTGTGGTAGGTGCCTCAATTCGAGGGTAAACAGCACTCACATTTCGTATTTGACTCAATTTGCCCAGAATTTGTCCGGATTCAAGTTTGCAACTTCTTTGGATTGCATTGACTTGCTTGAACCGAATCCCCGATTTTGCCGGCTGTCCTCCAGGTTTCTACCTAGACCGTTCGCGTATGTATTTGTCCCCTCGATTGTTTTGATATGATGTACTAAATAGTGGATGCCAGAAACCGGTCTCGAGGCCGGGGAATCGAGGCCGGGATGGTCGATGCGTCAGGCCGGGAGCGCAAGCGGGGGCGCCCCGCGGGGCTCAGCATAGGGTGGGGCGTTCGTCCCATCAGACCAGGGCCCGAGCAAAGTTTCCTCCACGTACATGTACCTAGAGCAGATTTGCATGAACAAGCGAAGTTGATGAAAGTGATGGGAAAAACATCAACCCTCAAGAAAGTCAAGCTTCGGCTGCATGTCCATAAGAACAAGAGTTGAAACAATCCCTTTGCACCTTGTTAGCCACGACAGAAGGGGGTTTCGAAATGGCTCCCACGTACATGTACAAGGTAAAACCGAACGAATTGAGGACAGCACTGCCACATTGAGGACGGATTTCTCGATTGAGCCACATGCCATGTTCATCCAATCAGTCGCTACAAAACCAAGCCTGGTGAGTGGGCCTGCGGGCTGGGCGGAGGCCTTCGCATGCAAGTGCATGCCTGTGTTCCTGAGGTCGCCTTTAAATCCCGTCTGACTCCTCGACCGCCATCCGGATCTGCCCCTCGCTCTTTCTCAACCTCACCCTCGCATCGCACTCGCATTCTGTGTTTTCGACAACTTGGACACAAGACTGCAAATCTGACCACCCCATCGCGCCCACAAACCCCCGTTAAAACCGTGGCCGCGGTAACCGCGCCGTTCGCGCCTCTCGAGCCTAAGCCTCTCCATGCCGAAGAGTACAACTTTCGTCGTTCCGGAGTTATGCTCGATCAAGTAGGACATTCGCCAACCCGTAAACCCCCCCCCCTACCTTGCCCTAACAACTATCGTAGGCCGACAACAATCATGTGGTTGCTTCTCGAGAACTCGCCCCCCGGGGCTCTCCACAAAATCCATGCTCAGCGCCATGCTCAGCACTACCAGTGCAAATTGACGGGTTAGTGGATGATCGCATTGCTAACAATGGCGCTCTCGATATGCGTCACGTCCAGTTTAGACCTCGGTCCTCCCTGTCCGAAACCTGGATTGCTCTCGATTTGCCCACTCGGCCCTGGCCCCGCATCCCCAACCTCTTCCAACCAGCTTGGGAAATTCCCGGTGCAGCGGCAGCAGCATCAACCCCCGACCTCACCCCTCGAGCGCTCCCCTACGACCTTTTGTCGACCAACATTGACAGCGGTCCGCGAGGATTCCCTGTCGCTCAACCCGCGCTCAACGCATCTGTGCTGCCCCCAGACGCACTGCCATCGGCAACCGCCGCCAGCATGGACCTGCCGCGCAACATATGGCCCGCCAGGAGGCCGGGAGCGCGCGCTCCTGTCGCCGGCCCTGCCGCCCAGCCCACGCTTGCTGTCCCCGGAAGCCTTCCGATGCATTCACTCGGCAAGATTGACATTCTCGAGGATGACTTTCAGCTGGATCCTCGCATGGAGATCCTAGAGTTCAGCCCTGTTCGATGGGAAGTAGAGGAGGCACGCCTGGCAAATATTGCCCATGTGCTTTCGATTGCCTTTCTCGTCACAAGGCTGGTTGAAGGATTGGTGGAATGGTCACGGCCCTTGCCATCTTTGGAATCGAAGTTTGACCGGTTCCAACAGGATGGCATACTACTTCCGTGTGTCTGAAGACATGCGGCTCGAAAGCACTGTCAGGCTTTCCGACCCTGGACTACGTCGTTAAACTAGTCCCCGAACTATCATCGCGCCATCATCAATCGCCGTCTTCAGGCAGCCACCGTCAACATCCACACCAAACCAAACCGAAGTCATAGCTCGCGAGAGCGCGTCCAACTCACGTCGCCGTGAGTTGGGTATTCGAACAATGTCTACCAACGAGTCCCCGACCCAAGCCCACTCTCCCTTCTCCTTTCAGGAGGATCTTGGGGAGTGGGCTTGGCTCCATCAAACCACTGCTTCCGAAAGGCCCCAATTCCCGCTGCTGCCGCCAAGTCCGACCTACCATGCGCTTGGTCTCGAGAGCTCGCAGGCCGTCGTACCGCCACCCACGCCACAAACCGCATCCTCGTATCCCACAATGAACACAAGCTTTGCCGACTCGTTGGGCTCAAGCGCGGTAGAGCCGCTTCAGGATCTCGATCCTATGATGGCGTTCCAGCTTGGCCTCTACCTCGGCTCGACGGACCCTTCCTGGGCTGTACCAGACAACTATCCACCAGGAGACCTTTTTACCAACACCTTGGATGAGAACCTGTTCACCGGCATCGACTTTACGCCCGAGACTTGCACATACACGCCGCCACATGGCTCCACCAGCCCCACGACTTCCCTCTACGACATGGATGCCATGTACCTCCCGGGCAGCCACCACACCCCCGCGGCTCCCCTCACCCCCATCTCCCTTTCGAGCGCCACCCCCGAATCCGCACTCTCCCCCGCCTCCCCGGCCACGGCATTCAACCAAACCTTCCCATACCTAGAAGCCGCGCAAAACAATAACAACCACAACCCAAACCCACCACCCACCAACCCCAGCGCAGCACCCACCACCAACAACAACGACCCCACCCCACCCAACAAGCACAAGCCGCGCGACAACAACAACAACAACAACAACAACAACAACAACAACAACCACAAACGCGCCCGCTTCCGGTGCCCGGTAACGCCGGCCACCACGGCCCGCTGCGCGCGCGGCTTCCTAGACGCGCGCACGCTGCACCGCCACCTGTGGACGCAGCACAAGGCGTATGCGCGCGAGCACGCCGTGCCGTCCGAGGAGGCGCGCTGTCCGCATGCGGGGTGTGGGTATGTGGGGAGGGCGGATAATGTCGCGAGGCATGTTAAGAGGCATGGACGGTGATGAATAAAAGGGAGGGGTTGATGGGATGGGGGTTGGGAGGGAGGTGGAGGAGGGGTTTTAGAGGGGTTTGAGAGAGGGATAGGGAGGAGATGGGGTAGGATGGTTGGTTTGATCCCTACTTTTGTGTGATTTTCTGTTTTTCTGCGTCGGCGTTGGAGAGTATATTTCTGTTTTGAGCGGCTTTCTCTATTGAAGAGTACCTATAAAAGGTGTTAGGTTGTTCATTTTAGCGGTCGTTCCAACTATCAATAAACAAAAGTAAAAATTTACTGCTGGTTCCCCTACAATGTAATGGTAATTCTTGGGTCAATATAAAACAACCCATTGATCTGTGTAGGACACCTCCAAAAGTCAAAAAGATGTGTGGACTCTCCCGCCGGGAATTGAACCCGGGTCTCGAGCGATGTCGGCTTGACAAGCTCACATACTGACCACTATACTACGGAAGACTTGTGGTTGTTGGCAACCACCGTAGCTTGGCGGCGGAGTCACTTCCGGACCCATATCAAGGAAGGACTGCATCTAGTAGAGGCTCAGGGGTAATCGGCACCACATCGTTGACCGTACGCTGGGTCTTCGAGTTCTCAAATAGAAGGTTTATTCTCTGTCCTTTACAAACCTGGATTGTATAATTCCACTATCTTTATCCTAAGTTTACAGACCGCGGAGACCTTTATATTTCGACACTTGCATTTCGCATCTCATAACTCTTTCTTGCTATCAGAGACTCTAGTCCCCGAAAGTGGGAGGTTTCTCTTAATAGGTACCTTACCTACCGAGGTAGTCTAGTATTAATGAACCTCGAAACACCGCAAACCTCAATGTTGGGTACGAGCATATGACGGCAGTTGAAAGAGCCGAAACCGGGAAGTTTACCCTTTTGATAGGTGGGCTACAAATACCCGAAGCATGCAGCAAGGTGCTGATTAAAACCGGGCTCGTTGGGGCCAATCCGAGACAATCCATATGCCAGGGCCTTTTTGGTCGGCGTCTTCCCGATCTGGATGCCGAATTCAGCCTGTCACACAGCACGCGAGGTCATAATGCTACTTTCCAGTGCATGGGACTTTCCCAGAGTTCTCGACCACGGCCACTCTGACGGCTGACCTGATCCGTCACCACAGTGGGTGACAGTTGGCATGCTCCTCCTTGGTCCTTTCACACACTACTGCATGCCAAACCGGGTTCTGTCCACACAATGCAAGCCCTGCCGACCTCCTCCCAGGTTCTTTTGCAGGTGCCGAACCTATCCGTAGCCAACGGGGCTCATTGCCGAGTTCTCGCTACCGGGGCCTGCAGCAGCGGTCGTATCCCGCCTCGTTTTGGTCCCAGTCGTCGGTTACATCGTGGTTCAGCTCTTGTGAAAATGCCCTGGGCATATCCTTACCACCTTGGCGGCCCTGTCAACATGCCGATCCTGTCAGATTGTGGGGTGGGCGGGTGAGACTTCGGGCAAGGGTAGAGAACGGTGTCATGAGAAAGGATAAAGAGGACTGTCTCCGCGTCAGACCCCAGGTTTTGCAGTTCTTGCTGTCAGTATACTGTTGGTGACTCAGCCGTAACCAATCCTGTATTTACGGCCAACATGCGATCCCTTCGGGCAACTTCGTTGCTCTCCCTCCTCCTGGCGGCCATCGCGCCGGCGTATGCCGACACCTGCTCCGATGTCGAAGCCAACACAGACATCGAGGTTTCCAGGCGTCTCCAGCTTGCATACACGGCCGAGCAATCCGAGTATTGGTCGGCCTCCTGCACAGCTCTCAAGCCGTCGTGCATCATCTTCCCCAGATCTGCCGCCGAGGTCGCGGCCGTCTTCCGGGTCCTCAACACCAACAATGAGACGTTCGCCGTAAAGTCCGGAGGGCACAGCCCAAACAACTACTACGCTAGCGTCGACGGCGGCCCGCTCATCTCGACGCAAAACCTAGACCACGTCCTCCTAGACCCCGCCACCGGCGTCATGGATGTTGGCCCGGGTAACCGGCTCGACGGGATAGCCAAGAAGCTGCAAGGCACCGGCTGGACATTCGTCGGCGGCCGCATCGGCAACACGGGCGTCGGCGGTCTCATCCTCGGCGGCGGCCTCTCCTACATGTCGGCGCAGTATGGCTGGTCAGCGTCCTCGGCCATCTCCTACGAAGTAGTCCTCGCCAACGGCACCATCGTCACCGCCTCGGAGACTTCCAACCCAGACCTCTTCACCGCGCTCAAAGGCGGCGGCAACAGCTTCGGCGTCGTCACCAACTACAAGCTCCAAGGCCACCCGCAAGGCGACGTCTACGGCGGCAACCTGGTCTTCCTGCGCACGCCCGACCTCGACGCCAAGCTCCTCCAAGCGGTCCGCGACTTCACCGAGTACAACACCGACGACAAAGCCGCGGTAATCGTCACCGCCGAGCGCACCAACCTCAACCTGCTCGACTCCTGGATCCTCTTCCTCTTCTACGACGGCCCCGAATCCGCCGTCCCCCCGGACACCTTCCGCAACTTCACGTCGCTCAAACCCCTCACCAACACGCTCAAGACGCAAACCTACGCCGACCTGATGGCCGGCAGCAACTGGGTCGTACTGAAAGGCTTCCAAGTCCAGATCGGCACGGAGACAGTCCCCCTACCGAGCGCGGCCGACGGCACCGAGGTGCTGCTGGACGGCATCCACGCGCACTGGCGCGCCGTGACCAAGTCGGTGCTGCTGGTGCCCGGGATTGTGGCCTCGATTGCGTACCAGCCGTTCCCGAGGCGCATTGCCCAGGCGGCGCGCGCGCGCGGGCAGGATCTGATTGATGCGGATGAGGATGCGGATCGGCTGATTATTGAGCTGAATTATGCGTTTTTGCTGCCGAGTGATTATGGGAAGATGGATGGCAAGATGGTGGAGACGTATGGGGGGATTAGGGAGAGGGTGACGGCCTGGCAGGCGGAGGGGAAGTTGCCGGATGTGTACTTGCCGGTGTTTATGAACTATGGGTTTTATCGGCAGGATTATTGGGGGAGGCTGAAGCAGGCGAGTCGGGATCTGGCGAGGGAGGTGGCTGAGAGGTTTGATCCGGCTGGGTTGTTTAGGGATCGGACGGGTGGGTGGAAGCCGTAGTGGACTTCCAAAAGAAGTAGTAGAGCGTTGTAAGTAACTCTAGGGGTTCATAATGAAAGAAGAGTAGGTAGTATGATAGGTAAGGTAGTCAAGGCATTCCTGTTGAAAGACCACGAATGAACCCCCTGACCTAGCTACCTCTTCCTGAGCACAACTTGAGCCTTTTCCAACACTTTCATAGGCTGCCCCTCCCCTTCCGGCTGCTTCGTCAGAGCACCAAACATGGTGTATGCAATCTCATCGCTCCTCTCGCTGTTCTTGCCATTCTCAACGGCGATTGGATCCGCCTTGCTCTCGAGAGCGGAGAGCGAAGGCACCCCGTCAAGTCCGATCTTCTCGACCGCGTATATATCCTTGGACTTCCGCATCATCATGCGCAGTTTATACGCATCCTTACACAAGGACAAGATACTTGAGCGGAGGACTTCCTCTTCCGACTGTCGGATATGTTTGGAAAGGAGCGGGGCGAGGAGGGAGAATATGTCGGTCGTAGCCCTCTCGCTCGTCGCGTCCTCGATTCCAGTCAGCTCGACGCAGTTGATGGTTGCAATCCTCCAGTCGCTAATGACGTTCTCGCTGACTAAATGTACGCGCCGCGTCAGTGCTCGGCCTGAGTTCCCAGGGGCCTTGGTGTCAAAGGGGAAGCCTGTGTTTGTTAAGAAGACAAATTCTTACCACCTAGCTCTGTCAGGGTGTACTCAAACCGTCGCAGCCCAGGCTCGACCTGTCCCAGGACTCCCGCTTCGTTCGTCTGGAATCCCTGGAGGCCGAAACAATTGTAACCCAGGATGTGAAAGTGTAGCACGTCAAAAATCTTCGCACGCATGCGAAGGCGCCGATCCACGAGGCCGAGCGTTCCCCAGGCGGATGCGCGGTAGAATGATGCCAACGACGACGTAGTTCCTTGCGGCCCAGTTGCGAGGACAGGGTTGGTATCGACAACGTAGGACGGACTGCGCGACAGCTTTTGGATGTCCTGGCGCAGTTTAAGGAACCCTTGAAGGATCTCGTCGTCGCTTATTTTCTGGACGCCCGCCTGGTCGAGGATGATGGTTCGGAACATGGCTTCCTTGCCGCGGAGCTTGTTGACTTGCTCCTGGTTCTCGCGGAGTTGGCCCTCCAGACCCAAATTCTTTCTCTGCGCAATGGCCAATTCCCGCTTGACGGCATCTAGCTCGCGTTGGAGGGCAATGTTCCGGGTTCCTAGGACCTTGCTTTCGCCATGGGGCTCTGCAAAGCGCGTACCACCAATTTGAGACAGCGGCGAGGATGCTTGTTCGTAACTTTGCTGTTCCGGATACCCGTTAGCGCCCTAGTGAGCAGTTTCACCCCGTTAGTACCGCGAGAGTAAGTCAAGTGACCCCCGGGGGAACGGTTGAGCCCGGCTGATATGCACATACTAGGAACCAATTACGCCAACCATTCTCTCCCGAGGCACCAGGCTTCCCCATCCCCGCCACGACCTGAGCGGGAATAGCCTCAACCTGTTGCATCAGGCAGTTGAGCCCATTCTGAATGCCGGCCATGTCTTGGTTTACCCTCTTGAGCTCAAGTAGGAGCACCTCCTGGCGCCGCTGATCCCCACTGGCATCGGACGCAGTAACCTTTTGGTGAGTTACCGCGTCCATCATCGGGTCATCGTAGTCCATAGTGTTGCTGTATCTTGGGGAACAAGGCCGGTATGAAGTGCAATGGCTAATATTCTTGGAGCGCGGGGGCACGGAAGAGGCTAGGCGTCCACACTCAGTGTGCATGCGACGAGCCTCGCCGTAGCTCATGGAGGATGACACAAGAGTCGACGGGAGAAGGTCCAGAGGAGCTGGAATGCTGGGAACTTGGAACAAATTTGGCAGTGGAAAATACCCTTGGTCAACCTTTTGGTACGAATCAACCCCTCAATCACAGCCTCACGCCATGTCGGCGATCAATTTACGTAGGCGCCCAAAAGGAAGAAGCTGCAGGGTGGCACAGGGGGGGCATTGTTGCGGCCTAAATCCCAACACCACAAGGCCACCAATGGAAACCCATACGACTCGGGATTCTGCACTCTTTGGGCTCAGCTGTCAGGCATCTACGCGGTAATTCCACCCACGCTTACCCCGCTTGGTCTCACAGCCAGCCAGTCAATAAGTGGCTTTGTCCTTTGCTTTTCCTATCCTGTCTCAAGTGCAGGTGTTAGTACTAGTATTATTTAGGTAGCATAGACTCGTATACCCCTTGGACGATAGCCAGACGAGGGGTATAGAGTTCTTTGATGATACCAAGCCCCTAACCATTGCGAGCCTTCTCCCCATGCAGTAAGCCCGAACAATGCCCCTGCCTGTGGGGGGCGAACGCTGCCAAAGCTGTGCGAGCATGGGTGGGCGGGCGTGGTGAACGAACGCCACGCATAAGCCTCAATAAAACTCGTGTACTGGCTGGTCCCCCCTCATCCCCGAAACCTTGGTAGCCCTTGGTGCTTTGTTGTAATCATTCCCCCAATCCCACTTGAGTCGAACTCATTATCCTAACGTAACCTCGCACATGATGGTTCAACCCCTGGACCCCAAGGTCGAACACCTCGTTGCGCAGTTGGGCGAATCATTACGCAACATGAAAACGGACACACCCGCCGGTGATGAGTCAGAGGAGAAACTCATCATCGCTTTGGACTTTGGCACCACATTCTCCGGCATTGCTTACTGCTTTGCTAATCAGCGAGACACCAAGGTCGCTGCCATTCTCGACTGGCCCGGCGCCGAAGGAGAATCCGCCCCCAAGATCCCGACACTAATCAACTACAGTAGTCCCAGGGGAGGGGAATTTGCGTGGGGGGCGTCGGTTAACCGCATGCGAGACAATATCGTCGGCGTCAAGCTACTACTCGACCCGTCTCAAGAACGACCTCTCTACCTCCCCACTGGCAACATCAAACGGACAATCAAGAGCTTGCCCAAACCCCCTGTCGAAATCGCCGCAGATTTTATCGGTGCCGTGTACCGTCATGCCCAGAATGAAATTGCCAAAGTGGTCCCCAAGGAGTACCTCAAGATCTGCCAAAGGCACTTCGTCCTCTCCGTCCCAGCCGTCTGGTCCGATGCTGCGAAGAATGCCACACTTCAGGCTTCGAAGATTGCCGGAATCTACCCTGTAACACTGATCAAGGAGCCCGAGGCTGCCGCGCTCTACACGATGCACGCGCTAGACTTCTCCCTCAATGTTGGGGATGCGTTCGTGGTCTGCGACGCCGGCGGCGGCACCGTTGATCTCATCTCGTACGAAGTTGTGGGCCTCAGTCCGAATCTCCAAGTCAAGGAACTCGTTCCCGGTACCGGTAAGACATATTCCGGGCTCACTTTGTCTTCGGAAACTAATCCACGTGCACTTGGGTAGGCGGTATGGCCGGGTCTCTCGGCCTGAACCAACGCTTTGTCGAAGCCGTCAGAAACCTCGTCGGCGAAGAGCAATTTGCCGATCTGCGGAAAACCAAGGGCTTCTTGCTGGCGGAGAAGAGCTTCGACCGGGAAGTAAAGCGGGCGTTCAAGGGCGACCCCGATGAGGAGTACTTTATCAACTTTCCTATGGCCTCCTTAGATGACGACCCCGATCTTGGGCTCGAGGCAAATTGCTGGAGGATGACCGGGTAAGTATATTTACTAATTACTGTCAACCCATGGGCGTCATCTAAGCGAACATGCCTACTGACATTCGAGTAGCAAGGACCTGAAGACCATCTTCGCGCCCCTCATCACCGACATTCTCCGCTTGATTGATGATCAGGTCAAGTCAGTGAGGATCAAACGCCCCACGAGTGGTGTTACAGTAGGCTTCTCAGGTGCCATTGGATCGGGACGCCAGTATTAACGCATAACTCAGGGCATCTTCTTGGTCGGGGGTTTTGGCAGCAGTCAATACCTCAAGGGGTGTGTCGAGAAAAAATATCCCGGCATCCAGGTGCTTCAGCCAACAGATGCGTGGGCGGCCATTGTCAAGTATGTAAACCACAACATTGAAGTCGCTGCTGCAACATCGGGGAAGAAGAGAGGCTAATTGGGAACTAGGGGTGCGGCCCTGAGTCAACTGCCACGACAGGCCACCGTCCTCGCCACCTCGGCCACGCACCATTACGGCGTTGAGGCCTGGGAAATTTACGATCCCGAGTTGGACAGTGGTGTACCTACCCAGATCCGCCGGGACGGAACTAAAAGAGCTGAAAGGGTGAGTGCCTTCAATGTGACGCTCTCAATTCCCCCCTTTCCCTATTTCCCACTTCAGTTCTGCAAAGAAACTCACCAACCGGCAGATGACATGGTTCATCAACATCGGCGACGACGTCCTCCGCGACCAAAAGATCAAGTTCTCCTTTTACCGATCCATCAGCGAGAACTACACGCCCGACGATCTCATTTTCCAAGACACGCTCTTTGAGTGTGCCGACCCGTGCGTTACACCTCTTAGCACACAGTTTCCTACTATTGTCCCACCCCGGACCGCTGACACTGCCCCGGGTCACAGAGTTGCACCAACGCACCACTGCAAAGGCGACAAGATCAGTTCTAACTGCTTGCTGACGGCCGACTTGCGCTCCGTCCCAAGCAGCCAGTTCGTCAGCAAAGCTGACAAGAAAGGGCAGGGATAGTGAGTCGTCTACATGCCTTTTGCACCAAGATCCACAAACAAACCGTACTCACCGTATTATACAGTTACGACGTGTTCTACGACCTTGTCGTCACTCTCGAGTCCGCGCTGATGAAGTTTTCGCTCGAGATAGATGGTGTCTCGATGGGAAGTGTTGAGGCAAAGTTCAGTTGAGGCACATCTTGGGTGATCGTCTGTAAAGAATGAGGATCTTGACCTGGTTGGGTGCCCACAAGGTCGGGGCTGTTGGATTAAGCCATGTAAGGAGTTCTGATATAACAATGAGCAAACCGTGTCCTTCGAGATGTCTTCCTCTTGCCCCCCTGAAAACCTGAAAGTCGCGACGGTTACTCTGTCGCCCTACGAAATCTTACGGTTGACAACGTGGCAGCATTGACCTAGTCTCATTTCGATTTTGAGTTGAATCCGCGCCCACTTGACCCTGCAGCGCGAAGGTTCACTGGACAGACCGGGATCTGCCAAGATTTTCAGGGGCGAGGGTGTGAGGTGTGCCAGGGTCCGAGCCGTTGAGCACTCGAGTCCGACGTTTGCTATGCGGGTCGAGACGCGGATCATTTTCAGGCAGCATTCTTTGAAGTTTCTCCCTCGCTCACACAAAAACAAGGACCGTCCCGGCGCGGTGACGCCTCTCAGTGCTGGATTTCAGCTGCTTGCAAGACCGTGAGCATGGCGGCAGCACCTCCTTCGACATTACGTTCTTTGAGATGGCCCGACCACAGTTATCAGGCCGTGGAGTTGGACATTGCGGACCAACAAAACCCGGACCGGGGGCGAGAACCGGAACCGGGGAGTGCCCAGAGTCCGCAGTCTTGGACGCCGACTAGCGCCACTACCGAACTTCCCCCTTACTCGAAATCGGGTCACTCGAACCCACCGGTCCTCGTCGATGCCGAACTACCATGGCGGCCCTTTTACCTCCAACGTCGCGTTCTCCTATGTTTTGCTGCCGTCTTCGCCCTTGTCGTCGCCGCCATCGAAACGCTACTCGTGGTCTCTGACAAGAACAGCGGCATCGCTTCGTCTACCCCCAACCGACACTACCTGTGGACATACGGTCCCACCGCGTTTCTCACCCTCATCGCTGCGGTATGGAGCCGTGCCGAATACCAGAGTAAGTTGGTGGCGCCATGGATTCGCCTGTCGGGACACCCTGCGCAACCCAAGCATACTCTCCTGCTCGACTATTTCTCCGACTTTCAGCTATTCGCCGTATTCAGGGCCACACGAAACCGCGATTTTGCCGTCTCGATCACCTCTGCGGTTGCCATCATCATCAAGGTTTTAATTGTCATCTCCACTGGCCTGATCGCCCTCAGTTGGACTCTTGTCCATTATCCGTCTTGGCCCGTGACTGTCCAGGATCGGTTTATCGACAGTCCCGTCCGGTTGTCTGACGCCGGCACGCTTTCATACTATGTCATGCAGGGGCTCATAAGTCGAAACCTCACGTTGCCGGACGGAATAGCCACCAACTACGCCTTTCAATCCGTCTCCACCGATTTGCCCGACACAGCCGAGACGAGAGTTATCGTTGACGGATTCGGAAATTCACTCGAATGTCAACCAGCGGAGCTGACCTTGAAGGGAGCGGCCCCCCCAGATCCTCATTACACCGACGAAAGGGGAATGAATCTGACCATAACGTCCCCCGGTTGTAACATTGAGCACCTACAGATACGTCCAAGCCCGGTTTGGCCGTGCACTGGTCATCATCGCGAACCCTGTGACGTGCTGTTCACGCGATTCACCTCAACGCGGTGTGATGGGATAACGGGCGACGAGGGAAGGCGTATCCTTGTTGTGTTTGGCAACATGACCTACAGTGTCGACTTTTCCATAACCCTCGATGACTACACTGGCGCGCATACAAGACATCCCTACCTCGCCCATATGCGAGAGTCGGCCCAGATGCTCTGCGTACCGACCTACGGCATCACAAAGGTGAACGTGGTCCGAAATGGGACCCAAACTCGACGAGTCACCATGTCCCCAGGGGCTACTTCCCGGACCCTGGATTCCGTCACCGGCTGGGATTTGGCCGACGCGCACTCTGCCGCCTTCTACAACGACCTTTCCTCTGCCAAGAACCCTTACGGTAAAACCAGAAAGGTCGACAACACCTCGGTGGACGTGGACGAAGTTATGGACTTTGCCCTGCCCACTCAACTAGCTCCAGGCCAACCACTCAGCTCTCTCTTCGAGGTGGACGCCCTTCAACGATTCGCAACAGCCTATTACGCACAGGTTGCTGCCATCATCGCCAAGCAGAGTTTGATGGAGTCAGCATCAATGCAAACGCACGCTTCCGTAACCCTGTGGAGGAATAGGCTCGTGATACGAAACTGGGCGGCCCATTTGATGGCTGGCCTAGCGGCTACTTGTTTCGTTCTCACCACGGTTGCCGTGTTTTTGGTTCCAAAACGGGGTATCCTGCCCTGCAGTCCGGCAACCCTGCCCGGCATGGCATCGCTAGTGCGCTACAGTCCCGACCTTTTAGCCATGCTACGGTTCTCAGGGGCAGCCGATGCGAAGCGCCTCAGCCGGCCGTTGTTGGCATCAACCTTTAGGTCAGGGGTCGCTGTGGATCCCGCGTCCAGCCAGCCGTATTTCACCATTCTCAGCGAGCTGCGTTCCACTGACCGAAGATCTCACACTTTCCAACAAGTCGACTCCAAGCAAACGCATCCAGTTGTCTTACACCCCGCCTTCCGTGCGGCATTGTGCTTGATACTAGCGATGCTTATCGTGGCCCTGGAACTGACACTGCGTAAGTCAACCCACGAAGAGGGCCTCGGGGACGCCCGTGATGATGACTACATGCATCACACCTGGACCACCGGTCCAGCTGTCGTCTTCGGTGGGCTATCCATGTTGTTGTCCGCCATGGACTTCCAGATCCGGTCCCTTGCGCCATACGTGGCACTTAAACAGGGCGTCACCCCAACGGCTTACAAGACGCTCGACTTCATGGACACATCAGTCCCACGAACCATCTTCCGCGAGATCAAGTTTACCAACATCGGCGCCCTCGCAGCCACCACAGGCTTTCTGATCGCATCGGTGTTTACGATATTCTCCGCATCACTATTCCAACCACTTGCGATTCCTACGACGATCCCGGTATCATTCCGGGCCAACCAGTCCTTTGATATGACGCCGATCTCTAGTGACGATGGCAATGTAGTCGCATCCCTTATTTTCGGGAGCAACTTTTCGTTTCCCATATTTACCTACGACGACCTTGCCTTCCCCCAACTCGTCCCGACGACCCCATTGTCTAGCGACGGCAGAATCAACAAATCCACCGTTTCCATCGAAGCCGTCGTGCCCGCGCTGCGCACCAGGCTGACCTGTCGCGTCTACGACTCGTCCAAGATCACAACCAACCACACTCTTAACTACACCACCTATCTCGGATCATATGACAACCCACTCGGCATCAACATCGAAGGCGAGGAGTGCAACCGCTTCCCCGAATACGAGCCATACGGCTACAACAACATCCTGTCCACCTACCCCAACGTGACCTACTTCGCCATGGGCATGACCGTCGGCAACGTCTCCGAGGCCCAGGGCTGCAGCGACCTGCTCTACACCTGGGGCAAGCTCAACCACACCGCCGACCCCATCATCCAACACATCACCTCGGTCGGCTGCAACGAAACCATCGAGACCCTCTCCGTCGCCACCACCTTCCTCGGCGCCAACCTCACCATCGACCCCTCCCACCCGCCCCTCCCCCTCGAAAACACCACCCGCCCCACCAACATCTCCACCTACGGCTTCATGCGCGCCTACAGCCGCCTCGCCCGACTCTCCACCGCCCCCAACTACCTGACCCCCTTCTTCGCCATGCTGACCAGCTCCCCCTGGGCCATCCCCCTCCCTTCCCTCGGCACCCCCTCCGCCACACCGCAGATCCTCCGCGCAATCCACCACCACCACGGCCTCATCCAGGCCCAGACCCTCGCCCAGAACCTGCTCCCCGCAAACACCACCAACACCACCCTCCCCGTCGGGAGCCATCCCGTAAACACCACCGACGACATGTTCACCTACCCCGGCACGGCGCGGTCGGGACCGGGGGAGGGGAGACGGCGGGTCGTGCAGGATGCCACGTCGACGCGGATCTTGCAGGCGTTGTTGGGGGCGGCGGCGGCGTTGGTGGTGCTGGGGTGGGTGTTTTTGGGGGAGACGGATGTGTTGCCGCGGAGTCCGAATAGCGTGGCGAGCGTGGTGGCGTTGGTGGCGGGGGGGGATTTGTTGGAGGGGGGGGAGGGGGGGCAGGAGAAGGGGAAGGGGGGGTATGGTGGTGGTGATGGGAAGGGGGGTGGTTATTATGGTGGTGAGGAGGGTGGGATGGGGGAGGAGGGCGTGAAGTTTTGCATGGGGTGGGGGACGGTGACGGATTGGGAGGGGAAGGAAAAGGGGGGTGGGGAGAATGAGGCGGGTGTGAGTCGGTTTGGTATCTTCGCTGTGCGGGAGGGGGAGGTTAACGGGGATAGGGAAGGGAAGGCTCGGCTGATGGGGGGTTGAGATGGGATGGATCTTTCTCACCCAAGCGTTCAGTCGTGGAGATCTTGTTTTTACTTCTGCAGATGGCGCAATGTGATACCCGAGGGAGCACCATAAATGGAAAAAACTACATAGACTTTGCAGTCTGTCTCAAGTTCAAACCCTTTGGGGTTTACTCTTATTGTAGCTCCACACACAAAACAATTGAACATTTATTTCGGCATTCCAAGTCTTCTCGTCTTTGACAAGCATTACCCCCACTCACCAACCCTACTAGGCCTTCAAATCTAGTACACGTAGCGGAAGTTCGGGTTCTCCTTGTCCGTCAAGTCCTCGAACGCGTGTGCCAACCTATCCTCCCCGCTAGTCTCCTCTGCCAACGCATCCTTCTTTTTGTTTTGGTGTACTAGATAAAACCGAAGGAAAATGATGACGATAACAAGAAGACTGTAGCAACCGAGGTGCGTGGCGAATGCGATGAAGTAACGGGGTTTGTCCCAGTCAAGGAACACTTGGGGGCCTAGTTCAATAACCGCGGTTAGTTACCACGCCAATGCGAGCAGTTGTCCGGGGCTTTCTTACCGATGGCGTTGCCAGCAGACCAGATAATAAAGCTGAGCGCGACAACGACACTCTTCTTGGTTTGCCCAGCGATGTTGCGGGAGACCATGGACAGAGCCAGCGTCTGAGCGGACCAGAACGACAAAGTGATGTAGTAACTGATCACCAAGCCAATCTTCTGCCCCATGGTGTCGGGGGGGACGGTCATGAGACAGATTGTCCCAATAAAGGAGCTATACCTGTTAGCGGGACATAACGCAAGCTGACTCGGGAACTGAGGGAAGGATAAACTCACGGAATCACAAACGCCAGCATCACCAACAGGTTCTGGCTCGTCTTCTTGACCAGCCACGCCGAGCTCAGCAGCACGATGATGATATACGCTCCCAGGACCATAGCCAACAACTGTGTTTGCAGCGTCGTAAAGCCGAAGCTCTTGATGATGAGCCCCTGGAAACTGCCCAACCCACTCGTAGGGAGCGTCGTGCAGAGCTGAATCAACGCATACCCCCACGCCTGCGGGTCCTTGATACCCTCCCAAGCCTGGTGCTTCTTCCACTCCCGATTCTGCACGCCCGTCTGGTTGGACCTCACGCGCTCGATCATGAGCCGCTTGTCCTCCTCGCTGAAGCACTTGGCGCGCATGGGCGAGTCGGGCATCCACCAGCCGACGAAGGCGCCGTAGATGACCGAGACCACGCCATACGCCAGGAACAGCCACTGCCACGAGAGCAGCGGGCCGCCGCGCTGGATCAGCGAGAAGCAGTAGGCCAGCAGGCCGCCGACCATCTGCTGCGCGCCGTTCATCATGTACCAGTAGGTGACACGTGCCGTCTGCTCCTCGCGCTTGTACCACGTCGACGAGAGGACCACGAAGGCAGGCTGGCACACCGACTCAAACAGACCCAGCAGTGTGCGCACCGTGACGAGACCGGTGAAGTTGGTGCAGGCCGCCGTGCAGGCGAGCACGACGCCCCACGCCATGATGGAGAATGAAAGGTATTTGGCGATGCGCACGCGCGCGATCAGCCAGTTTTGTGGGTATTCGACAATCAGGATCGTGATGTAGATACAGGTCGTGAGCCATGGGTACTGGAAGGAGGGAAGTTAGTGAGGGGCAGCGGGGTGGGACGGGAGACCGGGGGGGGGGGGGGGGGGGGGGGGGTATTGCGGGACGAACCTCTTGGTCTCCCAGATTGGTGTCCTGTATTATACCCATAATGGAAGCGAAGCTCATAGTTCCCTTGTCTATGGCTTGTAAGAAATAAGTCGTTATCATGATGACGAGGATACGTTTGTCGATGAGGCGGCGGAGCCGGTTGTCCTCGGCTTCCGAGATCTCGACGCGCGTGTCGGAGACATATTGAGCTAACTCCTTATCCATCTTTCCATAATTCTGATGATGTTTCTCAAGTTCAGGTGACTGCGCCCTCTCGGTCTCGACGACGTCCTTGTAAGGGTTGGTTTTCTGGTCGCCTGATGTCGAGCCATCGCCGGTTGGCGAGACCGCGTCGCGGTCTCCAAGCTCCGGTGAACCCATGGTGTGTGTGGGAAGACGGTATCTGTGGATGAAGCGGAGAGAAAAGGGAGATGAACCGTCAAGACATCCGAATAGAAAACTTCAGAGTGTCGGTCCCTTATCGACCTGGAAATAGCAACCATTTAAGTCTGCCCACATCCCCTAGGTTCCCCATGGGGAAACAAGCCAAGGATCTCCAGATTTCCCCACAGGCCGCGCACATAAGATGGGATCCCGGCGCTCGGTTTGCTCCCTTCCACCTTCGCTTGTGAGCTACCCCGAGCCCACCGCATCACTCGACCATTAAGGAAGCAACTCCGCTCGAACCCGGGCCCTCTGAACGGAGCGGCAGTCGGACGAGGAGGTGTGGAGATGGCCCACTAAGAAAACTCACCTTCCCCTCCTCATGTTGTGTAACTCGCTCCCTACTGGACCGAGGGGACGTTGGTATATTCGGCTGAATTCAACCCGAGTCAGATCTCCAAAATCCACCCTTGCTTTAGGAGGTGGTTGGCTGGCAGGGGTGATTCTCCACCAAGCAGCGGCCGGTGAACGGGGATGACTTCTTAAAGAGGCGTTACATCCAAAGCAGGGAGCATCTGCAGCTATCCTGCTTTGAGCATCACCGCAGCCACCACATTCTATTCTCCTCGCCTTGTCATACATAGTACACCAACCAGCATCATCAACCCCAACCCGACCCTAACAACAACCCCTGACCATCAGAGACCACCACCATCACGTCACCACAGTACACTCCCCGCCCACCATGCCGACCACATACGCGGGAATAACCTCGCAAGAGGTGCACGCCAAGATCAACCTCCTCATCTCCGCCATGGTCGACATCCGCGACAAAACCGGCGAATTCCTGCTCACCCTCCCCGACGGGCGCGTGATCGACACCAAGGGCTGGCAAGACTGGGAATGGACGCACGGGATCGGCCTGTACGGCATCTGGCAGTACTACACCCTGACCAACTCCCCCAACCACCTCGCCATCATCGAGGACTGGTTCGCGGCACGCTTCGCCGCGGGCGGCACGACCAAGAACATCAACACGATGGCGGCCTTCCTCACCCTCGCGTGCGTCTACGAGCGCACGCGCAACCCGACCTACCTGCCCTGGCTCGACGCCTGGGCCGAGTGGGCGCTGCACGACCTGCCGCGCACGCGCCACGGCGGCATGCAGCACATCACCTATCTGGAAGAGAACCGCGGCCAGCTGTGGGACGACACCCTCATGATGACGGTGCTGCCGCTGGCCAAGATCGGGCTGGTCCTGGGCCGGCCGCACTACGTGGACGAGGCGAAGCGGCAGTTCCTGCTGCATGTGCAGTATCTGTTTGATGCCAAGACCGGGCTGTTCTTTCACGGGTGGGAGTTTGCGGAGCGGGGGCCGGGCGGGCATCATTTTGCTGAGGCGAGGTGGGCGCGGGGGAATAGTTGGTTGACGATTGCGGTGCCGGAGTTTTTGGAGTTGTTGAGGGAGGGTGGCGCGCGGGACCCGGCGTTGGAGGCGGTGCTGAGGGATACGTTGCTGGCGCAGTGCCAGGCGTTGGGGCCGTTGCAGGAGGCGGCGACGGGGTTGTGGCGGACGTTGTTGGACGTGCCGGAGTCGGAGGGGTCGTACCCGGAGGCGAGCGCCACGGCGGGGTTTGCGTTTGGCGTGCTCAAGGGGCAGAGGAAGAGGGATTTGGGGGGTGAGTTTGACGAGATGGCGATTAAGGCGGTGAAGGGGGTGTTGGCGAATATCAGCGAGGATGGGGAACTGCTGAACACGTCTTTTGGGACGGGCATGGGGAGGGATCTGCAGCATTACAAAGATATCCCGGTGACGAGCATGCCGTATGGGCAAGCCATGGCGATCATGGCGCTCGTCGAATTCTCGAGGAGGTATCTCTGACGGATATCACCCGCTACCTCTTGTGCTCAGTAGCCCCAGTAATGGCCATCAACAATGTCCCAGCCCACTCGGCGAATGTTTGGAAAGGACCAGCACAGCTGCCGGAAAACTGAGATATTCAAACGGGTATGATGTGCCTGTCACTATCTCGAAGGCTCCGGAGCCGTACGGGTTCTGACGATATGGTGGGAGGGTAGTCGCTCGACTCGCTCCCACTTCCCGTTGTGACCAACCCAGGGTACAGTTTCGCCGCCAGCGGCCTGAGTGTAGGGACGCAGGCAATCATGATGGGGAGATTAATTTCCAAAATGGACCAGAAGATAATCCGGATGGCTGCCCTTGAAAAGTCGCGATCCTCGATATCACGCCGGATAAAAACGACGCGGAGTACCGATACAACACAGACCCTATTACAGTCGTTAGATTTCCACTCCCGTCCACCAGGCTGTGGGCCAGATATGAGGCAGATGAAGTTGCGGCACTCACCCCAAGCCTAGCACAAACAAAAAGAAGAGCCAGAGTTTCTGCCTCAACGGCAGCGTCATTGACCATATTGCGGGCACCGGGAGGCAAAGCATGATGAAGTTAAAGAGAATGTTGAGTCCGTTGTCTATGTTAAACTTGATACGGGGGTCGATGCAGGTCTTCCGGGGGTTATCCCAGTAGTTGTTGATAGGCGTACAGACAAAGATGTTCGTCAGGGTAACATATACGCCATGAAGAACCACGGCGACCAGGACGACGTAGGTGGCTTTCCTGATGGAGGTAACAAGGAAAACATCGAGGAAGAGGAGCGCGACCGAGACCTTGGTTAAAACGAGGGAGAGGTTGTTGACTATAATTGCAAAATACTGGATCTAGTTCGCCGGGGTGGCTCCTTAGTTGACTGTGTTCGCGATGCCATGGGGGTAGTAGGCATGACGAACTTTGAGAGATTTTCGTAACTGGTCGACAGTGAGCTCCGACATGGGCCAGCCCAGTCCGTGTGCGGCATCTGAAGAAGGGAAAAAGAGATCCGTCAGCGGAGCCGGCTCGAGTGCATCGGGACAGGCAACATACGGGCTCCAACACTAGCCGTGTTAAGGATGCTGAAGAGCTGCGTGAAAAAGGGGTGTGAGCCATGATCCTGATGAAGACGGGTACAGATGCCGGGTGGTGAGCGCAGGGGGGCCCACCAGGGTAACGGCGATGAACCAGTCGGTCGGCCCCAGGACGCGCAAAATGCGACCTCGGGAAAGGAAGCGGAGGGCGACAGCGACGGTTGACAAGACAGCCATCACCACGGTATACGCAAAGAGGTGCGCAGCCCGCGCGGACCACTCCATGAAGGATTCGGAGAGAGCGGCCACATCGCCGTCTGAGTTGACTGGCGTCTCGTTTGCCCTGATGAGCAGGATGGACGAGATTTGAACCCGTCTCTCTTGGGCCCGGTCCAGCCCACAGTTTGGATCCAGGGTTCTCCAGCCCTTTTCCACATCGAGAATGGGCGGGATGGGTCCTCGTGATGACGGCCGAACCGTCCAATCGGGACCATGGCTCGGCGGATATCTCCCCTTGGCCCCTGGGCTGCCGAGACGCCAACCGTTTCTGGTAGGGCAGCCGAGCCGGTGAGCTTGGCGATCGTCGGGTGATGGAAAATGCCGGCTTCCGACTCGTGTAATGTTTGCTTCGCTTCATCTCGGCATGGAACAAGAGACGGCAACATCCGCAGCATGTCGGGAATTTGAAGGCCGTGGGCAGCGCTGTCAAACGCCCATGGGCACTCATGAAGTTGTCCAGAGTACTTAATACGGAGATCGAATTAGCTGGTTACAGCCGATGCATGACGGGCGCGGGCGCAAATGGGAGGGGGGTTTGGAGTTTCACCTCCTTCAAACTGACTCAGCTCAGGCCGGCGGGCTGTCGCGAGAGCAAAACGTGCAACGAAAGCAAACTTGTGGAAGCTGGCCGCCTTGTTTCGGGTCGGTACGGGAAGAGTATCCTGGCTCTTCACTTCGTGGTGTTTAGAGTTTCAGTGACGGCTCCGACGAGGTCATCCGGATGTCTCGGCACCATGGCGGCTTGGATTCTTTCCCGTTTCCTTTACCGATCATGGATGTCAACAGTGCGTTTTGAGCCAGTCGGGAATTTCATTGACCCTATACTTAGTGCCTCGCTTTCGCATTCATGCGTGGCGACGTCCTCGTTCCCATCCTTCGAAAACGCGATTGTGACAGGTGGATCGTCGTTGACGGTTGAGAATCTTGCCTATCACATCACCGGTGTGCGCCAGGTTGTTGCGAGGTCGAATAAAGATACTCTGCGGGACGGAGATGTGATCGACCGATCCAAGAAGTCGATCCCTTGGACCCTTGTGGCCATCCCTGACATGACATCGCAGGATTGGGGTTGCCAAGGGCTTGTCCGCGGCCCGACCACAATATTGCACTCTTCTGGATGTCCCTCCTTTGAGCCTTGAGCCTTGAGCCAGCTCAGGGGCAACTGAACAAACCAGATTACGACTTACATACGGGACACGGACCCAAGCCACTGGGACTCCTCAGCCTCCCAACCGAAAGCCTTCGGGCGGCATTTTTTCGCCATGGCTGGATGCAAATCACCAAACAATGAAAGACGAAATCAACGCTCTCGGGGTAAAACCACTGCAAGACGTGCTTGAGAGAGCAGCGGACAAGCCCCAAGTCGCATGAACATCATGGTAACTCAACAGTCAAGCGCAACCCAGAAGAAAGACAGGGATCGAAGGGGGGGTTGCCCGCTATTTCCCAGCTCAGCGTTGGCCATTAGTTAGAGGGCGGGTTTCGGAGCATTGGTGGATCAAAATAGGTTCACCGGCCGTCCTACGTCGAAAATTGAATCCTTCCTAGTTGCTCTCTTAGTTGTCACTAAAACCTAAGGTACCTAGGTACACAGCCATGTCCCACGAATCTTGTCATCCGGGAACAAATCTCGCCAGGAGCGAATCTTGCGAATCAAGAATTCCGATTTCAGTAGCGCCACATAATCTGAGGAGCTATAGTAGGACGGCTAATTTGCATCAGGCTCAGCAGCCATCGAAGCCACGATATGTTTAATCCAATCCCAAGCGGCGGCGAAGGTCTGCACAACGGTGTGGAAAGCCTCCTTGATCTTGACCCACATATCCACAACCCACTTCACCACCGTGTCCACCACGGAAAGGATAGCGGCCCAGGCCTGTTTCCAGAAAGCCAAAAGTCCGGTTGACATAGTAGTCCACAAATCCGCTGCCGCCGCTCGGTGGCTCTCGGGCAGCGTTTCAATTGTGGCGATGGCCTTGTTGAAAGTGTCGTCAATGATCTTGTCCGACGCCCGCTTGACCTCGTCTCTCTTCTTCTCGAGCTTCTTCCTCCAGTCCTCCGCGTCGGGATTGGGGTCCTTCTTCAACTCATCGGTCATGGCCTTGATGTCGTTGGCTTGCTTCTCATGGTCGCTGAGGAACTCGCTACTAATCTTCTTGAACTCCGCGTCCGGTGTGGTCGGCGCGGCAGACTCTGCGACCCAGGCGGCTGAGCTTGGGATATCAAGGGGGCCAGTCTCGAACTGGCTGCTGGGACTGTGGCCCAAATTGGAACCGATGCTTGCGAGGTTGGCCGGGCTAAGGCGCTTCTCGATATCATCCGAGTGCTGGGACCGGTGGGTGGTGAAGAACCCGCCGAAGTCTTCCTCGGTCTGGCAGGTCTTGTAGCTTCCTACCACGTCGTCGAGGAGCTTGCGCTTCCACACCGGGATGGGCTGCATAGCTTCTCGTGTAGCGTAGAGAAGGGCAGTGTTGGGCTTGGTGGGTGGCGAAGAGAGGGTGTAAGGGGAGAAGATAAAGGAAGTATCTTTGTTGGCCTCGAGGTCCTTGTCTTTCCAACCTTCGATCTTGGAATCGCCGAGACTCTTTATACCTAAAGATTCGTCCTGGCCTTCCTCGTTTCCATCGGCTCAACTGTGCTGTCAATGGCACCTTGCGCCTTTAAGTGCCAACGCGGTGTGAGGGTGGGTTGCGTTGAATGTATGATGACGCACGCGGCTGGTGTTTCATAGCGTTGGTTGGTTTCCGGGGAGGGGAACTTCGCCTGTGGTTACGTTGGCTTTTTTCTTTTTGAAAGCGCGGCTATCTAAAATATCAGACTGGTGGGTTTGTGGCCAGCAGCTGGTGAGAAGGTGTACCAGTACCGTGATTCCCGCTTGGGCCGGCTGCGTGCAGGGTGGGATCGGCAGGACTGCATCTGCAGGGTGATGTTTCCGGGGAATGAAACTGGACGTGTGAGTGCCTTGACTATTGAAACGCGGCTATCTAAAATATTAGACTGGTGGGTTTGTAAACAGTAGGTGGTGGAAGCGTTGCCAGTGCCGTGATACCCGGCATGTTACGGTCCGGGCTGCACCTGCGGGCCGGATCGAGACGGCCGCATCGCTTCCGCAGGGCCTCGGCGTTTGATGGGGGGTGATATTTCTAGGGAGCTCAACTTTGCATATAGCAACCAACAACCTTTTCTTTGTAAGAGCGGCTATCCAAAATACTTAACTGGTGGGTTTGTGGCCGAGGTGGTGAGGACTACCTAAGGAGTGTTGTCGTTCACCCCAGCAAGTGACGGTTCGGACCACATCTGTGGCGAGTGCGACCACGGCAGCGGTGGCTTTACAGGGGCCGGAAATTGGGTTGTCCCCTCTTGCCGTGGTATTCCCGTCCGAGTCATTCACACAACTGAACGTCTCAAATTGTTTCGCGCGTCCGCCATAGCCGCTGTCGCCCACATGCTCTTGACTCTGTCAAATCTTGGCGCAACGCATTCGTTGCACCTGCCTAAAGCGTTTGACAACCCTCCCTATCCACGTTGAAACTCGCAGGACATTGACGCCCAAATTCACCTTGCCGACCAGGCCGCTCAGGAACCTGAGAAACCACAATCGTTGGTGCTCGAAATTGACGAAGTGCGGGGGTGGCTGCGGGTTTGATGCACAGAAAGAGGATCAACGGCTCGGCGATCTGTGCGACCTTTATTTTCGGGCAGAAACGATAGATGATGGTGAAATCGGGAGAAGATAATGGAATCACGTCGTCGAAGGGTGTACCCTAAATCCACATGCTCTGAGACTTCATGCACCATGAGTTTGGCCCGGCCGACGCCGACGGCAGGGACTTGGTATGTCGCGGGGACCTTCGACTGTCAAGAGACTATCTCCATGATACAACTCGTCGCTTTAACGGCTAAGCGGGAGTTCTTCATTTTGCTGAAGTTAAATCGCAATCTTCCGGGGTTGTAGCAAGATTCCCCCTACAAGTTTGGATAGGTATATGCTTGAACGGGCGGGAGGTATCAGGGCGTTGTTCAACGGGACTACGTCGTGACAATGATTAATTAAAGGGCATTCGCTAGATTCATTTGTTGAGCTCGTCGCATGGCAGCCTCTACCAAAAAGTACTTGAATTTATTAACTTCTCTCCATGCCGAGGCTTTTTCCTCAGCGAGTCGTCTTTACATCTCCTAGCCCACTAACAGGACGACCTACCTAGCTAGGTACCCTATTATATTACTCGGGTCTTGAATAATACATTCATTTAGCAGTAACAATATATTTGTAGAGGTTATAGGGCCTAGAACGTTGATATACTAAGGAATCTAGGAGTACCTACCCCAGCAATTGATGAGCTTCATGCCATCCCCAACCTCTCAGGCTCCATCCCATTTACATTCACATCTGGGGTATTGACCACCCATCTCACTCCTATGCCATTGACCCATACTCCAGGCCGGTACTTTACCGTTCCTTGCTTGTCTTAATCTGTCATAAATGCCAGGCATCTCACCCTTCGATCTCACCCTTCAATCTCACCCATGCGTCTCTATCACGGACGGCCGCCTTCAAACCCTCCAAGCTGTACCGTGGAGCGTCAAGATGCATCCTTATATACCCGTTCTTATATGTCGTCCACGCCCGGGCTGCCTGGTCCATGTCCCATAGACTCCGCTGCTCTTCGCTACAATACCTGCAGCATCAACGGTCAGCACTCTTCCTTGCTTAGGTGGGCTGGCAATCGCGGGGAAAGGCGCACCTCGGATACTCCACAAACGCCCTGTTAACCTCGCGCACAACTTGCACCAGCTCGTCCATCAGCTCGCAGAGCCCATCCCGGTACGTGTAGAGATTCCTGTCCGCCGCTAGCCCAAACAGCGACGGCGTCCCAGCCTGGCGACGCGCCAGGGTTTGGAGCGTGATATAGTTGATCTCCATTCCTCTTCCTTCCCCTGTTTCCTTTCCCTTTTTGTCTAGAGGGACAGAGCCCAGGATCTCCTTAGAGAAGGACATGAGGTCGTTCCCCAGCTCAGTAAAACGCAGGAGCGAATCCAGAGCGGTAACCCAATAGTCGAACGGCACGCCGTGGAACACGGGCGCGATATAGGCCGCCGACCCGGCCGACAGGCCGCGATGCCAGCGCGGGGATCCAGCAGGGCAACATCCGTGATAGCTGTGCTCGTCACTTCCGCTTCCCTGCTCGGGAGGAGGAGACGGCGGCGGCGGCGGCGGCCTCAGATGCAGCGGCACCTCCCAGATGTACTGGAACAGCGCCTCGCCGCCGCAGAGGGGGAGCGCGTGCTCGGAGCACCATGCCGCGAGGTCGGAATGGAGCGGGGCGTCGTGTGTGCGAGAATCAGAGGCGTCGAAGCCTAGCTCGTCGAGGCAGTGCACCGTGAGAACTTGGAGGAGGCGGCGGGCTGTGGCAAGTGCGTCCGGGGAAGAGATTCTGTGTGTCTCGCCTGGGGCAAAGTCGAAGATGGCGAACTCGGGGCGGGAGAGGAGCGGGAGAAAGGGAGAATCAGCGATTTTTACTCGGAGACAGGCCAGGTAGTTGAGAGGGAGAAGATCCCTAGGTACAGATATCACCTCAGAAGGTGGAGGGGCGACATTTAAGGATTGAGGTATTGCATGGCTCTGGCTACCTACCCATCACGGTAGGTGGGCGATAACTACAGATCTCAGGCTCTAATTCTGAGACTTTTCATACCTTTGGGAAATGGTCAAGTTGGAGTGTGGGTTCATCTAACCGCCGTGCTTTCATGCCAGCCACGTAGCATTTAGGCCGACTCGCGTCGTTGATTAGGTATGAACCTCTCTCAATCCGGGCGTCGAAAACGTACCTAATCGACCATAAACCACGGAGGCTTTTGGGTGAACTCCTAGAACCCGAGGGAATGCACCTCGAAAGATGATACCGTTTATGATAAGGAATGTACAGTATTGGTTTCTTCAAGAGCGGGTTCAAGCAGTGTGTATCGGAACAAAGGCATTCCCTATGACGAGATTCATTGAGGAGGCGCATTGACTGAGAGTCTCGGATTTGGACCTTGGCCGTACAGGCTCAAGGTACCTATTCAACGCGCACATAAAAGAGGTGGAACCTGGGAACAGGGAAATCGTCCCCGTCCTGCAACGGAGAACCGACTCCCGAAGAAGGGGCGTTGGAAAAGGAAAAAGACTACCCTACAAGAGATAGCCATACATGAGCTCCGTTGTATCCTCCCTCCCCGGGTACCCCCGCCTAGCACAGGTTGCTTGTTACTTAGACTGCTCTTCGACCACCAGGAGCTCGATATGTAGACATTCAACGTCGAGCGTTCGCTCTCGTAGGGCCAGGAGAAGTTGATAATATCGTTCCGAACCCTCACAGACAGCCCATACGAGGTTTTGTTCCCCGCTATATACCAGCTGTCGGGTTCCGTTCTGTATGGTGAAGGGCCCAACAATGTCCTCGAGCTGTATGCGAATTGATCAGCGACATCATCCACAGCGGCAGTCGAGCGATGGGGAAGTGTTACGTAAGGGGCATCCTCCCCAGCCAAAAACTTAAACACGTCTGGCTGCACTTCCCGCAGGAGAAAGTTGTTTTCAAGGTAGCCCTTTGGATCCAGAGTTATATTGACAGCCGGGGTCCCGCGCGTAGAGAACCCGACTCCCATTGTCATCATGGCGTCGTTAAGTGTGGCGAAACCATGGTCACTTATTTCCGCACGCTTGGACTCCAGGTAAAACCCTGTGGTTGCGTGAGAAAACAGGGCTGCGGCCGACAGAAAGACGGACAGAAGGTGCATGGTGAAGGAATTAGATGGAGGACGGTTAGTTGCGTTGGAATACAATACTGCCTAGGACAGAAGTGAAATGCAGAGAGCGGTGTCGAGAAAAGAATAGCACGGAGGTGGGAGACATTCGCTTCTTCTAATCAGAGTATCAGTTACCTGGGTCTTCCCCCTACCATTTGACTAGCCCAGACCAGCTAAAGTCCGAGACACGGGATGGTTTGGTTTGTGACGACGCGGGGTTTTCTGGAGGAGGTTGTTGGCGAGGAAAGGCTCGCGGCGCACTGATCTGTCAAAGAGGGCCGCTTCAAGGAGGGATCAACTACCGAACATCAAGCAGATCAGCTCAGCCGCAGATCTGCGGGAAGATCCACTATCCGTATGTTTACAAGATCGACCGACGTTGGAAAGAGCCAGGATGTGTGGTTGGTGGAAGAGGGAGATGCTTTGGAAGCCGTGGTGAAAGAATTCTGGCATGACGGAATCTGACCGCGTCAATTTGAAGGGCGTGTCTCATCCTGGAGTGCAAACAGGAGACCGAAGTAAAACGGGTGGTATTCGACGAGGAAAACGCTAGGATGACACAGGAGTCGACATGTGTTCTCCTGGGGAGCTCAGCCGGAAGGTCGCCGTTGGGTGCACGGCCGTATTGCATAATAGTGCTCGCGCCGAGTGTGAAAAGCGGACGGGAAGTGTGTGGATAGAAGAGTACCTAGGATCTTGTTTCATTCCGGCTGACTTTATCTCAATCAGGAGCCCAGGAGCTATGTCACGGATCATCTATGTCCGTTAGGGACTAGCAAAATGATCTTGTCTTGCGACATCGATACGCTCACCTCTGTTCTTAAAGCCCGGCATCGTGTGTTGGAAGTGTTGTAGACTTCGTAGAGGAACAATCAATTTCGTCGTAGCTGTACACTATCGGAAAACAATTTCATCAAGCTTCATATGGTCGTGATCAGGCATTTCCTCTACCTATGCAAAGAACAAAACTCAAACCTCACTTACCAAAGAACCCAACTCCCACTCTCCACCTCACTCACCCCAGCCCCTCATCACCACCTACGCCCCCGCGCCCGTCGTCTGCAACCGGTACGCCTCATCCCCCTTACGCCTCTCCTCCTCAATGATCTCCTGCACCGACTTCGTCGCGGGCCGGTCGCCCGCACCATAATACTGCTCCGCAAGCTCGACACAGCGCAGGTTCGCGGCGAGCTTGTTCATGGTCTCCATCCACTCCTCCGTCTTCTCGCTATCAAACACGATCCCGCCGCCGGCCTGCAGGTAGGCGACCTTGTCTTTGACCAGCATGGTGCGGATGGCGATGCACGTGTCCATCTGGCCCTCGTCGACGACCACCGTGCGGGCGCCCGAGGCCTTGTCGGTCTGGACGCGCACGACGTCGTAGGCGAACCAGCCGGTGGCGCCGGCGTAGATGCCGCGCTTCTCGGCCTCGAGGTCGTAGATGAGCTCCATGGCCTTGATCTTGGGCGCGCCCGACACGGTGCCGGCGGGGAAGATGCTGCGCATGGCGTCCCAGCGGGTGCACTCCGGGCGGAGCAGGCCGGAGACCTCGCTGGTGAGGTGCTGCACGTGGCTGAAGCGGTCGATGCGCATGAGCCGGTCGACCTTGACGGTGGACGGGTGGCAGACCCGGTTGACGTCGTTGCGCGCCAGGTCGACTAGCATCACGTGCTCGGCGCGGTCCTTGGTGCTCGCCTGCAGCTCGGCCGCCAGCTCGTCGTCCTCGGCCGGGTTAAGGCCGCGGCGGATCGTGCCGGCGATGGCGTGGTTGACGATGCGGGGTCGCGAGCGGGCTTGTTCGGCCGCCGAGTAGGCGAAACGCGTGTCCACGGGCAGTGGTGCGTAGCCGTCCGTCTTGACGAGGCACTCGGGCGACGCGCCCACGATGTGGAAGTCGGCGCAGCTCAGGAAGAAGAGGTAGGGGGACGGGTTGAGCGTGCGCAGGGTGCGGTAGATGTTGAAGGGGTGCAGGGCGGTGCCGCGCGAGAAGCGCTGTGAGGGCACGGCCTGGATGATGTCGCCCTTGACGATGTGGGATTTGAGCGAGGTGACGAACGACTCGTAGCCGTGGCGGCCAACGTTGGAGGCGTATTGCTGGGACGTGGCCGGGTCGGCGGGGCTTTGGGGCGGAAGCGGGGTCTCGGGCTGATGGATGAGAGCGAGGGTGGAGCGGATGGTGTTGCACGCGTCGTCGTAGGCGGATTGGAATCCAGAGAGGTCCTCCGGGAGGCGCATGTGGGTGGTGATGATGAGGACCTGGAAGAAGTGGTCGAACGTCACGATGGTGTCGAACAGCATGAACAGGGCTTCTGGAATGTGAAGGTTGTCCTCGAGGGCGCGGGCCGTCTTTGGCTCAAAGTACTTGATGCAGTCATACGAGACATAACCGACGGCGCCGCCCGTCAGGTTAGGGAGCTTGAGGGACGGGATGCTGATCACCCTGTCCTGGCCGAGTTGGGCCTCAAGGGCGCGAAGCGGGTCCCCCACATCTTCGTAGCCGGGACCGGTCGCTATGATCTTCCTTGGGTCTGCGCCAATGTTAGTGAAATACAAAAAAGAATAATAATAATAAATAATGAGTATTAACGTACTGGCTCCGATGAAGCTATACCTCCCGACTGTTTCGGTGCTCCCCGTGGCGCTCTCCAGTAGGAATGAGTACTCGGCGGTGGCGCTGTTGCCAGTCAGTTGCGCCCCGGTCCGTACACGTCTTGTGCTCAGTTAGGGATCGCATACCCATTTGAGAGCTTCAAGTAGGTCGCCGAAGGTGTCAACAGATCGGAAGGCACCGTAATACACACGGGGAGCAGTGTCGGCTTCGGACTCGACGTCTTTGTCTCCTCGAACAGGCTCTGGGCCTCAGCCACCGTTGGCCGGATGTCGAGTTTAGCGTGAGCGGCCATGGTTACCGAAAGGGATGGGGATGGGACCCGGTCAAATGACAAAAGAAGAAGTCGTGACACCGGCTTTTGGGGGATGCACGACTAATGAATAATCCTTGCGCCGTTTTGTTGGTTCGAGTGAGCTCCAGGGAAGCAAGCAATCAACCGCACTTGCCAAGTTCGATTTTTTAGTTGCTCCGCTGAGTCGTCCGTTGTTACACTTCTCCGACCTCGGGTGACTCAGATGTGGAGCCCGGAGTATCGCAAAGTGTTGCTGACACTGGCAGATTGGAACAGACCCTAACCCTTCCGCGAACTCGAGAGAGTTCCCGAGTTGTTTTGTGAGTGCAGGTTCGAGATGGCTGCTGAACAAAGGGAAAGGGCGGAGTCTACTTGCAGTTGAGAAATTCCGCCACAATTTTTACGAAGGAGGTATGGCCCGGTTTCCCAGTTGAACACTTGCAAGTGGAAGATGAAACCAACCTTCGATCCATCTTCAAAAGAAGCGGCAGATGCAGTCGCAAAGGAGTCTTAGTCAGCGGCTCTCCAACACAACTCTGCCGTGCACCTGCCTCGCCTGCATGCCTCCGGCTTCTGCGGGACCAGCGATGCTTACCGCGCTAGCCCAGCCATGTAAGAGGGGTTGCGCTAAGGGGGGCCGAAAACAAATGGAAGCCGTTTCCGCTGACAGTCAGCGACCCGCTATCTTATTTATTACCACCTTGCCGTTGCTGTGCATGATGTTGAACTGTTGATAACGACCGAGTGACCTATCTCTTCCACTGACAGTGATACGTCCGGTCGTTGGAATTGGTGTTATCAGGGCAAAGAAATTAGTAAGGTACCAACTATTCGGGTTATCTCCGAAAATCATGCTACTTTGAGACCGCACAATCTTCATCGATTCCCTTCCAGTTAAAGATTCAAGTTTATTGTCTCGCTAGGTCTGGAAGCCGATCCTACTATAATACAACCTGGGCTTGATCATCGAGAACTCAACTCATATTTTCCGTTCACAGCCCTGGGACTTCACATCCAAGGACTTGGTTCGTCGGACAATGACATATTCCATTGCACATGTCCCATGATAAACTAAGTACAGAACTTCCTGTTCTGGTGATCGAATTTGGTTGGGCAGTATCGCCATTTTCGGGCGCCTCGATACTCGAATGGTGCGCTGAGTCGTCGCTAGGTACCGTAGCGGGAAAATGCAGGGGGCAACAACCGTAGATTGCAAAACAACGGTTGTTCTTTAAACAACGGTTGCTTCCACAACAACGGTTGCGACATCGCCCCGCAATCTCTACCGTTCTAATTGGCCAAATTCGCAGTCAACTCCCTGGTGGCCCTGTGATGGCCCTGTCGGCATTGCCTGGCCCTGTGGGCTTGAGATGGCCTTGCAAGCAACGGATGCCAACGCCCACAGGCCAGGCAATGCCAACGCCCACAGGCCAGGCAATGCCAACGCCCACAGGCCAGGCAATGCCAACGCCCACAGGCCAGGCAATGCCAACAGGGCCGGGCAATGCCAACAGGGCCGGGCAATGCCAACAGGGCCGGGCAATGCCAACAGGGCCGGGCAATGCCAACAGGGCCGGGCAATGCCAACAGGGCCGGGCAATGCCAACAGGGCCGGGCAATGCCAACAGGGCCGGGCAATGCCAACAGGGCCGGGCAATGCCAACAGGGCCGGGCAATGCCAACAGGGCCGGGCAATGCCAACAGGGCCGGGCAATGCCAACAGGGCCGGGCAATGCCAACAGGGCCGGGCAATGCCAACAGGGCCGGGCAATGCCAACAGGGCCGGGCAATGCCAACAGGGCCGGGCAATGCCAACAGGGCTGGCATAGCAATGGAAGTAAGGTCTTAAGGTACCGGTGCCGCGCATGGCCTTCCCGCCCTGCGACTTCCTCACAGAGTTCCCGGCATTGATAACGATAGGAAACAACCTCCTTCCTTAATTGAATTCTCTTGCCATAGCTCAATTGTAAATACTCTCCTCCTTTTTTCGTGATTCCTGTGTTCAATTCCCTGTCGTGACATTGTTTCTTTGCGTGCAACGTTCAACGAAATGAAGCTCCAGTTGATAAAGGCCGGTACAGTGGGCCGTTGTAGGTATAGTAGGCTCTTCAGAAGGTTCTAGTGGTTCAATTTTTTTCGACCCCCTAAGGTCTGTGCGCAACAACCGTAGTTTTCCGAGCAACCGTTGTTTGAGGAGCAACCGTTGTTTTCAAAACTGTCAAAGAATATAGAACAACCGTTGTTTCCCCAAACTACGGTTGTTTCCCCCCACAGAGCCCCGCTGCGGTAGGTACATACATGGTCCCTCGCCTTTAGCCGGCCCTCCGACCAACGACGCCGTGGATCTACGACCGCGCGCAAGAACGGGCCCGGTCGGGGACAAGTATCCGCGGTGGGCGTTTGCTGGCGCGCTGTCAAGGACCTGGACTACCAGGGTGCCGAGGTCGCGGTGGTGCGGTGTCGCGATGGGGCGGGGATTGGTACTCCGACTCCTGCTGGGCTGGATGGGGAGGCCGAGAAGTGTATGATTGGGATGGATCAGGCTGTCTAGGTTGCGAAGGATGCTGCTGCGTGTGATACGGCGGAGAGGGATGTGGAGGCTGTGTTTAGGGGTTGGACGAGGACGGATGGGGAGTTTGTGAAGGTGATGGGTATAGCATGCATGTGCGAGATCATAATCGGGTTTCTTTCTGCTCAGGGCGTGCTTCGGGGACAAGTGGGTAATCGCGTGGTTTGGAGGTGGAGGTTGGAGACTGGAGGATGGGCGGATGCGTGTTCCATCACGTTACTAAGTCAGACTATTATCACATGGGCGGCCTTCGCTCAACTCTCACAGCCCAGACTTCAAGAGACCGTATTTTAGCGGGAGTGGTGAGCAAGCTGAATGTCGGGGTAATTCGCTTTTGCAGTCTATACTAAAGAGCGTTGAGTGGTTTCTGTGTCCTCCGCCTCAGCTTAGTGTCCCGGTTTACCATCGATCATCCTCCTCCGTCGCCCCCGAGATCTTAAAGGTCAGATCTGACGCTTGAAGGTTGACAAATGAAGAATCTTAACGCTCTCGACGGTTCCCGCTCCCGTCATCTATCCAAGGATCACGCTCCGGATTCCACCACCGAAAGTTGACGCTTCTTGCCCCGTTTCTTGGGGGAAGTAAGCAAGATAGCCCGCCAGCAAGTGTCCTTCGGCCTTATAAAACCCGACCTTGACCTCATGGCTCTCGCTGCCCAAGACTCCAGCGGCCACCGAAGACTGTGCCCACAACCGCTTATTCAGCTCATCGTTCTGGTCATAGTAGCGGCCATGCAGGTAGCTCAGCGGCTTGTCGTCGGGAAGGACCTGCACGTCAGACCAGACCTTGAAGTTGTGGACCCCTATGGCGACGGCGAAAAACGCGCCTGACTCGGTGCGGAAACGTAGCATGCCCGAGGATCCCGAGGCGGCCATGCTGAGCGTATACGCGGTCAGGGTGCCTCCTGTATCGGTATTGGCGGTGGTAGTGGTCCAGGCCGTGGGGTTTTCGTGCCAGCAGCTCTGCTCGATCAAGGCGGGCGAGGAGGTATGGTTGAGGACCAAGACGTGTAATTGGTAGGCCATCTTGTAATAGGTAGACCGGTTGATGTGAAAAGAGTGTTGGCTCACTTAGCGACGGGGCTGGTTTAACACGGGTTTCCGCTCTAGATTGTGAAGTCCGATGGTTGTTCATGGGAGAGGTTTTGGGTTGGGGGATCAGTCGCTGAAGGGCTCTTAATACTCGAAGACAACAATGACTTGTCGATCCGCACTGAAGTCGTATTTTCACAGAGCCGCTGTTAGCGACGATTCTCTCCACCCCGTTGCCCCCGACTCGAGCAGCATCCGAGACCATCATGCGGCTCTGCATCGTCCAGCTCATGCGAAGTGCCCATCCTTGCCTGAACATAGAATTCAAGATGCTTGTCGGATGGGGAAAGAGTGGCTCCTTGGGAGGTCATGGGGTGGTCACTGACGCTGATTAGCCAGTTCTGGAGCTGAAGGGTGCCTGCCGCGGTGGAAACCGACGGGCCAAGAGAGATTGGTATTGCGAGGTCTCGTGCATGGATACGCTCCAATCCTCGCCCTAATCCTAATCAGAAAACCAATGCAGGATGAAGAGGGCAAGGCGCGCCACAACGCAAATCTCGTCAACGCAATCAAACAAATCCAACGCAAATCCAACGCAAATCGGGCTCCCAGTCAAACAAATAAGCTGTTCGATTTGCGTTGTTTGATTTGATAGATTTGCCAAGCCAGATATAGCAATTCAGCCCTGCAAAATGCCCTCAACCGCCACAACAGCCACATCCAACCCTACCCTATATAACCGCTAGGCGCCCACAACAGGTGGATTGAGGGTCCGTTTACAGGGCGATAGTCGTATCGCCACTTTTCCCAGCCAGCCGCCCACTACGCCAGGATACCTCCTACAGAGCCCACTGCGGAACCCCCTACGGAACCCCCTGCGGAACCCCCCGCGGAACCCCCCATAGAACCCCCCCTTACTTTAGCAAGGGTCCTCCGCGGCTGTAGGCCGGTTCCCAGTATTATACAACAGATCAACGAATTAACTGGTGTTAATCTAAAACAACTACCTTACAATTTACTTATCGACTGACCGAAGGTAGCCCACTGCGGAAAGTAGTATCTCCTAAAGGTATAGCTCGTAAAGAAGAGGCTACAAAAGTTATAGATCTCTAACTATAGGGACTTCCTTATTAATATCGTTAATAGCGAGATAAACTATTCCTAATAGTATTACAAATATTGCAACAGGATCTTTAATGTATTAGCAACAATAAGTTTAACCTCCTATTTTAACGCTAAGTATAAATGTTTTAATATAATAAAGGAAGCTCCCCCAACAAAGAGATTAAGGTAGTTGGTCCTTACGATACAGATATTAGCCGTCCTAGTTATAAAGCTAATAGCCAACTTAATTAAATACTTACTTTTTTTATAGATTATTAGTAATAACCTCCTCTTTACCGCTATTAAAGATCTATACTTTTATAAGATACTAGGACTTTTTAATTAACAGTTCCTCTATTTATTAGTCCCTACTACTATAAATATAGTATAAAGATAGGTTATTAACCGGTATTAAGAAGAAAAGAAAGCCTTAATAAAGATACTCACATCGATAAAATATACTAAATACCTCTCTTTCAACTTATAGAGTTCGCTAAACTCATATACATTATTTAGAGTTATCGTATATTTCGTTGATATACAATACCAACTCTAAATAAGGTTGCTAGGTATAGTTCAACTCTAAAGATCTTACTCTAGCGATATACAAGCTCTTAAGATACTAAAGGTTATCTGTAATTTTAAGATAGAGCCCGATATTAGCTACTTCTAGTATAATAACGTATCTTCGAACGATATTTATATTACTACTATTCTCCTTAATATCCAATAACCCGGTTAACCGCAAGCTATTAACGAAAAGAAGTAACAGCAACTTCGCTATATCGGCTATATCGTTAATCTCGGTATAAAGGCCTTTATTAAAGCTAATAACTAAGAATAGAGGGACGAAGATTGTTATAGGCCGATCGGGAGACTTTATCGCATTATACATTATATTCACCGCAGCCTATAACGATATGAGATATTTAAGAAGGCCGCCAAGTTCAAATATATATATCGCGATACGGATAGTAACTCTGATATACTATTATCTAATTCGGAAGACTTCATTAAACTATAATTGGTAGCCGATAACGATATATATTGGAACTCGGTCTTCCTAATAATTAAATATACCCTTAAACTTAGAGATATAGTTAACTTCTTTTATACGGTTAAGAAAGATAGTCTAGCCTATAATAACCCTCTCTACAATAAAGATTGGTTAACGTTAACCGAGATATATATAATCTTAAGGCCATTTGTAATTGTAACTAAGATAATAGAGGGTACTAGGTCGACAATACCCAGCGTTATTCGTACAGTCTACTCGCTACTAGATAGCTTAAAGGCGGATCTTCTTCACTTCAGTACCTCCTAGTTAATTAACCCTATCCATTAAATACCAGAGGTAGCGATAGCGCCACCTCCTATACCCTCACAGCAACCCCAGCAACAAACTACTTTACCGTACTACCTAGATAACTTTAAAGTTAATCATCTAAGCCAATAAGCAACAACCCTCTCGTAATTAGCGGTTAGCAATAGGTTACCTTCAATATTACTACTATTAGAGGAAACAGATAGGGTACAGTTTATTCGGGCAGGCATTAGAGCCGCTATTGTAAAGTTTGAAGAATATTGTAACCTTCTTAACAATTCGACGGTATATTGGTTTATAATAATTCTATATCCAAGTTATAAAACAGTTTAGATAGAGAAGAACCTTAGTAAAGATAAAGTCGATACCTATATTACTAGTTTAAAGCGATACTTTAAGGACTACTATATATATACCGAAGCAGCTAATACCCTATCTATACTATAGGGGACCGAGAAATAGAACAACTTCTTCGCTAGTTTCAACTATTAAGTTAACGATACCAACTATCGTAACGAAGTTAACCGTTATCTTTCTAAACCGATAATCAAGTTAGACAACCTATTAGATTAGTAGAAGGCCAACTTTATATAGTTTCCCTAGCTTTCTACAATAGCGTTTAACTATCTCTCTATCCCAGTAATATCTTCTAAATATAAGCGGATCTTCAGCTACGCTAAGTATACAATAACATACTAGCAATATTCGCTTTACACCGAAACAATCAGTATACTATAATACTTAAAGAATTAGGTTAAGAACAACGAATTTTGAAGTTTTAGCGATATCGGTCAGGGGGGGCGGTTACAGTTAGGGGGGCAGTTATAGTTAGGGGCGGTTGTAGTTAGGGGGGGGCCAGTTCCCAGTTGCTTAGTCAGAAAAAAACACGATTTAATAGATTTCAATTTTATTACGTTTTTAAACGATTCAGAGGATTGCTAGATCGTTCAGTTTAATTGCTTTTTAATAGAAATGAAAGATCTGATGGCTGTAAGTCAGAAAAATAAAGAAGGGGGGTGGTGAGGGTTAGGGTTATATATGGTGGGTGGGGATTTGATTTGACTCCTGGCAATCAAATCCAAACAAGTCAAAGCTGGGCAAATCTGGGCCAAATCAAAGCAAATCCGCCTTCATATTTGGTTTGTTTGCGTTGTGGCGTGCCTTGGAAGAGGGGCATGTTCGATGTCGGTTGGCTGGTACACAAACGTTGAGCTCGCCACCTCATGCATGCAATCAAGTTGGCTGTAATCGTGGCGCGAGAGCCGCTTAGCGGGAGAGCCCGCGCGAAGCGCGGATGTCGGATGCTACTTTATATGTCGGTAGAGTCCCGGGGAGGGTACCACTTTAATGTCAACCGGAACGGAACGCGGCACGCATACCATCACCATGATTGGTACTTTGAAGATAAACCCCTTCCGAACGGCAAACGACCTCAGCCCCATAGCCTATCTATCCGCAGATACGGTCACATTGTAGATTCAAAACTCATAACTACCTTAATGATGCTAGAATATTCCATCAAAAGCAAGTCCCTCAAAAGTCCCACTCCTGTAGCCATTTCTGCATCAGGCTACCCTCCAACGACCGCAAGCCAGCCATCGCAGGACTCTTCAGACTCCCCTTCTCCGTTGCAAAGCCCGTCAAAGGCCCCTTCATGTCCCCGTCCGCCTTGAGCCCCTCAAAAAAGTCGAGGATCTTGACGGCAGGGTATTGGTCGATCTGTTCTGGCGTCTGCGCGGCATCGATTCCCTTGAGCTCATCCAACCACTCGTCAAGATCGACTGTCACAATCTCATGTCCCTCCTTTGCGTAGTACTCTTGCGTCGTTGCCACCAGGGCGCTCCATTGCGTGATTTGCGGGTTCATCACGTTGAAGCACCCGGCTTCCCTAGAGTCTTCCTTCTCACCGTCCAGCGGAAGGAACTCGAGGATGATCTTTGCCGCCGTGTCCACGGGCACCCAGATGACATTGTCATTCGACGGTCCCAGAGACCGCGGGATCTTGCCGAGCGACTTGGACGTCTTGATGAGCGAGGGCACCCATTCTGCAACACCACTGTTAGCCATCCATCCATGCACATCCACCGCTATAACCCCAAGTAGGTAACTAGGTAGGTAGCCAACTCACCATGACGATTCCACACCCCCTCCGCCTCGGCCGTACCCGCCAGCTGCCCCACCCTCAACACCGTGCCACCCACGACTCCCTCCCTCGCGGCCCGCGCCAGGATCGAACTCGCCACGTGCTTCGACTCGCCATACCCCTGCCTCGCCGGCAGGCTATTATCCAGCTCAAACGCCTCGGGCACCGTCAGCGCCGCGCCCTCCTCCCCCTCGCGCGGCGGCCGCACCGCGGGGAAGTTGAGCACGCTAGCCACGGACGAGACGAAGCCGATGTGGGGGCGGCGGGGCGCACCCGCCGCGAAGTCGACGCACCGCTTCACGCCCGCGATGTTGTCCTCGAAGGTCGCCAGCGTGCTGTTGAAGTTGACGGGCCAGGCGTTGAGCAGGATGGTGGCGACGTCGGCCTGGAGGTCGGCGTAAGTGGTTGAGTCGAGGCCGAAGAGCGGGAGGTGGGTTTGGCCCGTCAGGAAGCGGATCTTGGGGTGGGACGCCAGGTTGTTGTTGTCCGGGGCCGGGGTGTCGAGGGTGAGGCCGCGGTCGAGGAAGGCTTGGGTTTGGCGCGCGGCGGCGTCGGCGGAGCGGTTGAGGCAATAGATGCGCGTGATGGACGGGTTTTGGAGGAGCTCGTGCAGGAGGTGGGTGCCGAGGGCGCCTGTGGAGCCGACGAGCAGCATGGCGGAGGAGGAGTCGGATGGTTGTTGGGTTGTTACCGGCGCAAAGTCGGTGTACTTGTGGATCATGGCTGACATTTTCTCCTCCCTGGAGACAGTAATGGCTGGGGTTTCGCTGCTGGCCCCGTTGCCGAGGGCTTTGGCGAGGAGGTTGATGCTTGGGTTCTCGTAAACCGCCCGCGTCGGGCAGGTGACGCCGGCGGAGCTGAGGACCTGGCGGATTTGCATCACCTGGAGAGAGTCGGCACCGAGTTTGAAGAGGTTGGCATCGTCGGTGATGTCGCCGCTTACGTGGCCTTCGACAACCGACAAGACAGCCTTTTTCACCATGTCACGAATCTGGCTGTTGTTCAGACCGTTGTTGCCCTGAGCGGCCGAGTTGGTGTCGGCGGGCCCCTCGAACAGGATCTTGATCTCGTCCTCGTACAGCTTGTTTGTGGCTTTCCGCATGATGGAGCCCTTTGGCGCGCGCTTGAAGGGCTTTGTCGGGGTCGAGAGCAACACCATGGTCCGCCAAACGTGGGCGTGCGCTTGGCAGTGTTTGTGGGCTTCTTCCACAACCGGCCACACGTCCTTCAGAACCTCGTCCAGAGTCAGGTGGGCGTGTTCAGCGTGCAGCTCGATGATCAAGCCAGTCTGTAGCTGTCCCGTTCCGACCACGAGGGCACCCTTGACCCAGTGGTGTCCTTCGATCGCCTTCTCGAACGACACCGGGTTCGTCTTCTCACCGTTGCGCAGTACGATGATATCGTCAGCCCTGCCGACGTATTTCCAGAGCCCTTCCTTGGTGGGGTGCTGTTCGAACAAGTCGTTGGGGCGAAACTCGTCGGTGCCGGGAAAGTTGTGGAAGACGCCCTGGTAGTCGTTGCCAGGCTGGCGTTGAATGACGAGCTCCGCCACTCCGTCCTCCGCCGTGGGTTCCATGACGATCCCACAGTTGGGGTTCCACTCAAAGTATTCCCAGTCCGCGCCGTCGAGCGGGATCAGGTTGGGGAAGTTGAAGGACTCGGTGTTACCGATGGTGTTGACGAGAGTGGTAACCTTGGAGATCTCATCGCCGCACGCCTTGGCCAAGGGCGCACCGCCATAAAATATGTGCTCCAACTTGGAAAGCTTCTCGACGCCGCCGGGTACGTTGCAAATGTCTTCGAGAATAGAGGGCGCACAGACAACCACGGATGGGTTGACTTTGGCAATAACATCAAGCAAGAGCTCAGCAGTCGGCGGTACCCCAGGGGGGAGTAGGGCTAGAGGTCCCCGGTTGTAAAAGGAACGGTTGGAGATCATCATCACCCCGTAGACATGGAAGAAGGGCATGGTGCAAAGCATGAGCCTTGTGCCCAGGATCTGGTTGTGGACATTCTTCCGGCCTTCAGGGACGGGCAGCGCCGGGCTCTGGGCGCCGACCCGGAAGATGCCGCCGTTGAGATATACGGGCTTCGGATTGCCGGTCGAGCCACTGGAGTGGAGGATGAGGACTGTCTTGTCGTCTTGGAGGTACCTGTCGGCGCGACTCTCATAAGGGGCGTCGCTTGAAGTGGAGAGGATCTCCTGTAGCTCCGGCACCTGTGAGGTCCTCAGCTGTGCTGCTTCTGCCGCGACCCCGTCGACGGTGGTCTTGAACTCGGCACTGTGGATGAACTTGCTGCATTGTGTCGCCTTGAGCAGATGCAGGTTGCCCTCCAGCGAATTCCGAGGAGAGACCATGAAGCCCTTAAAGCTGTTAGAAACGCTCGAAAGAAGGTAAAGGAGAACATAAAAGATTGGCTAACCTTGTAGCCGGTTTTCAATGCCGCCAGGATGATGATTGGGTACCGGGCGTCGTTGACACCGGTATAAGCGACAGGTTCGTCACCAGTTCCCAGGCCGAGCTCCTTCTCCATCCAGCGGGCCATCGTGTCGACGGCCTTGCTAAGCTCCAGGAATGTGATATCCTGCCATGTTACCGCACCTTTGTCGGACGTGACGGGAGATTTGATCCAGACATCGTCGGGAGACTCGGCGGCCAGTTTGTCAATCCAGGCCGTGTGCGAGAGGAACTCGCTCGGCATGGACCCCATGATGAAGGTCAAAGGGTATTGCGGGAGGGGTGGGCTGTGTGGTGTTCGTTGGGGCAAGATCAGAAAGATTATTTCAACGACTCGGGCTGCAACCTGACAAATCCGCCATAATGGCTTGACCGGGCAGGTTGCGCCTACTTTATAGTCGCTCGAGTCATTACTTGGCTGCGTCGGCTCACGAGCACCACTGGGCATCCCCCTCCACGCTCCTTAATTGTGCGCGGGCAACTCGCGGGGTCCGACACTCATCCTTTGCCGCTACTGCGGATGGCGTATTGATCTTCGAGAGTCTACCATCACGCCAGAGTAGCAGGGCGGGAGGAGCGGCACTGGTAAAAGCAGCCAGTGAACGTTGACTAACTCCATGCCGTGTCTCAATTCAGCTCAGCTGAATACAGGGTCTATCGTCAAAGAAACCAATCGGAGCTTTTACAGAGACCCGAATCCAACAGAGTGGGCTCTTCCTGCGCGTGATGGCCCAATTCCGTTCCAGAGATATGTGATGATGATGTAGGAATGCCCGACATGCACGACAAGAACAATATCAGATGCCCGAATCACACACAAAGGCCAACTGGGGAAGGACAGGCGAGGGGAGAGGGAGGGATCGGCTAGATCCAGGTGTGACGTCTGCACGATAATGTATTGATTGGGCCATGGGAGAGCCCAGCTCCATGCGCGAGAAAGAAGAAAAGGCAATCTGTATGCAGGACAGACAGACTCCTATGGGAGCTGATTTCTTTGCACTTTCTGACCCACGTGAAGCCAAGCTTGACCGACCAGGAGGGATTAGATCTCTCATGATATTCTTACTGGTTTTTAATTTACATCTGAGGCCGTCATCTCCTAACACCTTTGGACCCGAGAAGCATTTGTTAGGTTTCGCCATTTCAATAAACAAGGTCCTCCAGGTTTGTCACTGCACAACCACCACGGCCTAGAAAGCGTTTTAGATTTACTACCTACCTCAGGTAATTAGAGAGAATATCATAATCACAGCATTAGGTCCCAACACATTACCTCCCCCATGAAAAGACAGACAAATCAGTCACGACCCTATTAGTCCCACCGCATCCTCGTCATATCAGGATTCCGCAGGTCGCGCACCAACGTCTCCCTCCGCCCGCTCTCCTTCAGACGCTTACAATCCCAAAACACATACCCCCACTTCCTAAACCTCTCATCAACCGCCTGCCCATACTCATTCTTGAACTGGCCCCGCCACATAACCACCCACGCCACCGGCGGCGCCGGTGACCTGCCATCCATCAAGCCCTGCTCATCCCCCACGAAGGGCAGCCGGTCGCGGCGGGCCTGCGCCTGGTCCTCGGCCGACGGGTGGCGCGACCGCCGCCGCCACTGTGTCGGCAACATCATGGTTTCCTCGAGGAAGCGCTCGTGCCACACCATGTACTTCTGCATCGCCCTGACCAGCGTCTCGTCGTCGGGGGTCTGTACTATTTCGAGGAAGGCGTGTAGGCCGCGTGAGGCGATGCCTTGGCGCAGGCTTTCGCGCACGTCTGGGTGGGCTGTTAGCAAGGGCGGAGGGAGGGGATGGGAGGGGTGGGAAGACGGGGTGGGGTGTTGGTGTTGTTACCTGGGTAGGTACCTAGGTAGTGGCACTTACAAGGGGAAGAAAGGTTAAACGACCTCAGGTATCGGTTGGCTGCTGGGTCGGACCCGGGGTGATCCTTGGCCAGGTCTGCCATTGTGGTGGTATCGAAGATCTTCTCGCATTTGTCGCGGACCAAGGCATAGATGCAGTTGATCTCCTCAATCTCCCAGGGGGGAAACAGGCCGAAAAAGCTCACCAGCCGCTCTTCATGGGGGAGGTTGAACGGCTTGTAATCCCCACCGGGACGCATGCCGAAAATGTTACAGTAGGTCTGGTAGCGGTACAGCGCACGGAGGAAACGCGTACGCTCCGCCCTGGACAGGCGGCTGTCGTCAGGGGAACGGTTGAGGCGCATGAGGAGGACGGAGGAGCAGATCCTCAATAAAGGGCACGTCACGGCGAGGTAGAAGGCCGCCATCTCGATAAGGTCGTCCTCCGTGGCGGCGGCCTCGGCCCAGACCTGCCCGGGGCCAACGGACCGGTGGGCTATGTACTGGTCCATAAAGAGGCGGAAGGTGTCCGCGTGGATATGCGATTCGACCCCCTCCTCATGCAGCGAGCCGGAGGTGTGCGCTGCATATGCATCCGCCAGCACGTTGCCGTTGCCTAGGGTGGTTTGAAGCGTGCGGCGGAGGAGCCATTTGCGGCTGTGGAGGTACTGCTGATGATATACGGGTGATGCGAACACCAGCGCCTTGAGGTCCTTGATGTCTTCGATTGATTCCAGTATCAGGTGCCGCAGCTCGGCTGGGAGTGTTTCCAATGTGATGGAACTAGAGACTCGCGGGGTGGGCTGCTGGTGCTCGGGTGTCGCGGGTGGTGCCACTGATGGGGCATTGCTTGCTCGCTTTTCGCGTCTGCGCAGCCGCCCGAAGAGACAGAAGAGTGAGAGCCTTCCCATTTCTTTGCCGGTGGGAGGCTTGTGGGGTGTGGAGTAGTAGTACTGTGGGTGAGAGAGAGCTGGAGAAGGGCGTCGGGTAAGGGGCAATATCAGATCATGGATAAAGGATTGTTGTTGGGGAAACCAAGTTCGTTCTTGGCTCTCTTCTATTCTGCCTCACCAGGAAACAGGCCAGCTAGCCTGATTTGACCTAATTCAAGTCCAGCTTTAGCACATCATCACGCGGGGTAGACATCGTACAATGACAGCATGGAATGATTCATGCTGCTGAACGGTCCTTCGGGGGTGACTCGGGCAGGTTCAGACCGAACCCGAAAGCGGTAATGGCTGAAAAGAGATACTGTTGGAGGCTTGCTTACATCCATTGGTCGCCCACTATTGGTGATATCTGCGTAGTTTAACCTTTCCAAGCTGGCTTGAAGTCGAGGACCTCCAAGCCATATATATCCCGAGCCCTGCGACGTAACAAGGGTCAACAATCAGCCTCGTCGGAACGTTGTGTGCCCGTCTGACCGCATAATAACGAGTCGTTTGTCGGTCAATGATAACATCCGTTGCCGCAGGTGGTGGGAGTTGAGGGGGCAGCCTGAGTCAGGCCATTCGTCGTGATAATCACCTGAGGTATTGTGATGCAGTTGTGTTGTGAACCAGGAGGTGCTATCGTTGAATTACCAACACTCGACCGTGTTTCGGGGATACCCTCACGAATGGCTGTGACCCATATACCATTGTCCATAAACTCGGCCACGGCGGCTTTTATACCGTTTGGGTTGTGAAGCGGCAACGCACACCAACACAACCGACCGTTATTGAAACTGTCGGATCTGTCGAGACTACGTCTTTCCACGCCCTCAAAATTCCAAGCTGGATGTGAGACTTCGTACGCCAACACCCTTGAACTCGCGAGCCAGCACCCCACAACCTTGGGTGTTCCAAGACGCCACACAACCCCCGAGAAGCTAACTCGCAATCAACGCTCATCAAGACTCGCATTGTCAATGATCAGAATAGCTCCCCGACTTCGATGTTGGCTGCTGTGGACCAGCTTACTAAAGGAACAATGGCTGTGATGAACCAGGTGGCGCTTCTTCGTCTAGAGAACTCTTCGCTCAGCAAGGCCAATGAGACACTAAGCAAGCGCCGGAGAGCCAAGAAGAAACGTGTGTAGCTCGGAGGCTCACTTACTGTACAAGATGTACAGGCTTCGCTTGGTCAGAATGCAGTAGGTGGAGGAGGAGTAGAAGAAACGCAGCAGGATGGTAGTGGTGTGTGCGGCAAGCCTCGCATTTGCCGGGAGGCTGCAGGACCGTCTGACCCAGTTGTTTCTGATGGAATTGTGGTGAATTCCTAGTGTTGATGCGTTGCAATTGAGAATGGTTGTAACAGAGTAGTCGAAAGTGGCCCACTCAGTGATAATGCACGTTAGCAGGCGTTGGAACAACATGATAGTGGCAGATAAGCGGTGTATAAAATCTCTAAACAATTGTAGGAGAGACTCTAAAAAACACCATGCATGCCAAACACGTTGCTAGACAAGAATGCTCGACAGGTACCTGAAAGACCAAGATCTAGCCAGAGCCAACCCCTTTCGAAGTGAACGACGGCAAACTGAACCCCCAAAAAGCCCCGATCCCCTACCGCCCCCGTCGGCGCCCAAGATCGCTTCACAGCGCTTCTAACCGCGGCAAACACGGTCGTTGACGCTCGCCTTGCCCACAATCTCGGCGCTGCCGTCCCACCGGAAGTAGCTGGCTTGGTACGGCCTGCAGTTGGCGTCCATCTGGACCAGGGCGTAGTTGAAGTCCTCAAGGTTCAGGCTGCCGAACGTGTCCCTGGCGTTGATGCAGTAGTAGACCGACACGCCGTCGTTGATATACTCGGCGTACCAGTTCGAGTCCACAGGGGATCGGAGCTCCAGAGTTTGCGTCCTGAGGTAGTCCTTCCACGTGTCGACACCCCTGTCGGTGCCCGCAGCGTCGAGGTACCAGTCCCAGCAGTCGGTGAAGCGCTTGCCCAGTTTGGAGGTGGCGGCGGGGTTCTCAGACGTCGTGCGCCGCGAGACGGACACGCTCGTGAGGTTGGCGGCGTCGTCCAGAGGGGTGCGGACCAGGGTGCCGTCGGAATGGACCTCGGTCAGATAGAAGCCCTCCGGGACGCTGGCGCCCGGCTGAGGCTGGCTGACTGCGGGAGCTGCCAGCGCGGCGGGAGCGAGAGCGAGTAGGGTGGTGAGGAAGTGCATATTGAAGAGTTGGCTGAGAGGTTGCTAGAAGGTTGATGGTGAGGATGAGGCTGGGGAGGAGAGTTGTCGATCCTAAGGGGAGATGGCAAGTCTTTATAGTAATCGCAGAGAGCATATCTTCTAAGTTTGTTTATAGACGTGCACGCTCTGCTCCTTCAGTTCGCACTCGTCCGTCATTGCTTCCGGGTCAGTTCCGCGGTCTAGATCCCAACGGACTGAGACAGCGTGGTATTCATCTGCACCGAGTTATGCTGTTGGCCCTTTGGCCTCATGTTAGGTCTTAGCCCCCACGGTCCCGTTTTGGTTTCTGGCCCCCAACATCCTCTTGTTGGGATGACAAATTATGAGAGGAACAACAGAGCAACTGAGCCTTCGCATCTCCATGTCCGCATCGGTACCGGAAACACCGACCCTTGATGATTCCACGTCTTTGAGTTGTTGGCATGCAGGTTGGTCCGGAGGGTCCGATCCGAGTGAAGGGGAGCTTTGCATAATTGTGTCCTCGAGGAATTGTGACCGCCTCTTTGACATTTCCGGGTTACCGTTGTTTCCAGGTCACCTCTGTGGTCCGGTCCCGGGGTATACAAGGCGCTCACACAGTGACACGGCGAGCCCCTGTAGATAGTTATATGACGATGTTTTCCGTGTTAACGATAGGACTAATACCATATGGATGCCTTCTAGATGCGCATCAAAATCAATATTGATATCCTGTTAGTTCTTCGGCCCTGTCGTGGTTCCTTAGCCCTCTCATTGTAATGCTACGAGTGCTTTCGCCCCCATTTGTTATGCAAACATGACTACGAATACGAATACGACTGAGTTTCTCTGGCCCCTGTTTGTTCTAGATCTTTACCCCGGGTGAGTTCTTTGGCCCCCAAATAATTATGCGGTTGGTTCTTGCTACAGTGGGTGCCGGAAAAAAACGACCAACTCGCTTTTTCACACCAAAAACCCACTAAATGTACAACATTCACAGTAAAGTATCCCACCAACCAAGAATCTTAAAATTACAATAAAAAGAATCCCTAGAGAATTTAATATCTATTTCAACATCCTGATAGTGATTTGCATTTTACTCCTAAGTCTACATTGCTACGAGGTGTTAAAGTTTTGTTTAATTTTCAACCTCACTATAAATTAAGTTCGTGTGGGATAGGTACGGTCGTCGTGAACCCGGGAAACCCATGGACACGTCCGACGACCGTTGGTGGTTTAACGAAGAGCCGCACGCCAATGCACTCCCGGCCCGCCTTTCCAAGTCCGCCCTGGGCCTCTCCGAAACTCAACGGGTGGAACTTGAGCGTTTAATTATGGATATGGTTGCTTGGGAGCCCGACGCCCGCATATCCGCTGCGGAAGTCGTCCGCCGTCCAGGCAGACTCGCTGGCGGTGTCAGCGGATGCTGCCCCCGAAAACCGGATGAGTCCCGGCCCTATCCCACAACCAACGATGGATTCTCGCGAGGCCACTCAGTCGCCTGGTCTAGAATAAACGTCGGCTTCTCGCACATTCAATCACTCAGCTGTGTAACCAAGCTAGAGAGAGGAGTGGGTGGTGGGCGGGTAAAAAGAAAACGGAAACAGGGGCGTCTTGGGGTCCCAGATATTCTTTTTCGCATGTATTTATGACCAGGCTCAAGGCGAACCGACGCGTTAATCAGCTGCTGTCCGGCTGGGGAGTCAGTAGGTGATCCAAACCACGCGCAGTTTGTGGTGATTCAATGATGAATTCAACACATTAGGGGCTGAAAGGCCATCTTTTGCACGACGCTCGTCCAGTAAAATGTCTTCCCGAGTTATGTGACACCAGGCAGCTGTCAGCGACCGGTGACCGGCCGTAACCGGGTGAGGGGGAGTTGGGCGGCAGCCAGACCGTGTCTGATCTAAATTAAGCCCCTTGGGTAACATCAGGCTGTGTCTCCTGCCGGACAGAGGGGCGGGGGCTGCCGCCGAAACATGTGGCTTGCCGTAGTCGAAGCAGACGGAGGGTTATGGACCAACCCTAACTGCAGAATTGTGCAGGCCGGCTTCCGCGCCTTCATGCACCCAGCCAGATTATGGCTCGGAAGTGAAACGTTGAGGAGGCCTCGGGGGTGACTGTGTAACAACCTTCGAAAATTGTGAGCTCTGTGCCAGTTTAAAACGAGGGTGGGAGGTCGGGCTGTAATGGAGAAAAGCAACATGGAAAAGGTTGTAGACATAACTCCCAGTCCTCTCAATCATTGTCTAGTGAGATCATCATCCAATAACGTTCATGGGCCCTAGTCATGGATCTCCTACGCATCCGGGACGGGACTTCCCTTTCTCCCAACTCAGGGTACCTGACCTCGAAGAAGGCCTGCCCGTGGTCCTTGATCCCAACACAGGCGAGTGGGTAAACCCACTCTTCGTCGGCCGAGGTATGGGAGGTGCTGGACGCCGCGGTTTCGGTGCCCCGTCTCCCAAGTATGCCACTACAGACAACGTCAACAAGCCGACTGCAGTCAAGTCCGGCCCACCTGGCTGCTTAGAAATCAACTCGATGGGTTTTGGAAAAGGTCGACTAGAGTTCGAGGTCGCTCCGCCCATCAAACGCACCGATTTCCACGGACGGAATAGGGAGCTGTTTCAATTTGGGGTCGTGAGGAAGTGGTGCAATCCTGTCGAGTTGCGCTGCTTCCAACTGGATCTCTCGGCACTACAACTCCTAACGATCCGGCGCCTGCAAAGTAAGCTCGTGCGAGAAGCGTTGGAACACCGCTACCTTCCAGAAGGGGATGAGGACCCGGCATGGCTCAGCCCGGAGGCCGACTATCGGAGTAGCACAATGCGGCAGTATGGTACGTTTGGGCCCGCCGACGAAGACGGGGACACTAATGGTGATAATGGAGTGAAAGTACATCAACACTGATCTGTCTCTCGGACTAGTCGCGGCTCTCCAAGACTACGATTACATGGTCCAGCAAGCTCACAAAGGAAACGGCACGGATCCTTTCCGTGTCAACAACGGTTCAACGCGCGGCTTCGCGCTGTTAGAGGAACATCTCGAGTCGATCCTGAAATCGGAGCCGACGACTGCCGACACGTCCTCGGCACAAAGCAATGGCAAAGTCCATCCACACTTCAATGCCAGATCGGATTTGGAGTACCTCCGCTGGATCGGAAAGCCGAAGAAGGATGTCGGACGCGAGATCGCGGCCTTCCGAAGGTTCGTCTCCGCGGCTGAATCGACTATCATGGGGTACTTGCACCGATTGGGCGCCGGTCTGGCCGTGAGTATGTTCTTGGTCGCGCCGATGGTTATCATCATCTTTGTCCCGCACCTAGACCGCGGGCGCGCATCTGGTGTTGCTGCTGGCTTTACTTTTGTCTTTGCTATGGCCGCGGCTTTCGTTCTCAGGGAGATCTTGGGCGTCGTCTCAGCCACGGCGGCTTATGCTGCCGTTCTGGTTGTTTTTGTCGCAGGGCAGCAAACGACTATTCCCTGAGGCAGAGGGGTGAGATCTACTTGCATGTTGAGCATCTTTTGTTGATTGAATAGGGATCTATCGGCCGGGTTTGTTGTATTGATCATTAAATGTACGATCGGTGGCTTTGGGGTTGGAAGATGAAGGGGATTTGTTTTGCTGATAGCATTTGTTCCATTGCTAGATACTTGCATTCAGTATTACGGACACGGGGTAGAACAGACAATAATAGAACGCGAATCTTCGTCACAGCCCACTAATACTCCCAACGCAGCAACCCATATCCACCGTCAACCGCCTCTCGCCCTTCCTCTCTCAAACCCCCTTAGTACTTCCCCCGACTCCGACTCCTCGAAACCGGCTCCTCCCCATACCCATAATACCCGCGACTGCGACTCCTCCTCCCCTCCCTCACCACAACCGGCGCAACCTCCTGCACCGGCACCACCCCCTCATACTCCCCATACCCACTATTCCGCCGACCATGATGATGATGGTGATGATGATGCCGCCCGTCCCCATAATACCCACCATTCCGACTCCCACTGCGACTCCGCCCCCTACTCCTCCCCCTCCCACCCGCACCACCACCACCGCTCGGATACCGCGGCTCGCGATACTCATCCCTCACCCCGCCATACCACGGCCTGCCCGGGACGGCCTCATCGCCGGGGGGCGCGCCCAAGTTGCTGCAGGAGCGGACGATCCAGAGGAAGAGCAGGAAGCCGGCTATGGAGCCGAGCACGATGCCGGCGATGGCGCCGCCCGAGAGGGTGTCGGCGTCGTTGGCGTCGTCGGGGCTGCCCGGTGCGGCAGTGTTGGTGCCCGTGATTATCGTCACTGTGCTACCGTCGTCAGGGTTGGTTTGGGTTTGGCGGGGGTGTAGGGTGCGGGTTGGGGGGAGGGTTTCGAGGAGGGTGTGTGCGGATAGGGGGGTGGCGGGGACGGGGGCCATGGTAAGGTTGGTTGTGTTGTGTGGCCTTGGTGGCCAGGCTTCACGGAGAGTTGGTAGCTTGTGAAATAGGCTTTGGGTAGTTTGTGATATTGTGCTGGAGATGGTTTGGTCTTGCTCGTCGCCGATTCTCTCCACCCGCGTATGGATCAGAGCTTGGATCTAGGGGAGTGTTGGGGGGGGATTGGGTCAAGATTTATTCCTGTCCACTGGGCCCTGGACGATGTCGTCAGGATCCGCGGGTCGCCTTTTGGCTTACACATGGGTGTATCGTTGCTCTTGGCTAGAAACCTGCCCAGGACAGTGATGTAATTGTACTTGGCTCGCGGGGTGATGCGTTAGATCCAAGATCTGCGCTCCAGTGCCGAATCACAATCCCGCTTCATGCACGTCAATCGAACTGCCATTTCCCCCAGGGCCCAAGATGGTCAAGGCCACGTCCCGAAAATGGTTGCAAGCAAGGTTGTGTACTCGACTCGAACCTCCCTGACTGACCTTCAACACCCTAGGCTTTACAAGCAACTTACGCACTACACAATTTATACAAAATTACCAGTTTCAAAATAGCTTTCAGTATTATAGGTGAACAGCGGAAACTCTTTTGGCGAATTACAAGCAGACCCTATATATGAGACATGCAATATGACGTCATTGGAGCTCTTTCTTTGGGCCGAGTTCAGAGAGCATTGGGACTTTCGGAGTATTCTGTCCCTCGGCTGGGCACAACCCTTTATCCACCTGAAAGCCAGTGCCCTTTTTCTTTTGGTACGTTGTGCTTTGGAATCACCAATGAGAAAGTGAGAGAGAGTAACTGGGAAGCTGTTGTGGGTTCGTTGCGCATGATTCTGTTCAATGTACTCGATATTCTTCGACTTCATCACCCGTCACCGTCACATCATTGCAGCAGGCTCGGGTTCAAGTCAGAGCGTGCAACTATTCAGGCTTGTTACTCTACCACGTCAAAAACGTCGGCAACGAGACCCGTGTTAAGACAGGTGCTTGAAACTTACTAAGAAAGGGGTGATCAAAGGGCATGTACATGTAAGGGGATGTAGCCATGGTGTTCATCCCACAATGTGCCTGTTTTCATTGATTCAGATGACAGTCCCATGTTGCCCAAACTCGAACTTTTCATTCGCCGCGCATTACGGTCCCCCGCAGCACAACATGGCCGAGGCAGGATTCAAAGAGCATGATTCAAAGTTGGTTGGGCTCTCATGCAGGGCACCCAATTGGTGACCTAACCTCCCGCTCGTTTGTCAGCGAGGTTGCTACTATACTAGATAAGGTACGTGGTTTTCCCCTCGGGCCCCCTCATCGTGTTTTTCTTCCAGCACCCGGATGTAACCTACAACGAGTCCCCCTATCGTCTTACAATCTCGTCATAAACAAGGATACATACAGCACCACCACATCGGATATGTCATATCCTTCAACCAGCAACATGGAACCCATCCCATGGGAAAAGTAAGCTCCACCGTCACTTTAATATCCGTCCCACAGGAACCACATGATACTTACAAGATCGATAGGATCGCGTCCTCCAAGCCATATCGGTTTTCAATCGGGCCCCGCAGGCGCGAGTTTACGATGCACTCGGCTGTTGTCGAGGTCCAATCCCCCGCGCTCAACACCTTCGTCAACAACACCAACTTCAAAGAGGCAGGCGACCGACACGCCCAGCTGGAAGATGTGGACGAGGACACTTTCATCTCCTTCATCCAATACGCTTACACCGGGGCCTTTGAGGTCGCAGGTACCGCAAAAGGTCGTAAATCGGCGCAGGCAACCCAGCAGGATGACCGCAAGGATGACCGCAAGGAGGACCCTGATGATTTTAGCTGGGGCGGATATGACGCGAGACCTGCGAGGTACAAGGTGGCGCGGAGGCGGCGACCCGGGGTGTGGGAAACGTTCACGGCCGCCGTGTCCGAGGCATGCCCGCCCGGGTACAAGGCCCCCACGGAAACGATCACCATCACGCCGGACGACGACGTCGCCGAGATCCTCATCCGGTACACTCGCCTGTACCTGTTTGCCGACTGCTACGGCATCTCGCGGCTGATGGGCCTGTCCTTGTACAGCCTGGGGCAGACGCTGATTGCGCTCGATCTCAAGGCAGACAGGGGGAATAATGAGGAGAGGGTGGAGGATGTCGTTGCGTTGTTGCAGTTTTGTTATAATGGCGATCCCACGCCGGACCAGCTGAAGTCCCTGATTCTGCGCTATGTTGCCTGCAATGCCGAAAGGCTGTGGAAGAATAACGACTTCCAAAAGTTACTCGCGGCGCACGCGGAGCTGGGCGCTTCTCTTGTTGGGTTGTTGGTGGAGAGACTGGATGATTGAGATTTGCTCCTCGGGTGCTAAGCTCAAGCGTTGTGCTTCTACCTTGCGGGACTACAAATTATTGCCTTTTCTCCATCCATTCAAGTTCAGGCTGGACAGTCATATGCTTAATGATTCATTGATGACCTCCAACGTGAACTCGTGACCTCGATGCGGAGCCTCTTATGACGAGTACAACTAGCACATTGATGTTTTGTCCTATGTTACTATGCTGCTGTGTTACAATATTAATGGCAGCTGTTGCAATAATTATTCGTAACTCCACGACTCAAAAGCTAACCGGGTTATTTACCTCCCTATCCCTCAATGTTGCCTACAAATTGTGTTGAAATCCCAGAACAACACTGGTTGTTTAGGAGCCTCACCGGCCTGTTCAGCTTAGAACCTGTTTGGTGTCGAGTTACGTTACCAAGCACTGTCCGTGGAAAGTAGAGAGAGAGTTGCAGAAACCAGGTATTTATTGCATTATTTACCTGCTGCCACCAATTCGAAAAAGAAACGAAGATGCCAACTTGCCTAACACACTTCCTCTCTTCTCACGCCGCAGCGAGTCACACAGCCTACGAACAGCACAAGCTCAGCCCCCGGACATCAAGATGGCAGCCTCAAAGCCCAATGGCACTGGAAAGAAAACCAGCAAGAACGAAGGACTGCCGTGGCTAACGTAAGTACTCGTCCGGAATCCAGATTCATCTTGTACCAGATTCCTGAGCCTAACACATGGTCCACTAGAATCGCGTCGTCTAGACCCTTCCGGTTTGTGGTGGGCCCGGAAAAGCGCGAGTTTACAATCAGCTCGGCCCTGGTCGCACATCAATCGCCTACTCTCCGGACACTCGTCGAGGGCGACTTCAGTGAGGCCCGGGATGGAAGTGCCACGCTGGACTGGGTCGACGAGGACACCTTCACTCGATTCATACAGTATGCCTACACCGGAGACTACGACGCGGCCGACGATAATGTTGCGATCGCTCCCATTAACCGATCGGGGCGTCGGCCGGCCAAGGTACAAGAACCCGAACCGGTCAAAGAAGAACCGAAGCCGCGCAAGAGAGGCCTCAAGAGACCGGATCGGGGGGAAGGGCCCAAGAGACAACGACTGGAAGTGCCCGAGGGACAACGTCTGATGGAGCCCCCGATCATAGTTAAAAAGCCCCAAAAGGAGTGCAGTTACAAAACCATCGACCCCGATAACAGAAAGGGCGGAAAGCGCGGCCTCTGGGAGAGGTTCAGCCAGGCCGCCAACCGGTTTAATCAGGCCAAGTTCAGACTCACCACGAACCCCGAGGAAGATCACAGCCAAATCTTCCTCTGCCATGCCAAGATGTACATCTTTGCCGACTACTACGGCATTTTGGATCTCATGAACCTGTCTCAAAACAAGCTCGGCCAGGTGCTTTTCCCCTTCAAGCTCCGCGGCGAAAGAGTGGCAGACTTTGTCACATTGGTGCGGTACTGCTACGACGTGCCCGCGCCAACGGCGCTGCAGGAGTTCATCATGATGTACGCGGCGTGCAAAGCCGAGGTGCTATGGAAAGACGCCGGGTTTCAGGACCTCGTCGAGGAGACCCAGGAGCTGTCGTTTGCTTTGATCAAGCAGGTGATGGGGCCGCAGTAGGCCATGAACAGGGTTTCGTCCGAAAAACAATCTTGTTGGTAACGAGGTTCTTGTGATCAGGGGAGGGTACCTCGCCTACCTACCTAAGGTATCGAAGGTACTCTTGTCAGTGTTGGCATTTGGCGCCGGCGGGTGTGGTCACGGATGTCCATCGGATTTTGGGTTAGATGGGATGTTGCGTTGCCGTGATTTATCTCGTATTAGTTATCTTCTTGCACGCTGTTCTGGCTGCGCAACAATCACAAAACATCTCTCAACAGGCCCAGACTTCGAAATTATTAGGGGGACACGAGAGGGTCGGGCAGGCCTTGCTAGCCCCGTTTCACCCCTCCGCCCAACGGCGCACACCCCTTCCCTTGGGTGTGGCCTGCTTGGGCCGCTTGCGAGATCTTGGTTCGCTTGATTGGTGGCATTTCAGATCTTGGTTGATTCTCCGCCCACAAGATCGGCCCACATACCACTTCGGTCATGGTGTTGCAACTCTGGACCGGGGCACAGGGCCAAGGACCACGAGGAGCTCCACTCCCCAAAACATTCTAAATCTGTCAATGGGACCCGGGAGCCGGGTCGCGCTGGTCGAGGAGGGAGACAGTCCGTGGCTTGAGGTTGGGCTGCAGGCGATATACCTCAACTGATTTCCACAAACCACAAGCAAGTGCGCTAACAAAGTTCTAGTCCTAAGTGCCGCGGGAAATGGGGCTAGAACGAGCCTTGTGTCTTGCTGTGACTAGGTCATTCACCCCTTTCCTTCCTCCCTGAAGTCACGGAAGTCTTGCCTCCAGAGCTCGGAGACATGAAACACCGGGACATGAGTGGTGGAGAAAAGGGGGGAATTGACACCATTCGCGAACACGATGTCTATGACAACGGAAACAGCCGTGGTGTGGACCTCTGCTCCATTCCCAAGACTCCGGTATTCCGAACGTCAGTGATAAAAGGCAGACGAGAGCCATCCTCAAGGTTCAACCTCGAGCCTCAGCAACAAGTCAACAACCTACTTCGGAGTCACCCAGCCCAAGTTCATCAAGATGCACCGCTACGCCCTCCTCGGCCTGCTGCCGGGCGCCCTCGGGTGCCTCAACCCCAACACCAACGCCTGTGCCAGCTACATCAGCAACAACCAAGCGACCGCGTCTGCCTTCTGCGCGACCTTCACTCAGAGCGCCGTGACGGCCTCCACTGGTCTCCCCTCCTGGGCCTCCAACTGCGGCAACAAGCCGAGCCAGATCTCCAAGGAGTGCTCATGCTACTTCACCGGCGGCGCCGGCCCGGCACCGACCTCGACTAAGGCCAGCCAGCCCACCACGCTGGTGACCACGACGGCCAAGGTCACTCAGACTCCCGTCGGAGTCACCACCACGCTGCCCAAGAGCTCGGGTGCCGTGGCCACGAACAAGCCGATCAACGTGCCCGCCGGGGAGACGTATGACGGCGGCATGCAAAACTTTGATCGCTCGCGTATGTGTCTCGTGTTGAATTTTACAGTGTCGAATGAAAGACTGACAGCTACTAGCCCGAGTTTGCCAGGATCAAAGTGAGACAGGCGAGGCTGAGGCCATGTTTGTTCTTCAGGATGGCGCCACTCTTTCCAACGTACGTCTCAAACAATCCTAGAAAGTAGAGACAAAGCTGACCGTGTTTTAGGTCATCATCGGACCCAACCAAGCTGAGGGTGTCCACTGCAAGGGCACTTGGTAAGTCATCAGAACCACAATGCTGAGAAGTGCATTGCTAACTTCCAACAGCACCCTGATCAACGTCTGGTTCGAGGACGTTTGCGAAGACGCCATGTATGTCTACCATCCCACCCCTGAGCTCCAGCTCCTTGCTAACCCCCTCCAGCTCGCTCAAGCAACCCAGCGGCACCTCCAACATCATCGGCGGCGGCGCCTTCCACGCCTCGGACAAGGTAGTCCAGTTCAACGGCTTCGGGACGGTCAACATCAAGGACTTCTACGTCAACGACTACGGCAAGCTGCTTCGCAGCTGCGGCAACTGCAGCAACAACGGCGGGGCGCGGCACGCGGTGCTCGACAACGTGGTCGCCGTCGACGGCGGCGTGCTGTGCGGCATCAACACCAACTACGGCGACACCTGCACCGTCACCAACAGCTGCCAGGACGACGGCAAGAGCTGCGACCGCTTCACCGGCAACAACGACGGCGACGAGCCCCCCAAGATCGGCAGCGGGCCCGACGGCAAGTTCTGCAAGGTCTCGGGCCTGACTCAGACCTGCTGAGCGTTTTGGCGGTGAGCCAGTTGGGGGCGGGATTAGGCGGGACGGGGGCGCAGACGCGCGGTGGGGAGCAGGGGTTCTCTCGTACATACTTATCTAGCTGCACATACATACTCAAGTCGATATCTACATGTTGACATCAGTGAACGCAAAACCATTGCTGCCCGTGAATGTATTCGCCCCTCCCTGAATGTGGTCCTTCCTGTCCGTTGTTGGGTATACCTCCTAGAACCCAAACTATGCGCCCCTTAACCCCTTATTCGGTGAAGCACGCTCTAGAATCCTTTTCCACCAACCCCAAGCCGGGATGACGACCTTCTAACTCCAAACACCCTCCCCTCGGCTTCACATATTCCCATTTTTGGTAGCGGCTGACCGGGTGCGAGCCATCATCAACTGGTCGAACGACACCGGGGTGATGCGAACGACGCGTAACTCCAGCTCCTGTGTGTGAAAGGCAAATGCGAACGGAGAGAAAACGGAGAAGAAAGATACTAAGAGAATGAGGAAGGATAGGAAAACAGAGATTCTGCACCTCGATTCATCAAGGAGTCGGCGCCATCGGGTTGATGGGACTTGTTTTGCCAGGACCCCTATAGCTCCAGTGAAACATAGCCAACTGGACAAGATGGTGCATGAGAAATGGAAAGGGTAGTAGTAGGCAAACGAAACGGGCTGTGGTTTTGCTGTCACCTAGATTGAGGTCGTCTCTGAAGAATTGTTGCCGTGCTGATGCGGTGTTGATGTTGTGTAAGGAAAGGGGGTCCATGCTGGGGAGGTGGTTCCAGAGATGTGCTTAGCCTAGGTAGAGAACGCCGGATTTGTGTTTACCCACACCGGCCGTGTTTCTCCGTCCCGCTGCGGTTGATGTCGGAAGGACTGTAGGAGAATCTAGACATTGCAGTCGGAGGGTTTGTATTTTTGGTACCTGTGATGCTCGTTCGTATTAAAGCTATGGTTTGCGGCGGCACAGAGCAGACTGTTTGTTGGCTTTGGCGGCGCCCGTATCATGTGCCGCGCGGGGAATGTAGCCGTAACTGTTTGCATTGTTCAGACTTTCAGCTGTCGGATCTGCAACCCGTACCACCACAGACCCAGACCGAGGCATGCGCCGATACTCCCCTCGCAAAACACCCAATCACGGGTGACGAGTGGCCCAGCCCTCTGTACTTTCGGCCCTGATGCGGCGGAAATCCGGACGAGCCGGCAACAGAGCGGAATTGGGCGTACATAGGTGCAACGGCATTGCGTCTAGGCGATGCGGCACAGCGTGGCACCACATCAACCCAAGAGCGCGTGGTGAAACACAAACGGCGGGCTGACTACGCCGCAATATCGGATGTTTCGAGGAAGGGAGGTGGTAGGGCTGTGCCGCATCTCACCGTCCCATTGCAGAGCGGCAGAGAGACAATTGGAAATAGCTAAGTTTGGACGATGACTGTTGAGTACATACCGAGGTGGTATTGGCTGACCATGGCCGAAGTGATGAGCCGATACCTATTTTACTTATACCAACAAGGTCCGGGCAACGGCCGTGTCAGCATTGGGTTTTTACATTTCCAGCACTAACACATTATGAATCCCCCTGGACCCAACGTAATACCAGTCGATGATCTGGTTGATACCCTAGCCAGCATCAAGAAGACGGCGTTCAAGGTGGGTACATTCTTCGCAACACGCGTAATGACACGTCGTCTAACGCGCGATGCACAGGCCGTAGTGGCCGTTTTCTTTACCTTAGCAATCCTTTCCGTTCTCGCAAGGGCAGGAGTCCGCCTCCACGCACGGCGAGCCCTCGCCCTAGATGATTATGTCCTTTTTACAGGAGCCATCCTCCTCTCAGGGGGCATCGGGTTCCTGTACAGCATCTGCAACAATCTCTACTTGTCGTCAGCGGTTCGGCTGGATCCATCCATAATCTCTCGCCTCGACCCCGGGAGAGAAACCGAACTAATCGACGTGGTTCAAGGATACCATTCTTTCGTCGCCATTGCTTGGACAGCAATACTTTTGGTCAAACTTTCTTTCCTGGCCTTCTTCCGACGGCAGATCGGAACGGCCCCCGGTATCCAGCGGTATTACTGGGGTGTGGTTGCTCTGACTACAATATCATGGGTGCTCTCCCTCGTAGAGCCGTTCATCCTATGTCCCGACCCTGGTTCCGGATCGTGTAGGGACTCCGATCCCATCCTCCGCTCCGCCCTAACCGGCCTCACCACCGGCCTTGACCTGCTAACAATCATCCTGAGTACGCCGCCCCTTTCCCTCCATCCTCGGTTCCGCCCTTCCCCCTTTCCACCCCCTTTCTCATGTTCTCAACCCCCTCCCCCCTTAGATCCCACAAGACCCCCTCACCCCCCCCTCCCTAAAAGGCTAACCTCCCCCAAACAAACCAGTCACCGCCATCGCCATCGTCCCAACCATCCGACGACCAACACCCCCCCTCCCCAACACAAACAATAGCCCCTCACCCTCCCCCGACTCCCACGTCGAACCGACCAACGCCCGCGCCAAACCCAAACCCAAACCCACCCCCGCAACAACCGCAACCGTCCTCACAACCCTCGCCCTCGCAACAGCCACATTCTCCGCCGTCCGCGCCAGTAGATCCGCCGCGGCCGACCCGCTCCAGACAGCCTTCTGGCTGGCGCTGCAGGCGAGCACCGCCGTGCTGGCGGCGTCGGCGACCGTGTCCGGTTCATTGGGAGGTGGCTCCGCCGGTGGGGGGGATGGTTCTGGTTATGGTTATGGTTATGGGGGAGGGGATGTGGATACGGATGGTGGTGAAGAGGTTGGGGGTGGAGAGGGTGGGCTGGCGGAGCAGGAGCGGGGGCAGGGGCAGGGGCAGGGGCCGAGGGTGTATTACTCGGTTTGGGACCGGGTGAGGTTGTGGTTTGGGGTTGGGGAGGGGGGTGGGGATCGGGGTAGGGCTGGGGAGGGAGATGTTGAGGCGGGTGGGATTCAGGGGGGCAGGGTCGAGATGCTGGGGATGACGGCGTTAAGGGGGTTTATGAAAAGAGTTAAGGGGCATGAGAGGGGGGTGGTGACGGAGGTGTCGCAGCTCGATACTTTGGTTGGGGAGGACGACGGGGTTCGACCGGTAAAGGAGAAGGCCGAGAGGGTGAGGGGGGAGGTCCGCCAGGTTACTGCTTCCCCTGTGCCTCGGAACCCGCCGATCGCATATCACTACCCGGTAAGAGTTCAAGTTGTTGCTTGCAGAGGTCTCGAATGCTGACTGAATCTCTCACATCGCAGATGTGGGGACCGCAATCCACACATGGCCAGATCACAACGGAGGAAGAGATTCGAGCAGGGCAAGATCTGATATGGCTCAATCCGTCATTACAGGCGAGCCAAACAAGCTTTGGAGGCGCAACATTGCATGAACGAAGAGGTTCGGAACGGAGGGGGTCGGAACGGAGGGGGTCGGAGCCGGCGAACCACATCGCACAAGTTGGCACTACAAATAGTAAAATGTAATGGCACACGTCTTGGAGAACGATGCCAGTTCCCATCCACGGTTGTATGCTCCGGCACACGTGCTTCCCGTCTACCCTCAAGCCGAGTAAGGGAGATTCGGGAACAGCACGGCGCCAGAGCCGTAACAATAGCAAGTCTAATACGGTAGTCCACAAACCCCTGCCGTCGCACCAAAGGCTAGGGACTCTCTCGTAGGTCTCAAGATGCTACCGACTTAGGTAGGTAGTTTAGCCCCGCGCCGCCGTTGTCGGGGCAGTCGTGTCTGTCTCCCTCGTCTTCAGTCCAAGGGCGCGAAACCGCTGCTCTGATCCCCGGCCGAAAGCGAAGAACTTGCCGAAAAACTCCAACGTGGCATGGTTGACTTCCTGATTCGTCGTCCGCAGCTTCTTGTTGTTCATGTAGCCAAGAAGGAAGATGATATCCCCACCGTCCCGCCTTCGCCTAACTTGGTCACCACGCGCCGTATGCTCTGCCCACGACCCGCACTTCTCGTTGAGCTGCAGCGCCGGCTTCAGGAGGCGCACGCTGTTGATCAGGATAAAGCTGGCACCGGAAGTTGGGTACGGTTGCCGCATATTCGGCGACGACTCCCACGTGGTTACCCTGTACCTATGCCCGTTCGGGCCCCTGTACCAAACCGTAGTCCTGCCCATAGACTTGTACGTCCCGAAATGATCGTTGTCGATGGTTGCGAACCTCTCAACCACCCTATAGGCACGACCGGAGGGCACTAATAGATCGATCTCAGAGGTGCGGCGCTTTAATCCTAGGAGCTGGAGAGCAACAACGACGACATATTCGGTGCCCCCGAGGACTCGAGACAAGCCAAAGGCGAGGTCTGGGAGGAGGCCTTCCGGCATCGGGGTGCGGTTCATAGTTGGCGGTCCTTGGGCATCCTGAGGAACAGGCGGGGGCCTGGTAGACACGTTGATCGATCTCGACCCAGGCGCGGCGATACCTAAGTCGGCAGTACGGTCTGGTCCATTTCGCTTGCTCATGTTCTTGTTTTGTTAGCTAATGTCCCAATTGAGATGACTTAAGAAGGGCAGAGACCTAAGTTTTAGACATACGTATCGTTATTGACGGGCTAAACAGATAAATTCTAGTTCGAAGGTAAAAGGAAGAACATAAAATCGTTGATTTGATCTGGTTGTCAGTACACAGCTCCGGGTAGGGCTAACAATAAGGCTAGGTAATTTATAGTGAATAATTACGTCCAAATCCTACCTCTAACTTCTCATCAACAACGCTGAAACCAACTCAGAAGGATTGTAGCCAAAGGCAGGACCATGATGACGCTCTAAACTGTTACTCAAGGACGCTGCCGCTAGCGAGAAGGGCAACTGCCTGTTGAACGAGCAGGATCATGAGGATGCAGGAAGCTTAGAGCCAACGCCGCAGGGCTGGGTCGGTCTGGCCGTTGCCGCGGCCATGCCAGCCAGTTCCGACCTACGCCCACCTCCACCCACCTACGCCGCAGAGATTCACGTATGTATGTAAATCGGTTTGGCCGGCCTTGTGGTCAATGGAGGCAGTGTAGGTAACCGAAGCAAACGAACGACATGCTTTCTTTACACGAGCCCGTTTCTTTTTCCGTGAAAGAAAGATGTATTCAGTCTCCATCCCATCCACTATCCTTCGGGCCTAGCATCCAAACCCGGACATGATATTGGGAAGCTTCCCGTGCCGTCCTTCCGTCACCGCTAAGTCAAGGCCGGGTTAGGAGAGTGAAGAGGATGACTTGCCGTGTGCTTTGAAGTGATTAAGTCGGGGAGGACCTTGAATGTTCTCATCGATAACACAACTCACAGGCTAAATCAAACTAACCTCGGAACTGGGACAACGTCATTGGATCCGGAACTCCGGGCGCTGTCCTCGGCCGCATCTCGCTAAGCGGCCGTTATCCGAGCCGCTTTTTGCTTTCTCCGTTACCCAGCAAAGTTCCGAGTCCCCGCACTGCAACTCCATGCAAGTCAACATGCAGGTGACGGCAATTTGTGTCTCGTATCCGATATGCGGCCCAATCAGCAACCGCATACTTGAGCATCACACAGAAAATCGTGCCAAATTGGCTCATATTGGCATTTATCGCAAATGCTGCGTTTCAGTTTCCCCAGACCCGAATGTTGATCCTCCGGAACAGTACCGGCCGCTGCCGAACAAGTGCCGTCCCGTCGCCCGATGCATCTGGAGGCTTAAGTGTATAAACTCGGCCACCCTCGCACGTCGACTCTATTTTTCTGATTGGTCCTTGTGCGCTCGTCCATGCACAATGGTCTCTACGAGGGGGGTGGGCGAGATATGGATGTTTGTGACAAGGTGGAAATCTCCGCGGGCAAAAGGTCATCATGCCACGGCTTTGCAGAGTGTTGTTCGTTGTTCATTACGAAGACCCCGCAACGCGAACCAACCGCTCTGAAACAGGCCGTGCTGGGAAACTGGCTTCACAGGCGCTCATAAAACCGAATATGGTCCCCTCTTGTTCAGAGCGAGCAAGAATAGCAAGCCCAAACGGACGGCTGAGTTCTCCCTTGAGGTGGTACCTCCCTAGAGGGATGTTGGTGATAGGGTAGCCTGTGAATTGCGGAAAGTCAGTGGGATAACATTCGTGGATAGGAATGGAATATATGCCAAACCCTACGGTTAAAGAGAACAAACTGGAGTAGTAGGGTTTGGGACCTATGTTCGTTGCCTACCAGAAGTGGTGCTATTATTCCAGCAAGCGGGACTATATCTATGGGAGCGATCACAAGGTCGAGATCGCTGTCGTTGAGGGCTCTGGCCAGCCCATCTCTTCCAACTCGTAGCATATGGTCCAAGGGGCTTCCCTATACTTTCCTTGTTTGCGGAGAGGCCCTGATGCTCTCGACTTGCCGTGGTTGGGGCGCGCCAACTTCGTCTCTACGAATCCCAACGGATTTCCGGCACATCTTGGCCGACCGTCTGTGAAATCCACCCCCGTTCACTTTGAAGCAGTGTGTCGTTGAGCTCGATGACGGTGAGCTCGATGACGGTGAGCTCGATGACGGTGAGCTCGATGACGGTGATCTCGATGATAATAATGACGGTACTGGCTCGATGGTACCGGCTTGATGTGCATAACCCACCAAGTCGCCGAGCGATTCGCGTTGTCAATGATTATTGTGGAGGAGCTGTATAGAACAAAACAGAAAAACCCAAAGTCACCAGAACGCCACTAGACCTTGCTGGTGGTTCATTTTACCGTTTGCTTAGCTCCCTTGCCACCCTCCTTGCTCACCCTACAATAACTCACTTACGGGGCGGCGAGGAAGCGGAATCGGACGCGCTGTACTCGTCCCAGCTGACATACGACGCACTTTGCAGTCCGGGTACATTGAGATCAGGTGGGCGGACTCTCTCTGCTTCCACCTGCACTCCGTTTTAGAGCTAGGGCTCTTGTATCTCTTCCGTTGCCCGTCCTTCGACGGGTCTCGACTTCGCAGAGCCGGATCGTTCGGTCACGCAGCAGAGGAACCCCTTTCCCGGGGAAGGCATCCGGGACCGCCACGAAATGCACAACGCCGCAGAAATCAGCTCACCACCCACCAGCGATGAGACAGGATGCATGGCAGCCAAACGCGTTTCAGACGCCGGTGACCGGGCAAAGCCCGCGGAGCAGGACACGGACCCCATCACTTACCTCGACGCGTAGCCGTTGGCCATCTCTCACGCGACTCGCCTCGCCTGGTCTGGCCTGATCTGATCACCTCTTACTGGGTAAGTACACGCTACTCTGCTTTGAGGGGGAGTGACCGGGCCCTTTCTCAGCTCAGTTTCGGTGTGGGGCCCCACATCCCGCAACAGGTCAGAGGGCGAGAGACGCTGACGACGGAGCCTGCAGGAACAATTGGCATATTTGTGGTTCTCTGGCCGAGAGACTACCAACAAGTGCGAGCAGCGACGCGTTGAAGTGAAAGGGGGAAAAGTGGACGACGGTTATCGGCACTGCACTCACCTTGGCCGGGTACAAGGCCCTCGGTATTTTCACCGCCCGGGCCATCCTCCCCTTCCGCGTTCTCGTTCTCACCGACGACGGCTTGGTTTCGCCACGATGTGTGCCAGATTCTGACCCGCTCCAATCACCCACCAGCCCAAAAAGCAGCGGTCGCTATATTTGGCAAAGCACCCTCTCCTCCCATTCACGCAGTCCCAAGTATTTGGTCCCTCGTAACCTACCCTCCACTACGTTCACGTCAATGAAACAACCCCAAAGCCAGAGGAATGTCAGAGGATGGGAGAAAGCGTCTCAGGTCGGGTTTGTGGGGGCGGGGCAGCTGTGCGTGCGTGCTTGAGAAATTGCAGCGGCTGCAAGTGATGAGATCGCGGTCCGGTCTTCGGCGTTGCCCCATGTCGTTTGTAATCGGCCTCGGCGTCGCGAACGGCCCGATCGGTAAGATGACGGTGGTGGCTGGAGTTTGAAGGGCTTCTTCCAGTTTCTTCCCAAGCCAATACGCGGAAGCCAGCGGAAGGGAACCGGGTGGCCAGGGCCCTTGTCTCTTTGACGGATCTGAGATTGGGGCTGCGGGAGCGAGATTTGGAGATTCCGATTCTCGTGGCGTGTTTGGTCAGCTCAACCCAGCTCAGTCTCACTGCAGCAAAAACCAAGGACGCCACTGTGGCACGGCGATGTTGACGAAGTGAGTTTTGTTGAAGATGCGCGGACCTTGTCGCTGCACACGCATGTCACCACTGCAACTTGCGCGCATGCCCTGGTCCAAAGTTCCTCGCTACCGTTGGGGCAAGTTGCGGGCAAAGAGAGGGAAGAAGCGAAACCGACAGGGACGGACGAGAAGCTCGGACGATGTCACGATATGCGGGCCTCGGAGGTGGGGCCGGTGAGGACGATCCTGGCTTCCCTGGGGGGATCCCGGGCAGAATCCCGGGCGCATCACGTGTGATGGTCCCTGATGGAATCAATGAGGATGAAAAAAAGAGTGGCAACATGGAATCCTTCTCCAACCCCTCTCGACTCTGCTGCAACTCGTGCAGCTTGACGGACAATTTTGGGCTGTTCACCGCCGCGACACAGGTTCCTTGTTCGCGCAAGGCTTGTCGAGCTCGGAGCACCTTGAATCCATCCCCGTAATCCAATTAGGTCATGTTTTGCGCCAAAGTTGGAAATTGCTAGCGGAGCATTCTCAAACACCATCTCGCGTCGTCGTGTTGGCGCCGTATTTGGTGCGCCACAAAAACCAGGGCTAGTGAGAAGGACTTTTGAATTTGGGAACTCAAAGGGAGGTTGATGGAAGGGATTCTCTCGTTATAGGCGGCCCCGATGGAGGTCCAGACCACCTCTCGTTGTTGAGATGGGGAGAGGCCCGGGCTTGGATGAAGCCGGCTCCTTGGTCGCCCCGCATCACCCCGGACTCCCGAGCCATCATCCATGGAGACGGGTCCTTGGTGTGCTTGGGCTGTTGCACAGCACAGACCGCCGGCCCGGGCAGCCATGCGCGCCATGTCCCAAACCCGTGTGATCCCCCGGTCCCCGTGCACGTCCTGCGTCCTGCCCTGGCACACACTTCTCCTCGCTCGGGAAATCCTGAAGGCAGGCACGCAGGGTTGCACGGACCCCAGAGAACCTGGAACTTTGCTGAGGAGTCCCGGTGTGGGGAAGGAGGGGAAAAGATGCTGCAGCGAGCGAGCGAGCGAGACTCGCTGTTGGCCAGCGCATTCGTTACGGAGCTCGGGCCTGCAGCATCTGGGCTCCATTTGGCAACTGCTCCGCCGCTCTCCAGACGTCCTCCAAAACCGAACAAGTTTCTCGGCTAGCCGACCCTCCTTCCCTCTTCTCGCAGCAGCAGCGCACAGCGAGGAGAATTCGGGGACTCGGCCAGCTGTGATTATGGCGGGACCCACCTACCAAGCTTCACAGCCCAATTGGCCTCCCACAGAACACGAATTGCCTACTGGGCTCGGTTAGCATGTGTGGGTGTTGCGCTCGAGCCCTCTCTCCCCTTCGTCACATCGCTGCTGCTCGTTCAACGCTGCCGCCCCCGCTTCCGCTCCTCCCCCGGATTTCCCAGCCGCTGCCAGGGTTCTGCAAGCCCTTTTTAAAACTTTGCACAACCCGGTTCGCCATGTGGGCTGCATCAACCGATCGTGGTATATTTCATTTCAGTTAATTCCCTCGCCGCCTGCCCGCTGTGCTTCCGCATCCCGTTCCCTGCTGCCCTTTGTGTCGGGAACCTTGGCTGCGACTGCGACCATGAGCGCGCCTCAATCATGAGCAGCGACGACAGCGGAGCCGGCCATGTCTACCAGAGCGACAATGGAGATGCCTCCATCTTCTCTCAGACCCTCGTCGCCACCTGGGTGCTGACCGTCGCCGCCGGCGCATTCCTCATCGTCCGCCTGGCTTGCCGCCACCGTTTCTCGAAGTTGTGGTGGGATGACCTCGTCCTCTCGATATCATGGGTACGTCTGGGAATCGGCATGGGATATGTCATGCGTGGCAATGGGAGATGAGTTGGGACGGCGTGAATCCGATTCTAACCCCCCTGGACAGTGCATCCTCCTGGTCGCCGCCGCCCTCCTCACCCGCACCATCACCTCCGGCTACACCACCGACGATGAGAAGCGCCGATTCTTCCTCTACCAGAACACGTCCACCTCGATGACCACCCTCGCCACGGCGTGGACCAAGGTCGCCTTCGCCATCACGCTTTCTCGCATCGTCCGGAACCGAGCCCTCCTCTACTTCCTCTGGTTCGTCATCGTCACAGCAAACTTGATCCTCATCCCCGGCATGCTGTCCATCTGGATTCCTGCTTGCGAGGACCCGCGCGCCATCTTCCGACCGCAACACGCGAAGTGCTTCAACCTCATCTACCTCCAATACCTCGGCGGAACAACCATTGGTACGAAGACCCGACCCGGATTTGTGAGGAGGAAGAACAGAGGCTGATTCTGTGATTAGTGTACGGCGGCGTAATCGACGTCCTGCTGGCCTTGTTTCCCTGGTTTATCATCCGAAAACTGCTGCTCGAGACGCGAGAAAAGTGGGGTCTCACACTCGCCATGAGCCTCGGCGCCATCACCGGTACCATCGTCATCTTCCGCGCATTTTACCAACTCAAAGAAATCGACAATAATTACCGTACGCGCAAAACCCAAGGGAATCTTCAGACAGGGGTAGCTAACCGTTGAGCAGATTTTATGGTCTTCATGTCCATCTTCAACTTCCTCGAACCGGGCGTCACCATCATTGCCCAGGCCATCCCCATGTTCCGCGTCCTTGTCGTCAACGTGAAGAGGGGCTCGAACGCCGTCCGCATAAGCTCACCCACGGGAGCCCAGGGGAGCGGGAGTGGGTCAGCACCCATCCGAAGCTGGAATAGCAAACGACTTAACCCCCTAGAAGTCGATGAAGAGTTGATGCGCGTGCGCCTCGGCCCGGGTGGCCGCATCGTTCACGTGTCAGGGCCGGAGGGTTCGGATGACGATCTGAAAATTTATGACGGCAGAAAATAGCAAAAACACAAACAATGATACCATTTTCCTTTTTTGTTCAAACACAAACCGCCCCACATCCATGCTCGTATTGTGTCCCGCAGCTCACTGACTCGTCGTCGGACCTCGTTCAGGGGGGTTCTGCACGGTCCATCCGCCGTCCGTCCAATTGCCCTGTCCTGTTACCTTCATTATCTCAACCGCCGGCGATGCGGCCGACAAGGGTCAACGCAGGAGGAGATGGGATTGGCTAGCCCTGTCCGGGTTCCCAACGACACGCGGGAGCTCGGATTGAAACCGACCAATGCTATCATCAACGGGCTGAACACCATGAGCCCAGGGGCCGTGACGCGGACCTGGGGCATGAATGCAATGGTTTTCGACAGCACTTAATAGAAAACGAAGCATAAGTATGAGGCCCTACCCGCCATGGTCGGTTATGGGAGATGTGACCAACAACCCGAACCTCAACGCGTAGAGTTTACACTTTGGACAACGCTCGTTTACCGCCAGAACTGCAAGCCTCCAATTCACTATGAGGTGTCTTCCCCTAATCATCGCGCTCGCAGCGCCACTGGCTGCGGCATCCGCATGCCGACCTCCAAAGTGGACAGTTGGACAAACCGTCCACACCTCCAGCGGCCCCGTCGAGGGACACGCCGCATCCACGGCCTCCGAGGTGTCCGAGTACCTCGGAATCCCCTATGCTCAGCCGCCCGTAGGAAGTCTTCGATTCCAGCCACCGGTCCGCTACACCGGGGAAACCAAAATTAGCGGCAAGAGCTTTGTAAGTGGCAGCTTTCTGACCTAGACCGCTGGCCGCGCTAACAAGTGAGAACCTAGGGCGCCGCGTGCTTCCCATCTAACATTAGCGCCTTCGACGCCGACTTCCCCCAGGAGCTCATCGACGTGTACGGCATTACCGAGGTCGGCCGCCGCATCCTCGCAACTATCACGAACCCCGGAATCCCAGTGAGCGAGGATTGCCTAACTCTAAACGTCTGGACCAAGCCGCAGACCGGCGAAAAGCGCAAGGCGGTCATGGTTTACATCCACGGCGGCTCTTTTGTTTCGGGTAACATCACGCCGCTCTTCGATCGAGAAACGTTTGTCCTGACCATGCGCAGGTAGCTCCGCCGTGCCAGCTTACAACGGCCAGTTCTTCGCCGACCAAGAGGACATTGTCCTGGTGACTATCAAGTAGGCGTCCTCGCGTACCGTCTTAAGCTGGCCCTTTGCTAACAGCTCACCCAGCTACCGTCTCACTTTCTTTGGCTTCCCCGGCAACCCCCACGGGCACCAGAACCCCGGCCTACTGGACCAGCGTATGGCAGTCGAATGGGTCCGCGACAACATCGCGTCCTTTGGCGGCGACCCAAAACGCATCACGCTTTTTGGCGAGTCCGCCGGCGGTGCCTCCGTCGACCGTAAGTTACAACGGCCCAACGCACTACCCTAGACAAGCTCGTCCAGCGTCAACGCCCCCCGTCACCTCCCCCGGGATTACGCAACTGACCCCTATCAGACTATTCCTTCGCCTGGCCGCACGACCCCATCGTCGCGGGACTTATCTCCATGTCTGGTACAGCTAGTGGCATCGCCCCCCGATCAGCCGCGCTGGCCACCGAACTCTGGTACAACACAACCACTGCTCTCGGCTGCGGCGACGCCACCACCCCTCCCTCCACCCTCCTGACCTGCATGCAATCCGCGCCCGCCCCCTCCCTCATCGCCACCCTCCTCAACACAATCGACTCCCCCAACTCAGTCCCCTACTCCCCCACCATCGACTCAACCCTCGTCTTCCCCCACCACCACCCCAGCAACAACACCACCAACACCACCAACACCACCCACCCCACCGCCCCCCTCCCCCTCCTCATCGGCACAACCGACAACGAATCCGGCCTCTTCCGCCTCTTCGTCCCGCCCCAACCATCCCTCACCCCCGCCCAAGAAACCACATTTTGGCACCACCAGAACCAGCACCGCTTCGTCTGCCCCGCGGCAGCCCGCGCCAACCACTCTTCTCACAGAGACGGCAACCCGACCTGGCGCTACCGCTGGCACGGCGTGTTTCCGAACACGGCGCTCTCGACCACGCCCCCGAGCGGCGCGTACCACGACTCGGAGGTCGCGGTGCTGTTTGGGACGGTGGATGAGGGGTTGGTGGGGAATACGAAGGGGCAGGGGGAGGTCGGGAGGTATATGAGGGGGGCGTGGGCTGCGTTCGCGAGGGACCCTGCAAAGGGGTTGGGGCGGTATGGGAGGGAGTTTGATGGGGTGGGGGGTGGCATGGGGGAGGGATGGCCGAGGTATGTGGCGGGGGAGGAGACGTTGGTCAGGCTTGGGTGGGAGGGGAGGGCGGGGGCGAGTGTGGTGAGGGGGGATTTGTATGATGATGGGTGCTGAGGTTGGTTTGGAGGGGGAGAGGGGCGGGAGGATGGGGGATGAGGCAGTAGAGAGAAGGGGTGGGTTGGGAGAAACAGGTGGTGGTGGGCTTGGTTGGGTTACTTATGTACCTATTCTGTTTTAATATTATCAGATCTTCGCTTCCTACTCCCCTCGGCCCCGTCCTGTGGCTCCCTTCTCATGGACCAACCAGATCTGATGGTAAACACACGAAGAAGAGCTTGCGACCTAGGCTTCAAGGTCCAGTATCTCGTATGCTGTCATTGCTTGTTAGTCAACCCAATCCCAATGCAAGAAATTGGCCCCTCGCCGCCAATAGTAAACATCATTTCTCTCCCCACGCGTTAACACGTGCGCTCGTGTCTCTCTTTAGCCTCGATTTCTAAGCAAAGGCTTCCTCGACGCGTGTTGACGGGCAGATGCTGACCCGCCTAGACGACTTCGTCTGGATTTCTAAGCGCCAAGGCGCCCCTATGCTACCCCTGAACGCAGACGACGAAACCTCAAGACAGATTAACCTACATACAATGACGGCATATAAGGCCTAAAACAGACAGGTCGAACAAATAAACGGCTCGGCGTGAGTCACTTGTGGTCTTGGCCTAAAAAGATTACTGATCTATGCAAGAAACGACGAGGCTGAAGCCATGCATCGCAAGGCTGGACCATGGTGTTGAGGGCATGCGTTGAGCTGGCAGCCGAGGAAATGGCTTGCTTGGATCACGATGAGGGCCAGAGAACTGTATCACATCTCTATCTCGCTCTGAGGTGAAGAGCCAGCTATAAGATCCCCATCCCGCCACCTCTCTGTCCTCCTGTCTTCACCACAACCACCAACAAGCAACCTCAGCAACACTACCACCACACTCACCGAACCGACAACCACTCCCAACCCACTCAAAATGGCCACCATCACCTCCATCGGCATCGGCAACATGGGCGCCGCCCTGGCCTCAGCCCTCCTCAAATCCCCCACGCCCCCTAACCTCACCATCTGGAACCGCACGGCCGACCGCCCCCACGTCAAAGCCCTCATCACCGAGGGCGCCGTCTTCGAGCCCTCCCTGACCTCCGCCATCGCCCGCAGCAACACCATCCTGATCTGCCTGCTCGACTACCCCTCCATCACCACCGCGCTGGCCCCCGTCCTCGAGGAGACCACGACGACCACCACCACCCCTCACCCCCTAGCCGGCAAAACCATCATCAACCTCACCAACGGCACGCCCAACCAGGCGCGCGCCATGGAAGCCACGCTCAAGCGGCTCGGCGCGGCGGCCTACTTCGACGGCGGCATTATGGTCACGCCGCAGCTGGTGGGCACGCCGGCGTCGTTCGTCATCCTCAGCGGGGAGAGCCAGGCGCGGTTCGACTCCGCCGACGAGAACGACAACGAGGGCGGTGGTCATGTGGCGGCGTTGCTGAAGCCGGTGGGCGCGGTGCAGTACGTGGCGGCGGACGCCGGGGCGGCGTCGCTCTATGATGTGGCGGCGCTGACGGCCATGTATGGAATGTTTATGGGTGCGTTTACGGGGATTGCGCTGCTGCGGAAGCAGAAGCGGCAGGAGCAGGTGCAGGGTGGGGTGGGGGAGATGGTGGCGGCCAAGCCGGCGGTGGATTCGGTCATGGTGCCGGTGCTGACGGCGCTGGTGCCGTATGTGAGCCTGCTGGCGGATGGGGTGGATAAGGAGGATTGGATGGAGGACTTGGGCAATCCGCTGGCGATGCAGGCGGCGGGGATGCGGAATATCCTGCAGACGTGTGAGGAGGAGGGCGTGGATGGGACGGGGATGCGGTTTATCTCCCAGCTGATGGATCGTGCGGTGGAGGAGGGCTTTGGCGCGGGCGGCGTGGCGACTATTGCGAAGTACCTGTTCAAGTGAGCGTTGGGTGTTTTCATAGGGGGTTGCCTGCGAGACTCGGGCTCATGCTCCTTGTTATGCTGGGTGGAAAATAGTAGAGGGATTCCGAGCTTGCCTGTTGATAGCTTTTATCACTATATACCCCCCGAAAAGGACACCACTGTGCATAGTCGTCGTTTTACGCTCCCAGATCGATATTCCCCCGCTTTGTCTCGCCGAAGTTATCTAGGTACAGTACCTGAAAAGTGTGATAACTGAGACTACAACAACACGCCATAGAATGCAACATCGCACGCCGCTATACGAATAATTCTGCTACCCGCTGGTCGCGTTTATGGGCCCTACCGATCTGTCCTCCGTTTCATGGGTTTCGAGCAGGTCGGCGTGGCCAAAGTCGACATGGATACCCAGGTCCGCCGAAACAAGACTCTTGAACTCGGCTGGGAGCACATTAGAGAGATCCTTTGGGTTAAACTTCCTGCGGGGAGACTTACTCAGCGGGGCCGGTTCACGTCGGCGAGACGGCGGCACCACCTTGACCGAAGTGCTCCAAGGCGTCGTCAGGAACGCGGGACCCTCGATGTCATCATCCGGCCGGAAGATGGACGCATGCATGGTGTATTCGCCGAGATAGTTAATCTTGACGCCCTTGAAAATGAAGTGGATGTTTCCCTTCCCATCGTGGTCCGCAAACAATGCTCGGGCCGACGGGATTGGGCGGTCAGTGTGTTCAACCACAGGACTCGGATCGACAACTTTGAGGGCGCTGTTTTGGTAGTAGATAGCGACAGTGGCTTTGTACCGCTGCAGAGACGAGCCCATCTTTCCCGGCGGGTTGGAAACCGTGACAACGAATGGCCGGAGCTTCTGGAAGATCTCGACGTTATCCTGGGGCTGGATGAGGAATGTGGCTTTCGAGTCATGCACTCCAGGGACAGTCTCGCAGAGCGAGGTATCAACTAGGGCCAACTCCTCTGGTGTAGACGCCTTTGCGGTCTTGACCTCGGTTGAAGCCCGGTGTCCTTGGACTGAGTTGGACCTGGAGCGGCCTTGTTGATTTGTGGAAACGCATTTTAGCCTCACCATATTGATGAAGCGATATCAAAATCAAGATAGAAGTAGTTGGAGGGCGGCGGTTGTTTAGCGATCTTTATCTTAGGAGTGTAGCATCTGCCTGTCATCAAATACAATGGGTTTACAAGATAGATACGGAAAGTACCTCAGTCTCAGTTCCAAGGTGTAATACCCGGAAGGAAAGGTTGACCAGGGAAGAAGGAGCAAGAGTACCTCCTCTCGTACACACAGTGGGCTGATGACACTTTCCTGATCGTTCTCTCCACCACCTTTCGGTTGGCGCTGACCAAAAAATGGAAATGTTCTGTGTCTGAACGGTCGAGGACATATTTTGTATCTGACAATTGCACCATTTCGGTCGTATAATGTCGTATTAACCTTTGCCTTTGCGTGCTTCCGGGAGCTTGTCAAATGCAGCATTCGCGTCATACCGTATTAATTCACAGTTGGGTGCGTGCAGTGGTCTCGTGGTCTGATTTTCACTTCGCACTGTTAGTGCTGTTGTAAAGGTCCTGTTGGAAATCCAACAGCTAGAGTAACAGTACTTCTAAACAGGGGTCTAAATGTAGTACGACAAAGGTCACTGTATAGAGGGCATCCGAATCAACCGTAATCGTATTGTCTGAAGAACTTATATATATCTAGAACAAACGGAGGGCCTCCTATACCCCCTGAAAACTCTGTACCTAGGCGTTAATTATAGGCCCAGTAACCTCTATATCGTTAACCTACTATACTATAACCTCTAGCTACTATCTATTATATATTTTATATAATATACCCCCCTAGATATAGGTATATTATAGCTATATCTAAACCTTTAGTAATATAGCTATTTGTCACGGTCATGGTCGCATGCAGGGCTATGTGGGGGCTGCGCGGGAAGCGCCCCAAGCCAATCATTAAGAATGGGCCTCCGGCCAATCAGCAGAGGAACGGAGGGAACGACTACCGTTCCTCAGGTGCCATAAGGAACGAAGGGAACGGCTACCGTTCCCTATGTTCCTAGGGAAAAGTACGAAGGTACCTATGGACTTAGATAGTATATAGTCACTCGTTCTGGAGAGCTCTGGGAGTTCTCCAGTTAGCAATCACAACTACAGTTCGCTACAAGATCGGGAGCCTACTGTTGAGACAAGTCTTTGTTGTGCACCTTTTGGCTGCACCGAACCTAAGCACCCTTGAGAGAATACCTTCGACCGATACTGAACCCTAACAGGACGGGTCCAGAGACAGGTTCGTCACACGTTGCTAACTCCCTTTGATCTGTTACAGTTCAGGCTCGAAGGTAAAACGATATGGCGACTCAACCGACGCCGGGCCAGATCACGGCCGCGCTTCAGAGAGTCACCGAACGACTCGATGAAACTGAAGAAGAGCTTGCGAAGACCAAGGCCAGCAACGCGGCATTGGCAGCCCGACTTGCGGCGACCGAGGTCCACACCAAGGACCCGGCCAAGACGAAGGTCAAATTGGAGCAACCCGAGAAGTACGGGGGCGACCAGGAAGCCTTGCCAGGTTGGATCACGGCGATGCGGAACTACCTCGACCACAACTCGCACCAATTCGCCACCGAGGAGTCCAAGACCAGATACGCCGCCACCCGACTCAAGGACAAGGCACTCAAGTGGTTCACGGGAACACTGAGTGATTTCCTCGGCGGAGCAATCCACAAACCCTTCACCAAAAAGGTCTTCGAGAACTACTCCGAGTTCGAGAACGAGATTCAGAAGGTGTTCGGCGACAAGGACGAGAAGTTGCACGCCCAGGAACGGCTAGGACGGCTGAAGCAGACTAGGTCAGCCACCGCCTACGCCACGATTTTCCGACAAGACTCCATGAAGGCAGAGATAGACGACGAGGGGCTGATGCACCTGTTCTACGGAGGGCTGAAGGAGGAGGTCAAGGACGAGCTCTACAAGGAGAGCCGACCCGACACGCTCGACGAGTACATCGCCATGGCTGTCAAGATTGACGACCGACAGTTCGCCCGCAAACAACAGAAGAAGGGCAGCGAGATTCAGCGATCCCCAGGCTACCACAAGCCCAACGACAAAAAGAAACGCCAGCACCAGAGCACGTCATACGGCACGCACTCGGGACCCATGGACGTCAGCGCTGCCCAGGCACAGTGGGCAGGAAAGAGAGATGGTGCCAAGGACAAATCAGGCATCACCTGTTACAACTGCGGAAGGAAGGGTCACTTCAAACGTGACTGCCGCAGCAAGAAAGAGTGGAGACCGGTTCCAGGGAAGGAAGCTGCCACCATCGACCAAGACACGGTCGGAAGAAGAACCCGGTTTCTGGAGGTCGCAGCCGCCAGCTACACGCAGGACGACCTCGAAATCGACATTGACCGAGTCATCGAGCAGGACGATGAACTCACCGACTCGGATCAAGAAGACTTGAGGAGCAGCAACCACCAGGAGGGAAATGACACCGCCCATCACGCTTTCATCGAAACGGATGACGAGGGAGAACTGGCTCCCCCGCGGTACATCCGACAAGTCGCTGAGGACTGGGGCATCACCCTGGTTCAGCAAGAGGACGGGCAATGGCGAACCCACGAGGGTGAAGGAGGAGTCAGCCCGAACCTCACCTTCCTACAGCAGAGGGTCCTAAGCCAACGGCAAAGGATCGAGGAGTTGTCGAGAGAGAAAGAAGAACTCGAGCAGCTTCTCCAAGCAAGGAACGACCAGTATGGACAACTTTGCGCGGAACTCGATTTCGCCAGAGAACGAGTCCAAGAGATCACCGAGGCCAACAACAGGGCCGGGGATCACGTCGAAAAGACATTAAGAGAGGCACAGGCCTTGCAGGACGACATCCGCCAGGCACTTCCGCATCACACACCGTGGGATGGACCCACCGAAGAGGCGGAGGAATACGAAAACGGAGTGCGATATCCCGAGCAACTTTTCGACTACGCACAGGAGCAGAATGCGGCGAAAGGAAGGAAACAACAGAACTGGGAAGAATACTGGACTCGACATCAGCACATCGTGCGCACCGGGCGACAAACCTCCGACCTTGAATGGTGGGGTTTCCGGGGCGAGAACAACACGGAGGGATTCCAGTTGTTGCCAGAAGACCACGAGCGGGTGAACCCACGAAAAGAAAGTCACATCTACCTGCCCTGGTTCCAGTGCATCGCGCACGAATGTCGGTACCACTTCCAGGACAAATTTCGCAACAGTTTCTGGCCCACGAGGGAAGAAAAAGGAATGCAACCCCTACCCATCAGATGGGTATACGACAGCGGCGACGCTCCCGCAGGCATGTTGTGGGACACCCAACGCACTCACGAGGGCAGGCTGAGGGTTAGACCCAAGGCAGCCTGGCCCCGACGCTGTATGGCGGGCGTAGGAGTCAACGAATGCCGAAGCGCAGACTGCCTACCACACGCCGACGAGAAAATCTGGGGATACATGGAACAGCAATCCCAGAGGAAGCCACACCAGAGGACGAGAGCGTCCCGAAGGAACGAGAGGCGCCCAGTTGAGGCATGGGCGGCCCAATGGCTCCAAGAACACCAGACGATTGACGCCGCAAGCCAAGGTGCGGACAGGGACGCCTTGAAACACCACGAGAGCTTGGGAAACGGCTCAGGGCCCTCCGAGGGGCCCGGAAACCTCTAACTCCACAACAACGGAGACAGGCTGCGCAGTACAGGAAGAACTGGCGCAAGCAGAAGCCTTACAACGACCTCCCAGCAGACGAACACGAAGTAGCTGCTGTACGAAGCACCAAACCAGACAACAGACTCTGGATCACAGCGCGATGGGGGAAATTCGAAGCCCTCGCGTTAGTGGACGGAGGAGCGCAGATGGACCTCATTGCGCCCACATTTGTGAATCAACTCAGAATCCCATGGAGGATCAAGAAACAACCACACGTCGTCAAAGGACCATTCGACACACAATGGGTACGACGAGAGACAGAACCACTCGACATTGAGGTGGAAGGAAAAACCACCCAAGTGGTGTTCGACATCGTGAACATGGGACCGAAGAAAGACATGATTCTCGGACGCCCATGGCATGAGGATTACGACCCAGACATCAGTTGGAAGGGAGATGGCCATCTGCGACCGCGGGAACAGCGGGAGCATCCGACCAACTCGATGGGAGAACGCGCAGAACAGGAGCCACGGGAGAGTAGCGGGTCAGAACAAACCCCCTCTACGGGCCCACCGCAGGAAGCAGCCAGTGCAGAACCACGCACTCTGGAGTCCGGAAGAAGCGGCACACGACGAAAGAAGCAGACACGGGAGGAACGAACCATCGCCGTCGTCTCAGTCGACGAGCACGGAATGCTCAAACACGAACAATGGGTCAATCAGCTCGAAGCGGCAAACATCGAGCTGGCAGCAGAAGAAGTCAGGGAACTCGAAGCAGCAAGCATCGAGCCTGGAAACAGCAAGTTCGCGTACTACGAAGGTACGGCGAAGAACGCGAAAACGGGACAGATTCCAGACGATTACAAGGGACACCCGGCGTTCACGGCAAAACATCTTGCAGGGCTACCAGACCACGGACCTTGGGATCACGAGATCAAACTCAAGGAAGGCGCCCAGTTGAAATTTTTCAAGGTGTACCACACCAACGAGAAGCAAGATGCAGAGTTGAGGAGCTATCTCGAAAAGAACGTCGAGATAGGACACATCAGACCATCGACATCTCCAGCGGGCTACCCAGTCCTCTTCGTTCCAAAGAAGGATGGGAAACTCAGGATGTGTGTGGACTACCGACAGTTGAACGGCGAAACGGTGAAGAACCGCTACCCACTGCCACTGATCTCGAGGCTTCGAGATCAACTGTCAGGGGCACAATACTTCACGCGTCTCGACCTTCCGACAGCGTACGCCCACATCCGCATCAAGGAAGGAGATGAATGGAAAACGGCCTTTCGGACACCCTATGGGCACTACGAGTACCTCGTCATGCCGTTCGGGTTGACCAACGCACCAGCGACGTTTCAAGCCGCTATCGACCACGCAATTCGACATTGCCTCGATAAATTTGCAGTCTGTTATTTGGATGACATTCTCATCTACTCCAAGACACTCGAAGAACACAAGAAACATGTGCAGCAGGTGCTGAATGCACTGCACGAGCACAAGTTGTCAGTCAACAAGGACAAGAGCGAGTTTCATGTCAAGAAGACAGTGTTTCTGGGTTACGAGATCTCTCCAGGATGGGTCAAGATCGAACCCGAGAAACTGGAAGCTGTCAGGACGTGGCCGACACCAACAAACGCCACAGAGGTTAGGGGGTTTATCGGATTCGCCAACTTTGTCAGGATGTTCATCAAGAACTTTGGCGATATCGCGAGACCTCTACACGAACTTACCAAGAAGGATGCCACATTCCAGTGGAAGCGGGAGCACGA